GAGCAATGAGTGAACATGTAAAGAGATCCTTCTTGTCAGCAAGGACATAGGTCAAGACCTCGTCCACCAGTTCTGGTGGCAGGTCCGACGCCGTCGCCCAATGTTGAGTATGCATCTGCGTCGTTTGATGAGAAAAAGCTAGCTAAAGTGCGTCGTAACCCACTTGCGACGCAGAGGCTGAAGTTGAACTTGATGATGGTTCGGGACAACCTTCGGACATCGGTCCGACGCCACATGCTGTGATGAAGTCGAACCGTGACACAACTGTGACAATCAAGCATGTTTTGAGTTCTCGCCTTCCACCAAGGATCAGAAGATATGACTGCGCGTCGTCCAAGCGACTGCTCTCTGTTCAGAACTTGAGAGAAAAGAAAAAGTGTGACGAGAGTGGGATTCGAACCCACGCCCCGAAAGACCAGATGATTCGGTGAGGAATCAGATGCGTCAGTAATTACTGACTGATCCTTAGTCTTCTCGCCTTGACGTACCTTACTGGCCTGACCAGCTATTATGACGCGCACGTCTGCTTTGCCGCGATCAATGGTTTCAAAATCAACCATAACTTGCCTTCTACGCTCATGCTGCGATACGAAACGCAGGGAACTTTCCCATCGCTTAATCACTTCATGGCTTCTGCTATCTTTTGCGACAGAGAACCGCTAGCTATCATGTTATCTTGCAAGCTCAATCGTCCCAACGGCCACCCGATTGGATGCAGGTAGGGAGAATGTTCAAGTGGCTGCCACCGGCCACGATGATTGTGGCGAAGAGCCATACTATTCTACCTCTCTCCTGGGAATGGAGAAGCTCACTGTGCCCTCACCTTACTTGCCGAATGCAGTGTGTCATTGGTGAATATTAACAGAATGCTTGGCTATGCCTCTCTCCACCGAGGGTCGCTAGCAATGTAATCTCGTGTCTACGCAGAGTACGTGTAATGCGACGTTATCTCAAACCGCACTGACCTTTGTACAGCAATGGGGGCCCCTCCGCCTCTCCCTTTGTCACTGGCTATCCAGATGACGCGCCCTGGTGCTCGGTCGCATGACTGCGTACCCCGTTCGAAGCACCTCCGCTCCGCAGGCGCCGAAGAAGGAGTGCCCCTCCCCGCTCCCGATAAGCGAGGACAGAGTATATAAACCACACCTCCGATAGACCGGGGTGCTACCGATACTAGGCGCCATGTTATCGTCTGCGCTTCCCCCTCTGCCTACGCTCGCGGGCGTGGTCAGCATTGCTTTTCTGCTGGTCAAGCACCTTAAACGGGGCAGATTGTCCCCTCTTCCTCCCGGACCGAAGGGCTGGCCTATCATTGGCAACATCCTTGACTGGCCGAAGACCCAAGAATGGCTCACATTCATGAGATGGTCACAACAATATGGTGCGCCACTTGCGCTGCAATAGCATGCCCATATTAACCTGGCTTCGCAGATTCTGACCTTCTCTATGTCAATACGATCGGCACCGACGTCCTCATCATCAACTCCAACAAGGTCGCACAAGACCTACTCGAGAAGCAATCGAGTATTTTCTCGGATAGGTCAGGTCGCCACTCATATCTGCAGTCTGTGACTGACAGGTGCGCAGACCCCGCATGCCGATGCTGCTCGAACTGTAGGTACTCTACAGATGACTGTCCTCCGCTCTGCTCATACCACCATAGTGTTGGTTTTGGTTGGGACTTCTCCTTCATGCCGTACGGGCGCCGCTGGCGCGAGCTCCGCAAGGCCTTCGTTCGCAAGTTCCACCCACCCGCACTCTCCCACTACCACCCCACCATTCTCCAAGGCACGCGCGAGCTCCTCCTCGACTTCCTCAACACGCCAAATGACTTTATCAAACATCTGCGAAAGTACGTCCCATGATCCATGTCCCCCTCGCATATTACTTTTCCCTCCCCCTCTCCCTCCCTCTCTCCATCACCCTCGCCCATCGTCCCTCCCCCTCCCGTTACACATCGCCCATTACTCACCTCACCCCAGCGCCTCCGGCGGCATCATCCTCCGCGTCTGCTATGGCTACAAGGTCACCCCCAATGACGACCCCTTCGTCGCCCGCGCGCAACGCGCCTTGAACGCCATGGCCCAAACCGGCATCCACGGCGCGTACCTCGTCGACTCCTTGCCAATTCTCAAGGTCTTGCCTGCATGGGTACCGGGCGCGGGCTTCAAGAAAGAGGCGGCGGAGTGGAATCCGGATGCGGCGCTGTTTCATAAGTTGCCGGTGGATTGGGTGCAGGAGTGTATCGTGAGTGGTGGTGATGTGGGAGAGAAATGGTGTATGTTGACGGTCGATGCAGGAGAAAGGCACCGCAGAGCCGTCTATCGCGTCCGAGTCCCTCGAGAAGTGCCGCACGCCCGAAGAGCTCGAAGGCCTGCGCGCCATTCTCGGCGTCGCGTACGAGGCAGGGGCAGATACGGTACGTCTTGCGTATCCTCTCCCTCTTATCCATAACATCTGACTCACTTATCCATAATATCCAACTCACTTATCCATAACATCTAATTCACTTATCCACGACATCCAACTCACCTACCCTCCAGACCGTCTCCGCCCTCTCGACCTTTATCCTCATGATGGCGACCTACCCCGAGGTGCAGCGCAAGGGGCAAGCAGCCGTCGACGCTGCCTTCGGCTTCGGCCACCTGCCTGACTTTACGGACGACGTTGAGATCCCGTACGTCGACGCGATCGTGAAAGAGGTCCTAAGGTATAGACCTGTTGCGCCGCTGGGTACGTATGCATTGCACTTTCGCCGGGGCCTGTGGCCTGAACTTCTTGCGCTCCCTATTACCTCCTTTACTCTGTCAATACTGAACAAACGTCCATAGGCCTATCCCATCGCCTGATGGAGGACCACATTTACGACGGCTACTTCCTGCCGAAGGGCTCCGTAGTCATAGGCAATGCTTGGGCCATGCTCCACGAAGAGTCCGAATGGGGGGCCGAGCCAGGCGTCTTCCGCCCCGAGCGACATCTGAAGGGCGGTGTCCTCAACCCGCCGAGCAAAGTTCCTTATGGGACGTTTGGGTGCGTCGAGTGTCTTCACATTCTCTGTCCCGCCCCTTCTCCCTCTCTCCCTCTTTCCCTCGACCGTCAACCCTTATAACTGACCGATTCGCCCCTGCCCAGCTATGGCCGCCGCACCTGCGCCGGCATCGAGTTCGCGATGGACCAGATGTGGCTCACCGTCACCTCCATCCTCGCGTGCTTCGACATCGCGCCGATCAAGGGCGAGGCGCTGACGGGCGAGTACACGTCGGGCATGCAGATGTGAGTGGCGCATTGTCCTCCTCATCCTCATCGACACATGCACTGTCCTTTCCCTCACTCCGCTGAAAGGGTTGACCATGCCGCTGACGACCGACCGACAGCTTTCCTGTTGACTTCAAGTGCAGCATCAAGCCTCGGTCGGCCGCCATCGAGCAGCTGCTTCGCGATGGCGTGGAGGTAGCCTGAGCTCGACGGATAGCGACTCTTCCTGCTGCACTTCGCGTCTCTGTTCGACAACATTGTACTCCTACATCTCATCTATGCCTTCCAGTATTGTACTTTTATCAGCATCATTCGCAACGTTCAGCGTTCTATCCTAGCGTCCGTCGCAATCCCGTGTGCATGCTCCGTGCCAACTCCCAGCACCTCTACACATACTTCGCCCCCGAGCCGAGGTAGAACGTGCCCTCGACCTCGACGATATCGTCCTGGTTCAGACGCTGGACCTCGATGATCGTGCGCGGCGGGTACGTCCCGTTCTTCCAGAGCTCCTCTTGCACCTGGTTGACGATGGGGCGATATCTGGGGGATGGGTAAGTTATCGTTGGACAAGATGAGTTGCCCATGCCGCCTCTCTAGCGAGTCAGGATGTCGGGCGCGCTACCTGGATTCTCCACGTTCGCGTTACGAACGAGATGGAATGCATAGCAGACGAAGTCGACCAAACAAACAACCCCCCTACTCACCTGAACATATCCGTCGTGTACACCACCAACCGCGAGCAGTCCGTCAGCTCCGCACCCGCATACTCCGCGAGCCACTGCATGTTGAGGAACGCCTGCTTAATGCGCGGGTAGCCAACCTCGGCCATTGAGTCGTTCGAGGGGTAGATGCCGCGCATGCCTGGGTAGGTGGGTCAGCAAGACAAGCTTCAACCTCTGCAAGTCGCGCGACCGAGATCTCGCACAAGAGCAGACGAAAGCTCGCCAAAGATGGGACCGGACGCCACTCACCCGCAACATAAACCGAGTCGCCCGCAATTGACATTAGGCTCCACGGGCCCGTCGCACTAATACTCTGCGACGGGTTGAGGATCTCCACGCCCTGAGGCGAAGTGTAGTTCGCCTGCTGTGCTGTCGCGAAAGGCAAGGCCGCAGCGAGGAAGAGGGAGATGGCCTGGGTCAAGAGCTTCATGGCGCTGAAGTGTCGGATTGCGATGGACTGCGGATGTACGAAGTGTTTTCAGAGGTCAGACCGTCCTCCGGAAGATCAAGGCTGTTCTGGCGTCTGCGCGGGTTCCCTCGACAAGGACCATTCATCGTGTTCAACAGCTCGCTTTTATATGCTGACGGACCGCCGCGGCACGGCTATAGAGGACTTTAGTGGGTGATGGATGGGACGCATGAGCAGATAAGGGCGAATGGGGCGAGAAAATCCGGAATGAACGAGGCGCAAACCGGGAACAGACCGAGATAAGGTAGGAAAGAGCAGGAAAAGAAACCGACGCGCGCGACCTGAACCCACGGGGTCGCCGAGCGACGCGTGACGTCATGGTCAGTAGCCGGCTGTTTGCGCGGGCTTGGCGTTTGTTAGGGGGTGGCGAAGGGATGTTTACTCGTGTTTGCAGAGCGCCTGCAGCTGTCGTCTGGCACAGACATGGGGTGTATGCGCACATATATTGAGCTTGATCCTCGTGGTCTCTGTCTAGTCGATTTTCTTACTGGCATTTTACTTACAGGGGCTCGATATCGGGTATAGGGCCAAGAGGTACGATCCGTGTCGGGTTTATCTGGGCAGGGGTCAGCATGAGCGTTTCCTTCCGCGAGGTACAAGCGGGTGCTCCCTCTGTTCATCTAGGAGGACAGGGAGAGGACAAAGAAGGGAGTGGAATGGAGACAAACAGGAACGAGAGGACGACACCATGGAATGACAAGGACGCGCGGTTCACGGACAAGCACTCACATGAGGGTGAGACCAATAATAATGCGTCTTGATGTGGTCGAAGCGCGTGCTCGACTTGAACGCGTCGTTGGTCCAGTACAGTTTCTTGAGCCACCTGAGCAGGAAGTCAGTAAGCTACGCCGAGGGTGGAATATGGAGCACGGCCGAAAGTAGGGCAAGGCAGACGCAACTCACTCGTTGATAGCAGGGTACCCCGCACGAATGGTGCGGAAGTTGCACTTGAAGTGGCCGACGTAGACGGGGTCGAAGCGGACAATGGTGACCCACAGACGAAGGTCTGCCTCCGTCAACTTGTCGCCGACGAGGTATTCGCTCTTCTCGAGGATCTTCTCGACCTTGTCGAGGCCGTCGAAGACCTCGTTCACGGCCTTCTCGTATGCCTCCTGCGTCGTAGCGAACCCGGTACGGTATACGCCATCTACACGGCCAGTCAGCCACCACCTCCGCACGCATATACTCACAACCACTCACTATTGATCTGACTATACACCCACTCATTCACCTCGTCAATGCCCTTGCGCAACTCCTCCGGATAGAAATCCAGCCCCGCCTTCTCCTTCGGCAACAACTCGTTGAATCCCTCATTGAAGATACGAATGATCTCCGAGCTCTCATTGTTGACAATTGTGTGCAGCTTCTTGTCCCACAAGACGGGCACGGTGAAGCGCCCTGAGTACTCTGGGTCCGCGCGGAAGTACAGATCCTTGACGTGGGCGGAGTGGTGAAGCGGATCGGGGTCGGCGGCGGGGAAGATCGACTCTTCATTGTCGTTGCGGCGGAAGGGCCAGCCGTTCGTACCCATACGAGGCGAGACGGCAGAAAAAGCTGGGAAAGAAGGGTAAGAGATGGCGAGGAAGGAAGGGCGAATGCAACGCACGAATGATGTCCTCCAATCCCTTCAGCTTGCGCATAATCAGCGCGCGCGTCGCCCAGGCTGCAACTTCGCGTCAACGAGTGCGATCCTTGCAAGTGCGGACCACGTACGGCATGCATACGACACATAGAGGTGATACCTATCGTGCTCGGGCGCAAACTTGCCACCCTTCTCGATGAAGTTGCGGAAGGAGGAGTCCTGCCGCTTGAACGACCCGTCGCTCTTCTCGTTTGAGGACATGGCGCGTTTGGGTGCGAAGTTTCGGTACCCAGGCAACGACAACGGCGTTGGTGAAGGTCGAGAGTAAGATGACCTTGCCAGCGAGCGCGCATATATACTCATGACGCGGGTGCCGCCAGTGATGTCAGCTGGCAGTCGCGCACGTCCGACAAGCGCGAAACGTCTGGCGAGGGGCGTCGAGCTCATGACGGTGCTGACTGAGTGCTGACTTAGGACGTCAGGAGGAGGGGCCTTGAGCGGAGGTCAAGGGAGGAGGAGAGCAATGTTATCATCGTCAGCGGCGAAACTACTAAGAGGCTACTGTCAAGGTGGGGAGCAGGGCCGGGTAAATATTTCCGTTAGGAATTCGATATTCCAAAATAGGCAACCCTTGTTCTCGCGGTTTCTCACGCCCACACAATTCACCTTTCCCCCCTCCTCCCTGGCCCCACCTTAGGGAGGGATGTATCTAGCAGAAAGGTAGCATCAAGTATTTGCATGCGACACGGGTGGGACATGTATTCTGCAACGATTGACAGGCTCATCTGCGGCGGAAGCTACAGGGCTCTTGAACTAGCAGGATGAGGCGATGGTGAGGAGCTGAAAATGGCTTCATTTTAGCAAGGAAATGGATAAGCCTGACCTTGAGATTAGGCTTCATCACCGAGCACACTGATAAAGAGATCCTGAACAAAGGATAGTCGAATTAAAGCCGGGTGTAAGTATAGTCAAATAATAAAGGTAGTGCCAGTGTCCGACATAACAACCCTAAGAAGATATCCTCGATAATGCAAGAGAGGTCTGTAGACAAGTCAGCGAGACATCAGACAATGTGGAGGTAGAGCGCGTACTAGAATGACCTGCTTAGCACGACACGTCGTTGGCGTTGTCGAGGACGAGGTACGAGCCCCAGTACGCGCCGTTGTGGAGGTAGGGCGCATCGACCCAGGTAAAGGCGAACACATCATCACCGTACAGCGCCGTGCGCTCGTTCTCGAACTTGCCCTCGCCACCGCCGATCTGTGCACGTTGTCAGCCCCATGCCACCTTCACCATCCCACTCCATCGATGGTACTCACTGAGTTCACGACCTTCTGGAAGTTCGGGTTCGACAGCCCGATCCTGTCGTCCGACAGGCTCCAGCCGCCAAAGACGGTCCCCTCCGGCAGCCCGTCGCGCGAGCTCACGAACGTGACCGTGTAGTTCGCCGGGTTCGAGCCCGCAACGGGCACGAGCGCGGCCTCGAGCCCAGCCGTCGGGCACAGCGTCTTGAGCGCGTCGCCCTCGACGACGGCTGAGATGGTGAGGTCGACGGCCTTGCCCGCGTCGAGCACGTAAGCTGCATCACTGATCTGGTGCAGCGTGAAGTTGCCCGCGCTCTGGCCGTACGGCGAGGTCGAGGCGGACTTGAGGCCGGCGCCGTTGACGAGGGCGACGGCGGAGAAGAGTGCAAGGGCAGCGGCGAACATCTTGAGTGAAGAAGGTTGTTGGGTGTGTTAAGTCGGAGAGGGAACTTGGTGAAGAGAATGCGGAATGGAGGATGAGCAGCTGAAGATGGCCTGCTTATATAGAGGGAGCCCGTAGTTGGCATGCGCTGCCCGTTACGACACCATGGCGGGACTCGCGTTCGAGGTGCACTGCATCCAATTGCACCTCGGCTTGTTCCGCAACTTCAGCCCGCTGTGACTGTTCCATCAGCTTGGTCAGTGTATACTCAGCGGAGTCCGCGATCCGCAAATCCATCGACGAAACAAGGTCTCCAGGCTAAGAATCCCCGGTTCCTTTCCTTCCCTCAGCACGTGCAGAGAGGATCTTGACAATGAGGAGGGTGGGCGTTGCGGATGGCTCCCTGATTCACATATGGCCTTGCGAGAAAGTGAGGGTAGCACAGCCACTATAAAGCGAGCTTGGTATTTTACCTGCCACAGCCCACAGGCCGTAACACGGATACAGCCTGCGAAAAAGTCAAACAGTCCGAGGATTACGGATAAGGTGCGAACAGGTGAATAAGGGTCAAGGGGTGAGGACCATCTTCGATGAGCTGCAACGAATCGATATTTACGCACTGGTCCAGCCTTTCAGTGGCCTACAGTCCACATCAATTTGCGGACCGTGTTCGTCGCGCAACGTAGATTATTATTCCATGAACTCCAACCAACGGACCTAACAAAGGCTCCTGCATGAGCATCACGAGCGCGTCGGTATGAACAAGACTCGCCTCGATCGGATCGCTGTCCGATGTATTCCCCTCCTACTTATCTATCCTCTCGCAGGCCTGCTGAAAAACCACCTGGCCCGCCGACCTATCTCCCCTCTACTAGGTATGAATGTCCGCCTCGTGCATACCTTGCTTCTTCCCAACGCCCATCGCCCAGACGCACTGCCGCGAGGCTCGGTCCACACAGGGCTGTCAGCCCTCCTTCCCGAGCATCAGCGCCGTCGAGCTCGTCGAAGAGCCCGTGTCGATTGTGCTTGCGGTCGTAGGAGCACGTGTGTGCTCTTTGGAGGAGCGCTTGCGTTCCTAGAATCAGCGCGAGCGGCGGTAATAAGACGATCGCGGCTCATCGCCCTTGGTCTGTGTCACCAGGCTAGCTCTGCCCGGTCTTTTCTGTCTGCTCAATCCCCCAATTCCCTCGCCCGCGGCGTATGCGACCCCGTCTTGGTCAGGGAGTGCCCTCACCCCACTCTGTCGTGCATCATGTACAGTGCGTCCCACTGCGCCAATCCCTCCTCATCCGTGACGCGAGCCCGCCTCCCCTCCATCCATCGGTGAGAGGGGAGCGGGATGCTCATTTCATGTTGAGGCGGGCGCACTGAGAGGAGATGGTGCACCAAGCACGGCGGAAGGGTCGGGTGGTTTCATAGCGGCCCTATAAGAGTGGATACGCACCGGTCGAGGAGTCGCATGAGGGCGGGCTGAGCGCAGAGTCGAGCACAATTGAAGGTGCTGTTGCTATACCGGGATAGGGTTCTCGTGGTCGGCTTAGCAGACCGGTCGCGGCGTAAGCGATCCCTTGGTCGTCGTATAGGTCTGGGCATCACAGGCACCTGGCGAGTGTCCAATCTTTGGGTATTCTTCCGTTGGGGAAGTACGTCTTGTGTACACCGTACGCTGTAGCAGTTAGTCGCGCCCGAGGACCATTTCGATGGCAGCAGAAAGTAGACATCCACTGAACTGACCTGACCTTCTGGCGACGACACGAGTCATGCTACAGAGTTGCCATTATATCGCCTTCGTACACATACATGGATTACAGAGGTTCGATGTCGGGAACCGGACCTAAAGGTACAATTCCACTAGGATTATTCTGGGCAAGGGGGTCAGTCGTGCGTCGAATTTGGCAGAGAGATGACAGTAGCACGAGTCGCATACCTGCGAATAATACCCCGTCTTAATGTGGTCGAACCGTGTGCTGGACCTGAATGCATCGTTCGTCCAGTACAGCTTCTTTAGCCACCTACGACAGGATTAGATATCACCATCCGGATGCGACGTGAGCGGAAGAAGAGGGCAAGCATTGCGTACCTGTTGATCGCTGGATAGCCATGGCGGATCGAACGTATGTTGCACTTGAAGTGACCATAGTAGGCGGGGTCGAAGCGAATCTATGTAGGCGTTAAGCACGATGAACGGCAAAGGAGACCCATGACGACTTACAGCAGTAACCCACAGACGGACGTCGGCTTCCGTAAGCCTGTCGCCTAGGAGGTACTCGTTTGTCGACAGAATCTTTTCGACCTTGTCCCAGCCGTCGAAAAGCCCGAGCACGGCTTTCTCATACGCCTCCTGAGACGTTGCAAAGCCTGCGCGATAGACGCCATCTGTTGCACTCATCAGCAAGAGTACGCGGCATCCCCAGAAGCATCTCACTATTGATCTGTGGATAACCCCATTCATTCAACTCGTCGATCTTGGGCCGTAGCTCGCTCGGATACAAGTCGACCGAGGTATATTCGGGCGCCAGCAGCTCGTTGAAGGCGGTATTAAAGATACGAATGATCTCCGAGCTCTCGTTGTTCACTATCGTATGCTGCTTCTTGTCCCACAGAATGGGGACAGAGAAACGGCCGTTGTAGTCGGGCTGAGCCCTGAAGTAGAGGTCCTTGACGTGCGAGGATCCGTAGAGCGGGTCCGGTTCGGCACCAGGATGGGTGGTGTACTCGTCGGCCTCGTTGTAGAATGGCCAGCCCTGCTTTCCGAGGCGCGGGACGACCGGGGTGAAGGCTGTAAAGTACGGTTCAGATGTGCGCGTATGACCGCGCAGGTTGACGACGCGTACAGATGATATCCTCGAGCCCCTTAAGCTTGCGCACAATGAGGGTACGAGTCGCCCAAGCTAAAGAGGCATGGGTCAGTAGATGGCATGATGCAGGGAGACGTTGAGTCCACGTACGGCAGGAATACGAGACGTATAAGTGGTAACGGTCCCGTTCTGGAGGAAACTGGCCTCCCTTCTCGATGATGCTGCGGAACTGGCTTGGAGGGCGCTGGTAAGAGCCATCTGGTGCATTAGTCGTCATGATGTACCAAGCAAGTGGATGTGAATAGACGAAAGGGTGAAGTGCCGGTGTTTGTAGAGACGAGGTCGGAGTCGCAAGTCAAAGCCAAGACGAGAGTCTACAGGGTGCATGCGCTCCTTATATATAGGCTCGACAGCTCTGAGCAAACAAGACGTGACCCTCGAACTGCCTTGCGAATCTGCGACGGGGGAGGCCCGCTAGTGGGTCTGCTCAGTCAGCTTCGAGTCTGCTGACAAACTCACTTCCATGCACAGCGGACCTCCAAGGTCGAAAGGAGTGCATCTTCAAGATAGAACGATTTTGGTTTGGTATGGAAAATGTGTATATGGCCAGACCTTGGTACATGATCCACGATGGTCGAGTTCAAGATGCGCGTGTTTTGTTTGTCACAGTTTGCCTGCGCTTGACGATGCGTTCGTGGTCAGGTGACTGGCCAAACTTCGACAATATGAATATCGTGTCATCCATCGCAGACCTTGACATTGACCAGCTCAAAGTAAGTAAAGTACAAATCCATTCCATACTCCTCGTACGCCCAGTACTAACCCAATCAATGATACATTTACGCCGGAACGACAGTCGGCACCGTCGACGGCTGGAGCGCCGTGTTCCACGTCGGGGTCGATGGCCAGGCAGTCGTAGCAGGGGGAGGCGCTGTGTAGCCGTACGGGGTTGGACCCGGGACTGAAGATCGGTCAGCTCAGATAGCGGAAGTTGTCAAGGGACAGTGAACGCACCAACGTAGGTGTCGAGCTCCTTATGGATGTCGACGAGGATGCCCGGGTCAGAAGCGCTGTAAGCACCCGGGATCTTGACAGTGGGCGGTTTGGCAGAGCCACCGCCAGTGATCTCGACCTGGTAGCAGGACATGTAGAATTGCGCACCGCCGGGCTGGCTGGCGGTGTGCAGGGCGATCGTCTCCGCGCGGAGCAGGTACTGGCCGGGCGCGATGTCCTCAGGGATCGTCACCGTGTAATGCCCACAGTTGTCATTCAGGACCTCTGCAGTCGCAAGGTCAACTCTGGACCCACAGAAGGGATGAGTTGCACGTACGGTTCCCATAGTAGTCAGGGTTGTTGCTCACAAGGCCCATCTCATGTATCTTGAACCAGCCAGCGGAGGCGCCATCGGCGCTGGTAGCCTGTATTCCATCAGTAAAGTTATAGGTGTTGACACAGATAAGTCGACTTACATCGTCAACGGCAGCTAAGTACACCATCATCGGGCCGTAGTGCTGACCACCGATGGCCTCGTTCGCGCACGAGCGGTCACCGTTTTGCTGGTGCATCTCGACCGTAACCTCCGAGCCGGCAGCGATGGTGCAAACGCCCGAGCTGGCAGCGGGGTTGGCGTTGCACGCCATGGCCTATCATCGACTGTCAGCATAAGCAAGCCAGTCGGTCGCCCAAACGACCTACCGCGCTAGACACATCGGTCACGGGCGAGTTGCTCGGCGGCAGGCGCACGCAGGAGTTGCCCGCATCCTCATCGCCGATCCAGAACTGCTGCCAGGTCGCGTGCGCGGAGGCGTACGCCGCGAGGGAGGCGAGGACGACTAGTTGCATCGTGAGGTCAGACAAACGCAGATGTCGAAGTAGATGGGTGGTCAAGTGGGCCTTGCGAAGACACCGAATCCCCCACCTAAGTTCCTTATATACCCGCATCCAGAACGGATCCTACGCCAACGAGCGCAAGAGAATCGCCGCGAACCGGATGGGTGTCGTGCGGGCCAACCCCCAAGCGCTTCACTGTTCACAAAACTCCGTGCTTCTTCCTTGAGAACACGCGCTTCTTCCTGGAGGATGTGCGTTGAACGGGCGCACCTGCCTACAATGGCATCCTGACGACCAAAAAGGCTTTCAGCTCCAGAACATCGGAAAATTGTCTGACCTTCTTCATCACTGGTCCCCGGTGAAGAGCCGATTGAATACAAAGCGGCACCCTCGGAAGGTCCTCACGCCGTCGTTATTCGGCGCTCACACTGTACGCAAGCCCTCCTGCGCCTCTTCAGACGGACAACGTCACAGGGGCTAAAGAGATGATTGGCGGGTACACCTTGGACGCAAGCAAAGACTCGGAAGCGAGTCGTCGCGTTTATTGCACGGAGATCGATAAGGACAGAGATTGAAAGGCTCTTGTAGAGGTGATCAAAGGATTTCTATACTTACTTACTAATCGACACGAGATATACCAACAAGATCGCGCTGAGCATACGTAGGGGAAAATTATAAGCGCAGGGACGAGGGAAGGAAGAATGATAGCTTGCCGCGCGTAAGTTCTATAGCCTGTCACAAAAGACGCGACACATCGGGTCCAGCGTGGATGAGAGGGATGACCGGATACGATCCTCGAAGAGCAAAGCATCAGGACATGCTCAGATCCAGAAGGAAGGTCACCTCAAGCCCCTTCGCCAGGGATGCTCGCTTTCCGAGAGCGCACGACTTTGTTCCTCAGCGCCTTCTCCTTGAGCTCGGTCTCGCGACGCTCGAGGTCAATGGCCTGCGCAGAGTTAGACGTGGGCGCGGAGGGAGTATCAAGCAAGCCCGACCTCGGTCATCTCAACGTCGCCTCCATTGTCTTTGGAAGACACCCCGCCTTCGTCCCAGCGATTGCGCTTGCCCTGGCCCTTGATCTTGAGCTCCTTGGGAGAGCCCTCGTCGTCGCTGCGACTGCCGCTCCTCGCGCGCTTCCTAGCCGGAGGCGTCGTCGAACGCCTTCGCGGGCTGGGGCTATCGCGGCGCCGCTTGCGGGGCGGCGAGTCGCTGGGCGTCCGCCGACGGCGCGGCGGGCTCGGGCTGAAGCGCCTGCGCGAGCGCGGGGGTGGCGATCGCTCACGCGACAAGGACCGCGACCGCGACCGCGGTGGAGGAGACGGACGCCTGCGCCGAGGGGGACTGTCACGGCGGCGCGGTGGCGGACTCCGGCTGTCCCGCCTGCGGGGAGGCGGGCTGCGGCTGAGGCGCTTGCGCGGCGGGGGACTGCGGCGACGAGGCGGTGAGCCGGACACGGAGCGCCGACGACGCGGAGGAGTGCGACTGTCAGAGCGCTCGGAAGGCGAGCGAGGTCGGCGGGGAGGAGGGGAGCGGCCGGGAGATGATGAGCGGTATCGAGCCCTAGGGACAGGCGAACCACCACGAGAAGAGGGAGGGGTCCTTGAACGCGTGGGGGAGCGCGGCCTGCGACGAGGACTGCGCGACATCCGACGAGGGCTGCGGGACATGCGCCGCGGGGGTCCCTGGATAAATATGAGTACGCGCCAGAAACGGCATGAAGCCAACCACATACCCCACCGCGTCTACCCCAACCACTGTCTCTCGGCCGCCGATCATCTTCAAAGTCGCCGCGACCACCCCTCCCCCCATAGCCACCCCGTCCACGTCCACGCCCGCGACCCCTTCCGCGATCGCCCCGCTCACCCCGCTCCCTCTCGCGTATCTCATCCAACCTCACGCGCCGATCGCGCTCGTCCAGCGCCCGCGTATCGTTCTCGCGCGCCTTGCGCAGCTCCTCCTTTTTCTCTTCCACGAACGTGCGCGGAACGCCTGAAACCTCTGCTTGAGCCTCGAGGAGCAACTTCCAAAGTGCGACCATAAACTCTTTGGTGTTCTTGTTCAGGAAGCCCTGCAGGTTGATTGTCATGCGCTTGGGGTCGGGAGTCTGCAGCGGCGTCAGGATCTGTGGCGGGAAGCGCACGGACGCATGTGTACGTACCGGCTGCGACTCATCCTCCAAAAGTCCCATGCAGTATTCGCCCACGAGCTCGTCTTCGATCCCGTTCAATTCTGTGATTTTCTTGAACACCCAGGGACGGATAACCTGCAGGTTCACTTTGCGCATATCGACCTGCAACTGTCAGCATGCTGCACTTCCAGGGAAACTCGCTGCACGCTCACCTTCTGGTCAAATTCTGGGGGGAACTTCATGGACTTCAGGAGCTTGAGTTCCTTGTCCGAAAAGCGCCTGTCTTGGTCCGCAGACGTGCCCTTGAAGAAGCCTGAAGCCCGTCAAAATCTGTGTCTGCCGCTGCCATGTCCAAAACACACCAGCATCCGCCATCTTGAGTAGAAGTAGTGACCCGGGGAGTCGACGGTGGTGGTGGATAGAGCGAGCAGACACGGCCGACGGGCGGAATGCCAAAACGATGAGAACGCCACAAACGACTTGACGGGGTTTGCCGGGGTCGCCCAAGGCTCACACTCTATACTCCCATCTCATTCCAGACTCTAAACCCCTTCCTGCTCGACCTCTGTTGAACTTGCTCTGTCTGCTGAAGCTCGATAGCTAGCAACTGTACGACTTGGCTCTGGGACTTGCTCGACTCGATTTGATGTCTCCGTCGCTCGGTTAGACGGCACCTCAAAGACACATCTGGCTGGTCGTTACCATACATTGGCGGCTACTCTACCGAAGAAAGAGCCAGACGCGTCACCCATCCCGAGGAGCTATAAAAGGTCTTGACTCGACTATATTCTAACGCGGATTCACCTGGCTTGTCGCTCGTGAACTCCACCTAACTCGCCGCTATGCCTTCGCTTGCAACTGTACGAGAGTTCAACTCCCATGTCGTTTCTACCGCGAAGACCCCCGTGGCTGTCTTCGTAGGAGGTACCTCCGGCATAGGTCGGGGAATGGCCCGCGCCTTCGCCCACCACATCAAGGGCAATGCACGCCTCATAATCGTCGGCCGTAACAAAACCGCAGCGGACGCCCTCATCGCCTCCCTTCCCTCCCCGGCAAATACTCTGTCCTCCTTCCTCCCCTGCGAAGCCAGCCTCATGCGCAACATCGATGCCGCCTGCGCGCAGCTCGTCAAGCGCGACGTCGACAAGATCAACTACCTCGTGCTCAGCGTCGGCGAGTTCGTGGGCTTCTCGCACGAGGAAACTGAGGAAGGGGTGGACAAGAATTATGCAGCGTTGTTCTTCGGGCGGTTTCGGTGGATACGGAACTTGGCGCCTGCGCTGGACCGCGCGGCGGCGATGGGGGAGGAGGCGAAGGTCATGTCGGTTGCGCGCGCTGGGAAGGGTGGCCCTGTGGACTGGGATGATCTCGACGGTAGGAAGTCCCTGCGGCAGCAGCGATTGAGCGCCCCAACATATCAGGATCTCATGCTACAGGTCAGTTTCTCATGACAATGATGTTATCTTCACTTTGCGCTGACTTGCTATCGCAGGGCTTTGCGAAACGACATCCCAAGATCGCATTCACGCATTCGTACCCCGGGCTGGTGTGGTCGCCGCTGTTCAGACGGTCACCGTCCCTCGCCGTTAGGCTCCTGGCCTATCTACTCTTTCCGCTCTTCTATCTCCTCTCGGTCTCTGAAGACCAATGCGGAGAGTACCTGATGTACGGACTCTATCGCAGTGCGGCCGGCTTCAGCTGCGTTGGCTAGAAAGGTGATGTTGTGCAGGGGTACCTGGGCACGGACGAGGAGATCGAGAAGATGTGGGACTACGCATGCAATAGGCCTGGCATCTCGTATAGCGCCTAAACATGTAATGTAACTCATAGAGTATCAAACTGGTGGTACCAAAGCAAGGGCCATTCAATAGCAGATTGAAATATTGATGTCCAAGTCTACAACACCCTGTACAACGCCAGCTGCCTGAATGCTGCCTCATACCTCGCCACCATTGACGGGAACGTCATGATTGGCTCCCTCGCCAACGCTATAAGGCCCGTCAGCACTGGCAGGATCACGCCCACTCCCGCCACAATCTGCCGCGTCCGCCGAGCCGGCCACCAGGCCCTCCAGCGCCCTCCCTTCACATAGACATTGTACAGAATTCCCACACCGTCGACGATATGCATCGCAACGGCCGCCGTGAGGCCCGCGTACAGCACGCTATTGAGCACCGGCCAGCGCGCGAGGCCTGTCTTCACAAACTCGTAGTCGAGCTCCGCGGGTCCGACTTCGAGGATGGGGGGCGCCTCGATGGTTGGGAGAACGCGATGCGTTCGGTAGTGTATGGTGAGGAAGGCAGCAGCGGCGATGCCAGAAAGAGTCAAAGCGCTGGTTGCCGGGCGAGGGGGGCGGTCGGCAGAAGAGAGGACGCGCTTGCCGATAGCGGACAGGCCGTGCGCGGCGAGAGGGCCGAGGACGAGCAGTTTCTCGCCCATGGCGGTCTGGTAGTACTCGCGCCCGAGAAGCTGCGTGCATGGTCAAGATGCGAGTTGGGTTATGCTTCCCGTCCGTCGTGCGCACCATGACATTGGAAGCAGTTGATGAGCCGCCGAAATTGGCTGATATGGGGGCCGCAAGATGTACGAGCAAGAAGGTCGCGATGAACGGGGACGTCACATGGATGACCCTCGTGAGGTACTTGATCGACGTGGAAGGCTTGCTCGACGGCGACGCGCCAGGAGTACCGTTGTCTGCATCCATTGTGATGGACAAAGTTGAACTTGCACTTGTGGGCGCGGAGGAAGACGAGCCACGTGCCGTCCCGCCAATGAGATGCGTTGCGTTTGAGTTGCCGGTGCCGAAGCGACGCGTCATTACCGCTTCCGGAAATCCCATTGTTTAAGTTTTTCACTGTTTGTGGCAACAGCCCGTGCTGTGAATTTTCAAGTCGAAATTGTTTGAGCTATATAGTAAGGTAGATCTGTGGTCTGTGCGTAACTTATTGGGAGCCTATGCATGTCGACACTCAGGACACCCAGCTAGTCTGTCAGTGAGATTACGATGTTCCAAGAATTTGACCGCATCCCAAAGCTAAAACTCCAACCTTTCACCGCCTCCTCCGCTTATGCCCCACCTGCGCGGCCACACCAGCGCCAAACGCCCTGTCCCGCAATGCGTCCGCCGCCGCTTGCTGGCGAATCTGCGCCGCTAACTGGCGAGCCTCCGCCGCTTGTTGACGCGCCTGTGCCAGTTGGTGACGGGCAAGCGCTTGATGACGGTTTTGCATCTGTTGCGCCACAGCCCGCGCATGCATTTGTTGCGCCAATGCGTCCGCGCGTATTTGCTGCACCATGGCATCTGCGCGCGCTTCCTGCGCCAAGGCGTCCGCCCGCGCTTGTCGAGCAAAAGCGTCTGCGCGCGCTTGCTGTGCCACGGCTGCTGGACCCGCGCCCTGCGCCGGATACGCAGGTCCGGCCAACATATATCCAAGCATGTCCGCTTCGCCCCACATCGGCTGGGGCTGCACGGGCGCTGGCGGCGGCAGACCCAAGCCGAAGCCCGCCATCCCCGGAAGTTGGTGACCAGGAAGGTAAGCAGCGTGCCCGCGCGGGGCGGGAAAGATGGGCGGCTGCACCGGCGGCGCCTTCGGGACGTCGACCTTGATGTCCTCGGGGCGCGCGTCGGGGTTGTTCTTCTTGTACTCCTCCAGCGCGCGTTTGGCAGCTTCGCCGACCTGTGACGTACGATGAGCATTCCTTGACTCGCAATACGTAGCGATCCCAGAACATATCGGACCGCATCTGCGCGGATTCTGCGCACTCACCTCCTCCGCATGCCGACGCTCGACGGGACCATCCCACAGAGGGCACTTCTTCGACGTGCTGGCAGTCCCGGGCGCCGCTTGATTAAAGTGGTCGTAGCCGGCGATGACCTTGCGGCAGATGTAGCACGACAAGGTGCGGCAGTTCGTGCAGACGATCTTGTTGCACTGCAGATTGTGTTAGTCGAGTGAAATGGTTGGCGATGCTCCTGACGCACCCCATCGTCCTTGATGAAGGCTGGTGTGCGTTTGGTAAGCCAAAGACAGTGAAGGTAGATGTCAGCCACTCACGCTTTCCACACTGGGCGTTGGGGCAGTTGCGCACGAGAGCCTTGGCTGCGAGAGGGTTGGTAACGGAATTGACGGTCATCACGGAGCTACGCACACATCGCCTCCTCTACTAGATGCTGACTGTCGAGCTTCTTGTCCTCTTCCATCTCTGCGAAAACTTGGTGAGCAACGAGGACGAGGATGAGATATGAGTTATATGCTCACCCTGACATGTCTTCGGGAGATGGTCCTGGAAAGTGGAAGGTCAGCACTGGATGCTTATGGTAGGCGAAATCACGCTCACCAGCTTCTTGCAATTCCGGCAACTAACCGCACCGCAATCCTCCACATTCCCGCACCGGAACAGCTTCTCGTCCGGATTGTCTATGACGACCTTATAGTCGCAAAACGGGCACTCTTCCAACCCATCCAGCCCCGCCTGCTCGATTTCCTTCCGCTGCTTGACGCGGTCGTACAGGTTCATGAGCTTCTCCGGCAGGAAGCGGCGCAATTCGGACTCGGGGAAGAGCTCCTTGCACCCGCTCTGGTCCATGCAGCTGATCTTGACGTCGTGCGAGCCGAGCTTGGTCTCCGCGTAGCTGAGCATGCAATCCTTGCAGAAGAGGTGCGCGTCGGGGCATTGGATCATTTTGAACTGGGACAACGATCAGTGGTAGAACATGACACGGGAAGAGCGTACTTACGAAAGGATACGATGTGAAGCAGCAGCCACACTCGATGACCTCGCCGCTTTCCTCGGCCTGCTTCTCGATCAGCTCTTCCGCGAGTTCGGCGTCCCGCTTCTGCTGCTCTTCCCGCCGGATGCGCAGGATGTACGCGCGCTCCTGCTCGAAGTCGGCGTCGAAGCGCTCCGGCGTCTTGCCTTTGCCCGGGCGGTACGGGTTGGACTTGCGCGTGTAGGGCGGATTCGGCTGCTTGGCCTCCTCGGCGAGCGCGAGGTACGCGGGCGCATACAGAAAGTGGCACCGATTGAACCACGAGCGTATGTGCGGCTTGGGAATGTAAGGAAAGTCCTGCTGCAGATGCTCCATCGCCAGGTCGTAGTAGTACGGCCCCGTCGGCACGTCGCGCGAGATGCTCGCGTAGTCGACTCCCTTCGCCTTCTTGCTCCCCCGCCGCTCCGCCTCGTCGTCCGCGTCGGTGCGCTTCCGCTTGCCCTTGGGGTCGACCTTCGGGTACGACTTGTCCTCGAAGAGGATGTGGAGGACGGCCTCGAGCGTCTGTCCCTTGTACTGCGCGTAGTGGCGCTCGACGAGCTCGTGGACGTGCGCGGGCTCGACGTCGGGGATGATCTCGAGGACCTGCGCGACTTGCGCGGACATGACCTCCTGCGGGTCGGGGGTGACTGGGCGTGGTTGATCGAGGGTGGGTGGAGGGGTGGGGGTGGCGCGAAGCGGAGGGGTGATCGGCGCGCGCTGAGGGCTCGACGGCGGCTCGTTCTCCTCCTCGCCTGGGAGGAATAAGGGTGTTGTCGCGCGCCCTTTGCCTTTGTCGCTAGGCCCGGCAATGTTGTCGGATGACTCCTGCGCGTGCGTGTGGCGAAGGGGGCGCGGTCGTTTCCCGGTGCGCGCTAGGTGTTTCGATCGTTTGCGAGGACGCGGCGGCGGCGTAAGGAGCACGTCGTCCTCGTCGTCAGAATCTGCTATTATGATTGGTTGGGCTACCTTTGCGCCGCCTCTGATGGGCACGTCCTCGGGTTCTGGGGACGAGATGATGTCGATGACTGGCCCTGGCATTGTGTGACTTCGCTGGTGGGCAGTGAAGGTATCAGCTGAAAGGCACTTCCTGTCGGCGCGCGCGAGTGGAGCAACGGAATGCGTGGTGGTATTCACTGTCGTCGCCGTGTGGAAGAAAGAACGAACAAAGCAGCCGCCACTCTGAATCGGTCCCGAACGTGATCGTGTAGGACACGTGCGGTGCACGTTTGCGCCCAAGTTCCGAAGCCGAGGGTATCTCTGTATAAATCCGCTGGCGTATGCTACTGAGTCGAGGGCGAGAGGGCAGATGACGAGGAGAAGAGCAGGCTTCGAGCACGCTGGAAAACGTCTACTAACTTGGTACTGTTAGGGTCGGGCCGGTAAGCCGGTGACATTCAGTCAATGAAGCACTAAGTAGCAGCGCTTGGGTGCAGCCTCTCGAGCAAGCATGGAAGCTGCCTTGACCTCCTCACTGCCGAAATAATGGACCACCGCCCTCAGTATATTTCATTTAACCAAATTTATTTCCCTCCATCCTGTAAGTTGAAAGATCAACTGGTACTGACCTGGACTGGACTCGAGGAGATTCGATAGCGTATCCGGGACAGGAGGATGTGTTACAACCCAAGATACAGAAGGCTCGCGAAGCGTCATGAATGAGTCGTAAGTTGGGAGAGACGCAAGAAGGAGCGACATGAGTTTGGGTGAAGAAGGGTGGCAGGATGCGAAAGGGCGCAGTTTGCAGAAGGCTTGAGCAAAGTCATGATGCATGATCTTACCGTAGACCGTGGAAAGATATGGACGGCGTTTGTCGTCGAGGACGGCTGCTAGCCATGAGGGGGCGCGGCGATCGTTGTCTGCGTGCACGACTCGGCCAAGTTGATTCGCCGATCAAAAATAGGCGCAGCGCGGCCTGCCCGAGCAGCGGTTCCGAACCACATCCCACAGTGCTATGAAGAGTTCAGCTTTCTGTCAGATATGCAGAGGAATGATTGAATGAACGGAAGGACCAAGCAATTTTTCGCGAAGGACGGGTAGAGGGACTCAGATAGGACTCTGGGAAGGGATATGAGTTCCGCGTGCTCTATCCTGTTGTGCCGGGCCCACAGACGCATGTCGTCTGCAGAGAGCACCCGCTGTGCGATGGTGTCCGGGATATCTGCGGCCTGAGTACTGCTTGCATTGCGTTTCTGAGTATTAGTGCGTTGCTGAGTATAAGTGTGTTGCTGAATGTCGGTGCGCTGTTCAGCGGCGCAGCTGGGACATGGGATTGGGAAGACCTTCACGTCTGCGCCGGCGCCGTGGCCGTCCCGTTGTGGATCGAGCTTTGCCATAATGTACGACGACAAGCAGGGGATGCAGAACGGGTGCTCGAAGGGGCAGGGCAGGCGCAGACCGAGGGGAAGCGCGGCGAAGGTGTTGGCGGACGCAGAACCAGGGATGGAGAGTTGGTGATACCTACATCATCGAAGCAGATGCCGCAAATCATGCCCGACGAAGCTAATGCACAGAATGCCGATGCGATTAGAGTGAGTTGTTGAGGAAAAACTGCGCCACGTACACTGTCCTGTCTCAAGTCCATAACTTTCGTCGATATCGTTTCGGAAGCCGACTCTTCGGATGCGACGAGGAAGAGGCAGAAACACGAAGGAGCCCGTTGGCCTCCAGAGAGCTTATGACGGAGAACCGACTAGAACGAGACAAGGACCATCCGACGCTTCACGATATGGACCAGCAAATTCCGTCATTTCGCGTAAGGAAGGCCTTGAGTGCCAGCTTTGGGAAGAAAAGCAGGGAGCAGAGCAGTGCGTCGAGGGTATCAACCATGACCATCCGTGGGACACGCACAGTGAGAGGCTTGAAGTTCACTTGCTAGTTTCGCGTGGAAGTTAGGGCTTGAGCGTCGTGCGAGTTCGAGAAGCCGCGTCGTAGGAATGAAAGCGGACTTCGTCCCCATTGTCGCCTTAGACGTAGAGTATATCTTCCCATGGGTCTCTAGTTGTGACAAAGGCAGACTCCCCTAGGGAATCACAATCTACATATTCGGTGGTCTGGGTGTAGAGAGCAAGGGATCTGGGCGAGCACTGATGAATGCGCGTTTTCGAGATTTCAGATGATATCCTGGCTGGAGCGGGGCGAGTTATTCACCTCTGACTCCCAAGTCTGCAGTTTCAACGAGAATTTCCCAAGTCGCACTCTGTTTTGAGAGTGAGTCGTTCAACATCAAGAGCTTGATGGAGCAGCGCAAGTCCGCGAATGGGCTCGAGTGAGTCTGGGTTAAGGTTCGGCGCGGATCCCGCGTGATTTCGGATTTTACCGGGTTTACCGATCACGTTTTCCGTCGGGGCCGACGGCTCGTGGCAATCGTTGCCGAACGGAGGTAAATGTCTGGCGCTATCTCCCCGACTCCCCGCATCATACCCCATCCTACCCCGCGCACACACGTACACACTGACATTGTTCCTCGCCGGCAGCTTTTCATCGGGAAACAGGCGTGGTGAGCTGCCAAGCGCCGTCCGATTGCTCGTAATTCTCCGCATTTCTGCAAAACTGTCGGCCCGCAGGAGGGCACGAACCTGGACGAACGTCCTGGTCAGCCCAGTGCTCTGCTCAGATGACGGCCGAAATTCAAAGCGGCAGATCGGTTCTTTGCACGTCGGTCTGCGGAACTGTCAGTGCACATCTGGACGACGTCTTGCGTATGTCGCCACCAGCTCTGGCCACGGCCCGGCCAAGGAACTTTGTACTATAAAACGTGGGGGACAATCGCCCCACAGTCGCGCTCGAGCATTCCCCTCGTCAAAGTCATAGCAATGCGTGTGGCGTCTTCATTGCTCGCCCTCCTCTCGCTCGCAGGAGGAGCTCTCGCCTCCGACGCGTCAAGTCAAAACTCCAGCGCCGTTCCGTGGAGCCATCTCTCCATCTCCCCTGAAGGGCGGTACCTGTACCGTACCAGCAGCGGCGAGCCCTTCTTCTGGCAGGCGGACACGGCGTGGGAGCTCTTCCACCGCCTGAATCGCACGGACATCGACGACTATCTCCGCGACCGCGCCAGCAAGGGCTTCAACGTCGTTCAAGCCGTCGTCCTCTCCGAGCTCAACGGCACCACCTTCCCCAACTTCTATGGCGACCTCGCACTGCACGACGGCGACCCGACGCAGCCCAATGAGGCGTACTTTGAGCACGTCGACTGGACGGTCCGCCGCGCCGCCGACTATGGCATCCTCATCGCCCTCGTGCCCACTTGGGGGCGCTGGGTCAACTGCGGCTGGCATAACGGGACCATCATCTTCAACGAGACGTCCGCTGAAACGTACGGTCGCTTCATCGGCGAGCGATACCCTGGCTTGCCCAAGATCATCGGCGCGGACTCGAACGGTTTCTGGGCATGCAACGCGTCCGTCGCGCAGGACGCCTTCAGAAAGGACCCGAGCCTCGATCCGACGACCCTGCTGGGCCCCGTCACCGACACCCGCGCGGTGTGGGCACGCATGGCTGACGGTTTTGCGGCGAGCGAGTCCGAAGCTGGCTTCACGCCCTTCGTGACCTGGCACCCGACCAACATGTGGGTTTCGATTCCCGAGACCAGCCTCCCGTACGGCCATAACGTGAGTAGCCTCGCACCTAACCCGCCGCCGGCGCACAGCTGACCGATCATGCCCCTCGCAGTACTTGAACGGCTCCCTCGGCACGCTCTCCATGGACGCCATCCAATCCGGGCACAACATCTACGACAACAGCACCGTCGACACGTACTTCACCGCTCTCAGCGGCTGGAACAGCACCACCAACTACGAGCTCATCACCAACATGCGCGCCGAGTTCGACGGCCCCGTCATCGACCTCGAGAACCACTACGAGGGCGCGTACGTCGGCTTCAACACGTCCCGCCCGCTGTGGAACGCCTCGCACGTGCGGCACGGGTTCTACAACGCGTACCTCAGCGGCTCCGCGGGCTTCACGTACGGCGCGAACGCGATCTGGCAGATGTACGCGCCGAAGGAGCAGCTCGCGCGCGAGGAGCTGTACTACCCGCCGATCATCGAGCAGCCGGCGAACGAGTCGTGGCGGGATGCGCTCGCGTATCCGGGCGCGACACAATCGGGATATGTGAAGCGTCTGTTCGCGGGGCTCACGAAGGAGGATCTGGAGAGCATGAGCCCGAACCGCACCTTCATTCTTTCGCCTGACGGCGGTGAGGATGTTCTGCAGTTCGAAGCGAACCGATACGTCGCAGGCCTGGCGGCGGCGTCGCAGTACTGGGTATACACCGGATACGGCGATGCGTTCGACCTGGACCTTGACGCGCTGGCGGGACACTTCAACGCGTCGAACGCCTCTGCGATCGTGCGCTGGTGGGATCCTCGGGAGGGCGTCTATCTGAACGAGACGAGCGCGGCGCCGGTGATCAGCCTGTCCGGAAGGCAGACATTTGTACCGCCTACTAGCGGGAGCGTAGATGACGATTGGGTATTGCATGTCAAGGCCGCATAGCGCGGCCTACTTTTGCGCTAGTTTGGCTCCTCATCATATCTTCTACAATGACTGAACGACCTCACGTTTCCGTCACGTATTCAATGTTGTAACAGTAGCAGTTACTTAGCATATAGCTCTTCATACAACTTGTGCACATTCATCTTCTGACAACACAAATCTGACTGCCATCAGCCAAAGAACCACCTCCAATCAAGACATCACGCATCACGACCGAGCCGGCGGAGGTCTATTGTTCCCAATGAGGAAAGCTTTGTTTGTGCATCCAAACAATATACGATAACCACCCCGAATTGATTGCCGATATATCCATATCGAACGTTCGAAGCGCATGCAAAAAACATCGGTGCGTCGTTCAAGACATAACATTTCAAGTCGTATAGTCCATGTATTGTTCGTCAGTAGTAGAAGACCGAGGACTACACGCTCGCCCATCTTCACTGGTTCTGGAACTGATTGACATGCCTCCCAAACCGCGCAGGCGCTGCATCCAAGTGACGCTCAAAGTCCTCGTTCCGACGGAAGAAGCGACCGCAGCATGCATAGACGGGGTGCCGGTTGACGTGCTCGAGGTGGTAGCGCAGGTCGGCGAGCGAGTTGAGCATGGCATCGCAGTACCCGCAGCGCAGGTCGCGCACCATATTCGTGGTGAACCAGTGGCGCGTGCAGAGGAGTTCTGGGCGAGGTTGAGTGGGGGATGATATAGGGTGGGAAAAAGCAACGCACGAGGATCCTCCGTCATCCACTCCAAACTACCCGCTCGGTAGCCTGGCGGTGGCGTCGGTGTACGGTGTTGGAACTGCACTCCGCCAAACACGCCTGGGGCCATCGCGGGCGCTGCTGGCTCGGCCTGCCAGGGCCATCTGCGTGGTTGCCATCCCCCGTCGAAAGGATTGTGCGCTTCTTCATCCGAGTCATCGTCCGACGAATCCTCTTGCTGAAGTTGCACGACTGGTTGCGGCTGCACGACACGCTGTGGTTGGGCGGGCTGCGGCCGGTTCGCATTGCCCCCTGCACGAGCCTGCCGCTGGCGTTCCATCTCGTCCAACAGCATATTTTCGTCCCAAAGGTCGCATGGCGGGTTGCGCGTGCACTGGCCGGGCTCGCGTCCGCGGCCCTTCTTCCATAAGGCTGGGGAAGGGGGTCGTCAGTTACATAGATAATCATCCGCGAGGGTAGAAAAATACTGACATCCGCATCTGAAGCAGAAGTGCGTCCCACAACGGCAGATCATGTGGTTGCAACCGACGGTGAGCTCGACAATGACCTATTGAGGAGGTCTGTAAGGGTATGTTGGATGGGCGACAGAGTGTCGTACCATGCACTCTGGGCAGCGCCGCCAGGATTGAGCCTGTTCGTTTCGTCAGTGGGTACAAGCCGGCCTCTGGAGTTCGCTACTTACGCGAGCGAGCTCAAGTAACGCCCGATCCTCGGGATCTCGTTCATCGGGAGGTAAGGCCTGCGCTGTTGCTTAGCTTGATTGCCATCAACATGCCCTAGAATCTCACTTGGAACTCTTCGCAACTCAGATCTGGAGTTCGTGGATCAGAGAGCCAGCATATATGCAGCAAGAGGTCAGCAAAGCGTACCTTGATGCCATGCTACTCTGCACGGCACACACATCGCCTGCATACATGACGGGCATTCCGCCCTCGGCTGGTCAGGATCCTCGTGCGCTTGAACAAGCGCCGAGCACTGTTTGTTCGGGCAGTATAGCTTCGGCAGCGAGTCCAACAACCGCTGCGTGTGCCACATGACCATGCCCTTCTCACTGAGTACGCGCTGCGCAACGTCGTCGGTGATCCCGGAAGGCCATTCCTCGGGACTGCACTCGGGGCAGCGGATGGGGAAGACGATGGCGCTGGGGCCAGCGCCTGTGCCATCGCCGCTGGGATCGAGCTTCGACTTGATGTGCGAGGAGAGGCAGTCGATGCAGTAAAGGTGTCCGCTGGGGCAGGGGAGTCGGAGGCCAAAGGGAAGCTTGGAGGAGCTGTTGGCGGAGGCGGCGGCCTTGATGGGGGAGTGGGTGAGCTGGAAGACGTCGAGGCAGATGCCACATTTGGGCGCGCCGTTGGGGATGTCGACGATGTCTGGAAGATAGTAAAGCCTTCGTGGAAGTGCGACGACACGGGCACGAACCTTGCATCTCCCTCTTGACTTCAGGAGCCTTTCCCTTCGCCTTTCCCTTGCCCTTGTCATTGGGATCTTCGGACTACGCGCGTGCACTGATGAAGACACCCTCTGATGCTTCGAAGATGATAACCACTGACCATGATCCTCTCTATCTCATCGCGCGATAGCATTCTAAGTACATGAGATCTAGACTCGGGCTTAGATCGAGGACACTCACCCTTCGGCGTCCACATTCATGTTGATGTCTTCGCTATCGTCCGCCTGCAAGCGTCTTGCGAACGCGGCGTCAAGGGCTGCCTTTCTCTCAGCAGCTGCGACCTTCTGGGCATACTGAAAGTCGCCCGCCGCCGCTGCCTCTTGGGTTGCATGTAGACTTTCTGCGTATGCCGCGTCGGCGCTCGCGGTCTGTTCAGCCAAGTATAGTTCAAGAGCGATCTCGGAGTCGCTGGGACTGGGTGCGTTGCGAGTGTACGTGTTCTTAGGGATGCGTCCGGCCGCAAGCTGGGAAGCTGCCGTCGCTAAATCGAGTTGCAGACGTTCTGCCTCGCGCGCTGAACGCAAATTCTCGAGGTCTTGCTCAAGAAGGCGAGCGATGAGGAGCTCGCTGGCCGCGTCGGCTGTGGCCATCGTCGTCAACGTTTGGGAAGAAGAGCGATTTCGTCGTTGTTATAGTTAGGGATAAGCAAAGTGAGGTAAGTACGTAAACACATGTATATTGTACATGGGTCTGGGGAGGAGAACGATAGCGGGAAGGTATCTCCCAGGCTGTCTGGAATTGCGATTTCTTGAAGCCTGTTTGAGTTCCGCGGAAATCGTTAATCCGCAGAGGCTGAAAAGTGATCGGATGCTTGAACTCACGGAACTCCAGCGATTAGAACCTGCAGAAGACTCCCTGGCAATTGTGGGTATCTACAGGGGGCAGAGAGCCTCGTTTGCGAGTAGATCAAGCCAACACCATCTACTAGACACGTCTCTGGACCAATGATGAGAAACAAAACACGCCGGCATCTGCCATTGTTCTTGCCGTTGCGCTCTTGCGCGGATTTATTCCCAACTCGTAACATAGTCCCTTTAATCCTTGCTGCATCTCCGTGCAGTCCAGTCTGTATGCCTACTTGTAAGTGATAGGGAAGAGGGCGAGGGAGCGGCTGCGCGCTTACGGGCAGCGGCATTGTCATCGGCAACGCCCGACATAGGGCCCGACATAACTTGATTCTTACCATCATGAGCGCGGCCGTTGCACGCTCACCGCCGCCGTCTACGACAGCGGCAAACTTCTCCTCCATGCCGGGAGCACGCAGTGCATCCTCAGCGCTCCAAGCAGCACGCTCCGCTTCGCCTCCTCCATCGCACTCCAACCGGAGCTCAGCTTTCTCCTCCTCCGCGGCCAGCTTCCAGACAGCCGCCGACACCAGGTCGAGCAGCGCGAATACCCCCAGAGACGAATCACCCAACACCAGCCCAAACACCGACACCACCGACGTCAACCCCCTCCACACAATGGCGCAACAGCAGCAACAAGTCCACATCCTCAAGGTCAAGGGCGACGTCGTTCAGCTCGGCACCTCGCCTCCGGACTCGCTACTGCAGACCGTCGGAGACCGGCTGAAGCTCACGTCGCGCTCGAACACGCCGCCTAGCGGAGAGGAAGCGCCGAAGAAGATGCCATTGACGGAAAAGGCCTCGCGCGTCGCGACTACTATCGGCAACGCCACGACGAAGCCCATACTCGAAAAGTCCATCTCCCGCAAGCCCGGCGGCTCCAGCGAGCCACAGCCAGCGGCGGAGGAGAACGGCGTGATAAACGACGAGCCGATGACCATAGGCGCGGACGGTCATCGCCGCAGTACTTCCGGCTCATCCGCCGCGACGTTCAAGCCCGCACAGCAGCCCTCATCCCCTCCCACCGCCTTCTCTACCCTGCAGCGCGCCAGTACATCTGCCGATGCTCGCCCAAACCCTACCAAAGCTCGTCCGCATTCGGTCCAGGAAACTGCTTCGCAATCGACCTCTGCCATCTCAAAGCAGAAGCCCCAGGTAGCACCGACGGGCTCCTTACTCGCTCCCCCAACGGCGCATTCGCGACGGCCCGCGAGACGAAACACCACGGGCTCGGCACAGCGCCCGCGTTTCCCCCCGCAGGCGCAGACAACGACGCAGATCACCGCCGACAACGACCTCGCTGATGACATCCAGCTTCACGCAGAGCAGATACGGCGAGAGCGGATGAACAAGCGTGCGAAGCAGTCAGCCCAGCCTGACGAGAAGTTCTTGCTCAAAGAGCGCGACTTCAGCATCCCGCTGGCGAAGGGCAAGGAGAAGGAGCAGGACACTGGTGATGGAGAGGGCCCGCTCGTTGGCAACCTCATCGGCGAGGACCACGTCAACTACGTGCTCATGTACAACATGCTGACTGGCATTCGCATTGGTGTGCGTGGCGCGCCCCTTATCCTCGTGCTCAATGCTCATGCTACCGATAGGTTTCCCGCTGTCAAGCCAAGATGAAGCGCCCGCTGACCGACGAGGACTTCGCTGCTCAGCACAAGTACTCGTTCGACATGTACGTATCACGTGCCGGGTGCCTTTCGTACCTGACGTCTCCGCAGCGTCGGGAATGAACTGACGCCGTCTGTCCATTATGACTTCAAGTTCAAGGACTACGCACCCTGGGTCTTCCGCGAGCTGCGGGAGGAACACTTCCATTTGGACCCGGCCGACTACCTCCTGTCGCTCACCGCCAAGTACATCCTTTCCGAGCTCGGCTCCCCTGGCAAGAGCGGCTCGTTCTTCTACTTCTCGCGCGACTATCGGTTCATCATCAAGACCATCCGCCACGAGGAGCACAAGTTCCTGCGCTCTGTGCTGAAGGACTACGTCAATCACGTGCGGAATAACCCCCATACGCTCCTCAGTCGCTTCTATGGGCTGCACCGTGTCAAGATGCCCCACGGGCGCAAGATCCACTTCGTCATCATGAACAACCTCTTCCCCCCGCACCGTGACATTCACGAGACCTACGATCTGAAGGGAAGCACCGTTGGCCGGTACGCACCGGAGGACCCGCCTCCTGCGCCAGGCGAGCAGCCGAAGTCGAGCAAGGTCCTGAAGGATATCAACTGGATCAAGAAAGGCAGGAGGTTGGAGCTGGGTCCTGAGAAGCGAGCGCTCTTGACTGAGCAGCTCCGCCGGGACAAGGAGTTCCTGAAGAATATTCATGGGTAAGTGTGGCAGAACTTTACCGTTCCGAGGACTCACACGAATACAGTGAACGTGGCGGTAGCCATGGCGTCATGGACTACAGTTTGCTCGTCGGCATACACAGCATGGAGCGTGGCAACCGCGACCATGTGAGGCGGAAGACGTTGAAGGTCTTTGAGGTGCGTGGTCCTGCAATACCCAAGGAAGGATCGTGCTGATCGTACTTCAGCCTGAGTTGCGCGGACGACGCAACCACCAGGACCCCACCGAGGCGAGCGCCGTACGCCGCGCGATGCGCCAAAGTGACCCGAAGCAACTGCATGAGCACGAGCTCACACATAGACACCCCACGCACCATCGACGCACCTCGACGTCGTCAGCGAACGGGCCCGCGAGCCCCGTCTCCCAGGCCGCTCAACCCAAGGTTGTCACGATCGACGCGTCCGCGCAGCCGGGGCGCACGTCGACTTCCTCTGCTGCGGACGGCCCGTCGCTGATCGTCCCCAACCAGCAGCCCGTGCCCGAGAATGCGTCGCATGGCGCGCTAGGGCCGACGGACGATGTGCTTGAGGGCGCGTCCTTGGACCAGCTCTTCCAGGACCGCCAGCATTTCTTGTTCTATCAGGACGAGGGTGGTCTCCGCGCCACGGACGAGTACAACCTGCCGATGGACACGATTTACTACTTGGGCGTCATCGATATCCTCACGCCGTATGGCTGCACGAAGAAGGTCGAGCACTTCTGGAAGGGCTTGAAGGCGGATAGGGTGAGTCGAGTCGAACCTTGATGCCGGAAGTGGAAGACTAACGACGGCTGCAGCATAAAATCAGCCCGGTACCGCCTTCCGACTACGCCGAGCGATTCTTCTCGTTTATGAAGGCCATCATGCGCAACGGCGGCGACCCGGAAACCTTCCTGACGGGCAAGGACAAGGAGAAGAACCAATAGAGAATCTTCGCCTTTCACTCGTCAGGTAGCCCGCAGCATCTTGAGCACCGTTGAGGATACGTTCTCCGGTATGACGCCTCGCACGCTGCTTCAATGCTTTTTTGCCATCCCAACCTTCCCCTTACCTACATCATCGCATACTTCCCCTCACACGCATCTCCTCCCATCGCATCTCGCATCCTCTTCCCCCACCTATCGAAATTTGATAATTAATCCGCTTATTTATGGATATTTCATTCACAACACCCTCCATACTCACACACTCTATCCGCCTCCGCCCCTTTCGCCTTCTGTCTCTACACCCCGCGCTTGTATGTGCGCCCACGCTCCTTTGGTTGGACCCCCGCCTCTCGAGGCGCATCACGCTCGTTATTGTTCGTTTCTTCTGTCTGTGTATATTTGCCTGTTCTCGTTTTTTTCTACCTACTCGTCCCCCACTCGTGGCTGTTCGTCAGTCGGTCTCGTTTGCCCCCGGATCCTGTTATATTATCATTCTGCGCCATCTTGGACTTGTAGCATTGGTGGAATTCTTTCTCTGCATCCGGCTGGATGGCGGGCTGGCGGTGCTGGCCCGGGCTAGAGGTAGACTCGTCGTTCCACGACTGCAATAAAGGACTTTAAACACTGCATACCATGGTCTTGGGAATGTCGATGAGGACTGGAGAAGTTCTGATACTAGGAGGAGAAGACGGCCTGGGTTACAAGGTATCAATGCCCTTGCCAAACATCAACGAAGATCAACAAAGAAGATTCAGGGTCAACAACTGGGTTAGTTATGTAACACCACCTCCGTTCAGGCAACCGTTGCGTTCAAGGCAAAGGTCGTGCTGGCGGACTGTTGACCCCTACCGTAACCTCGTCTAAGCCTATATTGGCATGCCGTGCCCTGGGAGGGCGAATCTCGTCGTCTTCAAACAGCTCACTCGCAGATGTTCAGCCTTGCCACAACTATCTTTGTCTTCGTGCCGGAGCACGACTTTCACCGCAACACGTTCGCTCCCGAGCCCGCGTCGAGCCTTGTCTACAGCGGCGGAGTCCCAGAGAGAACTCTTTGAGTACACCTCAGGACGTTGGGTGTAAGTCACCCGCTCGTCGTCTCATTGGGGCCATCTCTGACTCGTTGTCCTTATTTCTCAGCTATAACGACGTGCTTCAACACAAGGAACGCGAGGCCATTTTTGATGTGGACGAGTTATGTCGCCTTGCGGCCGAGTCCGTGAACCAGCGCGCCACGGATGTCGCCAGCATCTCCAAGCTTGCTGAAGGCGGCTTCAACCGCGTTTTCCTCATCACCCTGCGCGACGGACAGCAGGTAGTCGCCCGGATCCCTTACCCTATGATCCCACCTCATTACTATGCGGTCGCAAGTGAGGTGGCTACTATCGAGTACCTGCGAATCTGCGGGATTCCTACTCCTAAGGTCTATGGGTATTCCGCGACCTCCGACAACGCTGCTGGGACTCCTTACATTTTGATGGAGTTCGTCCAGGGTACTATACTCAGTGACATCTGGCGCAGTCTAGAAGACCAAGATGTCATCTCCATCATCCGACAGCTCACTGAGCTCGAAGCGCGGATGATGTCGCTGTCGTTCCCCGCTGGAGGGGGTCTTTACTTCACTCGAGACCTCGAGAAGGTTGCGTCAGGGCTTGGTGTACCACTGGACGACGAGCGATTCAGCGTCGGGCCAGACACGAAGCTCGCGTTGTGGTATGGTAGAAGGAATCAGCTCGACGTGAATCGAGGACCATGTCTGTTGCTTTCTGCCCCCTGACGTCCTAACTCTGACTTTGTGACCACAGATCATAGCGCTGAAGAAACTCTTGCAAGGGCAGCGCACAAGGAAATTGCGTATCTGAAGCGGTTTGGGCAACCGCGCCTGCCCATGCGGCGTGAAATGCGACCAAGCTACAAGTTCCAGCCGCAGTCGCCACTGGAGCACATCGCTTATTTGGAGCGATACCTCAGCATCACGTCGTCGCTCGTACCCAAAGACCCTGCTCTCAGCCGTTTCTGCATTCGCCATCCAGACCTCCACCCGAACAACATCTTCGTGGAGCGATCACCAGCTGGCTACAAGGTCGTCAGCTTGTTCGACTGGCAGCACGCATCCATCTTGCCCATGTTTCTCCTCGCCGGCGTCCCACAGCGTTTGCAAAACTACGGAGACGGTGTTTCGCTGTCTACTATGTCGGCCCCCTCTCGACCGGACAACGCCGACGAGATGACCTCGGGCCAGGAGTACAACTTCCGTCGCCGCCTCGTCCACTATCACTATGTCGCCAACACGGAGAAGTGCAACCCGCTACACTACACCGCTTTCAACGACCCTTTGTACGCGCTCCGCGGCCGACTCTTCCAGTTTGCCGGCGCGCCATGGGAGGGCGAATCTTCCGACCTGAAGATCGCACTCATCGAGGCGATGGAGACGTGGGAGGAGCTTGCGGGAAAAGGCGTGTCGTGCCCTATCCAGTTCGACGAGGAAGACTTACGCAAGACGGAGGTGCTGGAGAAAGAGCTAGGTGAGGCCTGCCGAGGGTTCGAGCTCTTCCAGTCCTTCGCTGGTATCGGGGAAGAGGGCTGGGTGCCTTCTGACGATCAATACGAGTTTGCAAGGGACCTCATCAAGCGCTTTAAGGAAGATGCGTTGGCGGATTGTCAGTCAGAGGAGGAGCGGAACGAGGTCATGAACCACTGGCCATGGGACGACATGGACGAGGACGAGTATATGTAGCGTCATGTGCTAGATATTGACTGTCTGAAGGACTAGATACTGCTCTAATTGGGAACCCGTGAAGGTCATCGAGACGGACATGGCGAAGGGCCAGGCTCGTGCCCCAGGAACGGCACAGCCACTAATTAGGTGCATTGTCCAAATGCGGAAGTCTTTGTCTTGGACCTTCGTTTTACTTCCTGCCCGAATTCCCGATGTAAACTTTGTGCTGCCGAGGTGATAGAGGCAGAGGAATATCTGAGTCTAACTTTGCTCTACATCCACGTTCCCTCCCTGTTTAAGGCCAAGTGTTCTGAGAAACAGATACATTCACCTCGACCATCTCTAGCACTCATTAAAGACACTCTTGTACTTCATTGGCGATCTGGGACCACTCAAGCGTATTCTACGGTCTGACTCGCTTAGTAGAACCGCTTGCGGTCAGTCCACGTCAATAACGAGTGCCACGAGTCAGTTTGACTGCCATCTAGCCCTATATACATTGCGGGTGGATGTTCCACGTCTTTCTTCCTCACCCACCTTCAAGAACGTGTTTTTCTTTGCACAAGCCACGTACGCTGGCACCGGTAATGGTCGAAGAGCCCTCTGCCCACTCGTCGGCGATGCTACACCGGGTCTCCCGGGGATTTCCGAGAAGGAACATACGTCCGCGGACGCTGCGCGCGCCACCTTCGCAGCTCAAACGCCCAACCTTGCACTCATGTCGCAATAGACGCGCCCCTTCCGGAGCCCCCACCAGCGCCCGCGGTCGTGCGCAGTGCCTGCAGGCCATCGCACCTCAAAGGCGGCAAGGGACGCGCTGCGCTCGCGGCCCGACCGGTGACGGCGTTACGTCGCCCATCAATCCGTTATATACCCTCGATTCGGGGCTCTGCCCCTTGGCTTCCCCCACTCCCCGCACGGCTGCCTCGTCGCGAACCCCCCTTTACGGCTTGCTGAGTCTCATCTTACCCGTCGCAATCGACGTACCACCACCACACTAGAGCGTTCCCCCGCCACCGCTCGTGAATCGCATACCCACATCGAGTCTGACTCGTCCCCCAATTGCAATGACGGACAGTGGCCATGCTGATATCCACCTGCTTGACGGACTAGACGACATGGCTCTCTTAACATTTGAACAAACGCAAGAGGCGGGGGTAATGTAAGGCTTGCGCTGCTGCCTTCGCTGAAGTCCTAGCTGACGATGACTCCAGCGATCGCGCGTGCGGGACTCCCACCACGGATACCATGTCACTCTTCACACCCCTGCAAATGGATCTGAAAGCACTCCCTCGCCTCGAGACAGACACCCCACGCGATGGGCAGCTTCCCCCATCGCTCAGCATCGCGCCCGACGCTACTGGTGTCGATGTCGTCCGGTCCCCCATGCTCGGCGAGCCGCAGTGCCCCGGCGCCCCCCTCATCACTGACATGGACTCGTTCGGGGACGGGTCTGAGGAAGGGGACTTCGCTGACCTGGTTTCCCTCGCCGCGTCGAAGATGAGCGAGTCCGACCGCGCCGTAACACAATCTAACGTACACCTCATCCCCCATCACGATGTCGTCCGCCGCATTCAGGAGTGGCAGTCCGAGGTAGAGCCCGAGGACATCGTTGTTGAGCCGCAGGAGCGCGCGGGCGGGCCATGGCCGGCTAAGCGCCCGCGATCCGTGGACTCCGGCGACGAGGAGGTCCCCCGGACGCGTCCGCGTATCCCCAAGGCGGCACCGCGGTCCGTCGTGCAGTTCTGCGCCCCCCCGGGCGAGGAGGGCGTCGAGGACGAGTGTCAGGCAGAGGCGCCGGACTGACGCTGACGCGCGCGAGGCTGTCGCCCACCCCGCCGTCATCGTCAGACCCGTCACACGAAGCAGAGTCGTCGGACACCCACTCGCAGAGCCATGCGCTCATCCCCCTCCGCTCTCCCGGACGTCGGCCCAGCGCCGCGCTTCTAGCGCCGTCGTCCCGAAAGACTACGCCGCCGCCTCTGCGCGCGCGTAATGTCGACTTGATATATTTATGACACCGGTGCGGCCATGATGAGCGACCTCTGCTCGGCCTGCAGTCCGCGTCCCGTGGATCGCTAATGCGCACGGTTCCCAGCACAGCACAATCATCGACTTTTCTATCAGTGTCCTCTCTCCTGGCTGTACTCTCCGTCGTACACGCTACGCAATGAACGCCCCGTCGAATTTATACCTCTTTATCTTGTAATATTCTTTACACGCCGAATCAAACACGTTTCACCGCCTGTATGCCTGGCTAGAAGTTTGGGTAGTTTACAAGGATATTTGGTCTCAAAGCGAGACGAGAGTTCGGGAGAAAACACGAACCGTGACGGAAGCATGTGTGCGCATGTATGCATGTATTTACGCCGGCGCGTCGTGGAGGACACGTAAACAAGCGGTGGGCCTTGTTCTGCGATACACTTCTCCACCAAATTCAGGCTGCTGGACGCTTGCCTCCGCCCATCATGATGAACTTCGAGGATGTGGAAGACAGAGATGGTGAGCAGTCTGCCAAAATTCGCAGCGAAAGCTAAAGTCTGGCAGGCGTCCGGCTTTCCTGGAATGTATGGCCTTCGTCGCGGATAGAGGCGACGAGGACGGTGGTCCCGATATCGGCGCTCTACACGCCTTTGAAGATCAGGGAGGATCTGCCGCCCGTGCTGTACGAGCCGGTCGCATGCAAGCCCCCCTGCCGCGCAATCCTGAACCCATACTGGTGCGTGCTAAGCTCGCGCATATATGCTCGCCCTGACACCCCTGCAGCCAGATTGACATCCGCGGAAAGCTGTGGATATGTCCGTTCTGTCTATCACGAAACGCTTTCCCGCCGCACTACAAGGACATCTCCAGCACGAACTTGCCTGCGGAGCTCCTTCCCAAGTACACGACTATCGAATACACGCTCGCCCGCCCCGCGCAGGTCCCTCCGATCTTCCTCTTTGTGGTCGACACTTGCTTGGACGATGACGATCTCAAGGCATTGCGTGACGCGCTTGTCGTGAGCTTGAGCTTGATCCCGCCCTATGCGCTTGTTGGGCTCATCACCTTCGGGACGATGGTGCGTCAGCGTACTTCTCATGCACAACCTGAGTCTGACATACGTGAAGACCCAAGTTCACGAGATCGGGTACCCAGACTGCAGCAAGTCATACGTCTTCCGTGGTGGAAAAGAGTACCAGCCCAAGCAGATCCAGGACATGCTCGGGCTCAGTGGCCAATCGCGCGCAGCTCCGCGCCCAGGACAGCCGCTTCCCCAGACTGCCTACGGCGCCGCTCGCTTCCTCATGCCGGTGCAGCAGTGCGAGTTCCAGCTCACTGGAATCCTCGAGTCGCTCCAGCGCGATCCCTGGCCCGTCGCGAACGATAAGCGTGCCCTGCGTTGCACTGGTGTTGCCTTGAGCGTTGCTGTCGGGTTGCTCGAGACGACCTTCCCCAACACTGGCGCCCGCATCATGCTATTCGCGGGTGGCCCTGCCACGGAGGGACCCGGCATGGTTGTGAGCAGCGAGCTGAAGGAGCCAATCCGATCCCACCATGACATCGAACGCGATAGTGCTAAGCACTTCAAGCGGGCGAACAAGGTGTGTGGCATATATCCGCCGCTTGATCACTCATAACACTCGTTGCAGTTCTACGAGGGATTGGCGAAGCGGGCATCGAACAACGGTCACGTCATCGACTTGTTCGCCGGCTGTCTTGACCAAGTCGGCTTGCTTGAGATGAAGTCTATGCCCAACTCGACGAACGGTGTCATCGTGCTCTCCGACTCTTTCGCCACGTCGATCTTCAAGCAGAGCTTCCTTCGCATATTCAACAAGGACGAGCAAGGCCACTTGCAAATGGGCTTCAATGCTACGTTCGATGTGCAGGTACGCCCGTAGTAAGTGCTGGTAGTCTACAGCGCCTGATCATCCTCAGACTACCAAAGAGCTGAAGGTGTCCGGCCTCATCGGCCACGCAATTTCTGCTGGCAAGAAGTCTGCTTGCGTCGGTGAGACGGAGATTGGCATCAGCCAAACGTCTGCCTGGAAAATCAACACCCTCACGCCGCGAACATCCGAGGCTATCTACTTCGAGGTCGTCACGCCGGCAGGGCAACCCCTTCAACCCGGCTCTCGCGGCCTCATCCAATTCGTCACGCACTACCAGCACGCTTCAGGCCAGATGCGGTTGCGCGTCACGACCATTGCCCGCAACTTCGCGGAGGCCGGCTCGCCCAGCATTGCGGCGTCGTTCGACCAGGAGGCGGCTGCAGTACTCATGGCGCGGATCGCTGTCTTCAAGTCCGAAATCGACGACGCGCCGGATGTGTTGAGATGGTTGGACCGCATGCTCATTCGCCTGTGCCAGAAGTTCGCGGATTATCGCAAGGAGGACCCAACGAGCTTCCGATTGTCGGACAACTTCAGCATCTACCCGCAGTTCATGTTCCATCTTCGTCGTAGTCAGTTCCTGCAGGTGTTCAACAACAGTCCGGATGAGACGGCATTCTACAGGTGCGTGCAAGCGAGGGACCTGTGTCTTCGTACCGCTAATATCATGTAGACATGTGCTCAACGAGGAGGACGTGAACAACTCCCTGATCATGATCCAGCCTACGCTCATGTCGTATACTTTCGACACGCCACCGCAGCCGGTGCTCCTCGACAGTGTCTCGATCAAGCCGGACGTCATCCTCCTGCTCGATACGTTCTTCCACATCCTCATCTTCCACGGCGAGCAAGTCGCGCAGTGGCGGAAGGCGGGGTACCAGGAGCAGGAAGGCTACGAGAACTTCAAGGAGCTGCTGGAGGCGCCCGTCGCGGACTCGCAGGAGCTGCTGGCGGACCGCTTCCCGATCCCACGGTACATCGTATGTGACCAGGGCGGGAGTCAGGCGCGGTTCTTGCTGTCGAAGCTGAATCCGTCGACGACGCATATGTCGGCGACGATGTATGGGTCGCCGGCGGGCGCGGCGGGGCAGGCGATCTTCACGGACGATGTGAGCTTGCAGGTGTTCATGGAGCACTTGAAGCGCTTGGTGAGTTGCGGTTGAGAGGTCTGGATGATTACTGATTTGTTTGTAGGCCGTTGGTGCGCAGACGAACTAGGAGGGAGTGGAACGAGAGCGGACGTACTCTATTTTATTCATTCTGTTTTCTTGACGCTGTTCATTAGAATTGTTGGAGGTTGCAGCCGTAACTATCTTGTGATGCGTGAAGTAAGAGATTGATCCTATGGCCGCGAAGGATCAAGGCCACGTATACAGGTGCGCCTCTCAGTAATTCCTTGCCAAGTGCAGTCCGATGACCTTATGCTGAGGAATGTAGGACACTGTACGCCCAAGCGAAGAGCACTTTGAACGCCGCGGCCATGGGTCAAAATTACGGAGCCCGTATGGTCTTTTGTATGTGTCTGCGCGCGTCACAAATGCGGATTATTGAGGGACACCGAGGCCGAATAGGCTGACAAACCCTGCCACGGCGTGCGTCTTCCAAGTGAATCGAATCGATCTGGCGTTGCTGCGTTGGGACCCACCCGATATCCCCGGTGTAAGTAGTGGGTCGACTGCGTATATAACTGAGATCTTGCAGCTGGTCATGGCATCGACTCGTCCGACGATAGACATCGGACCATCGAACACCTCAGCGCTCGAATCGCCCAAACTTTAGCGTCAACATGTACACGGGAAGCTGCTTCTGCCGCGCCGTACGCTATTGCTACGATGGCGAGCTCGCGCCTACTGTAGGTCCTACCTTCCCGGAACTCTTTTCTGTTGGTACTGACCACCCCTGTAGGCCCTCTGCCACTGCCTCGACTGCCGCAAGATCAGCGGCGGCGCCTTCAGTGTCAACCTCGTCGTCCCGAGCGACACCCTCCGCATCACCTCTGGCGCGCCAAAGACCTATACCTGCGTGGGCGGCTCGGGGAAGAAGGTCGTGAACACGTTCTGCGGGGACTGCGGCTCGACGCTGTGGCGGGAGATGGATCTGAATCCGGGGAGGAGGGTGCTGAAGGTGGGGACGTTGGACGATGCGGGGGCGTTGCATAAGTTGAAGCCGGGGGCAGAGTTGTTTACGAAGAGGAGGGCGGAGTGGTTGACGGAGCAGCCGGGGTCGGTGCAGAAGGAGGCGTTGTAATTTCGTAGACACTCCAAGTAAAAGCCTATGATGAAACAATCAGAGAACCTTGGACATCAGGGCTACTACGCGCTGAGGCTTGAGCCCAGAGTCGGTTTTTTCTATTGGACAGTACACCACCCACGGGCCGTGATCTACTATGACCGCCAGAATGAAAGTGCAGCTTCAAGGGAAAGGTTGGGGAAAGGCAGATGGCGTCGATGTGGCGCGGCCCGAACGGCCCGTTAATCCGACATCCGCTGGGAAGATACAATTCCACATTGCGTTTAAGTGCTCTTCAAATCTACCACTCGCGCAACCCCCCGCCCTCCCCGCGCCACGTCTGGCTCATCCACGGCTTGTACTTCTTCATCTCCCCGTACTTCTTCGCCTCCTCGCGCACCAATTGCAATGGCTCGTTGATCTCGATGCCGAGGCCCGGGCCCTGCAGCACCTCCACGCGCCCGTCCTTGATCTGGAAGATCTCGGGGTTGAGCATGTAGGTCATGAGGTCCACCTCGGACATGTTCTGCGAGTGAGTAATTGAGGCAGAGAAAGCCTCAGAAAGTAGGGATACTGTACCATTCCGTTCAATCAGTCTGTTGCAAAGGGGGGTGACTTGAACCAAAATGTCACAATTGTCCTCCCCCCAAAGGCTCGACTGACGAAAATGACGAACGGTCGTCACCATGGGCGGGGGGAGCTCTTCCCGGGGTAGCGCCTCCATTTCGCCTCTGAAGGAGCTGTGCATACGTTCTTTTTGGACTTTAGGTCACTCGGTCACCACAGTCATCATGACTGACCAAGCGCGCGATCGGTCCAAAATGTCACTGGTCACGCCCAGTGAGCAATTGAACGAACTGGTACAATATACGTAGACGCACAAGCGTCGCGGCCGGCTACGCACGCTGAACACGTCGTCTGATACGTCCCAGAGCATGATGCACGGTCAACAAACTCGCTGTCGGGCTACGGCGCCTCCCTCGAGTCGAAGAAGACGGACTACCTCGTAAGGACCTGTGACATATGCGCGGCAGTCTGCACAGCCCTTACATTGCCAGTCACGGTGTCACTGGCAGTGGCTGTGCGGTCCTCCATCTGCTTTCCACCATCATGTCGTTCGATTCTCAGCAACCATCCCCCCCACAGCTCTACGACGATCTGGAAGGCCTCGATGCGGAGGACGCGCGCGCATGGGAAGCGTGCCCATTGCGCCCACAGGCCCAGCGCGTAGACTATCTGATGGAATATTGGCGGCAGGCTCGCGACGGCAGCCGCTCTCAAGAGCTGTACAGTGATCTGAAGGATTATCGGACGTTCGTGCCGTGTCCTTTGAGCCCGTTCACTCGACTGCGAGCCGTTCTTATACGAAGAGAGTACGAGGCCGCTTGGAGCGATTTGGAGGCAGCTTTCGTTGCTGGCAAACAAGACTTTATAACGCAGGAGGGACAACTGCGTTACGGTGCGCAACCAACTTTTGTGAACTGAATCTCAACTAACCGAGCTGGTCTAGCTGGTCCTCCGACTCCTGCGGCTGATGCTCCGTTCAACTACGCGTTCGCCCTCACAGGTTATCCGGGCATCGGTACGTCGTACATCCCCTGCCGTACAGCAGATCGGTCGAACGCCCCGTATAGGAAAGACCATGTTCCTCGCCTTGGCGCTGTTACGATGCCTCGAGAGACATTGGACTGTAATTCTACAGACAAGTCCCGCTAAGATTTTCATCTTCAACTCTGACGGCGTGTATGCGATACCATCCCCGGTCGAACCGACCGAACTCGCGCAAGGGCTTCCTCGGTCAACTTGGTGTCTTGTCGACTCGAACACTGCCCTTGAAAGCGTGCCCCACCATATCCTGATCCTCGATCTCTTCCTCATTCAGGCTACATCTCCACGAAGCAACAGAACTTCGTGGTCGACAAAGCGGGACATGTTTTATCTCTACCTCATCGATCCCATGCCTGTCGACGAGGCGCAATTGGCGTGCGTGCACGCATATCCTCCTATCATGGTTGTCGCGGCTCATCGCCTTTAGGTTCCCCTTAAAGCGGGGCGCGGTGCGATCGCAGGCAACCGATCGCATCATACAAGAATATTATGACCGATATGGGCCCTCTACGCGCCTCGCTTGCGCCGCCGGTTCAGCCAAGCCCGTCGAGCTTTGGGACAAACGTCCAGCCAGGCGACTCACAGAGGCTCTCACGGACCTCACTCTGCCGCAGCTCGAGATGCTCGCGAAGCACTTCTCGCAAATGCGCTTGGATGATGATGTCTCATCAGCCATCCTCTTGGTTCGTCCTGGAGTCACGCGCGACGTGGTGCAAGTCGACTTCGTCTCCACACATGTCCTCCTTCGTTGCTCAAACAGTCTGTCGCTATCTCGATTCGAGCTCCTACGACACTTCTACCGTCTCTTCGCTTCGAGTCCGAAAGCCAAAGCTGTAGCCGGCAACTTGTTGGAAGCGCACATGGATCATCTACTGCCCATGTCCTATACGTGGTCGGTCACGAAAAGGGGGGACCCTGCCTGCGAGCCTGACAGTAGTACCAAATATCGAATGGTCGTCTATGGGGGCTCGACAGATACCCTCCGTATCGAGCTGGATGATGGCAGCACGCAGGGCCCATGCAACGAGGTGCTTGCCATTCATGAATATCACTCAAGAGAGAGCATCCAATTGGAAGGGAAGTACTACATGCCAAAAGCGCGGAACGAGCCCACGATTGTCTCTTTCATCTACAATCCTACAACAAACACCATCACCGCCTTCCAGATCAGCGTCTTAGATCAGCACTCAGTCGACACGGAATATTTTTCATGGCTGAAGACGCTTCGTGGCGCGAGTGCAGATGCACCAGCTATCGACCTCGTTATCATTTCCTCTGACCCAACCGTCAGCCTTCCTCACAGAGACACCGCGACGAGCGTCATACGGAGTATGTATGATTTGTACCTTGATGACCTCCCTGCACCATGCGGTACGTCGTTCATCCTCGCCTTGCCTCAGCGCGCTCAAATGAGCCGCTACCTAAACGGCGACGTCTTGCTGACGCTGCAACACAGACGATCGAGTAGGATGAGTCATGCAGGGCTGCCAGCAAGCATGCAAGCGCTGTAGTATCCCTAGATTGTTGTGAACCGATACTTATATAATGTCTGCGACCACTTTACAATATATTCATAAGCCTACGACCGGAGAGGGCGGACGCATGCACGCTCCCGAGTTTGCCTCGCCCTCGGTCTCGGTATAGTGGTACGTGCCCCGGAGCCACTCCTTGCTGTCCGTGTTGTGGGCCACCGAGAAGTGGTCCAGGGTCTGCCGGTTCGATTATCAGAGGATCGAGTCGAAGTCGTCGACATTCACGTTCACGTTCACTGCGTTGGAGTTCATGGTAGGAGGGCGTGCGGGTGGGGCTGGTCGCTTCAAGGGGCTAGTTGCCCAGAGGGCACCTGTTGGCGTCGTTGTCGGCCATATCGCCTCTCTTCTCGAGACCGCCTTCGTTGGCCTTCGGCACGTCGTCCAGGAAATCGAAGAGGTGCTAAATAGGACAAAGGAGAGCGGATGAGAGCAGGAAGGAAGACAATGAACATGTCGTTGTCAAGTTGCGACGCCTTCGCATCGCCGAGAGGCATTGCTATCACGGACCAGAGATGCGGTGATGAATACTTAAGTGGCGCGACCTGGATTGCCCGTGCGTCCGGATTTGCTGCGTTCGTTGGGAGAGAATGATGCCGAGGCAGCAAATTCATCTAATTCATACACAGCGCATTAGCTTCCAAAGTCCCACCAGTCTACCACTCGCGCAGCTCCCCGTCCTCCCCGCGCCACGTCGGGTTCCTCCACGGCTTGTACTCCTTCATCTCCCCGTACTTCTTCGCCGTCTCGCGCACCAACGGCTCGTTGATCTCGATGCCAAGGCCCGGGCCCTGCAGCACGTCCACGCGCCCGTCCTTGACCTGGAAGACCTCAGGGTTGAGCATGTAGGTCATGAGGTCCGCCTCGGACATGTTCTGCGAGTTGTAGTGCATCTTCCAGGACATTTCTTGGATGGCGACTAGATGGAGAATAGATATTGAGGAAGATATGATGACGGTAGTAATCGGGCTCACAGTTCACGGTGACGGCGTCGACTTGTAAGCTGGCGGCGAAGGCGAGGGGGCCGAGAGGACAGTGGGGTGCGACGGAGACGTCGTAGGTCTCTGCGTAGGCGGCGATTCGGCGCAGCTCAGAGATGCCACCGCAGTGGGCAATCTATAGAGGGCATCAGTAAGACGGCTACCTCGAGACCAACTTGTCACTCACATCTGGCTGGGCAACATCGACACAGCGCGCCTCGAAGTACGGACGGTAGTCCTGGCGCGAGTACAGGCGCTCCCCGAGCGCGATCGGGATCGTCGTCTGCTTCGCCAGATCCGCGATCTCCAGCGGCTGCGTCGGCAGCAGCGGCTCCTCGATGAACAGCGGCCCGTACGGCTCGAGCGCCTTCGCGAGCTGCTTCGCCGTCCCCTTGTGCACGCGCCCGTGGAAGTCGACGCCGGCGTCGAGCCCGAGCGAGCGCACCGCCTTCAGGTTCTCCACCGTCTCCTGCAGCAGCGCGGGCGGCGTGAGCCAGGGGACGCTGCCCGTGCCGTTCATCTTGATCGCGTCGAAGCCCTCGGCTTTGCGGACCTTCGCCGCCTCGAGCACGTCGGAGGGCTTGTCGCCGCCGACCCAGCCGTAGACGCGGATGCGGTCGCGGATCGCGCCGCCGAGGAGGGAGGCGACGGAGACGCCGAGTGTCTTGCCCTTGATGTCCCAGAGGGCGATGTCGAGGCCGGCGAGTGCGCTCTGTGAGGATGTTAGTGGCGGTGAGGATGTGTGGATGGGAGGGCGATGCGCACCATGAGAACGGGTCCTCCTCGGTAGAAGCGACCACGGTAAGCATGTTGCCAGATGTCTTCGATCTTGTCGGCATCCCAGCCGACGAAGCGACTGGCAAGGTCGGCGTATGCGCCCTCGACAGCTTCATCGTGACCTTCAAGTGTGCCCTCACCCCAGCCGACGACACCACTGGAGGTATCGACGCGGATGAATACCCAGCGTGGCGGGAGGCGGAAGACCTGGCAGATGGTGATGAGTAACGAGCGGAGGGGACAGTGTCAGATCGCGCACCTCAATCTTGGTAATCGTGTTGACCATGCGGGGCAATGTGGGGGAAGAATGGGGGAGGGGGGAGTACGATGGGGAAGACGCCTGTGCGTTCACTCTTTAAGTACACCCCGCGCTACGTCGGCGGGGGCTCGAGAGGCGGGCGGTCGGACCGGCCTCATCGTTGGAGATCTGATTATGCGGAAGGTCGGCGGGACGGAGAGAGCAAGAATGGTGCCGGGCAAGTGCCGGGAGGGAAGAGAAGTGGGGGCTGGTGGGCGTGTGACCTGCAGAAAGCGCCCCGGATGGATTTCCTGGAAAACGATATGTCCTGGGCGGCATTTCGGGCCTAACACCCGCTCTGACGTTGCACAGAGAGGCTGAGATCAGCCATGCGACGGTCATGGGGGCCACAGTGCCGAGCGAGCTGTATCTGAGCAACTTGCGCCAAATATTGTCCAAGTGAAGCAGAACTCCAGGCTGAAGTGAGAAGCTTGCTGGGTATTGGATGACAGACAAGTCAGGGTAATAGTTCCCCCATTTCCGACGCAGCTTCAGTGTCTAAAGGCCAAGCTGGCAAGTTTCCAGCGGTCTAGATGATTGCGGAGGCCATGGACGTACGAAACGACTCAGTCATGAAGACAACGGGCGCTCGGGCGTGCGGCCCGGAGGCCAAGCGGAAAGTGTCCAAGCGCACCGACACGTCCTTCGACCACGACGACCCTCCGACACGGACACCAACGACGGCGGCCATGACACCGCGCCTCCCCCTCCTCCTCGCGCTCCTTACACTAATTGTCCCCGCCCTCGCAATCAAATTTAACCTCCCCGCCTCCCGGTACCCGCAGCCAAAATGCATCTGGAACAGCGCGCACACGAACACCCTCGTCATCGTCACCGCGAACGTCGCGAAGGGCGACAAGCAGCGCGTCGACATTGAGATCATCGACTCCAGCCCGCAGAAGAACGTGTACCTCAGCAAGCGCGGGATCGAGGGGGAGACGCGTCTAGCGGTGACCACGCATGTGAATGGCGAGGTCGGCGTCTGCTTCAAGAACTACCTGGACCAGGACGTAAAGTACCCGGGCAACATGAACAACCTCACGCGCACTATTGACCTGGACGTCGACATTGGCGCCGATGCCGTGGACTACAAGTGCGTATCCCATACTTCCGTCTCGATCATTTGGCTGACGCGCGTTATAGTGCCATTGCGAACCAGGAATCCCTCTCAGCCTTGGAGACGGAGATGCGGAAACTTGAGGGCATTGTGAAGGAGATCGTGGACGAGATGGGCTACTTGAAAAAGCGCGAAGAGCGGTTCACCGACACCAACAGTACGTCCCCTTACATTGTCTACTTCTCAGCCCGATACTCATCCTCATTTCAGCGTCGACCAACCGGCGAGTAACGAACTTCGCGTGGTTCACGATCATCGCGCTTGCGGCACTGGGTGCATGGCAGGTGTTGCATTTGCGCGCGTTTTTCAAGAGGAAATATCTCATTGATTGAGCGTACGGGTGCATGTATTTATGAGCAATTCACGTTCGCACATGGGAAAAGGCTGGAATGTCAGTGAGCAGGCTCATCTCTGTACTAGCAAAGTAACCTTCTCGGGTCTCAGTACGCTTGCCATATTCCCGTCTTGTCCTTTCTGTGCATGACTATCTGACCGGCTACGATCATCATCCATGCGCCGACTCTTTTGCAGATACACTGGACCTTCTTCAATCTTGAGCACCAAGTTGCATGGGGTTTGTATCTCTTTCAGGTCACGGTTGAACTTCGCCGCACGTGTTCTGTTGTCAAGCGTACTTCCACGTGCGCTGATGGTGTTCAGAAAGACAATAACGCCCGCTCTTGTCCGGAACCACCATCATCAGGCTCATATGGGGCGTATGCCATTGCTATTCTCCGAGATGCTATCTCCCAGCCCGAATACCAGAAGACCCGGATTCCTCGGTCTTCCTTGTCTGCAGGCTGCTGCGCGACGGCCTGCACCATGAGTATATCGATGCTGGCATTCATGAGGCTGCCATCCGGCATGTAGAGGTTCCATGACTTGTGAGTCTGACCATGCTACAAAGCCTCGTGGCTGCGCGATCTGGGATCAGTGCCGGAACACAATAAGGCTATTGTCTCGCGGACCGCCCCCTCCATATCGTCATGTCCGTCACTTATATAACCTGGACCGTCCTCGGTTCGCTGTTGTTCTTACTTGTCTACTCCCCATATACGGCGTCGCAGTAGAGCAAAATGGTGCGTTGTTGGACCTAACGTCTTGTACTCCTGCTGACGCTGTATGTAGATGGCCGTATTGCCACCCATGGCGCACGCAATCCCCGCGCAGTCGCCATACCAGCACGTTCTGCACACAAATTACATCCCTACCGATGAAGAGGTCGTGGACATCCGCAACCTCTGTGCCGCACCATGCCAACGCATGTGCACGCTAGAAGATGACATCGCCGAGCTGGAGGCGACCATCGCGCGCAAGCTGGCCGAGTACAAAGTGCTCTCCGCATTCACCAAGGCGCACCTCTCCCTCACCAGCAACATGCGCCGCTTACCGTCCGAGATCCTTCAGAACATCTTCGTCGCCTGCCTCCCTACGGACGGCCCGGCCGCCATGTCCGACAACGAGGCCCCGCTAGTCCTCACGCGCGTCTGCCGCCGCTGGCGGCACATCGCCTACGGCACCGCCGAGCTCTGGTCCTCCATCCACATCGCCTGCCCCGACCCGCGCGGCCTCTCCCCCCTCGACCCGCCCACCGTCAGCCTCGACACCCGCCTGCGCCTCGCCGCCGCGTGGCTCGCGCGCTCCGGCACGTGCCCGCTCGACGTCTCGCTCTTCTCGAACGAGGGCGCGCGCCCCGTGCCCGCCGCGCAGTCGCCGGCGTGCGCGTTCGCGGCGCTTCTGCTGCCCCACGCGGCGAGGATCCGCCACCTCCGGCTCACCGTGCCCGCTGCGGCACTGGACGCGGTGCGCGCGGTGTGCGCGGGAGCGGAGCGCCTGCGGTCGTGCGATGTGTACGTGCGCCCGGATGCGATGCTGGATGCGGCGGGGGCGCCGGATGTAGTGCTGGCCTCGGAGAGCGTGCAGACGCTGCGCCTGGCGCTGCCGACCCCGTTCGCCGCGCCCGAGGGCATCTGGGGCCGCCTCCGGGACCTGACGCTCTGCGTGCAGACGGGGGACATCGGGACGCGCGCGCTGCTCGGTAAGCTTCCACTGTGCACCGAGCTCGAGGTCTGCCGCCTGGTCCTCATCTTACCCTTCGCGAGCGCGGCGACGCCTCTCGTCCCCGCGGGCACGATCCTCCCCCGCCTTCACACCCTCGCGATCGAGGGTGTTGGCCCGCTCTCGTGTGCGCTCGACTCCCTGACGCTGCCCGCGCTCAAGTCGCTGGTCCTCCAGTCCGATACCCCCGCGGGCACGCACGCCGTGATCCGCCGCCTGCTCGAACGCTCACGCTGCGAGCTCACGCGGCTGCAAGTGACGGCGCCGCCCGGCCAGCACGAAGAAGTGGTCGGGTGCCTGCGTCTCGTACCATCGCTCGAGGAGCTCGTGCTCCATGAGCGCAGCGCCCTGCGGCAGGCGGCCGCGAGCGAGTGTGCCACATTCGTCGATACCCTGGCCGATTCGGACGCGCTGTGCCCCGCCCTGCGTGACGTGCGGCTCTCGTACTGTTCTGGCATCACCCCCGAACACGGATTGCGCCTGCTCAGGAGCCGGAACGGTACGGAGAGCTGCCGCCCGCTGCAGACCTTCCACCTCTCAATGCTCGACCTCCGCCAGGCGGAGCACGACGCTGCGAAAGAGATGATGGCGTGGAAAGCGCGAGGCGTCGATGTCGTCGTTAGCCCCTCATCGCCTAGGTACTCATACAGCCCGAAGGAGGGCTTGCGGGGGAGGGGGAGCATCTCGAGCACCTTTGGTGAGATGGTCTGGTGAACTTACTGTAGACTTTGGACATGCATGGATGGATACCCTTTCTTCGATTTACCCATAAGTTATACCCTTCGATTTTGTATTGTACATGTCATGCTTCCTGAATATAGAAAAACTGCTTTGATTAACGTCTTGGAAGACTGCTGGTGGTCAGAGGCTTCGCCATTGTGTGGAATTCGCCCAGCATGGAATATTGTATGCTACTCATTGTTGATCCATAATATGGGTGCGCCGCTGACGTAAGCCTTGACTTCTGCTTCTGACCGTCATGCTCGCATATCTTCTTGCACTCGGCTCAGGGTCTCTCTCTCACCTTTTCAATCCGGAGCCCGTGTCATGGATATATGCGACTTTGCTCACAAGATTGACATTGATCTCTCAGTCCGTTTGTGTACTGTACGGGTCTGTCTCGTCCGCCAGCATTGCTTGCGGATCCTTCGCCTTTAAACTTCACAAATCGGTGTTTGGTCAGAATTCTACAGAATCGCTGGAGCTGCAAAGCCGCCAAGCTCCCATAGCCACCGAGAACGTTCTTCGTCGACATGCGCAACGACATGCGGCTCTGCCCGATGTTCAGCAGGACCTCTATCTCTTGATACTCTCGCTGACCTTCGAGATATCCGGGTCCCGATTCTGAATCATGCTTTCCCGTCACTAGTCAATTTACAGTCGAGGTGACAACGGCCACGGATTCTGCTTCCATTCCTGCGATGGGCCCTGTCGAATGCGCATGAAGCTCAGGCCCCGTGCACTACGCGCTTCGTAGGTCCTCAAACTCACACCGTCGGCATGCGACTCTGAAGGTCGAAGCTAGACCAGACTGTCGCAGTCATTATTTCCCGTTTCGACACTGGATACCTTCCTTACGCGGATGCATGGATTTCGCTGATCCATTACCGTGAAGCGTTGACAGTCCCATTCCCATGCCCTACACTGTCCCGCTTATAAGGGCTCTGGCAGCTGACTGGCGTCTCTGTGGCCCTGCCTCTTCCTCACCGCCATGTACGCTCAAGGCTACAGCTATTCACACTGGGGAGGCGCGACTTACCATGGACCACCGCGCAGCCCCTCTCCTCCCTCCCCTCCTTCTCCTCCTTCTCCTCCCTTCTATTACGGCCCAGAAAGTCCACCAAATCAGTGGGATCGTCGCGACAATGGACCGTACGTGGCACGGTGGGCTCAGAACGTGCCCCAGCATGCATACTACCCTGCCGACCCTGGTCAAGGCTCTCTTTCGGATGGGGACATAGAACTCGCGAGGCGCCTATCTCTGCAGGCTGAAGAGGAAAGGCTTGCGGAGCAGCGGGCTATAGATCTGAGTCTGGCTGAGCACCTGCAGTTCGAACAAATCAAGGAAGCATCACGCCGCATGGCTGCGCCCCCTGCGTATGAACCAAGAGAAGTGCAACCTCCTGAGTAAGCCTTTATATTCTACTACGGTGAAGCGACTGACCTACTTTGCAGTCGCGGGCCAAGCGGCATGGTAGGTCTTCCTCTAACTTACATGTAATGTCTTTTTGACGCAGTCGTAGCACTCCGACGATGGCAAGGGAAAAGGTAGGATGTATGGAGTGTACAGCATGCCCGAGCCGGAAGGTGAGTCGCTCAATCCCGTCCATTTCTCTCGACCACTCACTTCAACATCGCTATCTCGTACATGTCGTTCGTCAGTTCAATGCGGAATCTGCTTCGACGATATGCGCATTACCAACTCTCCAATCGCAGCGTCTGCTTCTGCTAACACATCCGACGCGCTTCCGTTTGGTCTTCGCCTGCCATGCCCCGCCGAGCACCAGTACTGCATCACCTGCTTGACGAGGCATATTATGGAGAAGCTCGATCCCCAACATAACGGTCGCGGTGCTGGCGCAGACGCCACCGTCTTCCCAATCCCCTGTCCTGGCTGCGCCACTGAGCAAGGCGCTCCCGCAGCGGAGATACCGGACGACGTCGCGCGTCGGATCCTCACTGCAGACGATATGCGGCTGTGGGACTGGCAGAAGTGGGTCGAGAACGCGGAGTTCAAAATGTATTGCCCCAATCCGTCTTGCTCGGCGCTGATATTGGAAGCGCAAGGTCCCAAGGCCAAGTGCTGGAGCTGCGGCCAGAAGGTTTGCGTAGCTTGCAAGGCGCCATGGCACAAAGGTCTGTGGTCCTTCCGAAACGCGTTGTCCTTGATATTCTGTAATCGACCATCAGGCGCTACCTGTGAGGCTCAGCAGGTATGTTTTAAATTGTCGTGTACTTGTCGCAGATTTATCGCTTACTTGCCACCGTTGAGCAGCGTAACTCTAAGGACGAGGACAGGAAGTTCTTCGAGCTAGCTAAGGTGAGGCTTCGCCCCTCGATATTGTCATCATGGGTCAACTGACTGCCGTCCGACGGCTTCGTAGGCTAAAGGATGGCAGCAATGCCCCAAGTGCAAGGTGTGTCTCGATATCTTCCCTTGACTATGCTTGAATATTGTCTGCCTTGCAGCGCATGGTCGAGCTGAAAGAAGGTTGCAACCATATGACTTGCCGGTGCAGCGCAGAGTTCTGCTACAAATGCGGATGTAAGCGCTCAGTCCTATCTGGTTTATTCGACAACAGTTGATCTATCTGCAGCGTTCTGGGACGTATCGGCGGGCCGCTGCACAAAGCGCAACCCATCTTGCACCTTTGCCGATGAGTACCACGTTGTCAACGAACCTGACGACACTGGAGACGCTCGTCCGGGCGGTCATCCTCAGTTTCCGGCTGGCGCTCCTTATTATCCACCTCACGCTCCCCAATATGCAGCTTACGCTCCAAACACACCGGGTTCCGCCCAAGGCTACGCCCGACACACATTTTTCATCCCGCCGGACAGCCCTCCCTTCAGTCCTGGTGCTCCGGTTGTCCCTAATGCCGCCCCGCCCAGTCAAGGCCCGCCCGTTATCCCCTTGGACGGTTTCTACAACGTCTATCGGCCCGCTGAATCGCCCTTCATTCCTCACCAGATGTATGAGCAGCCGAGATATTACTATGGTTATGGGCCCGCACCACCCCCATGGTGAAGGACGTACGACAATCGGTGGAGTCAATCAGGATGACCAACAGGGATGGACGAGTTTCTGTGGTGCGCGAAACGCCGAAAGCGCGTATAAATAACATACTGATGTTCTCTCCTAAACAGTCTACATCGCCGCAGGCTGCAATATTATATCCGACGTGTGGCCAGCAGCAATACTGGCTCCATCTTCGTTCGGAGCTTCTTCCCCTCAACTTGATTCTGATCTTCGCAACTCTTCGTCCTCTCTTCGTGCCTTCTTCTCTCCCTCACTCACAAGCCAATGTCCTTCCTTTCTTTTTCCTGCGAATGACACCGACACCCCAAGTCGTGTGACGGACAGACTTCCGTGTCGAAGTTCATCTCACGACTTGCCGACGATTCTTACGACCCATCATGTTACATGTATCTCGAAGCCTGTTACTCTCTGATTCGATATACATCACTGACTCATGTAAACTCAGTCCGTCGTCCTTCCTCTCGCCGCCACTAACCAATCCAGGTGAGTGTCAGAGTCTAACAGAACGATTAGAAGCGGGAAAGCTCGAATATTGTGCGAAACACCGACAGCAGTGGGCACTCCCCGAAGCTCGATGGTGAGAACATCTACTCAGTACTTGCTCACGATTCATATGACGACTACGTGAAGAACGCTGAGCGTGACCCCATGCCAGCGTGGCGCTGGCGTCCGCGGGAAGCGTGTCCGCAGGCAACGGCGACGCTACCTACTTATACCCCTAGCTTCTGACCCTGGGTGCAGACGAACTTCACGCCCGGGCCCGAGATGGCTGAACGCCCTAGCAAAACCACTGGAAGCTGTCTGTGTGGCGCAGTGCGCTTCACTTTCTTCGGGAAACCAACGGCTACTGTACGTCTTCCATGGCCGCCCTCCCTCTTCAGCTGATTAGTGCCTACAGTGCCTCTGCCATTGCCTCGACTGTCGCAAAATCAGCGGCTCGACGTACAGCACGAATGCCATGTTCCCCATCGACGCCGTCACCCTCACATCGGGCACACCGAAGAGCTATACCACACATGGCGTCTCAGGGAAGCCTATCACCAACTTCTTCTGTGGCGATTGTGGATCGACGCTGTGGCGGGAGTCGGTCGTGTTTGCGGGACTCAGGATCGTGAAGGCGGGCGTGTTGGACGATGTGAGGGCGTTAGAGAATGTGGCGGCGCCGGCGACGGAGTTATTTGTGGAGAACAGGGTAGGTTGGGTGGGGGAGATTCCAGAAGCGGTACAGAAGGAAGGTCAATAGGCATTTGCAGAGAATGAGCGAGGGTCGGACCAGCGGGTGCTGCGACTAAGTGTGACGAACTGTGACATAACCATTGGCACAGCACAAACTCAGACAAACAAACACGGGTTCTCCCGGACCATCACGGCTCTTCTGCTCCTACTCTCACCCTTGGTCTTCTGGAATATCTTGCACCATAAGTCTCAATACGACAGGAAGCGCTCTTTGACCGCACACACAACGCGAAGAACGTGCGCGAAGGGCGCATAAGCGGTTGTTGCCAAATGTTGCCAAAAGGAGTAAATATCCTGGGCATGGCCATGTCTTTGTCATCGGTCGCGGGGTATATAAGCGGCTCGCGAACCGAGTTGCCGACCTTCATCTTGCCTTTCCCTTGCCACCATGGACTTAATCAGAAGGCGACTCGTTGCGTTCCGCCACCCCATCCGACCACAGGCCACTCCGCAGGTGCATCGCCGCTCCGATGAGCATCAGTCAGCTTCATCGCATGGACCCCCCAGCCCCAGCTGCAATTCTAAGCCAGTCGATGGTGCGTGCATACTATTAGCGCAGTGTCAGCGCTCATTGTTCGCATGCTGACGCAGACCAGCACTGCGCACAGACTCTTCAAAACCAGACTTCATCTCAAGCCTTCCCGACGAACTCTTCTGCGAAATATTCTTGCTCGTCGTCTATTCCAACATACCTAGCCATTTCCCATATCCTAGCCCAACCTTCTTCGGATCCCGCTACTCATCCGGGGACTCCAGAGACGCTATCCCACTTGGAATGGTGTGCAAACGATGGCTACACCTGACCCGGACACACTCTGGTCTATGGACAACGATTGACCTTGACGACCTCACTGACACAAGAGGCCTCGCTTTGCTCAGTGCATGCCTTCGGTACTGCAAGCCAGCGACCCCGATGATTGTGAGGCTGCGCCTGACGCAACGGAGGCTTGATCCTGCGATAACACAACGCGCTCTGGCCCTGATCGCCACGCACCAGACGCGTTGGGAGGAAATCTCTATCCGCATCAATTACGCCAATTATGACCTTGGAGACATTCTAGCTCCCCTAAAATTCCTCGATCCCTTTTCAATGACAGCCCTTCAGAGGTGGGGTATCCACCGCAGTCAGCAAGCCGATGAGATCCGGACCGTCGACGATGCAATTTCCACTGAAATCCTCCGCCATTGTCCGTCGCTTAAAGCAGCCTACGCCTCAAACCTGACGATGAACTTCGTAATTCATCGGGACTTCCAATCGGAAGACGAGAATTCGGCAAGCCCGATGACGAAGCGCCTCACGCAGCTTGGCCTAGCCCATCTCGACCCGTGGCACATTCGCTGCATCTTGTTCAGCTTTCCGCGTCTCGAAGTCCTGCACATCGTCAAAGTCTGGGAACCGGAAGTGGCCTTCCACGATAGCATTCCCATGCCCCATCTGCGAGTGCTCTCTGTCCCCGCTTATGACTGGCCCGCCTTCCCTATTATTCCTGGCCCGACGTTCGATCGGCTAGAGCTGACGAGCTTTCACGAATGCGCGGACGACGTTCGCATTCCTACGCGCTTGTACGACGCAGATATCTCAGTCCGCATGCTTGTACTCGACCGCGTGCGAGATGAGACGTGGGTCGAATGGCTTTTTGAGTGGAAGCCACTCAAGGACGTCGAGATCGTGCTCTTCACACAACCGGCAAAAGTCGGCGCAGGGTAATCTACCTGCGTTAGACGCAGCTAGTCCCCCGGTCGATCTAATCGAAATGGTTAGCGAGGTTGCAACGAGGCGATAGGCGTGTCGAACTCGCCGGGCCGACGCCGCAGTTCACGACATGTCACAACAATGTCACGGTTGAACATGAAGCTCTATAAGTCCCTCCTGCGGCTAGACGTCGCGATATCGCCTGGGATAACTAAAGGTGGATGAGGATATTACTGGCTTGGTGTAAGCTCTGAACTACGAAGTCGATCCCGTCCCTACAGATATGGAGGCCAATAGTCGAATATGTCCGGAATCACGACGGGCGTCGGGGTGTCAGTGGTTGAGCGTGGTTAGCAATTCATTGAGCACAGCGAGGAATTGACACTTTTTCTTTCTGTAAGTGAATGGCGAGGCGGGAGGGACGTGAACAGGCAGCGAGAAGCATGGTGAGAATATTCTAGTCACTTTGAGGGAGCAGCGCATGAAGATTACTGTGGTAGGTACAATTCAAAAGGGCTCAATGATTGGCTTGGTAATTAGAGAGGTAGATGTAGCTGCGAGTAGAGCGTGACCTAGGTTGAAGCAGCCGACGGGGTAGGCCCAAGAAACCACTATCGAAGATCCCCCCTGCGAGTCAGCTTACCCAGCATCAACATGTACCCACCCGTCAACATCGATTGGCTGGGTCGTACATGTATCCCATGTCTGATCTCTGACTTGTCCTGTGCGGAGATTCGACTACGCTGCGCAGTTCACCGAAGCATGGTATTTTGACATCACTCAATGGAGAGAGCGCGGGTATGCGCGCAGGTGCACTGAAAGTAATCTCCTCACCACGTATCAAAGACTGAGAAATGACTTTGTGCTTCCGGGATAGAGACGAGTCGAAGGGGGTCGGGGAGAGCTAGTCACACGCGTCGGCATGGCCTGCTACAAAGAGGGACTAAGATCAATTCTCCGGCCATCAGAATTGAAGAGAAGACGACTGTGATCTATTGTGCATCATATTACCTTGTCGAAGGGGAGACCGTGGCATAACGGCCAGAGATCGTAGTTAGAGGGAAGAGCGGTGGATTGTGACATGGCCGTGACATATCATGGACTCCGCCGGCAACCCGGCAACTTCGGCATGCCCCTCGCCTCGCTGTGGCCTCGCCCAGCACTTCGATTAGATCTAACTGCAGGCTAGCTGCAGGCTGGCTGCGTCTAACGCAGGTAGATAAACCTGCCCTGTGTTTTGCCGGTTGTGTCAAGGGCGCGCGTCGCCGGTTTGACTTTGGTGATGCACTCCCTGCGATGGTGAAGGTCTTTTACGACGTGGACGATGGCGTCCTTCGAGCTGAAGACGCGTACGCGGCGCTGGGACCAAGAGCGAGCCGCGTGGAGGACGACAGTGCGGGTGCAGTGGCCGACGTCTACGGTGCCGAATCCGAAGCCGACTGATATAGGCGCAGTGGCCTTGCGAGGCGCACCCGTTTCGGGGCGGACAGTGTGCCGTGGATCAATGATATTTATGTGCGATTTGTGCTGCCCTAAAGTACATAGAATACATTGTATCATACAGTTACATCTTTGCGCGTGAACTTGATGCCCGTTCAGCACAATGAGGACAGGAGTATGATGAATAGAACACACCTTTGAACGTCAGTCGTAACATCAAACCCTCTTGCCCTCAGCCACCTCCTTCGGCACGACGTGGTTCTACACGACGCGGTGAGATGACACGATCTACAACGCGGCTACCTTAAAGCTCACCACAGCCGCAACGCGAGCCCTCGCCATATCCGTGGGCCCGTCCTCGTCAAAGTGCTGGAACGTGCCGGTCTTGCGGCGACCTGCGAGGCTATCGCTCGGCTCGCTCTCGTTAACCATTGGCGGGATGGAGAGGCCGCCAGGGTGGGCGATGGGGTAAGCGCGCCTAAGCTTGGCTGAGATCTCGGCGGCGTTGGGGTCGCTGGCGGACTAGAGAAGGCTAACGTCAGTCATCTGCACAGAAAGGCAGCTGAAGGACGCACTGGCAAGGCAGACTGGATCACTGCGTCGCTGGGAGGTGCGCTCGCATCTGCGACCTTCGGCGAGAATTTGGTCTATGGTGGCGATAACCGATGAGCAAGGTGTTCATCCGAGAGTTACAGAAGGAATGACTCACCACGCCCTGGGCAGCATGACCTGCGCTCCTCCAACCGACCGGGGTCGTCGCCCAAGCTATCTTCGGAGGGGATCAGTAAGCGCTTACGCGTATAGTGTCGGCATGCACTAACGACCGGCACGGAGACCATAACGAACGTGATCTGCGCGTCAAACGAGCGTCAAAAAAAAACGCAGGTCCATCGACGATGACGACGGGCGTACCACCCAAGGCCAGTCATTGCTGTTCTTGCCATTTGGCGGCGGGACTTCAGTAGCGACAAAGCGGCGAGTAGCAGGCATCGCGCGACTCTGAGCAAGACGACGCGAGGCAAATGCGCGGAGGGTAGACATGGCTTCAATTGACAGTGTACGCGTGCAAAGGTCAAGGCAGGGCAGCGGTGAGAGGGCGGTGAAGAAGAGGCGGACGCTTGTTCGCCTGCATTCTTATAGGCCCTATCTTGAATTCGGAAACGAATTGGTGCCCCGCACAGGACGAGGAGCCGGGAGGTCCAATGACCAGCTAAATGCCTCACGTGAATGAATTGCCGCAGAAGTGAGACTCAAGGTGAGGTCGTAAGACGGGGTTCGCGGGTTCTGTCATGACTGCGCGCGTGCACGAAGGAGAATTAGGCGGCTGTGAAGCGGTCGATAGGTCATCCAGGTTGCGGTCAAGATAGGCGAACAAATATTTGGTCGCTATCAATTCCCTATTTGGTCGTGCTTGTCCCCCAAGTTCAACTTGTCACGTGTGCGCGAGCGATTCCCGACGTCATGAAGTCACCACTGACGCGCACCTTCCAGTCGCGTCATGATGCCCAAGAGCACGATAAAAGCCTGTCGGCGCGTTCCGGGGCATTCTGCTCATAACCGCACGAGTTACGTCCGCGCAAAGACCTCTTGAACTTGCACCACCATCCCCCACGAAATGTTCGCCGCTGCACGACTCTCTGCACTTCGCGCGACGCGCGCGGCGCGTCCTGCTGCGTTTGCAGGTCGTCGAGGAATGGCGCAAGCAGCACATCCCCCACAGAAGAGCAGCGACATGCCATGGATAGTGAGTATCAACTCGTCGAGAGACGTCTGTCCTAGCTATCTCCCGGCAGTCTTCTCCGCACCTCTTGTCCTTCCTCCTCCGGATATGTCGCTGACCATACGTCCAGATCGGTGCCGGTCTTATCTTCGGTCCGGCACTCGTCTACGTGATCTCAACACCCGTGAGCAAGGGCCACGGAGAGGGCTCTGGCGACCATGGCCACGATGCACCGTCAGTCACGATGAAGGACGGGGAGGGGTACGAGGCGGAGGTAGGAGGGGAAATTGGCCAATCATTGGTGCGTGTCCCTCGTTCAACGGACTGCATGCTCGTGCTGACGCGCCCTCCTATGATCAGTCTGAAGACGCGCCCAAGGCAGCCGACGCGACATCGGACAGTCCGCAAGACAAGTTCTCCAAGCACTCAGAATCGGTCGCTGAGACGGCGAAGATCGAGAAGGACACCGTGCCAAGTTCGGGCAGCCGTCAAGGTACCTTCCAGTCCGGCGATGACGAGGGTCCGACGGATATGGGAGATGCGCGCTCAGCTGCACAGGTGTGTTGGTTTCGACAAGGCGACCGACGGTCGCTGATACGCTCCCTCAGGACAAGAAGCCTCCAAAGGCGGCTGCCGAGGAGAAGAAGTCGAACTGAAATCCTGCAGGCATGGACAACAATACACATATCAGCATGTTTTCCAGACGATGGGCAAACACCAACTGGCTGTGTCATGCAGCCATGGACATGCTCAATGTAACATCAAAAGCTCGCGTACTTCCCGTGGTGTTTCGACTCTGCCCTGAGGGCGTCTCGGTTGATGTAAAGCTGCATTAGAAGCACGACCGAGCAAGTAATCCTCCGCATCGATTGTTTCTGCACTGCAGCTGCAGGCCGATGTCGGAATACTGCTCTTCTGCGCGGGATTCTTGCTTCGTCTTCGAGATACGCGGGATGGGGGCGATCGCAGGGCCGATGACGATTGGATGGGATTAGACGAGCATCTGAAGCTGTGTCTCAGGCGCAGATAATCGTATCCGAACCGAGCAGAGGTCAATCGCACACGGCAAGACCATAGAGTCGAGGAGTCGGCGGGAAGTCGAACACGCCCACGTGATGGTTCGAGACTCAATTGATCCTAGCGCCACAAATTCGCGCCCTCATGCTTCTGCCCTTTCACGACGGATTTGGACGCCCATTGTTCGTGTTCTTGGTGCCCTCATCTCCATGCTCTCCGAAAGGAACAATGGAACGAAGACGGAAGCGCATTCGAAGGACCCGGCGATTGCGCGATCAGCAGGTCAACAGACCCGTGGTCGTCATGTGGCCGGTGCACGCACGCCTGGGCCAGCCATGGGTCGCGCGAGTATATAAGACTCCGCGCAGCAGGTGCAACAGCTCAATACACCTGTCTCCCGAAGCTCTTGGCTCCACTCGACGGACTCCACACCAGGGATCCGCCACGTAACTGCACCTCTTCGCTTCCTGCCACGACCATCCACACCACCATCGCCATCGTCTCTGCTCACCAGCAGCCTCACCGCACCCCTCATCACCACCCAGCAGACCATACTTCATCGCCACAATGACTCGCACCGCGCGCTCCAACTCGGTGAAGGCGATGCAGAAGGACCGCTCGATCTCGCGCACCGGCCTTGACGCCGGCCTGCGCAAGCATGGCGCGGGTACCCACAACTGGGGCTCGCTCGCGCAGGAGCGCGCCCTTGAGGACGCCGCGCTCTACGACGTCGACGACTACGAGGAAGAGGAGGTCGAGGGCAACGCTGCGGCGCTCTCGCCCGCCAGCGAGCCCAGCGAGTACTGTGCGTGGTCTCACTTAGGCGCTCGCCGCGCCGCGTGTTTCGGTTGCTGACGTATATATGCGCTCTTTGTCACCACTATAGCGAGCGACGAGCCTGTGTCGCCCATTGTTAGCGCGGCGGTGACGCCGGAGGACAAGGCCCGCGCGCGCAAGATCCGCAAGGATGGCGCGAAGCTTGACCTTGGCGCGATCGCGCGTAGCTCGGCGGCTGTGGTGCGTGTTTCCGTGCCCCGTCGTGCGCCACGAAGGGTGCTGATTGCTGTCTTTCAGACGAAGGCCTAGGGCACTCGCTCGGGGACCCTCGGACGCACCTCAAGCGCCCTCTCAAGGCGAAGCTCTTCGCGAAGCTGTATGCGCAGTCAGACTCTTTCTTCCCTCTCATCATCAGCATCTTGAGCATCTATTCACCCATCCTGTTGTCTCCATCACCAAACGAACTCATGTCAGTGTGTAGTGGTATCTCGAAAGTCGTAATCTGTGTGCAGTCGTAACAATCGCATCTCATGATGAGTTGATCAAGGTTATCGTTGTGTGCTTTCGGGCGTCATATCAAGGTATCTTTGCCGCGATGGTCGCACAATTGGTGCTCACTTGAACAACACGAAATGTCGCGTAGCCCTGACGTCGCCTCGACGAACAAAGTTCGTGCAAGTACGCGCCACACGCCGCCGCTTAGGAGGCGGCCCTTGCCTCACGTACGAATGCCGTTACCTTCCAGTCGCGTGATGTTACGGTTGGACTCCCTTGCATGCGATAGCTAACAATGGGGTCCCCTGGGGTACCCCAACCTTACCCATGAACTAGCCGCGGGTCAGATCAGTCTCGATGGGACCTGGACGGCACTGTCAGGCGTCGCGCACCCAAGTCTCGAGCTCGTCTCCGCACCCTCTCCCCTTGCCCCGTCACACGACCGTGAGCGTCGTCTGACCCGGCGTCTCGAGATTCCCGCTTGTTGTCGGCTGGAGGCCTTGTCTCCTGATGAGTCGCTTGTCGTCTGATGAACCTCTTGTCGCCTGACGAACCTCGATTTCTCCGCCGCATATACGCCCACGAAGATGGCGATTGAGTTGCGATTAGCCCTGCCGTCTCCTGACCGACTGCCGAGGGTTCACTTCTTCCGACATACGCTGCCAGGCGCCGCTTCGCTCTCGTGTGCTTTGCTTCCATTGTCGGCAGCTTGCTTCCTATACCAGGCATTCCGCTTCCCCTGAAGGTGCTTCCATCGCCAAGCAGGGGACACCGACCGCGGTTCGCGAACTCTGACGGTGAGTGTGCACCCACGAGGGTAACGGAGCGGTTGAATGACTCATGGGGACTGACACAGCACGGATTTTGCCGAATGCTGCGTGACCCGGCCATTCGCGATCACGGGCCAAGACGTCACACTTGCGTCCCGCCTTCACGCCGTTGACGACGGCGACGACGAGCTCGTTGCTTTCGACTATCACCTCGAACGACTGCTCGACTCTCCGAGCAAACGCGACGACGTCGGACTTGGGCGACATCTCTGTCTCTGCACCACCGTACGACTTTGAGCCTGCGGCTCGCGCGCTTAGGGCGTCCACTGGGCCCTCCGACACAGCATACACCTCGAATTCCCAAGAAATCAAGTATTAGCGCGCGCCAAAGAAGATCTCATGCCTCACCGGTCTCTGAACGATGGCTCGTCTGACTGTCAAATGGGGCCACATTTGAGCGCATATATGCGCCTATTTCGGGAAATGGTGCTTCGGGGAGCTCGATGCCCCAGGTACGTCAACAATCTTTCTAAGGTCGAAGTGTAGACTCACGAGTCTTCTGCAGTGCACGACGGCTCGAGCTGAAGCAGCCACCTTGGACGACGCCGCGCGGCCTCGCAATGCGCCGTCAACACGACGCGCTCCGCTGGTGAAAGCGACTCTCTGGACTTCAGCGTCTTCAATTGTCGACTCACTCCAGCAAGCCCACTGATGGCCGCTTACATCTTGGCTCGACCTCCTCTTGACGCGTCGTTCGACCGAGATGCCTATTCGTTATAGGGCAATCCCCCATGGCTCGACTTACGTCGGCAACTTCAGCTGCGAGCACCCTTCGACCTTGAGACTTCTTTGTCCCTCGAATGGGCCGACAGGACGGTGCTCCGCCGCTCCTAAGGATCATTCCATACAGATGCTGCTGCTACGACGTCCAGCGAAACATGACCCAGGGGCTTTCGACCGGTCGAAGACTCGCAAGGACACCCTTCTTCGGACGATGTACCGAAGACAAGTGGAACGACGCGCATATACCCGGTTGGTGTGTCTTCACGCAGGCCGGCTCGCCCTTGTGTGTGCTTTAGACTCCGTTATTTCGACCCACGCGCCAACTTTTCGACCTGCATCTCTTGTCGTACTGCATCCGAGCCTCGCCAGGCGTATGGCTGACCGTCAGCCATCTGCTTCTTATGCTTGAGTGGTGAATTGTACGTCACTCTGGACTGTCAACTATACAGGCTACAGGGTTGAGGGCTCGCCAAGCCGCCCTTCATGTAGGAAATGCGCAGCCGCCTCCCGATTCTGCTACAAGCAAAGTGGGCCAGACATTGGACGCGCGCCCAGCTTCTATCTACTCGTCTACCTCCCCTGGCAGCAATATTACACTTATCGGCCACGCCTATCGAGTGGTGCACCCTTTGCGATATGTTTCCGATACTCGCGAGATATGGCGCGTACTTCCTACTCTCCAAGTCGCAAGGCCGCTGTCAACTTCCTGAAGAGGCTCAAGTTACCGCTTTCGGATACTTCTCGCCTGGGTTATTGTCCCCCTCGAGGTTCGCTGACCGGGGTTCCTGCGGGCTGCAAAGCCGCCGGTTGTCGTGCGGGCAACCGCGAGGTATATTTTGCCTCGTTTTTTCTGCGCCTCGAGGTGACTTACGGCGCACCAGGATTTTGTCGGGCACACAAGTTCCCTTTCGGGCAGTGACGGACTGGCACTTTGAGGGTTCGCCTCTGAGACACGCCTCGCTTGACGCCTCGAGCCAGGACGTATCGTGCGGCGCAGGACGTATGGCAGGGAGAGTCACGAGGGGTACGTCCCGGAGTTGAGGCTGCTGTTTTCGCGGAGACTGGGTGGAATCACTGGGCAGGCTCTGCGTACTCAGCTCCAAGGTCCATTGCTTGCATTCAGTGCCCATCGATGCCACCATCGTCGCTCGTGTCGCGACTCGCCACCGCGTCGACGGCGCCGGCGCCGGCAGCCGCAGAGCCGGTATCCCTCCAACGCCACAGTCCTCATGGTACCTCTGCTGCGCACGATGACGCCCCCGGTGTGCACAGAGCGGTGCCCGTTGACTTCACGTCATCGCCCCGACCTCCATCAGCGGCGAAGCTGAGAAGTTCGTGACGGGGAGCCCCGTGGCCGCGACGGAAGGCCCGCTGACTGCCCCCAAGGGGGTATGGGCGAGCACGCGCCCCGGCCTCGGTCTTTGGCACCCATTTCGGGAAGGAGGGAGAGGGCAGGAATCTTGGAGACGCCGCGGGCCACAGGAGCTGAAGGCACGGGAGAGGCGTAGCCTCCGCGTTAGCATTGGTATGCCCATCGTTCGCGCTATCGGAAGGCATCCTTACGTTGCTGCCAGCAGCTTCCGGCCTCTCTTGCCACAACAAGGACTCGAGAAGGACGAAGTCAGAAGTCTCGACGATTATCCGGAGGGCGTATGTGATTGGCAGCCTCGAGGCTCGCACCCTCGCATCACCGTTCGCCACCCCCTCTGGTGTTCCTCGAGCGAGCACCCTCGTTCCCACGCGATAAGGCGTAATTCCCGCATGCGGCGAGGCGGGCTTGCGATGGCGGGCTCGCTTGGCGGCTGTACGCGATGAAGAGGGGGCAGGGCGGCGATGCGGAAGAGGCATGGGGAGGTGCGATAGCTGCGATGGGAGGCTACGAACGGGGATGCCAACGGGGCCGATGCGCGGAGAAGGAGATGCTTCCGCCGGAATCGGATTCGATTTGATTCCGGCGCCAATCCGGGGATGGTGTTGGCGCCGAGACGCGTCGCCAGCGCTCGCGACGCCCTCTCCCTCCGCCTCGCGTCGCAGATCTAGTAGATCCTGCAGGTGGACGGCGCGCGGAGGGTGAGGGCGTGCTCAGGGTGAGCGGGGTGTGCGCTAGCGCCGCTGATCGACTCTGATCGCCTTCCAGATCAATTTGCAAACGACTATCTCGCTTGTTTGGGCTGGCGCGTGCTGGCCAAACAGGAGTCGTGCCTATATAGGGCTTCGCGGGCTGATTCGGCGAACCTTCCGTATCAGCCCCCCTGCGATCTGCCCTGCTTGGTCGCCACAATCCATCGTTGCCTGTAATCCCTCCATACCATCGACTGCAGCGTGCTCACCCCGACTGCCGATTGCATCCACTACGCTGCCAGCATAGTCCGATTCCGGCGCCACACCGATCTCAACGCCTTTGTATCCACTACCGTCATGATGCAGGCCGGCGACGTTTTCCATATGTTTGGCTTCCCCTCGTTCTGCTACGAGCCGGAGCAGCTCCCCCCACCCATCCTCTCCCCAGCGGAGCAGGCCGATCGCGAATGGGAGCTCGCCACCTTCGGCGAGACCACATACGGTGCGTTGCACTGCTTTGACTGCGATCGATTAAACCTAATGCGCTCCCTCAAAGACATCCCCCGTTACGAGACCTTCTACCAGCGTGGTGCGCCCTCGGGCTCGCAACCGTACTCGTACGTTGAGAAAGACGAGGAAGAGATCCCCGGTCTCACGTTCAGCAAGACGTGGGGGCTCGAGAGCCGCCGTCGCACGGCACCGACTGTGACCGACCTCCTGCGCGCCACTCGCAAAGGCCCGCTCGCCCGCCGCAGCAAGCGGAGCCCCGCGCCCTCAACGTCGGAGAACGACAGCGCGACCGGTCCTCAGCGCCCGGCGAAGCGCGTCGCGCGTCGCAGTCCCGCGCCATATGCGCGCAGCGACTCGGCGTCGCCCCGCCCGCGCCCCGCGCAGGACCCCGCAGAGGAGCTTGCGAACAGGATGTCTGGGCTTGTGGGCCTGGGTCGTCCACCACGGTCCGTGAACCAGCCCGAGGACCTGGCCAGCCGCCTGCGCGACCTGCGTCTCCGTGCGTAGGCCGCCCTCCGCTCCCCCCATCTGACGCGCGCATGCCAGCGACAACCGCGTTACCCTAATATCGCAATGGCCGCGCGCGTCTGCCGACCTTACCCTCGCTGCTGTTACCACCTACCACCTACGCCGTTGTCATCATCCCACCCACCACCACCCCCTCCGCCAAAAATCGTCGATCGATCTCGTCTCATCGCTATGCTTTCCTCTCTTGTCTCGTTTCTATCGCGTCAGCACCCCACCCTTGTACTCCTCCGAACCCGATCCCTAATACGCGTCTGTGCCGCCACCACCTATAGAGAGGCCCACACCCCGACGCTCTTCCCGCCCCGCGACGTCTCCCGAGGTCCGGCTCGCTCGCTGGCACTGTGCTCGTTGCCTTTGCCATTGACTGGCGTCCCCCCGGGACACGCACGCCGGGCGAAACCCCGTGTACGTGTAACTTATCGCTGTCGCTGTCTCGTCTGTTATCTCTATCCGAAAAAAACGCAATGTGGAATAATGGATTTACATACTTGTTTGTTTTACTTACCCTTTCTTCTTCCCTTCTCCCTTATCTTCCTATTCTTCCCCTTCTTCTACCCTTTCTTCCTCTTCACCTTCGCCTCTTCTTTGTTGGGTTCCCAGTCCGCTCTATCCCCCTCCCCCTATACCTACACACCTACCCTCTACTACCCCGCTCTGGCTACTTGACGTTTACTTATCTGTATGTACATGGACTGGGAGGCGCGGTCTCAATGGTATAAACTGCGGGCGCGGGCGACTTGTGCGCCCGGCGGCCTGCTCGCGAAACCAACTGCTGGTGTGATGCTCAGCAACACTGCAAAGTACTATCGCTGTGATTGAGCTGATAGATCTTTCGGTGCCGTTTGAGTTGGCGATTGACTGTAACGGTGACTGCAAGGGTTGTTGAGCTTCTATCCAACTTCTATCTACGGCCTTTCACAGCATGCAACACCATCTTCTATCGAGCGCCGTCGTATGGGTAGACGAAGGCTTCGGTGAGTCTGCTTGCTATGCGCAGTAACCCAGATAGCCTGCAGTAACTGAAAGAACACGACTGCGAGCTTACTGACCCCGTCTTCCCAGGCAGCTAACAACGTTCGACGAAGTAACTGGCAACGACCGACGAACTCGAAGCAACTGGCAACGTCCGGACGACGAAGCGACTGGCCACCTTCCGGCGACGTCGCATCTCAACGTCCGACATCGACCAATCCACGATTGACAACGTCCGACGATGCCTCTGTTGCGGTCGGCGGGCTATCGGATTGGAATCGATTGCCGTGAAAGACGCAGTGTGCGAGCAAGCGAATGAGCTCTGACCGTTGATGAACAGTGCGCGGTGACTGTTGATGAACAGTACACGGTAACGTTGGTCCTGACACGGTACCGTTGGGGTCTGAATGCTATCAGGCCAGCATAAGATGCATGAGATGGGTCGGGCAGGGCACGCGATGGACGGGTCCGCGCATGAGATGAACAAGCAGCGCGTGAGACGGGCAGGGAACACCCATGCGCCGCGCGATGAACGGACGCATGGCTCGTAGCGGCATCCTTGTTCGAGCCCTTGTCGGGCAGAGGGGGCAGTGCCTTCTATGGCTACGCCTTCCCTTGCTGATAGGAATGCCGTGGGCCATGACCAGAGGATGAACGGCGGACGCCAGGACAAGAAAGGGGAGACGCCAGAAACGGCGGATACTAGGACAAAAAAGGAAGAAGGGCCTGGACAAGAACGGCGGACAAGGGGACGAGGATGGCGAACAATAGGACACTCACAGAACGTTCGATATGCAAGGATGCATGTTCGATATGCATGGATGCACAGACGGAGTCAGCAGACGCCGATAGGTTGTCGATGTCGATAGGTATGGAAGAGGCATCGCCCGCTGGCGCTTCCGGCTGTGGTAGCTCAGCGGCTCTCCAGAAGGCCCTGAGCAGTGGAGTTCAACTTTGGGTTACGCCGGCCTGATATCGCATCGGCTGGCGGACAGAAGCCACGTCGGCCAGACAAGCCACATCGACTGACGGATACAGGTCAATATAAGGCAGATAGCCTTTGCGTAGGATTTGACGTAGGCGCCCTTGCGTTATCTACTCCCTCTATAGACCCATCGCGATCTATGGAGTCAGTGATCACTCACGATCTCGTGCGTGCTAGCGCTTGCAATCTCGTGCTCCCATTCGCGATCCAGTGTCGCCCTCACATCCCCTCCGAGCTGACCGGCTCCGCGAGCGTCATCTCGACCTTGCCGCGCTGCGTATTCTTGTCCTTCTCGACCTCGATGACGACAGAGACGCGGTCGAAGACGGAGATGCGAACGCCATTGATGGTGACGGCGTAGTTCTCGGCGTCGAACTCGACGTCCTGCTTGAAAGTGACGAGGCCTTCGAGGCCGAGTCTATGTAGTAATGTCAGTACGATGGATAGATGGAAAGGGCAGTGTGAGCGATGTGCGTATGAGCTCAGGAGGTGATACGCCACAACGCCACAACACCAACACCAAATGGATAGATGAGATCAGTCAACGGACACTCACTTGGACACAAACACTCCCAAGCCATTCCTGAAGGCGCGGATGACGAACGCGTCCTCTTGCACGCGCCCCTTCTCCCCGCGATTCTGCAGCGCAAGGCCGACATAGAACTCCACGCTGGCGCGACCCGCGCGTTGCGCCATCGTATGTCGCCTGTTGACAACATCGAGGATGCGCTCGACGTGACTTTTGTTGTGCAGCGTCGGGTGCAGCGGCGTGTGCCCGATGGCCGCGGACAGTTGGCGGTGGACGAGGACGTCTGGGGTGGAATTGGTCAGAGGCAGATAGAGAAGGAGCGCGAGTATCGTACCCGCGTAACGCCGGATTGGACTGGTGAAGTGCGTGTAAATCTCGCTGGCGAGACCGTAGTGGCCGTAAGTTTCGCGCGCGACGCTTCCCGCGGCAAAGTATTCGGCCGACAGCATGCAGCGGGTCGCCATGATGCGCACGAGCGTGTTGAAGGCGGGCTCGTTGGGATCCTGGACCGGTTGAGATTATACTGAAAGCGAGGACGAAGTACCTAAACTTACTATGCACTTGTCGAGCGAGGCGGCCAGCGCACCAGACGATGACACGTCGAGCTCAAGACCCTTGCGCTTCTTTAATATGTCTTGCAAGTTCTTGAAGTTGTCCCTTGGCGGTGGAAGATGGCGTCTGCGATTCGTCAGGCCTTTTGTCCCATTGACTATGTCGTCAGCTCATACCTGAGTACAGCCGTCTGCACGAACGTCTCCTGAATCTTGCGCGCGACGCTGATATTGGCGAGCAACATGAACTCCTCGACGAGGCTGTTCGTCTCACGCAGCTCCTTCTGTTCGACGTCGATGGGGTCGGAGGACTCGGCGCTGTCAAGGTGAATCTTGACTTCTGGTGAAGCGAGGTTGAGGGCGCCTGCGGCCATGCGCTTGGCCTTGAGCCTGATGGCGAGGCTGTTGAGGAGGCGGATGGAGTTGGTGAGGGCATCTTGCTGATGCCTGCGATCCGAAACCAACACACTCAGCACAAGGGGAAATGTTAAGACATGGATCGAGACGTACACATCATCCTTGCGGATCTGCGCCTCCTCGTAGGTGAAAGCAGCCTTCGACGCGATGACTGACTTCGTGAAGCGCACATTGACGATCTCGGCCTCCGGAGTGAGCTCCTTCATCGATGATCAGCACACAGACAGCGAAGAAATGATTGAACGAACCCAGATAGCAGAGAACGCCAAGCGCTCGACGAAAGGACGCAATGAGCACAGATTGGTGCCTAGAAGCGACGGCAGCATGTCGATACGCTTGTCAACGAGATATACGGTCGTGCCACGCGACGCCGCTTCGTGATCCATGGCATTGTCGGGTAGAACGAAGTGAGATACGTCCGCGATGTCTGTCTTGATGTTAGACTGGAAGAAGCCGGTGGATGGGTTACTTACGGACGCCAGCCTCGATGTTGCCGTTGGGAAGCTGCTTCGCATGCAGGGCGTCGTCGATATCCTGACAACCTTTGGAGTGTCAGCGAGTGCTTCATACTGCAGAATAGCGTCGCATACCCGGCGGATCAATGCTGCAGATGATCTCCCCACGCAGATCCTCTCTATCCCTCCACGCGCCCTTGTCCACCGCCGTATCATCCGGGCGCGGCGGTACGACCCACGAATCGCCCTCAGGTGGCAGACACGACAGCACCGCGGCACCAAACGGCCGATACGGCACATCAAACTCGAGCAACAGACTCTCCTGCTCAGTCTCCTTGCCCCCAACCGCGCCGAGCGCGCGCACGAAGTGCCCCTCCGGGTACCGTGACGTTGCGTCCCAGCGGTCAATGGTGACGAGGATCTTTTGCCCGATAAGGCGGGGGGCCTGGCGCGTGCGCATGCGGATGCGCGGGAGTTGGCGCGCGGTGGGCTGCGCGAAGACGGATTGGAGGGCGTGCGAGGTCGCCGCGGCGTTCGAGAGGGAGGCGCGGTCGATGTGGCAGACGTAGCTGATAACGAGAGCGATTGGTGAGAGAGACGAACAACAGACCTGGAAGGCGCACTTACCTGCGCCAGTTGCGCTTGATGATGCCAACGACGCGCCCGGTGGGCTGCTTCTCAGCCGAGCGTTGCTCGCTCTTGAGGATGCGAGACTCGCGCGCGATGACTTCCGCATTCTCCTCATCGCCCTCTTCATCATCGTCATCCTCGGCGTCGTCGTCCTTAAGCATGGCTGTGCGGAGGCGTCAGGACATCAAGCTACATGAATCGGAATCAACGCACTCTCGGCATCGACCACCTCGTCGGCAGGAGCCTTCCACTCTCTCTCGTCGAAGACCTCAACCACGACAACGTCGCCTTGGACAGATCGGTTCATATTCTCACGGCCGACAAGCAGGATCGGCTGGGAGAAAGCAGGCACGTTTACTGAGCCTTCCAGGTAGTTGAACGGATTGGCGTTGAAGTTCCCTTGGTGGAGCATGCCTCCTTTGACACCGGCAATTAGCGCAGCTTGTGGTAGATACTGAACGAAGATAAGCGACCAACGGAATTGGGAGAAAACCTGTCTTTACCTCTGGGTACAACGCCTGACGACCAGCCGCGGCGCGGGTGGGCTCAATCTCTTCCTCAGATGATGACAAGAGATCGAGCAGCTGTGTCGCCTGCTGCATACCCTCGACATACTTCTTGACTGTAGACTCGCTCAGATCCTGAAGATCGTTTGGACTGGATTGACCTACTAGATAAGCAGGTTAGGCCCTCCTTCTGTGCCTTCTCGCGGTTGGCAGCATCTGCCGTGAGCAAGACGACCTGCGGAATTTTGGGCTGCGTTTTGCCTCTGATTGGTGGCCGAGTGACCGACAGATGCGAGCTGTACCAGGCTGTGGCCTTGCGTATACCTAGACAGAGTGAGAATGGCGCGTAGATCAGGTGGAATGCGCCTCGTCACCTCTGTCGTTACGATCATTCGGCGTCTCCTCCGCTTCACGCACGACAGCGGTCTCCCTGGGTCTGGTCAGCCGTTTTCTGGTACAGGATTTCTGAAGATACATACGAGCGATACTCATTATAGAAAACCCAGACTTGTTTGCCGTCCATTGTGGTAAGCGCCTTGAGACGGTTGTACAGAGGCATCGACCGGTGTCGTACTTCCTCCATCACCGTCTGAAGGAGAATTATAGGAGGAGTGAAAAGGTCGGATTCCATGAGATCCATCTGCGTGAGGATGCTCACAAGTGAGCAAAACAGGGGACCGATACAACGGATTGCGGACCTGTGACAGAAAGACATTCGTATCCGGTATGATGAAATGTCCCTCTGGGAAAGCGCTGTGCGTGTCGTCGCCAGAGGCTGGCAATCCGTGGTCACAGTCGCATGCCGTGCAGTTTTCTATTCCGCATGATACGTCGTCACGAAGGTATCTCTCGCGCAAAACTAGTATAGTTATGATCAGTAATCATTCCTCATGTCGTAAACTTATTGCGAATACGGCCTCTGGACATGGTCCCTCCAATTGAAGTGTGCATTCGGTATGACAAACGAACCTTTGATTACTTTTCCTCGAGCTGTCTTCTTCAGGAATTTCCTTTGAGTGACCGCTGCCTCTGTCCTTGAGCGCTTTCTTATCGTAATTTCGACCATATCTTGTTATTTTCTCGGCCTTGGACGGATACTGGAAAGGCAGATGGCTGATGGAGGCGAAGGAAAAGCAAAGGAATGCCAATTGCGGAACGTTCGGCCGTTTCGGCAAACACCGTCCGGCCCGGTGTCACATCGTCACAGACTGCGCCAGGGTCGCAGGGAGTTGGCATCTCTTCTCCCACCTTCTCGGCTTTCTCGCGTGTGCTCTCTTAATCTTCAGAGGCGGCTGTATCGCTAAGCGGATCTGGATTGTCCCTCCTCTCTTAGATTCAGGCTGTAATGGCTAGCGCCACTACCAACAAGAGCACCGAGCAGCTGGCTGACCAATCTGTGCCGCCAGCGGTCCAGAGCAGCGCAGGCGGGATTGATGTACCTCAGCCCGAACCACCTCGCCCTAAGCGAAAGGCTGTCTTCGGACTGGGTCAGAATATTCGCAACCCAAGAACCGGTGAGCGAAGAATGACATCGGCAATGCCCTTTCCATCGCACGAAAGTTAATGAACAGCATAGTGAACCCCTTTGACTATGAACAGAAGTATGAAGAGGATGACTATGGGAGCGAACTTGGCTCTAATGCTCGCTTCTGGCGTGTGTTGCTCGACGAAGGTCAGGCGTACGACGCGGAACTGATTGAAGGATGGCGTGATACGCTGGACGTCCTCCTCGTTTTCGTGCGTGTGAGATCATCTCTGAAAGCGTTCCGCTGAAGTTATCTCACAGGCTGGGCTCTTCTCTGCCGTTGTTACCACTCTTGTGGTCCAATCATCCCAGGCTCTTCAACCGGATTACGCTGCGATATCAGTCTCGCTTCTAGCCGAAATTGTCTCGCTACAGCGGGCGCTGGCTGACGGAACACCTTCCGGAAGGGTACCGCGCTCGAGCTTGGCCCTCAATTCTGTCACTGCGACTGCGCTCGATTATTGGTGCAACGCTTTCTGGTTTATCAGTTTGACGCTGAGCCTTTCGGCTGCTCTCATGTCTGTGCTCATCAAGCAATGGCTTCAGGTGGACTAGTGCCTCGTGCCCATCGATGTACTCTTTTATTGACCCTTCACCCAGGCATACAGCAGTAACGTATCTGGAACCCCGCGGAAGCAAGCACTTGTACGCCAATTCAGGTTGATCGGCATCGAGCGCTGGAATGTGCCCCTCATCGTCGGCCTACTCCCTATGCTTCTCCATCTGTCCTTGCTCCTCTTCTTTGTTGGCCTGTCGCTCTACTTGTTTACATTTGACACTGTCATAGCCTCGATCGTCGCCGGTCTCGCCATCTCCGTGTACTCCCTATACTTCGCGGCGAACATCCTTCCCATGTTGGACTCGCAATGACCGTATAAGACGCCCGTATCGCAGTATGGTTACGCCGCATTCCAGGAGTCGGTGACGGCGACAAGTAATTTCCTTCGCCAGTACGCTCATCGCGATGCTCCGGACGTGTTACCTTCCGCAAGTCGTCGGGCAGGCGCGTCTGCACTTTCAGAAGGACCCTCTACTAGCCGCGGTGTCTTCTCCGTCAATGTAGGCACCCTAGTGCGATGTCTCTCACGCATCCGTTCGCCAGCATCGCTGTCACGCTCTCGCGAGGCTGATGCAGTAGCCTTCATCGAGGATTCACTGACAGTGGAATGCCTCAACTGGGTCTTCTCTACGTCTTCCAATCCCACAGTCGCTAGCATCACGGTCCAAGCTGTGTCAGGCCTCTCAGACCATGTTGCCCCTCTCAACAACGTCACCATGTTCGAGACGCTCAAGCACGACATTCTCAGCTGCTTCAGACGTGCTTCCGAGGAGGAGAGCTCAGCGCTCACCCTGATGTTTGGCCAGGAGCGAAAGGTAGAGCGTCTTGCGCGCAGCTTACTACATTTCGTGGACAGCGGGGATGGATTTACGATGCGCCTCCTCACGAATTTGCAGCCTGCGATATTACGATCTCGAAACCCCGCTATACCCAACATATCCGAACTTGAAGGAGCGGACATGGCGTTGTCGACTGCAATATCACGCTCCAACGAAGCTGCGCGAGCGATGCTCCTTCCTTACCTCCTCCCAGTGGATGTCCGAAGAATGCGACTGGCACTGAGAAATTCACTCGCCGCAATGAAATCGAGCTTGCCTTTCTCAGCATATCGCCCACGTCTGCTCTCCGTTTACATCCGGTGATATGGCATCGTATGCTTCAATACTTGGCTTCCTAGCACTACCACCCAGCAAAGAGCTGTACGCTACTCGCCGTCTTCCTTTGGAACAGCGCAGGAAGAGCCCACGACTATGCTCTTCCTGTGTTCGAGCGGCCATTGACGATGGAGGCCAGCTCATTGTATACGCTATGCGCGTTTGACTCGGGTTACAAAGATCTCGTGAAAGCGGCTGTGCGCCGTCTCCTGGGTGGCATGTTCTGCTCGCATAATGATCAAGTATACCAGATCCCTACCCGCATCATGACGCCACTGACCACTTGTGGCAGAAGACCTGCGTCTCCATATGTTGCGACGCGCTCTCGAGACCTATGCGTCAGAGACGCTCACGTCCTCCAAATTCCATAGCAAGCGGCAGATTGTCAGCGCAACTGGCTTCGATGAGGTGGATGATGCGAACATTGGCTTTCTGGCTCGTTATCTCGACGAAGTGCCGCGTGAACACGCATGGGCACTCCTCAAGACAGTCAACAGAATTATTGCTTGGCCTGGCCTCTCCCTGCAGACACTCCATCTCTTCTTCTACATCTACTATCTTCAGGGCGGGCAGAGTACCGCAGACATACCGTCATCGTCGGTGGGACCTCTTCTCCGATTCTTGGCCAAAATGCTCTCAGCTCGTCCTATAGTCAAAAGGACAGAGAAGACGCATGTAACGGTCTCCAAAATCGTAGAGCTCATGAGCCGCGCTATCGAGCTACACTTTCATTGAGGCCCTCGATTCTATCCGCGACGACGATATTATGTCGGCTTTGCGACCCCTCGCTCTGGCTTGCATGGACAACCCGCGTGCATCGCGCCTTACTGCCGCTCTTGAAGGGCTACTGGCTGCATACCTACAGCGCCTAGTCCACAAGATCAATCTCGATCCTAATAGCCCAGAGGCCACCGCTGCTCGACAACACATAGACTATCTCTTTCACGCTAGCGAGGACCAGACCATCCATCTCGCATGGTACTGGTCGATCTACGTCCTTGTTGCCGCCACGGATCCGCATCGAACAAGCCCTCTGCGCCCGGCGATGTGAACGCTCGCCAGACTGACGTCCGAGCGTACGTCAGAATGGAACGAGACCCTGCGGCAAGCCGTACGCGAGCCCCTGCCACTCGCTTTTGGGATGGCATTGATGGATCCCCGGGGCCTGAGCGCGGTAGATGAGCTAGCAGGGGTGCTACTGGCCACCTCCCCCGTGCCCAATCCGGCGGAGGTCTACGTCTGTATTACGGGGGACAGTAGGAGAATAAATGAAGTATGGTGCGTGTCTTTCATTGGTGGCTGGTCGCTCGCTTGAGTTCTAACATGACCTTCAGGCGCTGTGCCGTCAACGACAAGAGCAGGACTTCCCCAACTCCGCCTCATGCGCCAATTATCTTACCCGTGTCGGATCTGGTCACTTCGAGCGAGTATAACCGCAGATGGAAACGGGAATACGGCTCTGGATGATCTGTTGCTATTGCGCTTTGTAAACAAGACACGAGTATTTTTGCAAAGGAGAAAATGCGGAACGGGGTTGTTTGACACACGCAGCGTGTCCATAAGTTCAGTCTACCTTGCCGACGCAGCGTGGTATACTACATTGTCTACCTATCAGCGACTGTGACCATCCTGCCAATCTCCTTTCTCGGGAACTGAAGCCTCCGTTGAGTATCTGCGAATGTTCGACTGCAATAGGCACTGAACGCACCGATCCTAGCGGAAACCTGGGTTCCAGGTGGTGGCGTATACTCCGGCGGATCCTCGTTCGTAACCTGCAGGCCTCCGAGCCGCTCCTCCTCAAGCACCTGCACTCGCGCAGTCATGTGCGCCAGGACGTTGCGAAGTTCTTGATCCTGCGTGCTAGGAGGAGTCGACATATACCCCGGAGTGCAGCTGCCACTGGCTTGTCGCTCAACGTCAGGATCCCGACGTGTCTTTTCAGCCCGCGATGGTGGAGGCGGCACAGTGAAAGGCGCAGCGGATGCGTCCTGAGCGAGGGCTTTGCGCAGACGTCGGCGGCGACATACGTAGACGAGCGCACCAAGCAGAACAAGGGCGAGCCCACCACCAACCGAGCCGCCGATTATCGCGCCAAGGTGGGCGTGTGGGGAGGAGTTCGCGCTGGTAGATGAAGTGCTCGTTTCGGCGGAGCCAGAGGAAGTCCAGGTAGCACCTGGGAGATGTCAATACCTGGACCGCTAGCCGAGGAGGCGGCGCGCTCACTAGGCAGCCAGGGCGGTGGGCCCGAGCCCCAAGGCGGGGTTCCCGTGCCCCAGGGCGGGGTTCCCGTAAATGATTGGGTACGGTCGGGTGCCTCGGACATGAGCAGACTTTGAAGTGAAGATACCAAAGGCGCAGGTCGGCGGCGAAGGATATGTCCAGGCGATGGATGCGAGGGTTGCGCTGAGGTTATGTATCTTCATACTGGAAGCACTTCGTCCGTCCTCAGTGGGTCTTCTTGGACGGCTATGGGAAAAATCAGCATGCGCTGATGAGTCGTTCACGACCGTGCAGTTCTCGTCTATAGAAGCCCGTCAGAGTGAATGCCAGCAGAATGACTTCAGTAGAGCGGAGGATAGAGATATCAGCGCATAGAGAGATCAGTGATGTACGACCGCCGCCGAGCTTGTTGTGAAAACGGTGATCCCGGATTCCAGATCGAACTCCAAGGATAGGGGCAAGTCATCCAGCGCTCAAGCCCTTGACAGAAACATGAAGTGAAGAGCATGTCAAGAACTCTGTTCGAGCTGAGCGCACTGTGATCAAAAGAAGACTACGCACTTCGACGCGGAGTTGGGCTATGATGATCACCATGTGAGTACGTGACCTCAGGCAGCGAGTCCAAACTCAGACTGAGAGCTGAAACCAATATCGTCAAAGCAAGATTTCTGTCCATCCGTCGCCATCGACGTTCAGAACAAGTTCAGAACAAGTCGCGACTTATTGGCCTCATTTGGGCGGGATCTTCGGGCCGGATGCCCGGCAATCAAAGATATCCCTCGGAAATTTCTTTGTTTTCTTCCCCACTCGTCCGCCATGTCAGAAACGACGGTGAAGCGGATCCATATATCTGGAATAACACCAAACATCAGCCATGACGACCTCAAGCAGCGATTGTCGACTTTCGCGAAGGTCAACGCATTGGACGGCTTGGGCGCAACAGACAGCCTCGGCGCGCCACGACGATTCGCATACGCGACTCTTGAGGGCCCACCGGCGCAGATAACTCGTTGTGTGGCAGCCCTGAGCGGTGCTACATGGAAGGGGGCCCGCCTACGTGTCGGCGATGCGAAGCCTGATTTTCGTGAACGGTGCGTCTACTCTTCGCATTGCTCTCCATCCTGCTGACATCCTATCCAGAATCAAGCGAGAAAACGAAGCCGCTGAAGCTGAGGGGGAACGTCCCAAAAAGCGGAGGAGACGCACGGCAGCGACTCATGCTCCAGACATGGACCCCGTCACCCCCGATCGTGCAGAGGGGAAGGCTGGCTGGACGGTGACACCGCTCGGGCGGACGTACTTCTCCGCTCGCATGCGGCCGGAGCGACCGCTGCCACCGCCTCCTGGGGAGGCTCAGCAGGAGGGGAAGAAGAAGAAGCGGGCGCGCGCACCGCCGGTACGTGCGCGCCGGCGGAGGATCGACATGGGGAAGTGGGGGAGCGCGCAGTTGAAGGGCGTGTTTGTGGACACGAGTGCGCTGCCTAGCCCGGATGTGATCCTAGGGAGGGGGAAGGCTGCGACGCGGGCATCGCCGGATATGCATTCCGACGCTACTGGCACGGAAAGCGACGAGGAGGAGGAGGAGGAGGAGGAGGAGGAGGAAGAACACTTAGACGATCAGGATGCGCCAGGCGACAAGGACAACGAACATGAAGGTGCTGCCGATCGCATGTCGGTCGATCCAGTCCCCTCAAACCCACCACTACCACTGCCCACTCCCGCTGAGAGTATTTCACCACCCTCCGACATTGCGCGTGAGCAGGCCAAGAACGTCGACTTCTTGCGCTCCCTGTTCGGCGACACCGACGAATGGGGCGGCCGGGAGGAAGTCGACGACGTTGCGCTGCGCGAAGCAGAGGCTCGCGAGCGCCTTCGCCCCGCAAAGGCGGCTGCTGAAGATAACGAGTTCGAAATCGCGCCCGTCTCCTCAGCGACAAAATCACAAAATACCCCTGCAGTCGAGGAGACCGTCGCACAAACGCGCTCCAGCTCGCCCACGATCTCCGAGGCGGAGTCCGCCTCTTCCGCGGCGTCCTCGGAGGAGTTTTCGTCCTCTGCCCCGGAGACTGTCGCCGCGCCGCAGGCAGCTGGACCGGCCAGGCTCAAGGACCTTTTTGCGCCTCGCGACGAGGAGCCTGGCTTCTCCCTCCTTAGCGCGCTCGACATCGACCTCGAGCTGGACGAGGATGCACCGTTCCCCATAGAACCGACCGAGCCTTCACCAAGCCACGCATCCGGCATCCCCTTCCATCAGACGTATACCGCGCCAGCGGCTACGACCACTGCCACTGCAGCAGGTCCTCTCGTTTTGGACACCTCGAAGCCGTTCTTCTTCCCTCGATCTGGGAGAGGACAAGACGTGCGCGATGTGGCCCGGGCGAACAAGTGGGACTGGAAGGGCGCAGCGTTCCATCAACCGATCGAGGGGAATGTGGAGGAGATCGCGAGGGCTAGGTGGGAGGCCAGCAAGCTCGAGCTGACCCGCGATTGGAAGCGGAGATGGAGGGAGGCGGCGAGGCTGAGAAGGCGAAGGGGTGGTGGGGCGGAGGAGTGATCTCTGAACCGTATGTCTGTCATTGTTCCTTCCGACCGGCTCACATCATTGGTTGTCGCCACGAAGTATGCAATACATCTGCACAGATACTACAAGTACATGGAACTCATTGGTGCTATCCCGAAGATCAGATCATGCCCCCATATCATCGAACAGCGCATGAATGGCCCTCATTCCCTCAAAACATGGGCGGGAAGTACAAGGACTCGACCTGCCTGTCGAACTTCTCCCTCTCCGGCGTATGCTTGCCCTCCGCATACGGACTGGCTCGCTTCCTCTCCTCGAAGACCCTCGCCGCCTCCTCCGCATTCGCCCATAGCCACCGCCGCACGCGCATGCTCTTCGTGCGGTGCACATGCGAGAGGTAGAGCAGCCAGTCGCCGTCGTGCGGCGAGCGCACCGGGTCGGGCACGGCCTGGCGCATCGCATCCGTCATCTTCTCGAGCTCGGAGGTCATGGCGAACGCCCAGGGGAGGGCGAGGACGAGCCGACGCGCCTCGGGCTGGAAGGTGATGAGCGCGTGCGCGCGGAGGAAGCGACAGGTGCTGGTGAGCTTGACGAAGGTGGGCGCGTCGAGGTGCGCGATAATGGCAAGCAGGACGTCGAGGGGCTGGCGCGTGAGAATGTCGGTGCCCGCGGGGATAACATCAGGGTGCGGGATGGTGCCCCAGTGCTTGGCTTCGACGACGGGATAGAAGCGCGGAATGCTAGGTGAGCGTCAGCTTAGGCCATCTAAGGGGATCCTGCATGCAATCTGCGCACCTATCCGGGCGCGTGAAGAGCCAGTCGCCGAGCGGGCTCTGCTGGAACTCCTCGTACTTGAAGGAGTTCTGGCCATGGTCGTTGCCGACGCGCCAGAAGGGCTTGACGTCGATCTTCTGCCCAAGGTTCGCGTAGTCGACGCCGCGCAGCTCGCCCGCATCCTCCAGTTCGCCCAGCGGGCCCATGACGACTTCAACCTCGCAAAGGCGCTTCTGATCTTCGAACGTGTTACCCTCGCACCCCATGACCCGTCGGAAGAGGGCGCCGCAGACGTGGTGCATCATGACGAACTATAAGTGGCATCGGATGAGTTGGGCGTGTGTGGACGAGCAGAGCGAAGAGGGCACGTACGGTGAACTCTGGGTGTGCCCATGCCACGTTCAGTAAGAACGGAGGGTCGAATGTCCCGAAGTTGTTAGGGCCTGGGCGCGAGTCAATGTTGAATCAGCGCACTATGGCAAGGTACAACGCACTGAGGAACTTGAAGTTTTTGACGAGTCCATGAACGCGGGGGCTGATGTACTCGATGAGTGGCATGACGGAAAGAATAGCCACCCACGTACCCAAATCCGAGCGCGGACTCGAAATAGGAATACTGGGCCTTCGTCATGAAGCCATCGGGGGGAAAGTGCTCTGGCAGTGGGTTCATTGAGCCCAGCGCTGGCACGAAGGGCAGGCGGCAAAGGCTGCAGGACATGGTTGCGCGAAATCAGATAGGCGCCGCGAGCAAAGGCAAGGGGCGTTGGACGCGCAGCCTTCTGGCTTCTTATATATCGGCAAGCTGCGAGCCTTCATTGTTCTTTGAGGGCGTCGATTGTGCGGCACGGCCACGGCCATCAGTAGTCTCCGGTACCCGTGAGTCAATTGTCTTGGATAGGCGAACAATGCCTGGAGGACACCAGAGGACATATGACGAATTGGTCGGCTGTGGCATGGCAGGACGACGGCGAATAGGAATCCCCTTCGAGAACAAAAGGATCACGTGCTATTCATGTCAAGTTCATGTTCGACTTCGATGTTTGCATATCAGTGGGTATCATGGAAGTAAATAGCCTTTGTGCTTGAGATGAAGCTCTGGAGATATTGCTTCCATTGACCGAAGTGGACATCATGCAAAGTGGCGGCTACTAGCCACACAATCCTGCCGCTGCCCCGGTCTAGGAGAAATATTTGTGGCATCTCGCCGTCGGCTGAAAGCATCAAAGGGAAGGTCACCGTTTCGAAAATCGGGTCGTAGCTTAATCGTCTGCATTGAGGGTAAGTATGACTTTGAAGGCGCAATCCGCCCTTTAAGTGGCGGAAGTCCTGCCACCCAGGCCACACCTATATAACGGCTGGTCACTGAGAGACGTGCCACTCGAAAACTTGCATTCTATCTATCTTATGTCGCCCACTTCCTCCCCGCTATCCAGCCTGACGTCGCTGTCAGAGGACGACGCGCCGACCGCGCCTCACCTCGACACAAACTCCGCGCCCGAAGGCACACATGCCTGTCCAGCAACGTCGGGATTAACAAACGATCCCACCTGTCCAGATGATGAAGACCTCAGCGAGGCGCAGAAGAGGAACCGAATGAAGGACCGGTGGGTGGAGGAGGTCTCGCAGCTGAGCACGAAGTGTTTCGGCTGCAAGGGCGCCATTAGACTCAGCGACGTGTACGAGTCCAGGAAATGGTACGAAATCGAGAAGTACTGCTCTCATGCCGCACTCTTGGAGGAAAGCGGGACGTTGGCACGTTCGCTCTCTGGAGCGAAGGGTTCGATTTTCGAAGGAGACGCTGCGAGGAGCAATGTCCGACGCGAATCTCACGGAAAGGCGCGCATCACCACCGCCTCCGCGAAGGCTGAAAAGGACAACAGCATCCCTGAAGATCCTGCGGCGAAAGACACGAGACGCCAGCCGTCTCGAAGCCGTCCCCGTCGGAACGTCAAGAGTCGCAAGAGTTCGGCGCACGCACCGCAGCAGCCAGCTCCTGCCGCGTCCACCCCTGATTATCGGGCGACTGCAGAGACGGAGGACAGCAAGACTCTGTTCGACGGCAGCGACAGCGAAGCGCCAGACAATTACAAGGGATCCAACGAACCCATCAGGCGGGGGCTCGGCGACGACTCGCTGGAGAAGCCTTCGATCGCGCCAGTCGCGAGAAAGGTTTGCGTCGGCAAAGATTCTGGCACGAGGGATATATCCAAGCGCAGAACAGGCAGGCGCGACGAGGGGGATGCGAGATCATATGGGTCTGAGGTGGACACACAGACGCAGGTCGGCAGTGTGTTCCCCGAGGACGAGGATATGGCCGCATGCGCGCCTCCTCGTCGGAATCACAGAGGTAAGGTCGCGCACGTTCGTTTCCAACAGAACACACCTTCGAGATCCAACAAGGATAGTGATCCCAGAGAGGCCAAGAGCGCGAAGACACCGGTCTACGGGGACATCCCACTTGTCGATGCGTTTCCTGCCGCTTTCACTCATAGCGACACCTTGTCTGCCGAGTTCCCTAAGGTTGCGTACTCGATCAACGGCATAGACGGGTTGCTGGACCTTCCTCCGCTGATCACATACGCGGAGTCCTCGATGCGGTCCACATTGCAAGATACGCCAACGGACGATGCTGGAGGCCCGTGCAACGGTTACGACCATGGCGATACGAGCAAAGATATCACCGTCGAAGTGCAGTATAGGGGGGTGGATGATATGGTCGTGCGCGCCGTAGATAGTTAAGTCCGGTAGCTAGCTACATGATGACGGAGAAGCAGAGCTCGTAGATATCGTTCGCCAAGTGTTGGCGTTGAAAAGTCGCAGATACGTTATGATACCCAATGGAAAGTTAGACTGCTTAAACAACGTAGGATCTGACCAGGACAGCGTCAGCTCTTTGAGTAAAAGTGAGTTCATGATGGCGGGAAGAAAACACTGGCGGGAGTTGCCGAATAAAATATTAGTAAGTCAGTCCGTGAATGCCCTTGTCCTTTACCCCCATCACCGGCTCGCGGAGCGGCAGCCCAAGCTGCATGTGCACAAAAGCGCACATCGGGCCACGCTGGCCGTCTTGACGTCCCGGCGCTGCGTGCTCACAAGTCTGCATTTCATGGCTATCTTTCCCGAAGCGAACAGTGAGAGCTGGGCCTTCGATTCGTCGAATGATCAAGAGATGGAGGCGAGGATCTCCCAAGACCCATTGTCGATCGCTGGAGACACGATGCACAAGCTAGCTTTATCCCAACCTCTTAGCAACAGACTGTGCTTTCCGATGTTTAGAATTCCTCCCTCCGTGCCTCGTCCTTCTCCCGGAGACGCGGTGCAACCACGGGGCCTAGGACGCATGGATGCGAAAGCCCGGGCAGCATCGCTGGGTCAACTGACACTTTCGCGATGTTCTGGTCATTTGATACGACGCTCGACGTCACTTTCCTCGACGGGCCGTCTCGCAGAAGGACCGCCGTTGCCGTCCCTTAACGGCCCGCTTCTGCACATATATATCGCCAAGATGTTCTGAATCGCGGCGACACTTGGTACCCTCCCGAGATTACGACGATGATTCATCTACGCTTCGCTGCTCTCGCTCTTCTGGGGTCTGTCGTACGAGGCGTGCCCGCCGTTGTCGAAGACCGTGCGCCTACCCCCTTCAAGCACCTTGCAGCCACCGAGCACGATGCATCGAACGCAACCATTCAACACACCCCGCGCGCCCAGATCTCCGCGAACTACGTCTTCACCGCTTTCACCGACCAGTCCGAGTCGAATTTATACGTGTACACCTCCTCCGACGCGGTCAACTTCGATCTGCTCGCGGGCCCGACGTACACGCCGGCGTCGGGCTTGATTCGCGATCCGAGCGTTGTGTACTGGAATGATCAGTATTATTTGGCTTGTAAGTGCATCACTGATTCTTCTTGTCGACTCAGCTTGATTGTCGATGGTGCCTATGTGGACGGCGGTGTCCAACTATGAAGGGAACCGGAATTGATAGCGCCCGCAGACACTACCGATTGGACCGGGACGAACTTTGCTATCGCGGTGAGCATGGGTGTCTCTGTAGTTGAGGCGACGCGATCCTGATGCACGGACAGAGCAGTACTGATATGAAGACCTGGACGTTGTTGACTACTGTGTCCACCGCCTCGAGCGTGATCACGCCGCAGAACACCTGGGCTCCGGTGCGTGTGGTGCTTCCCTCTACCAGAGCGTCGCTAATCACTAGGCTTCGTACAGGAGTTCTTCCAGGACCCCAAGGATGGCAGCCTCAACATCGTCGTCTCACTATCGACTGGGTCGTATGGCCCCTTCCTCCCATACGTGTACACCGCGACGGACGACTCGCTGAAGAACTGGAGCGGGCCGACGGTCATGTCAGGCATCTCCAACGCGGGGCTCGGCTACATCGACACGTTCCCGGTCTACTACAAGTGCGTTGTGTTTATTATGTTTCCCATGGCGTTGCTAGTCTTGAGTTACTTGACTGACGATCACCTCAGCAACGAATACCACATCTTCACCAAGGCGGAGAGCAATGACAAGAAGCATATCGAGCACGCGGTCGCGTCTTCGTTGACGGGTCCGTACGAGTTCGTGCAGACGGGTGACTTTGCGGGGTGGGGGCAGTTGGAGGGGCCGTGTGTTACCCGGCTGGATGACGGGACGTTCCGCCTGTGAGTATCAGAACAACATTAACGAGAGAGTGCTGACGAGCATACCTAGCTTTGCCGACGGATACAGCACTAGTAAGTCAGCATGAGCACGCCTAATGTCAGAGGACTGAAGGCATTCTTGCAGGCAAGTACGTGTACACGGATTCATCGGATCTTTACAACTGGACGGCAACGACCAACCTTCCGGGAGGCCTAAGTGGATTTGTCCGCCACGGAACTGTATTGAATCAATAAAGATACTTCGAGAATGTAATATACAATGCATATTTGAAGTGGGCATATCATATTCAACGACCGTCCTAAAGATCAAAGTTCCGAGCCTGGCGAAACGGTCACGTGATTGTTGAAAACTCAACGATGGTCACGTGAAGGAACACGAGGTAAACGCGTTTCCAGGATTACGGGTTGGATTTTCGTAACTTGTCCTCGGCGCTCTCGCTGTTCCTCAAGTCCTCAAGACCTCCTTTCTTCCCTTTCTCTTCGACGGCGTCAGGCCCAGCTCGAAGCATGTCCGCCCAGGTGTACCCGCCCCAGACGTACCGCATGGCACCGGCGCCACCCGCGGGCCAGCCGCAGCGCAATCGCCATCCCCTCAACCCCGTCTACAGCAACGCCGGCGCCGGCAGGCAGTACGTAGCGCAGGCTACGCCGCCGAAGCCGGTTCATTATGAAAAGCACCCCGAGCCCAAGGACCCGCCGCTCCCGAGGCAGAACAGCAAGACCCTGCCCCCATCACCCCCGAAGATCATCCTCGACCACTCAGGCGGCCTCCAGTTCCAGCGCATCGGCTTCCTGGGCGAGGTGCGTGGGCTGCGTACTGGACAAGTCTCCCTCGCTGACGTCGCCACAGGGCGGGTTCGCCCGCGTCTACGAGGTCAAGGACCACCGCGGCGTGCTCTCGGCATGCAAGGTCGTCACCAAGACCTCGCTCAAGACGAAGAAGGCCAAGACGAAGGTGCGCCGCCCCCTCATGTCCCTATGCCTACTCACCCCCACCCTCAGCTCTATGCCGAGATCAAAATCCACAAGTCCCTCTCCCACCCAAACATCGTCAAGTTCCAGGAATGTTTCGAGGACGCCGACAACGTTTACATGACCCTCGAACTCTGTCACAACGGTTCCCTCATGGATATGCTCCGCCGTCGCAGGCGCTTCACCGAGCCAGAAGCCCGCTACTACATGGTGCAGCTCATCGGCGCTTGCCACTACATGCACACCCACTCAGTCATCCACCGTGACCTTAAGCTCGGAAACCTCTTCCTCGACGCGAAGATGAATATCAAAGTCGGCGACTTCGGTCTCGCTGCGCTCATCGAGAGTCCAGGAGAGCGTAAGAAGACTATCTGTGGCACACCCAATTATATTGCCCCCGAAGTGCTCTTCGACACGGCCAATGGGCATAGTTTCGAGGTCGATACATGGTCGATAGGTGTCATTATGTACACCCTCGTCATTGGCAAGCCGCCTTTCCAGACCAAAGACGTCAAGGCCATCTACAAGTAAGCTCAAAGGTGTCGTTGGCCTGTCCTACGCTAACCTGTACTAGGCGCATTCGTGACAACGATTACGAGTTCCCGGAGGAGAAGCAGGTCTCTGCGGACGCTAAAACCTTGGTCCAACAGATTCTCATCAACGACCCGCAACTGCGGCCGACACTACATGAGATCGTGGACCACGACTTCTTCACGCAGGGCACTGTTCCCGCGTTCATCCCACCCACGGCCGCAGACAGTGCGCCAGACTTTAGGTACATCACCCGCCCAGTGAGCAAGGAAAACCTGAAGCGCCTGCGCCGGCAATGCTTGCTCGACGAGGACCAGACGACGTCTATTGCGCTGCCGAAGGGCTCCAGCCAGCAAAGCGCGCCTACACAGAAGACGGTTACGTCCAGCATCGCCGAGCAGGAGAAGGAGTTCCAGCGCGCCGTGCTGCCCGGATCGCCCATCTCGGCGCTTCTCAGCTCCGCGAGGCAGCCCCTGATGATGGGCACAGGCTCTGCGGCCCCACGCGAGTCCCCTCTGTTCCGCAAGCTGCAGGCCGCCGCTGCGGCAACAGCAGGCAAGGAGACGCCGCGGAAGGGCCACCTGCGCAACATCTCCGAGGAGGACGACGCGAACGCGGCGCTCCGGCGCGAGGACGAGCTGCGGCAGAAGGAGCTCGAGTCGCAGAAGGCACGTATCGTCGCGCAGATGGCGCCGGAGAGGGTCGAGGTGGAGGAGCGTGAGAACATCGCGCCTGCGGTGTTCGCGCACAAGGAAAAGGCTTCGGGCGACTTGTATGGGTCCGGGATGCCGGCGCGATCGACGTCCCGGTTGGCCACTGAGCAGACGCGCCCGGCGGGCAACTTGGCGAGGGCGCTTGATCCTGCGGCAAGGCAGCTGCCATCTTCGGCGGCGGATCCTGTGATGAGGCCGGTGAAGCAGACGGCGGCTATGAACGGCGCTAGTTCTCGCTCGCGTCCTGGCATGACGAACATGCCGCCGCCAGGCCAATCGATCCGCCCAACGCACACGGCGACATCGTCCACATCGTCGCTGTCTTCTACGACGAATCAACTATCGAAGCTCAGCGGCTTCGATGCGGCGGCGTATGTGCTCACTCTCGCGTTCGATGCGCGGAACAAAGGGCGGGTCTTCCGCGACCCACGCCCGGATCCCCATCTCCCGGTGCCCGATGAACAGGTCTTCATCGTATCCTGGGTGGACTACTGCAACAAGTACGGGATGGGCTACGCGCTCACGGACGGAAGTGTGGGGGTGCACTTTAACGATACGACGACTATGATATTGAGTGCTGACAAGGAGTAAGTTTGCGTTTGTACCTTCTCAGCGATGGCGAGCTCATCTCTCTTCAGGCATTACGACTACATCACGACGCGGCACGGGGGACAGTACTACGTGCGCAAGTCGTTCTCAGTGAACGACCCGCCGCAGGACAAGGACATGAAGGCGAAAGTCTACTTGTTGAAGCACTTTGAGCAGTATATTATGGGTCGGCTCTACGGGGCCTACGACTACACGTACGAGGACGTCGACCGTAAGACGGGCATGGAGTGGGTGCGGCAGTACCTGCGCATGAAGCAGGTCATCGTCTTCAAGCTCAGCCATGATGTCATCCAGGTGAGCTATCGTCTGCTCAGCTCATTGTCGTCGCGGTGCTAAGCCTCCGTAGTTCAACTTCTACGACCACTCGAAGCTCGTGCTGTCGAGCTCGGGCCTGCTCGTGACGCAGATCGACAAGAACTACAACATGCAAAAGTGGACGCTGCGGGATATAATGGCGGCGAGCTTGAGGCCCGGCGCCGAGAGCGACCGCACTACGCAGCGGCTGATCGAGAAGCTGCGCTACTGCCGTGAGGTGCTCCTGAGCATCCAGACGGCGGCAGGGCAGGGCGGCGCGGTGGAGCCCGGCGCACTTGGAGCGTTATGAGAGTCGATCGTTTACGAACGTCGACCGTTCTGACCGTCGACTGTCAACGACGCCGGGTGCAGGCAGGCCTCCGTATTCGCGCACCAGACGGTAAATCGGAGACGTAGGTCCTCGGTTTGCGCACGTTACATACATACCCCCCAGTGTGTCTATCTGCTCGAACTTCTCTCGCATGGCATCTCCTATACGCATTCATGATTCAGATACCGAACTCGCACGCATTCTTCCTATCTATTCTGGCATTCTTGTAAATCGTAATACGATATCTCCGCAATGGAAAGCATACAGTTCTGTACCCTCGAGATGTCGTTTGATAGAAGGAAGGTGACCAATGAGGCATATCGCTTAGACCTGTTTGCACTCCTTTTGCGGCACAATTTTGTTTCACCTGCTTGACCTTTACTATGGCGCACATCGTCGTGTACAACAACCGCGAGACCATCAGCATACCCCTGGGTGCTATTGACCTGCCTCCTAGCCCTTTCGAACCATCTTCCGTTGCTGATGAAGAGCAGACGTGGTCTACGGTGTCCGACGAATGTGGCAGCTCTGGTTTGCTTTCAAAGCTGCGACAACTGGATCGTCGTTCGCTCTTCACTGGCTCCATTGCCGACCTTGAAGTGACATATCTTATCCCTCCCCCCACCGACGGTGACGATGCATCACGAGCCCGACTGGTGAGTGGCACAGCGTCGCGCACTGACTGGTTTTAATCGTCCCCTAATTGCGTAGGAAAGTCTATGCAATGGCCTTAAACTTGGAGGCAACGATGAGACTTTCCGACTGGATGGTCTGATGAACACCTTTCTTTGTGCGTTATCGGTTTGTGACTTAGAACAGACCATCGCTCACGATTGCAGTGGAATCCTCGCTCCGCGTCAATTTGGACGCCTTCGCCACATTCATGATCCATATGCCATTATTGGAGTTCGCCCGTCTTTGCGACCAGCTCAGGAGAGACAACGAAGCCTGGGCCGAAAGAGCAAAGCACAATCCCGGCGCGGAGCGTATTCTAGGTGTACGTTCATCGCAATCGGCCATAACATCGCACTTACATGTTTGTCAAGAGCGCCAACTCGTACGAGATTCAGTGTCTGTCTTTCTACGCCCTTTCGCCTGCTTTCCTACCCAATGGCGCAACCATCCCGATCCTGCCGAATGAACATCGGACGCTTGATCGCCCTTGCCCCCATGCTGTACCTGATCATCAGAGGCCTAGGCATGCGCTTGACCACATCTGCGAGTTTCCGTATCCGCCTACGTATCGCGAGAGGAACGAGAAGCTTTCCCCGCTCGCATTGGCGGTCAATGCGCATTTCAAGCTGCAAACCTGGAAAGCAAGAGAATTCGATACCTCTGATAACTTCATCTTGGAGCAATACTGCAAGTTCTCGGACATGTTCATGGATTTGCTATATTTTGTACCCTCTGTCTCGCCTCGAGACAGCGAGAACCCAGCTCCGTCGCTCGTCCCCAGCACCGCCAGGGATAGCTCAGCTCTGCTACATCTCGGTACATCATTTACAATCGCTACTGTCGACGACCTCGATGACGATTACGATGACGATTACGAAACCGACAGCGACGAAAACACTGGATATGACCTCACCGCCGAGGAGGTGGCCATCGTTTCCCAACGGGCTTCAGACGGATCCCTCGGGGATACTGAGAGAGCCGAGGCGGCAATGCTCTTGATCGGGATGGCAGGATGTACGTACGATGATTGAATATGCTCAAAAAGGAACGTGTTGCTGATATATGCCAGATACCTTGCAACCGGACAATCCACTCGCAACCAGATTCTAGCAAGAAGCCAGTTCGTGAAGCCCTGCGCAAAAGCCGCTTCGTTTGGGCCAAGATGTATCAATTAAGCATGTATAATACCACAGCTAACTGCAATGTTCTCTCGGGCGTCAATCTTGCACACTTGGACCGAGCGGTGTGATGTACAAGTTGAACCATCACGTGGATATCACGGCGTCCAGCATCGGCAACAGCCGAATACTCCTTGGGCATCTTGGAACGTGCCATCACGAAGATTTCAACCCGCCTCGCAGTGATGCCAGCCCGACGCACTGGTCCCTTGGCGTCGGCAGCGCACTATGCTTCTTGACACTGGCAACACGCCCCCCACGGCCATCAGGAGAGCCCGACGAGGCATCGACGATAAATAGGGCACGTTCGTCTCTGGCGAGCACGTTCTCAGCAATTTTCGCCGCTAGTCGTGCCACCCGGGCGTCTCAGCGCTCTCGGCATCTCCGCCACCATACTGCCGCCCCGGTTACCTATCAGTCATCTCGCGTCGTGGCATTCATCGCGCGTCGGGGCATTCATTGGGCGTCCCGTCGTCATCCCGCGGCGAGGCATCCAACTGTGATTCAACTTGCGCCTAGACTCAGTCGCTCGCGATTCACACCACACAAACACCGAACAGACCAGTACGCGTACACCGGGCAAAGGCCCTGCACAAACGTAACGCGCTCTTATCGGCGGCCTTGCCCTGATTCGCCGTGCATTGACCAGGACGCGTTTGTGGGGACCGAAATAGACGGCGTGGCGCGGGCTTTATAGATCGGCGTGGCGTGGGCTTTATAGGACGCTGACGCGACCGGGAGCTTCGTCTGCAACCCTCGTCTCCTTCGGCATCGTTCAACTCTGTTGACACCGCTCACCTCCCTCTTCAACACCTGCTTTATGTCTACTTCGGTGATGGCGTCGGCGTCTGTGGCTGCACCCTACAAGGCGGGCGCGTCGTCGCGCCCGGCGCTGCTTCAGCGGAATTCCTATCAGTCTGACATGTCGCGCAAGTCGTCGAAGGCCCGTGTCATGGAGGTCTTTGAGGTGGGGACGAGTCCGCTATGCGTGGAGTCCCTTATTGACACGCCACTCATAGGCTGGTCAAGAAGTGCGCGTCCGGTATCGTTATGGCGGGCTCGACACGGAGTACTGGGCGCGTGCGAAGGTGGTGCGACCGCGGGACGGCGCGCTGTACGAGATTGAGCTGTCCGGCAGCCTGCAGACCCAGCGCTGGACCGTCTCCGCGCGCGACTTGCGCAGCGTCTTGCCCGCGCAAGTGCTGGACCCTTCGCCCACGCCCATCGTGGTGGAGCGGCCTGTGAACATCGTGCGTCTTGGCTGGCGCTCGAGAAGCTTCCCCCCACTGACGTGCCCAGAACGACGTCGTCTTTGCGGAGGTCAGCAACGGCGCATACTCGGTCTTCGTCCCTGCGCGCGTCGTGGTGAGATCTGCGTGGTATTGTCCGTTTTTGCGTCGGCTGACAGCTCGTTCCTAGGCTAAAAACGAGGGCGGCGGACTTCGTGTGGTGTTCCTCGATGGAATGCTGAAGGGGAAGACACAGACGACGTCCCGAACCGAGGTTTACTCGAAAGAACGCGCCAGCGCGCTCAAGAAGGCGGGTAAAAACGTCCTCGGCTCGGGCACGAAGAATTATCGCCTCTAGATGTAGAGGTTTCTTGCATGGACGGGATTATACTAATCTATAGATGGACTAGCGACTGACATAGACATAGATGGACTTCCTCTTTACATTATTGGTAGATCATGGCTCCGTAGAAGTGCTCTTGGGCTTTAGTATGGTAGATTACGACTGCTTTGAACTTGTTGGATATTGCTGCTTGTTACTTGGTTGTGCGGAAATCTAGTGGGCATTGGTGCTGGAAAAAGGACGTTCTGATATTGCACTTGCCTGCCGCGTCGTTTGTGGCGCTTCGTTGAGCTGGACGACGTCACAACAGCGTCCAATTGAGGAAGGTATTGTTCTTCGGACGTCACGGGCCGCAACTGCAGGACACGTCTTCTCCGTCGACGTCGACGTCGGGATATCTTCCTGACTCCGTACACCCATCTCGAGAGCAATCAGCTCCTCCCCAAAACGTGCATACTCCTCGAGCGCAGCGCAGCGTGTTGCACAGGAAGCCCGGCGCGCGTCTGGACGCGTAGCCACGAGTCGCAGCTATGGGCGTTCTGCGGTCCATCCTCATTCCCCTCTATGCTTGCAAATTGGCCTATGCCGCCAGCCCACCAGTGAAGGTCTCCCTGAGGTTGTCGTGGGCTGCACCACATCCCTTGGTTGAGACCTTGTACGTGTCCGTCCCCAACGTCTCCGCCAGCGGACTGACCGTCCGAGCAGGGAGACTGTCGCGCAAGAGAATCGGGATGCATTCTTCCCCCTCCTCGATGCCTTGACCGATGGGGACAAGCTGGTATCCCCACAGTCCCTTACCCCCGAAGCTGCATATCAGGCAGCACTCGAGATCGCAGCGTCTGGTGGACTGCTAAGCAAGCCAGGCTCGCTGGCGGCTGTGGAGATGAACCTGGCATTGCACTCCGCAACACCAACAATCGAAGCCTTCCACCAATACTACGAGAACCTGAACCAGTGGGTAGAATGCGGCTCCTGGGTCGATTGGTATGGCCAAGTGGTGTGCGACGTCGAAGAACTCGCCCGCCTCGCCGGCATAGAGACCCTAGACGCCAACACAACTGAGAAGAAGTACGTGACGTGTCTTTTCCTTCGTTCCCTCCCTGACTTTCAACCCCCAGCGAAGAATTCATCCGACCCAAGCTCCTCGCATTCGATCACGTCTATCCAGATCCCCAATATGAACTAGCGCGTCCCCCTCGCACCGCCATCCTCTACGCGTCGTTATTCTCTCCCAACTTCCGTGATCTGCACTCGTATCTGTACGAGCAAGCGTCACGACCGGCTACACACGTCGAATACGTCGTCCGCTATGTGCCCGAGCAGGATGCACGATCACCAAACTCGCTGTCGGGCTACGGCGTCTCCCTCGACTTGAAGAAGACAGACTACCTCGTTATTGATGACAGGGCCGCTCGTATACGCTCTTCGGACGGCATTGAAGAGGCGACCGACGACGACGAAGCCCGTGACGATATCTTGACGCTGATAGAGGCATACCCGGTCAATGACACGGTGTCAGATTCCAGCGAACCACTCTCAGAGGACGAGATACGGGGTGCGTATCCCTCAGCGGACATTCCTCAATCTTAGCTAACACCTCAGCAGAGCTCGACATGAAGGCCACCCAAATCATCATCGACTCCTCGGACCCCCTGCGCACCCTCCTCGACCTCGCGCAGAATTTCCCGCGCTATGCCGCTCCCCTCGCGCGTCATTCTATCCCTCTCAACGATACCGTCGCCGCCGAGCTCGCGCACAACGCAGCCAAGGTCCAGCAGGGCGGCAGTATGATGTGGCTGAACGGCAAGGGCGTCGCCGAGAGGGACATCACCGCGTTCGGGCTGTTGAGATTACTCCGCAAGGAGCGCGAGGTCGTGCTGTCGTTGACGGGGCTCGGGCTGAGCGCCGGGCAGGCTGTTGAGCTGATCACGCACCCAGCGATCGCGGCAGCGCAGAAGGGGAAGGACTACGCGGATGGGGTCTTCGACGCGAGCGACAGGGAGGAGGGCGGTGACGTGATTGTGTGGTGGAACAGTATGCTCGAGGACAGCCGGTACGCGCGGTGGCAGCCCTCCATCAATGCGGTACGTGCGCTGTTGGGGGGCGTGCGCTCGCTTGACGCGGTAATTGACGGCTCTTTGCCTATTCACAGCTCCTCCGCCCCCTCTACCCGGGCCAGTTCCCGAGCCTGAAGCTCAATCTCTTCAACATCGTCATCGTCGCGGATCTCACGGACCCGGTCGCGTTCAACTTCGTGTCCAACTCGGTCTCGAATATAATAGATAGGAACTTCCCCTTCCGCTTCGGTGTGGTGCCCATTGGCGAGTCGTTGGATAGTGAGTGGCTTGCTGCCAGCGTTTTGTACTCGATCTCATCTTGCGCAGGCGAAAGGCTCGCCAAGCTTTTCTACGGCATGATCCAGGAGTTCGGGCGCAAGAAGACCATCATCTTCATGCGCAAGGTTGGCTATACTGGAGTAAAGCCTTGGGCTCACGGCGCTGACAAGTTGCTCAGGTCGCGGGACGGCACACCACCGAGCCTAAGATCGACTGGGGCATCGTCGAGTTCGAATATGACGATATGGTGGACCAGCTCGAGGCCAAGGACCCCTCGAAGCAGTACCCCGAGCTCGACGACTTACTCAATCGTGATGTGTTGCCTCAATCCAAGATTCGCAGCTACACTGAACGCCTGGATCTGGACACTTCGTCCAACAAGCACGGCTACGTCTTCGTGAATGGGAAATACTTCGAGCTTGACGATGTGGGTAGCCTCGATAGACATCCCCTTTCATCACTGAATCGTGAGATCCCTGCAGACCTTCCTCCGCGCCATGCAGAGCGAAGTCGCACTGCAGACGAACTTTTTGCAGGAGCAGGTGGGTGATGATAAAGCAGCATACTCTGAATGCTCACCAAGACTACGCAGCTCTACGCCGGTCAACTGTCCGAGGACGACTCCGCGAGGATGGAGACCTATTTCTACGACCTTCCTGGCGCGCAGAAGCGGCGAAGTGCATACATCCATCAGCCGGCGGATGAGCTGGTCATCGAGAGCCTCCCGGAGTTGCTAGCTAAGGCGAGGCTGTCTCTCGCGCCCTCGTCATACGTGTATCCGCGTGCGTAGTTCGCTGGTGCTGCCTTATGGGTCGCTAACGTGCATGACTAGCCGAGGCCGGATTCTTGCCTCTCACAACATACGTCGTGGCGGATTTGGACAGTGAAGAAGGTCTCGGGCTTGTCAAGGAAGCGCTGCTGTCCCTGGTGAGTGGTCCGAGCAACAGCACTGCACCCACGCGTACTAAATTATATCAACCTTAGGACGAGACGTCGCGCACGAGACTATCCTTCATTCACAATCCCAAGGACGTCGAGGGAAGCCTCGTTGACAAGCAGCCATACTCAGTTTCGTGGACCATAGCGCATCTCGTCATGAAGCAACGCCTGTCCCGCGCTACCCCCGCGAAATTACTCCAGGCCTTTGGTCTCGATGCGGCACCTGCGGAACAGGCGCAAGGCTCGCAGACGCCCTTGTCCCGCGAAGGAGGTCTTGCCGATCTTGTCGATGGGATCACCACGGACTCGGACGCCTACGAGGCTTATATCAAGAGTTCTGTTCTCCTCGCGCGCGAGCTGCATCTCCAGCCCGGGCAGTCGGCCGTCGTCGCTAATGGTCGGGTGAGCGGTCTTCTGTCCTCTCAGATCAGGTTGGACGACTGACGGGTCCGGTCTAGGTAGTCGGTCCTATCGAGCGGAAGGAATTCAAGGCGGTCACGTTTAAGGACCTCGAAGAGTACGAGATGAAGAAACGTGTTGGTCCTATTACGGAGGCATTGTCCAAGATCACTCCTGAGGCGCTCGAGCGCGATAGGTTTGTGTGCTGTCCCTTGCGCACGACTTTAGTATCTCACTCTTTGCAGGGCTTCTGTTGCAGAGTTGCTGTCTACGGCCTCATCTGTCGTTGCCTCGCTACAGATCCCCGATCCGAGTGAGGTTGGGCTGTACCAGGCTCCGGCAAGCCCCAGGCTGCGCAACTATAATCTATTGGAGGGTCGGCATACGTATGTGGCAGCTCCCCTCGTAAATGGCAGGTGTTTACGCTTTGACTAGGTCATTCGAGTTTGGTGACAACTCGACTGCTCTTTATCAGTTGGCCGTCATTGTAGACCCCTTGAGCGAAGCTGCGCAGAAGTGGACACCGTTGTTAGCGGTATGTGCTCAACTCATGGCATTGCTTTGCTAGAACTGAAGCCTCGTCAGTGGCTAGCCAATGTTCCAGATATCTACATTCAAGTCTATCTGAACCCAGCACCACTCAAGGAGGTACGGCCTTTGATTGAATGCAACCCCCTTTGCTGACGCTTGTTCAGCTACCTTTGAAGCGGTTCTATCGCTACAACGTCCGTCCAGCTCTGGAGTTCGACGAGCAGGGCAATGAGGTCACCGCCGAGACCATCTTCCGAGGCCTCCCAGTCGACCCGATCTACACCCTAGGCATGGACGTCCCTCAATCCTGGCTCGTTCGGCCAAAGAAGGCTCTCTACGATCTCGACAACGTCCAGCTCAATCACCTTGACCCCCGGGATGACGCCCTTGAAGCTGTCTTTGACCTGGACTACATCGTCGTGGAGGGTCACGCTCGCGAAGGGTCCGGCGCTCCTCCCCGGGGTCTGCAGCTCGAGCTGCTGGCCGGCGAGACCCCGATTGACGACACACTCGTCGTTGCCAACCTGGGCTATCTGCAGTTTAAGGGCAAGCCCGGCGTGTACAGGCTCGCTATACGCCCAGGTGTCGGCCCGAAGGTGTACGAGTTGGAGAGTGTTGGGAGCCAGGGTTGGGATAGCCCGCCGGTCAATGTCAGCGGCCCGGAGGTTGCCGTGACGAGCTTCGAGGGCATCACTTTGTACCCTCGGTTCGCAAGGCGGCCGGGCATGGAGAGAGCAGACGTTCTCTCCTTGCGAGGTCTACCCGAAGAGCCGAAGGGTTTCCTAGAGAGTCTCAAATCCAGGTAAGCTCTACTACCTGATTGAAGGTGGCCGGCGCTGATCTTTGCTCTAGCCTTACCTCTTGGTTCTCTAACCCACCTCCCATGCCCGCTGAGGTTGGCAAAGCGCAGGCCGACATCAACATCTTCACCGTCGCCTCAGGCCTGCTGTACGAGCGCTTCGCGTCCATCATGATCCTCAGCGTGTTGCGGAATACCAATAGCACGGTGAAGTTCTGGTTCATCGAGAATTTCCTCTCACCGACGTTCCTGGTACGAACCCCCTGTCTCCTTGTCCTATCCTGCCGCCTCACCCAAACCCAGGAATTCATCCCCCACTTCGCCGAGGAGTACAACTTCCAATACGAGCTCGTCACATACAAGTGGCCATCGTGGCTTCGCCAACAAAAAGAGAAGCAGCGCATCATTTGGGCGTACAAAATCCTCTTCCTCGACGTGCTCTTCCCCATGGACCTCAAGAAGGTCATCTTCGTCGATGCGGACCAGATCGTGCGGGCAGACCTCAAGGAGCTTGTCGACCTCGATCTGCATGGTGCGCCGTACGGATACACCCCCATGGGCGACGACAACACGGAGATGGAGGGCTTCCGCTTCTGGAAGTCGGGCTACTGGCACGACTTCCTGAGAGGGCGCCCGTACCATATCAGCGCGTTGTACGTTATCGATTTGGACCGCTTCCGCCGTATGGCTGCCGGGGTAAGAATGCATTGCACCCTCTCGAAGTCCACGAGCTGATGCGTGTGAAGGACATACTGCGTCAACACTATCAGGCGCTGTCGGCAGATCCTGGCTCGCTGGCCAACCTTGATCAAGATCTTCCGAACAACCTGCAGCGAGAAGTGCCAATCGTACGTCGAAGTCGTTGTTTGTACGCATTACTGATCAGGTACAGTTTTCCTTGCCCGAGGACTGGCTATGGGTATGTATTCCGAGTTCTCCAGCCCTTTTTGCGCCCCTCATCTGCCCTCCAGTGCGAAACATGGTGTAGCAAGGATCGCCTACACCGCGCAAAGACCATCGATCTTTGCCAAAACCCACTCACCGTGCGTCTCTGGTTCATCATATCGACCACCACTTTGCCTCCAACGCAGTCTACAGAAAGAACCGAAACTCTCGCGTGCGCGTCAAATTCCGGAATGGGAGGTATACGACGCTGAAATCGCTGGGTTTACCCGTCGGTTGGCGGAGGAGGGCGCAATCCAGTCTCGCCTGGCGGCCGCGGATGCGAATGCGCTGGCGAATAGCGGGGGCTCAACGGAGGACGCAAAGACAATGGCATCAAGCGCAAGTGAGGTTGAGACTCAAGTCGCTAAGCCGGGGGAGTACCCCATCGATACGCACTTTGGTCACGTTGCAGAGGAACTCTGATGTGGCCATTCTAAATATTGTCTGAGCTGATCATGCATATATTCGCGGACCAATGTGTGAACCCGGTCATTGAGTACTGTATAAGGATACAGTCACGGTGTCGATGTGACAGCCTTGCACTGGCAGTGGCTGTGCGGTTCTCCATTTGCTTTCCACCATCATGTCGCTCGATTCTGAATCTCAGCAACGAATCCCCCCACAGCTCTACGACAATCTGGAACGCCTCGATGCGGAGGACGCGCGCGTATGGGAAGCGAGCCCGTTGCCCGGTATCGCCCAGCCTGCAGACGATCTGATGGAATATTGGCGGCAGGCTCGCGACGGCAGCCGCTCTCAAGAGCTGTACAGTGACCTGAAGGATTATCGGACGTTCGTGCCGTGTCCTTTGGACCCGTTCGATGGACTGCAAGCCGTTCTTATACGAAGAGAGTACGAAGCCGCTTGGAGCAATCTGGAGGAGGCTTTCGTTGCTGGGAAACAAAACTTCATAACGAAGGAGGGACCTTTGCGTTACGGTGCGCAACCTACTCCTGTGGACTGAGTTTCGACTAACCGAGCTGGTCTAGCTGGTCATCCGACTCCTGCGGCTCGTGCTCCGTTCAACTACGCGTTCACCCTCACAGGTTATCCGGGCATCGGTACGTCTACATTCCCCTGCCGTACAGCATCTCGGCTGAGCGCACCGTATAGGAAAGACCATGTTCCTCGCCTTGGCGCTATTACGATGCCTCGAGAGACATTGGACTGTAATCCTACCAGACAATTCCCGACAAAATCCTCATCTTCAACTCTAAGGGCGTGTATGCGATACCATCCACGGTCGAACCGGCCGAACTCGCGCAAGGGCTTCCTCGGACAACTTGGTGTCTTGTCGACTCGAACACTGCCCTTGAAAGCGTGCCCCACCATATCCTGATCCTCGATCTGTTTCTCATTCAGGCCACATCTCCACAAAGCAACAGAACTTCGTGGTCAACAAAGCGGGAGACCATGTTTGATTTCTACATCATCGATCCCATGCCTCTCGACGAGGCGCAATTGGTGTGCGTGCACGCGTATCGTCCTATCATGGATGTCGCGGCTCATCGCCTTTAGATATTCCTTACAGCGCGACGCGGTGCTATCGCAGGCAACCGATCGCATCATACAAGCATATTACGACCGATATGGGCCCTCTATGCGCCTCGCTCGCGCCGCCGGCGCAGAGGAAATCGAGGATTGGGACAAATTTCCAGCCGAGCGACTCACAGAGGCTCTCGCGGACCTCACTCTGCCGCAGCTTGAGAAGCTCGCGAAGCACGCATCGCTCTTGCGCATGGATGACAAAGTCTCATCGGCCATCCTCTTGATTCGTCCCGGAGTCACGCGCGACGTGGTGCAAGTTGACTTCGTCTCCACACATGTCCTCCTTCGTTGCTCGAATAGTCTGTCGCTATCTCGGTTTGATCTCCTGCGACACTTCTACCGCCTCTTCGCCTCGAGTCCGCAAGCCAAAGCTGTAGCTGGCAATTTGTTGGAAGCGCACATGGATCATCTACTGCCCATGTCCTATTCGTGGTCGGTCACGAAAAGGGGGGACTCTGCCGGCAAGCCTGACGATAGTACTAAATATCGAATGGTCGTCTATGGGGGCTCGACTGATACCCTCCGTATTGAGCTGGATGATGGCAGCACGCAGGTCCCATCCAACGAGGTGCTTGAGTATAACTCAGGAGAGAGCATCAAATTGGAAGGGAAGTACTACATGCCAAAAGCGCGGAACGAGCTCACAATAGACTCATTCATCTACAATCCTACAACAAACACCATCACCGCCTTCCAGATCACTGTCTCAGAGCAGCACTTAGTCGACATAGAATATTTTCTATGGCTGAAGACGCTTCGTGGCTCGAGTGCAGATGCACCAGCTATCGACCTTGTCATCATTTCCTCTGACCCAACCGTTAGACTTCCTCACAAAGACACCGCGACGAGCGTCATACGGAGTATGTATGATTTATACCTTGATGACCTCCCTGCACCATGCGGTACGTCGTCCATCCTCGCCTTGCTTCGGCGCGCTCAACAGTTAACAGATGAGCTGCCACCTAAACGGCGACGTCTTGCTGACCCTGCAACACAGACGATCGAGTAGGATGAGTCATGCAGGGCTGCCAGTGAGCATGCAAGCACTGTAGTATCCCTAGATTGTTGTGAACTGATACTTATATTGTGTTTGCGACCACTGATTGTAATATATTCATAAGCCCACGACCGGAGAGACGGCGGACGCATGCACCTTCCCGAGTTCGCCTCGCCGTCATGGAGCGAGCGACCGCTGGTAGAGCACCAATAAGTACCGCCAGTGTCCAGAAAAAACTCACCTGGAAGTCGGCGACTCAGGCATTTCCGGTGCACGAGTGTATCGCAGTGTATGATCACCCAGAAGAGGAGGGCCAAATGTGGCCAAGGGAGCATACACCATTCCGGTTTCAAAGTACATTCACAGGATAGTCATCCAAAACGAGCTGATTGTGAGGCAAACACTGTTTGTATACTACCGTCTACAACCAACGCCGCACGAGCCACAGCATCGAGAGAACGAGTACAGCGAGAGGGTTGTGAAGGGCGAGCGCGCTGTTGTTGTCGCTGCTGCTGTCGCCGCTGCCCACTGTCTGGCTCGGGCTGGCCCCGGAGCTCGTCGGGATGGAGTCGTGAGACGACAAGTTCCGAGGGTCGTACTCGGACGGGACGGAGAGGATGATACTGTCGAGGTCTGGGTACTATCAGCTTCGTATTCATGTACGCGCCACAACGCCGAGTGCACGCGTAACGGTACCCCACTCACCAAAGTACGAGTTGTTCTCGCCCGCGATGTTTGCGAGGCGCAGCGTGTACGTCTCGTTCGCGAGGTTGGACGCGAAGTACTTGAGCGACGGTAGCTGCTGCTCGCACGTCTCACCGAACGCGCCGCCGCAGCCGGAGACGCCGCTCAGCACCTGCGAGCTCGAGCCGGAGGAGTTGGAGCTGAGCGTGACCTCGTAGAGCCCGTGGTCGTTCTTCTTGTCGCCGAGGACGTAGATGGCGGAGGCTGGGGGTGGGAGTGTTGAGGCGCGAGGGACAAAAGTGGAGCGAGGAGACGAAGCAAGCGTGAGCGAAATGCAATCACGAAGGAGAACACCCACGCACCGGTGAAGTTGAGCTCAAAGTATGCGCCGTCGCCGTTCGTGTACGTCGAGCCCCCGCCGCTGAAGTTGCCCGACTGGTTGTTTCCCCACTCGCCCTCGTACTTGATCCGCCCGTCCGTCTCCTCCAGCGTCTGGTTCTCCACCGTCGCCCCCTTCGGCGCGAGCTGCACAGTGGTCTGGATGAAGTCGAGCAGGAGCCCGCCGTTCCCGCGGCTCGACAGCGTGAGCTCATGGTGGTCGTACGTCAGGTTCTGCGCGCTGTAGAGCACGTAGGGCAGCGTCGCGTTGCTGTCCTGGTGCGCCGAGCGCTGGAGCACGACCTGGTCCAGGCGCACTTCGTAGTCCCCGTAGTCGGGCCCCGCGGCGCCGAACACCCAGACGGTGGGGCCTGTGGCGCGGAAGGGTGGTCAGCAGAAGCACAGCGCATCGCGACAGCCACGCACCAGTGAAGTTGAAGCTGACGCTCGCGCCCTCGGTCTCGGTGTAGTGGTACGTGCCGCGCAGCCACTCCTTGCTGTCCGCGTTGTAGTCCGCCGAGAAGGGGTCTGGCGTCTGCCAATCGCCCTGGTTCGGATACCAGAGCACCGAGTCGAAGTCATCGACCGTCACGTTCACGTTCACCGCGTCGGAGTCCATGGTGGGGGGAGGGCGGGAAAGGCTGATTGCTCTGGAGAGGCTGCTTGTTCAGAGGGCACCTGTTGTCGTCGTCGCCAGTAGATGATCGGCTCTCCACAAGATCGCACTCTTTCGTCTTCAGCTTGCGTGCGCTCGTCGTCAAATAGGGTCAAGTGAGCAATAAGGACGGTCTACAACAGGACAAAGGAAAGCAGATGAAGGCAGGAGGAAAGACAATGAAATGCATGTCATAAGACGCAAGTTGCAACGCCTTCTCAGGATCGGCCGGCGGAGGCGGCGACGAGGCATGTTTCCCGCTCATTCAACCGCGTCCTCCGACATTCACATCGCCTTGGCATCGCCGCGAGGTACTGCATATCACGGACCAAAGATCCGGTGATGACTGACAATGGCCAGGTCAGTGGCTAGAGGGTGAACCCCAGGGAGAAGTCCGTCTCACGAGATGCGACGAGATATTACCAGGGCGTTGCCAAGCTTAATTTAAGAGAAATGAATTCTTTGAATACTTCGAGATCATACCCAGTCCATGACAAGTACGACTGAACTTCGTGAACCCTCTGAACTCGCCTGAAAAGCTTGAGAATCACCTGAGATGCGTACGAATCGCAAGGCGGGCTCTCTTGTTTTTTCTAAGTCCAACTCCGGGCGCGAAGTTCGAGCGTGAGAGTCGCCTAACATGGAAATGCCGCCGGTACCTTCTTGACTCCCACCACCACCACCACCACCACCACCACCACCACCACCACCACCACCATTGTTGTTGTTGTTGCCGCCGCTTCTAGGTCGTTCGTGCAAGTGCTTATCCTACTGCCGTCGCCGTCGTATCGCTGTTCCCGAAAGGCTCTGGTACGTGGCAGCACACGAAATGAACCCACGTTCTCACTATCCGTTGTCAGCGCCGAATCTCGAGCAGTCGCGCCTCCTCTCTGCACTAGCCCACGTCGCGAACCTCTCTTACTCCCTCCGAGTATTCCACTAGTGTAGTACCGCCACGCCGCTGGACCACCACCCTCTCCCACATCAAACCAGTAGCCGCCACTGTCTGCGAGACCTCCCGTTGTGCGGCCCCTTCATGAATCACCACCACGTCCTACAGGCCGGTGTGTAACGCGTCGTGTTAGCCCGTGTATATTTACATCACATCCTTATTGTTAGCCTACGAGTCGTTGTAAATAGTGTCCTGTGCTCAATATACTTGATTTTTCCATCTTAAATCGTGTGCAAGGCGATGTGATATAAGTACAACCATATCATGAGGTGCTACTGTAGCGATGTGATGCTTGAAACGGATGAATCTGCGTAAGACCGCGCACGACCTCGGACAATTCAAAATATCTCGTGGTGCGACGACGTGCTACCATAGCGATGCAAAGGATTTCGAAGCGACCTGAAGTGACCTGGACACACGGTGTTCTCGCTGGGGGTGAACACTGAACAGACTGGCAAACCAGTCAGTCGCCGCGTATGGGCGACAGCTAGGAAATCTCCTGCTCGACTACCGCTTCACATCGAACAAACAGCGTCCGGAGTACACCAAGGTTACTAGTGATAGATGTACAATAGTTTGTGGAGATAGATAATTTGTCCGAAGTCCTCATGAAGTGTCCGTGGTAGTTCGTAATCATGTTCGGGAAGCCTCTTCACTTGCACTGAGAGCCAGTGCCTCAATTGCACCAGAAGTAGTTTCCGGGGATCACATTCGGGCACCCCTGGGTGTCTGCAGGAGCAAGTGAGCGAGGGTGTGAGCTAGAATGTCGAAAAACGCTCACCCTTGTCGACAGGGCAGTCCGCAGGGTCGTCGCAGCACTTAATGCAGGCGCGGTTGCCCGCCGGCTCAACCAGCTCGACGTAGTGGTTGTAGCTGGCGCGCTAGATGAGTTTCTAACCCATACAAGAGTCCACGCAACTCACCCGAGGCAGACGCTACCCTGAGGGTTCCCCTGTTCGCCAGCACCGCCGCTGGAGTCGTACTGCCCGCCGGCGTCGTACGCGTTCAGGCGGTCGACCTTGTTGGGGTCGAAGCAGCCCGTCACTGTATCGCCGTCAGCACCCCGCTCGACTCGGAAGGATCCTTCCGATAGGTAGATACGCACGCTGAGCGATGCGCCCGCCATTCTGCCCATTGCCGGACACGAAGTCCACGTTCGTCCAGAAGTCGCCGGGGAGCGTGCCCTGCGCGTCGTCGTAGTGCCCGGACGGCGAGCAGTACGTCTTCATCCCGCCCGGGTGCTCACTGTCGCCGACGTTCGTGTGCTTGGTGCGCGGCATGATCATGCTGGCGGCGAGTTAACCGTTAGCGAGGATAGCGGCGCCCGCCAAGTGCGTAAGCGTACCAGAAGTCGTTCTGGTTCGTGATGTAGACGATGTTGTCAGCCGCCTGGCGGGGCGAGATGGACGCCGCGAGGGCGGGGGCGCCGAGGGCGCCAGCAAGGAGGAGGGTGCGGAGGGAGAACATGGTGTGTGCGCGGGTCGTCAACGAAGATGAAGGGTAGAGGTAGAGGTATGTGCGCGTACGCGAGGTGGAGGGGGATGCGAAAGGCGATAACGCAAGAGGACAAGGACGCGCCTAGCGGGCTTATATACCCGCCGCCGCGGGTGATCGTGGCTGGCGTCCTTCCGCATCGGCCCATGTCAAAACGTCGATCATGCAGAAAGCATAATGCTCGGTGGAGCGCAAGGCGTTTCACGTGCATATGGGGGAGCGCGTTCAGTTCAGTGAGTCCAGTTCTGAATTTACTGAATTCGAAACCTGCGTGGCCAAGGCGAGCTTGAAACCGTCAGCTGGACTTTGGCTGTTCAGTGGTGTCCTCGGGCAAGGTCCCCGACCCTGCACTTAGTCCTGAATGCGGTACGAAACCGTGTAAGATGAAAGAGGACCGCCGTAGCCTCACAGCGCAAGCGAAATTCGGGATGTATGAAAAGCAGCGGCCAGGGTTCCGCTTCTTGAGGATTCGAGGCTCTACATCTGGGTATTCATGGCTTGTGGATGCGGGCAGAGGACGCCGAATGCCAGCCGGCGGGCGTACTGTATATTCGAGAAGAGGGGGCACGACGTGGGGATCGCGCGCGGGGATCATGAGGGCCGGAAGCAAGTCCGATTTGGAATCCGGAAGGTTGAAGTAACGTCACGTTTTGTCACGTCGACCATTTTCCTCTCAAACTGTGGACGGAACAGTATTCTTCGCTTCAAGCCAAAAGAACCGCCAATTGTTCCACAAAGAGCGGAAGCCCACGTGCGTACAGTCGTCCCATCGCACCCTATCTACCATTCAGGCGGCAGCTCATCAAAATCCGTGATTTTCTGAGCAAACGTACGTTCACATATACGACAGATCAACGCATCGTATGGAGCAGGCGGCAGGTCGAGACACGAATTTTGAGTCGCGCGAACACTGCATCGATCGCCGCAATCCTGCCGACTGGGGAGGGGAAGATAACGAGGAGGTCGACGGATGGCGCTTCGTGGTTCGGAGGACGAAGCCACCTCAGATACGGGAGGTCTGTACAGTCAACTCGCCGCCGACGCGAGGCAGTAAGGTGTGGCTCAAGACAGTGATCTTGTGTGCCTCTGGGCCGAGAAGTGGACCGTAATGCCGAACTGCACGTACGATCGGTAGTAACTTCCAAGATGATTGTGTTTCCTTTGCCGTATACCTAGACGAGCCACGCATTCTCGCACGCCGTTGCCACATTATCACTGTCGACTTCGATACAAAGAGATCGGTAGACCCATAAACATTTCTGCAAAATTTGTTGATTCCCGACACTGGCGCATCCTGCCCCCTCGTCACCGACCACATGCAGGACGTCGGCGGTGGTAGACACTGCATGCGCTTCCAACAGTTTGCAAGCGGCAGATCCCGCTTATGCGTTACAGATCGACCGGCCGATAGAGGAATGCTGCGATATCTCATTCAGAGACACCGACAGCTTGTCCGCACAGTGAAGAAGGACATGCGCGGAAACAAAGTCGACTTCCACCACGTCGCGTTCGACCCCAGGGCGTATGCAAAGAATGGCGCTTGCGCTCTCGGCGTCGAAGCGCGGACCTCGGGATATGCGGAAAAGGACCTGAAGCCGAGCCAGAGTGAGGCCCAAGAGAGCCACTTCAAGTCGCTCGCTTGATTGCTTTTCCCATGAGCAGGAGTCCATATCGAGGGCGGCGACACAAGCAAAACGGGTGTCGGGCCCGTACTTGTCGAAGTATTCCTGGATGACGCGATCGGATCCCTCCGTTTGCTCACGGTCGGGTTTCAAAGAGAACCTGAAGATCGTGAGCCGTGAGCTGGTAGTCGAAGATCCACATGCACGTACGATATCTGCGCCTCCTCAATGGACATGGGATGCATCAAATAGCAAGAAGAAGGTGTGTCCCTCTTCGATAACCATTTTATGCATTCTCTTCGCGCCGCCGCAGCTTGGACCGTAAACAAATTGAGCGTCGAGATCGCGTAGGGTACACTCTCGGTGGTCGCGTTCGAGTCGACCAGACACCAGGTCGTCCAAGGAAGCGCACGTGCGAGGCCATTGGCGCTGACGAGGGGGTTCATCTGCCAGACCCCCACTGAGTTGAATATGCAGATTTCATTGGCACTCAAATGCAAAAGCACGGTCCAGTGTCTCTCGAGACAGCGGAGAAGAGCAAAGGCGAGAAACATGGTCTTGCCTAGACGGCTTTAAGTCCATTGTCTGCGCGAATAGGAGAAGGGTGAACATACCTATGCCCGGATGACCTGTGAGGGCAAAGGCGTGATTAAATGGCGCGCGAGTCGACGGAGTCGGGTGACCGGCTGTCGCAGAATAAGTTGCGGGCCAGACGTGGGGAGGGAAGTGCGAACCATAATGTACGGGACCTTCCGTGGTAGTAAAGTGCCGATCGCCGACCACGAAGGCCTTCTCGAGGTCTCTCCAGGCAGCCTCGTACTCCCGCCGGATAAGGATGGCTTGCATATGTGAGAATGGAAGCAAGGGACACGGAACGAATGTGCAGCAGCCGTCCACATCACTGTAAAGCTCCTTTGAGGCGTTGGGATCGCGAGCTTTCCGCCAATATTCGTCCAGGTCATGTATGCGCTCGGGTCTGCCTTCGGGCCTCCTGGCATTATACCATGCACTCCACACGCGAGCATCCTCCGCGTCGAGGGCGTGTAGATCGTCGTAAAGATTCGGCAGGACTTGATTATTGGCGTTGGAGACCATGACAGGATGATGGATTGAAGCAAAAGCCAAAACTGCACAGCCACCGCGGATGGTCTCGGGTGGACGCTGACCAATTGCCAGTGCCACATATGTTGCCGTGACTCAATCTTCTACCGTCGACTCGGATAGCTGACAAGACAGTACCGTACGTATACCATATACATAGGTGACCTGGAGAATACCTGGAACTATCTAACTGACCACTGCCGCCACATCATTCTCGTTGAGCGTCATCTCGTCGAACCCTTCCAGCAACTCGTCGAGCTTCACGTCGGGGAAGTCCGGCTCATCCTCCGCCTCTGTCTCTATATCCTGCCCCGCCTCGTCGACCTCCATCGCGAACTGGGCGCGCTTCTTGCCCGCGCCCGCCGGCCTTGCGGCACCATCGCTCATCTTCACGTCGCCCGCCTTGTACAGGTTCACCGTCGCGCGCAGCTCCGGGTCCTCCTCGAGCTCGCGCAGGAACAGCTCGTAGTCCTCGTCCACCTTCTTCTGGTCGCGCCCGCCCATGCGACCCACGACGCCGCGGCCCGCGCCCGTCTCGCCCTCCTCGCCCGCCTCCTTCCCGATGCTCCGCAGCCGCCAGTTGCGCGCCCGGTTCTTCTTCCGCCGGTTCGGGTACGCCTTCTTCACGAGCACCAGGTCCGGGATGCGCTCCGCGGGCAGCGCGGCGAAGTCGTCTGAGTTGAAGTTCGCGGAGGTGAGGAAGTAGCCCAGCGCGGCGTCGCCGGGCTGGAGGATGCCGCCCAGGTGCGTGCGCGTGTGGAAGATCTGGGACGTGCTCCCGGCGTCGTCGAAGTCCATGTCCATGTCGGAGGAGGAGTGGCCGCCCGAGGCTTTCGAGCGGAACGCGCCGGAGAGGGCGACCTGCGCGTCGGCGGGGACCAATCGGCCCTTGGCACGCGAGTAATCGGGCTCGACATCGAGGACCGTGAACTCAACGAGGTCGGGCACACTGGCAAGCGACTCGAACGGTGCGCGCCAGTACACCTGCGCGGGGATGTCCGCCGTCTGTAGCGTCGCGACGTCGAGCAGCTGCAGCGAGCTGCCTACTCGTATGCAAAGGGCTAGGGGATTAAGGTTGCCCAACGACCTTGCCTGCTTTTGTGGTATGCACACCAGGTCCTCCTTGCACACGGGTACGATCTCGACGGAATACGTGTGCTTGAAGTTCGCCGTATTCGTGTGCGTGTCCGAGGAGAGCAGTCGCTCTGATGACTTGGACCGGATCGGGACGACGCCATTAAGGAACTCGACCATCTTCAAAGCGTGTGCGCGATTACTATAGAAGAAGTCGAGGCCATCGCGGACCTCCTTGACGGAAATGGTGTCTTTTTGGGCGTTGTGTTTGAGGATGAGCTGCTCGAGGTAGAGGAAGGTGCGTTTGTGGGGGACTTTCTGACGGACTTGAACGAGGGCTTTCCAGGTATCCTTCGCCGCAAGCCTTGCGCAATCTGGACATTGGCCGTACTGGACAAGGTATTCGATCTCGAACGTCTGTTCAAGGATCGTGTTCGTAAGGACCTAGAAGTTACGTTAGACGGTGTAGATCGAGCTGAAGTAAACCACGCACCTCTTTCTGTATCGTGATAGATACCCTCAACCGTTTCGAGTGCGGCTCCGTCCAGATGAAGTGCGCATCCGTCAGCCGCACTTTGTTCAGCCCCTTCAACTTGCGCAAGCATATCGACAGCAGCTCAGATGACTCCGGTCTTGCTATTGTCCAGTTTTGCGGCGGATTGAGGAAGCGTTCGCAATTCCTGCAGAATGCGACGGAAGCTGGAGACACAACCGATCTCAGCGAGCGATCAGCGGGGGAGATCAACGATCGCACCTTGCTTCGGTATCCCTTCAGTGATATCGACACTACGTATCGCTTAGGATCATGAGTGCTGCATTGTAGCAGAATACGCACGTATTCCTCAAGCACGCGACGCAAAGATTGGCAGAGTTGGGGACGATGGGGGTACCTTGCGTGGGATCAGCGTCTTACCCAGCCATCTTCAGCCAGGGGAAGCCCCTTACCGCAATCTGCACACAGCACACGGTGCACTGGAGGGGCGGGAACAAACTCCATCCTCTGGGGTGGTCTCGGCGGAGAGATGAGGGGAGGGGAAGAGTTCGAATGTGTCAGCCACAATTTGCGGGCGCCTAATCAGTGCGACCACGTGTGGGACATCCCCTTTTGGCACATCAATTGTACTTCTGACTCTCGAGTGACTCTCGTTGACTCGCATATCCGCTTGGCCTTGGCGCATTCGACAATCCTGCGTGCTGGCCAGAGAAGATCTGTTACACTCAATATATTCCTGCCACGTAGCATTGGACCAGGTGGCTCCGCGGCACGTACCACTACACCGAGACCGAGGGCGCGAGCGTCAGCTTTAACTTCACCGGTGCGTGGCTGTCGCGATGCGCTGTATGTCTGCGCTGACCCTCCTCCCGTGCCACAGGCCCCCGTCTGGGTGTTCGGCGCCGCGGGGCCCGACTACGGGGACTACGAAGTGCGCCTGGACCAGGTCGTGCTCCAGCGCTCGGCGCACCAGGACAGCAACGCGACGCTGCCCTACGTGCTCTACAGCGCGCAGAACCTGACGTACGACCACCACGAGCTCACGCTGTCGAGCCGCGGGAACGGCGGGCTCCTGCTCGACTTCATCCAGACCACGGTGCAGCTCGCGCCGAAGGGGGCGACGGTGGAGAACCAGACGCTGGAGGAGACGGACGGGCGGATCAGGTACGAGGGCGAGTGGGGGAACAACCAGTCGGGCAACTTCAGCGGCGGGGGCTCGACGTACACGAACGGCGACGGCGCATACTTTGAGCTCAACTTCACCGGTGCGTGGGTGTTCTCCTTCCTGATTGCAGTTCGCTCACACTGGCTTCGTCTCCGTGCTCCATTCTTGTCCCTCGCGCCTCAACACTCCCACCCCCAGCCTCCGCCATCTACGTCCTCGGCGACAAGAAGAACGACCACGGGTTGTACGAGGTCACGCTCAGCTCCAACTCCTCCGGCTCGAGCTCGCAGCTACTGAGCGGCGTCTCCGGCTGCGGCGGCGCGTTCGGCGAGTCGTGCGAGCAGCAGCTGCCGTCGCTCAAGTACTTCGCGTCCAACCTCGCGAACGAGACGTACACGCTGCGCCTCGCAAACATCGCGGGCGAGAATAACTCGTACTTTGGTGAGTGGGGTACCGTTACGCGTGCACTCGGCGTTGTGGCGCGTACATGAATACGAAGCTGATAGTACCCAGACCTCGACAGTATCATCCTCTCCGTCCCGTCCGAGTACGACCCTCGGAACTTGTCGTCTCACGACCCCATCCCGACGAGCTCCGGGGCCAGCCCGAGCCAGACAGTGGGCAGCGGCGACAGCAGCAGCGACAACAACAGCGCGCTCGCCCTTCACAACCCTCTCGCTGTACTCGTTCTCTCGATGCTGTGGCTCGTGCGGCGTTGGTTGTAGACGGTAGTATACAAACAGTGTTTGCCTCACAATCAGCTCGTTTCGGATGACTACCCTGTGAATGTACTTTCAAACCGGAATGGTGTATGCTCCCTTGGCCGCATTTGGCCCTCCTCATCTGGGTGATCATGAACCGCGATACGCTCGTGCACCGAAAATGCCTGAATCGCCTGCACACTGACTTCCAGGTGAGTTTTCTGGACACTGGCGGTATTTATCAGAGCTCTACCAGCGGTCGCTCGCTCCATGACGGCGAGGCATACTCGGGAGCGTGCATGCGTCCGCTCTCTCCGGTCGTGGGCTTATGGCTATATTGCAATCAGTGGTCGCAAACACAATATAAGTATCGGTACTACACAATATGGGGGTACTACAGTGCTTGCATGCTCGCTGGCAGCCCTGCATGACCCATCCTACTCGATCGTCTCCGTTGCAGCGCCAGCAAGGCGTTGCCGTTTAGGTGGCAGCTCATCTGTTAAGTAAATTGATGAGCGCGCTTAGGCAAGGCGAGGATGGATGACGTACCGCATGGTGCAGGGAGGTCATCCAGGTATAAATCATACATGCTCCGTATGACGCTCGTCGCGGTGTCTTTGTGAGGAAGTCTAACGGTTAGGTCAGAGGAAATGATGACAAGGTCGATAGCTGGTGCATCTGCACTCGAGCCACGAAGCGTCTTCAGCCATAGAAAATATTCTATGTCGACTAAGTGCTGCTCTGAGACAGTGATCTGGAAGGCGGTGATGGTGTTTGTTGTAGGATTGTAGATGAATGAGTCTATTGTGAGCTCGTTCCGCGCTTTTGGCATGTAGTACTTCCCTTCCAATTTGATGCTCTCTCCTGAGTTATACTCGTGGATGGCAAGCACCTCGTTGGATGGGACCTGCGCGCTGCCATCATCCAGCTCGATACGGAGGGTATCGGTCGAGCCCCCATAGACGACCATTCGATATTTAGTACTATCATCAGGCTTGCCGGCAGAGTCCCCCCTTTTCGTGACCGACCACGAATAGGACATGGGCAGTAGATGATCCATGTGCGCTTCCAACAACTTGCCGGCTACAAATTTGGCTTGTGGACTCGAGGCGAAGAGACGGTAGAAGTGTCGTAGGAGATCGAATCGAGATAGCGACAGACTGTTCGAGCAACGAAGGAGGACATGTGTGGAGACGAAGTCGACTTGCACCACATTGCGCGTGGCTCCAGGACGAATCAAGAGGATGACTGACGAGACATCGTCATCCATGTGCAAAAACGATGCGTGCTTCGCGAGCTTCTCAAGCTGCGGCAGAGTGAGGTCCGCGAGAGCCGCTGTGAGTCGCTCGGCTGGAAGTTCGTCCCAAAGCTCGAAGGGCTCAGCTGAGCCGGCGAGGAAAGCGTGGTGCGTAGAGGGCCCATATCGGTCGTTATATGCTTGCAGAATGCGATCGGTTGCCTGCGATAGCACCGCGTCGCGCTGTAAGGAAAATCTAGAGGCGATGAGCCGCAACATCCATGATAGGAGGATATGCGTGCACGCACACCAATTGTGCCTCGTCGAGAGGCATGGGATCGATGATGTAGTGACGATAGATGGTCTCCCGCTTTGTCGACCATGAAGTTCTGTTGCTTCGTGGAGATGTAGCCTGAATGAGGAACAGATCGAGGTTCAGGATAAGGTGGGGCACGCTTTCAAGGGCAGTGTTCGAGTCGACAAGACACCAAGTTGTCCGAGGAAGCCCTTGCGCGAGTTCAGCCGGTTCGACCTTGGATGGTATCGCATACACGCCCTCAGAGTTGAAGATGAGGACTTTGTCGGGAATTGTCTGTAGGATTACAGTCCAATGTCTCTCGAGGCATCGTAATAGCGCCAAGGCGAGGAACATGGTCTTTCCTATACGGAGCGTTCAACCGATATGCTATACGGCAGGGGATGTAGACGTACCGATGCCCGGATAACCTGTGAGGGTGAACGCGTAGTTGAACGGAGCACGAGCCGCAGGAGTCGGATGGCCAGCTAGACCAGCTCGGTTAGTCCGAATTCAGTCCACAGGAGTAGGTTGCGCACCGTAACGCAAAGGTCCCTCCTTCGTTGCAAATTTCTTTTTACCACCAACGAAAGCCTCCTCCAGATTGCTCCAAGCGGCTTCGTACTCTCTTCGTATAAGAACGGCTTGCAGTCGAGTGAACGGGTCCAAAGGACACGGTACGAACGTCCGATAATCCTTCAGATCACTGTACAGCTCTTGAGAGCGGCTGTCGTCGCGAGCCTGCCGCCAATATTCCATCAGATAGTCTACGCGCTGGGCCTGAGGGCGCAATGGGCTCGCTTCCCATGCGCGCGCGTCCTCCGCATCGAGGCCTTCCAGATCGTCGTAGAGCTGTGGGGGGGATTGTTGCTGAGAATTGAGCGACATGATGGTGGAAAGCAAAGGGAGCGCACAGCCACTGCCAGTGCGGGGCTGTCACATCGACACCGTGAATGTATCCTTATACTCCGGGTTCACACATCGGTCCGCGAATATGTGCATGATCAGCTCAGACAATATTTAGAATGACCACATCAGAGTTCCTCTGCAACATGACCAAAGTGCATATCGATGGGGAACTCATCCGGCTCAGCGGAGACAAGGCCTGCTGGTCATGCGTTACACTGAAGCAGCCTTGTAGAAAATTGTTGTTGAACAGCAGTACGAGCGACGAGCATGCGGCACAGAAACAGATAGTACAACAGGTAATAAAGATACATCCTAGCCAAGAGTCACGCAAAAGCACCGGCATCATGAAGCAGCACTTTACTCTTCCTCCTCTTCCACGGCCTCCATCCGCACCTTCCTCGATGGCGGCTTCCGCGCCTTCGCTGTCGACGACGACACCCGCCGCTTCTTCCCCTTCACCCGCTTCTCCAGCTCCCGATCCTCTTCGCCCTGTAACCTATGCTCCTCCAGTATCTGTAGGAATTATCATCATCAGCAAACACGATCGCCGTTTCGCCACCCACGCACCTTCTCAAACTCTGCCAGCTCCTCCTCGTTCTTCTCATTCTTCGCCGCCTTGCTCGCCTTCGCCTGCTTCACGATCGCGACAAAGCGCTCGTACACGACCGGCTCGTGCAACTTGTCCCGATACAGCTGCTGGCTCTCGATCAGCCGCTTGATGCTCTTCTCGCCCTTGTAGCTGATCAGCGACAAGCAGAGCGCGATGTCCCTCCACTGCCTGGGGTCCTCCGTGAGACGGAAGCGCTGGCAGAGGCGCTCGACGATCCCATCCGTCTGCCGCTCGCCGGCGTTGACGTATGTGAAGATGTACTTCATCGTGCTCTCGAAGGTTTGCTCATCCACCGCCCGCGGACCCGTCGACAGGTGACTGATGACTATGACTGACATTAGCTGCATTCCTATGAAGGGATCGAATACAAACTCACTGTCTTGCAAGTTGTTGTAGATGGTCTTATCCTTCGACGAGATCTGAAGGAAGAAGTGCTTCGCCAGGTCCGCAATCCGCGGCTCCGGATCGCTAACGAGCTTCGCAATCTCGCCGATCTGGCCCTTGACCTTGATCATGCCGTTGTGAATGAGATGCGTGAGGACCATGAGCGTGTTCTTCTTCACGACAATGTCGTCGTCGCTCAGCCCGCGGTACAGGTGATTGTTGTTCTCGTCGATGAGGTGGCTGAAGGAGACGGCGACATCGCCCAGGGCGACGACGATGTTGCTGCGGATGTTGGCGTTCTTTGACGTCTCGAGGATCTTGAGCAACAGAGTGAGGTTGGCATCGCAGAACTGGCTGCTGACGCAAAGGAACTTGGCGAGAGAGAGCGTAGCCGCGGCGCGTAGGACCTTGTTCTGGACCATCATCAGCAAGGAGACTTGAGGCAAGAACCTCCACTAACCTTGTACTTATGAGGGCTAGCGCAGACGTGATGGAGGATAGGGCCGTAGAGCGCGAGCAAAGAGTCCTCCCCATACAATAGCTCGCGCTCCCGTATCCCCAAGAACATATCACCAAGCTCGTCCTCCGCGTTGCCCGTAACGCCGTCCAACCCATCCGCTTCCTTCGACGTGTCGCGGTTGTCTTGCTTCTTGCCTTTCTTCTCATCTGATATGATGTTAGCCCAAGTGCGCGGGCGATATGCCTTGATCTACTCACTGGCCTCCTTCTCATCCTTCTGCCGCTTCCACTCGCGCTCCACAACCTCCATGAACGCGATATGCCGGATCGCCACATGCCCCACGACGAACAGCAACTGGCTGAGCTCAAACGCATCCCCGAGATCGCCTTGCTCCCCAGCGCCATCGTTCGGCGTACCGAAACCATCCGGCCCTTCATCCATCGCATCCTCGTCGCGCTCGCCATCCTGGGCGGCAGACCCCGGCGCCGCCCGCTTTGAAAACGCGCGCATGGTCAGCGTCTTGATGACGGCGTTGCAGAACACGTCCGGGTGCTCGCTCAACGCGTACACGGTGTTAATGATTTGCTCGGCGAGCCCGAACCAGTCGATCTTGCGACACGGACGTTCGATGGTCTCCTGCAACTTGCGGAAGATGGGATGATCCACGGGGAAGCGCACGGTGTTATCGGCCAGGGAACCTGCAGGATAATGAGACCGGCCGATACAGTCGACAGTTTTGCGGTGTGCTCACCTTTGACCTTCTTCGCGCTGCCATTCAGGCGCTGCAAAGCTAGACAGGTATACCGAGCGAGCAGCAGATCCGTCTACAGCAAACTTCAGCCGAAGTCCCCGAGTGCTCAGTCTACAGACATACCTTGCCATGGTGCCCCAAACCCGTCTTCAGCATGAGATCGACTCGGTCCGTCAATACATCCCGTCTTGCCGTTGCGAGCATGCCGAGGATGATGATCGCGCCACGCCGCTGTTGCCTCGGTAAGGCCTTCTGCGCGCCTATGGATCCACGTTAACATACCTCCCACCTATAAACATATTTGGGCGTACTGTACACGCTCCAGAGCTTGCTGATCACGTAATCATGCACCAAATTCTCGCTCATGAACACGCGCATGAGTTCCTCCAAGCTGGTCAGCTCGGCTAACGTGCCGTCGTGCGTGAGTCTAGAATGACACGTCAGGGGGGTCAATGAGGAGGAAGAGGACAGATACTTACTCGATGAGGTTCTTCGTCGTGTTGTTGACGACCTCCTTCTGAGTGTTACCTTGGCCCTCGAAGTACAGCGTCTGGTAGCACTTGACCACGCGCTGCCGGATACCCTTGGCGTCAATAGCCTCCGCACCGTCGTCGTTCTCTTTCGAAGGCGCCGCCGTCGAGTTGTCCTTCTCCCAGATCAAGTGCAGCATCTTCTTCAAACCCTCCTGAAAAAGACGTCAGCATCTAATACCGAGCAAACCAGCCGATCTGGGCCGAAAACGCACCTCGCACTTGAACCCGCAAAGCTTCGCTCGCTCAAAGAACCCAATGGCCTCCAGGACCTCTGGGCGACTCTTAGAACCCAGCAGGTTGCCCATAGGCTCGACGACTTCCTCCACTTGCCCGATGAATGTCAAGGCGTCCTTGGCGTGCTTCCGCTCAAGCAGCGCATGCCGATACTCATCGCTCGTCATGTTGTTTACCACCGCGGCGACGGCGTCCGGGTCGATCTGAGAGTGACGCGGTTTCTTCTTAGCCTTCTTGGGACGCGGAGGCGGGGCCTCCTCCTCCTCGTCGACGTTCATCGACAACGATGGCTCGCCTCCTTCCTCGTCTCCTGCTTCGCCCTCTCCCTCCTCTTCCTCCTCATCATCGTCGACTTGCATCGCCTCCTCGTCTTGCGAGTTGTTGAGCTCCATTTGGCCAGCGGTGGGTTGCATGCTCTGCAGCTTGTCCGTCCACTTGTCGTACTCGGCCTGCCAGTCCTCCCGCCGCAGTTCGTCGCCGTGCGCGCCACCCTGATACGGGTGCAACTCGATGAGCGCGTTGATGAGCTGCACCGCGGCCCTCCGCACCGACGGGGTCGTGTCCTTGATTGCATCCGCAGCAACGGACATGATCCAGATGCGAGTCTTGTAAAACGCGGGCTTCGTGAGCTCGCTCTGGACGATCTGGCGGCAAACACCGAGGGCGCGTACACGGACAAACGAGGAGACATCCAAGGCGCGCTCCAAAAGAATCTCATAGTGCGCGCGCAGCTGCTTGTTGCGCTGCTCGGGGTCCTCCGCCTCCCTGGTCGAAATATCTGTGATAACATTGCCGACGACGTCCATGACGGCAGAGCGAACCTGGAAGGCTTGCTCCTCGAGCAGACTAGTCACCAGCGCGAGGTTCTTCTCAAACGTTCGCGGGACGAGGCTGCTGAGCGCAACTAGGAACTTCTGAAAGTTCTTCGCCTCCTTTGCCTCCGTAGGAAAGTGCCGCGAGGAGATGTCGGCGAGGACGTTGGATGTGAGCTCCGTGTTGCCGCTCTTCTCTATCATGTAAAGCAGCTCCGACATGCGCTCAGCGAGGTGCTCGTGATTGGACAGGCTATACATGACGTGCACTTGGGCGGCGGGGCCATGCCCGTGTTGGGTGACGGCGAGCTCGATGACTTTGTAGAAGTGGTCGCGGACGTCCTTGTCTTTCATGTGGGCCTCGATCTTGGCCACCTCCCATGCGGGTCGAGTGACGGCGCTGACATTGTATGAGCATGAGTACTTGCGATCGAAGGCCACACGTACTTGATAAACTCGTCCCTCTCCTTCGCGTCTGGCCACATCTTCTGTGACTGAATGCCTGACGGGCCGAGGACGCGTATGATGTGCTTCAACACATTGTCGATCTGAGCTGACCAGGACCACTCGCTCGTCTTCTTCTTCGCTGCCGAACGCGAAGCTGCCGCGCTCTTTCCCCCACGGCCACGCTTTGACTTGGGTGCCGGCGCGCTCGCCGCCTCCTCCTCAATCGGCTTCACTGTTTCCGCGATCGTCGCAAACCAGCAGAGCAAGAATGCATACATCTCAATCGCCGTCTTGTGCTCCACGTATGCGTCCTCGCCCATCGCCTCGAGGTCGCCCTTGGCCGTCAGCACGTCGCTCTGCAACCCGGAGCAGATGGAGTCGAGCATCTTGGTCATGAGTTGGCCGTAGACCTGGTTCGCGTGCTTCAAGACGCTGCGGTAGACGTCGAAAATCTCGGGATTCGTGATGGCGTCGCTGTTGCTCGCGACTTGCTCTATGGCGGCTGCATATGCCCTCAGTAGCCGTCGACGCGTCTAACCATTGTCTCGTACCTTCGAGGTAGCCTGCAAGGTCGCCATCAGGTTCGTGGTCGTGTTCTATCTCATAGTCGTCGTGCCCGCATGCCTGGAGCTCTTCGCGGAGGTCAAAGTGAGGCGCCATCGTTGCCGACGATGAGCGCGCAGAACGAGTTTATGAGATCACGTGTTCGTCGCGTCCAAATCCACGTGGCGCACATGTTGATGTGGCGTCTCGGACGAACGGCCACCTCTCGCGCGCGGAACGTCAGGCAATCCGTGAGATTCCGCTTTATACCGGCTCACAGAACTTCTAAGCCCTCTCGATAGCCATTGCTAGCTCGTGACAATGACAAGCGAACGCTAGCACACCCGACCCCCGAATCTCAGTCTGGGTTTCCCATTGTCAATGACCTCTCAGCTGCGCAGCTTTGGGCACGATTCACAACCCATGACAACAATCACAACCACCAACTTCATACATAGACTATCAAGTCGCTGAAGCCTCTGTGATTCGGGGGTCTTTCTCCCTATGTGCTCCTCAGAAAAGCAGCCCTCGTGATCCCATCTACGTTATCGGCCGCAGTTCAGGCGTGCTTCTTGGCCCTACTAGGGCTCTCGGTCCATGTCTTCCTGGAGACATGCCCTTGTCTTCTCCATAGATGCTCCACCGATTAGCTGAACTCTATACCTGCCTGGCCGCTGGCGACGTCAACGTCCCCCTTATCGTTTCGCGCGCTGTATATATCTGACTTGCTCGACAATCGCACGCTGAGCTTCCCCGCGTTCCTGCTCTCACCAGGCCTTTGCGAGGTCTCTGATCTGTCATTCCCGCGCACGATGTCGACTACGAAAGAGTACGTCCACTACCAGTGACAATCGGATTCAGCTGAACTACTTTCAGGAAGGCAGCAAACCAAATCCACCGCTTAACAGGCGGTGTGAAGAGCACAGTGAGGCCAAAGTTTATCCTGGACTTGCCGATAGACCGGACGCTGATCCAGAATGGATTGTAGTTCAACACGCTGAAGTCCAGACGTAATAGCAGGTCGAGCAGCAGCGGGAATACCTTGTCTTGGACGAACACCCTGACGGGAAAGGTGGGTGGTGCGAAGAACACTGTCTTACGTGGACTAGGGCGTCGTCAATCCCATAGTCAGTCCTCCTTGCTCTCGCTCGCACGCGGACTCCACTCATTCTTCGTCGTAGATTGAGATCGGATGAGTTGAACGAACAAGTCGCGGATACCGACGGAAGCTGCAAACTGTAATATACGCAAGTGTACAATATAAATTTATTCGCTTTGATCGGTTTCAAGGTTTTGGAGATGAGAACGCAAGTACAGGGATGGAATGCACCGTCAGGGGAGTCAAAGGCTTCCAGCACCGAAGCTGAAGTCGACGGGGGCGATCGCGAGCGCCGCTTCGGCGGTTCCCATATCCCTTGTTTTCCTCGACCGACCCGGAGATGATGGACAATCGACCCAACGCGGCGTGAGAAGGGTCAAGCGCGCGTTGAGTTTCGGGGCCCGAGCGTCTGCATTGGATGCTCGACGAGGCAGAACGATGATCGCAAGCCACAATCTGGGGATAGGCAGACATCGCCCGATGGCGGTGGAAGGGCGAGCAGACTTGCTGATGGACAGTCATGCACGCCAGCCAGGCGCTGGAGATCGGGGGCCTAAGAGCAGCGAGCGCCTTCGTGGTGCGTTGCGTGCGTACTAGGGCTTGTCCTTGTGCGGCCGGTCGTACTCCTAGCGGGGAGAACGGTTGATCGCATGCCCGGGGAATGACTTGCGCACTCGAGATGCGTAGGAATGTCACTTTCCTGCGTTTTCCGGCGGCGAAGCGTACCGGTCGTGTACCGTGGAAGGTACTCGCTGGCCTAGAAGCCGTAGCATGCGCCTGCTGATTCCATGCTCGAGGCTCGGCGTAGTGCGCCTGGCGTCTCACGACACGCAGGGATCGGCTGGCCGAGAGAGCGAGGGGTATCTACCGATCTTGCAACCAGTTGGAAAGACGCTGGCCTTCGCAAGGGTGGATGACAATATCGTCGAATGGCGGCGCTAAGCACGGTGCGCCTCGCCCGCCGTGGCTAGTAGATCCCCGACGGTGGCTTCGAAGACCACAGACACTTGCGATAGAGATATAGCGCCCAATCGTTACTTGAGTAGCCCGACCGATCGCGGACGTAGGCGCCGCACTTGAGGACGCGGCCGATGCTGGTGAACTTCGTGGGCTTCAACGCGTTCTCGGGGTCGCGGGCCACCTCGCGCTCGTACGCGTCTGATTGCGCGTTCTCGTCATCGTCTAGGTCGCCTGTGTCGCCGTCCGCCTCGCGGCAGACATCGTCCAGCCAAGGCTGAACGTCCCTTGCGATGTATTCAGCGCCTCTTCCATCGGTAACGTCAGATTGCCCGGAAAGAACGCTGCGAGGCAGGACAGCGGACTTTGGGCATGTCGGTTTCAGCCGATAGTCGTAGATGGAGGGCTTTGAATCTGGTGCCTTCGCCGTGGGGTATGGTGCCCTTGCCGAGCGCCGTAGCGCGCGCAATAGCTGCCGTGGACTTTCGTGGTTGACGGTTTTCAGAGCCGCGCGAGCCTCGGAGCCATCATCGCTCAGAGGATGACGATGGGGCTTCCATATGTCTGGTACAATAACGAATTCAAGAGGAGGCGGAACTCGCCAGGGATGTATGATATCGTCGATGAGCCCTGCAAGCCGGCCTACTTTGGATCGTTCGGAAGTTTCATAGGAGGTGAATCGAGTGTCGGCACAGAAGGCTACGAAGAGGGGGTGCGCGCGAGACTTGATGCGAGGTAGGTGGGCATATGGCGCCCTCATCTTCTTCACAGACGTCCCGTCATCGACGTAGAGAGGCAACCGTGAATAGTCCTTCAGGGTCAAGGGCACGAACTCGTACTCGTAGACTTTCTCCGGAAGTAGCTGTTAATACGATCAGAGGCCCATCGCATGCGCCATGATCAAGATGCAGATACCTGTGTATATCGCTTTCGATGGCGCGTGTTCCGAACCTTGCTATTGACTTCGACCAGTCTAGAGATCGAGTCCAAGACCTGCTTGGTGGCGACTAGCGTCCATTCGCCTTCGCATAAGAGTTGAGCCATGTCACTGCGCACTACAGAACATGGGATAAGCAGATACTCGCGTCGCGCAACACGCCACTCACGTTCAATATGGTTGAGGGGAGTCGCGAGATCGAGTTCACCTAACTGGAGACCCCAGCAGTACTCGAAGTGTTCTATCTACGCGGCAGTGACTGGTCAACTATTGCCCTCCATCATCGAGACTGCTCGTACCTGCCGACGGTACAGGCCCGCGTCCAAGTCCACAAGGCGGAAACTGACAATCGGCAGCGCATCCATATCTTGCTGCGTTGACAACGCGCGCAACCATACACTCGAAGACATCTGATACTACAGAAAAGTGGTGGCAGAAGCTGAGGCGGGCGGGTCCTCGCTGCTGGTGCAGTGACCGTCAAAGAGCGCCGGTGATCAAAAGCGAGTTCGGTCACGTGTAAGAACAAAGTCGATGTCTGACTCTCAAGGTGGTTACGAGGGAGAAGAACACGTCTGACGCAAGCTAGGATAGAGTGGTCGAGCAGAGACACCACTCAAGGTGGCAGCCTTCTTTGGGTTTATATTAGGGTTGGACCCTAGCATGTAGTGATACACTCTCGCCTCAACACTCTGTGAGCGAAGTGGATCGCCCTCGTCGCTCCAGTTCCCATGTTTCGACGGGCGCTGCACGCCATATCCAGCGGGTGGATGTTGTGGATGGCTAGGTGGTTGAGCCGCATGTTGGGTCGCGGACGCGCTGCGTGTACGTTCTTCCCGCCGTGCAAGACGTCGGCCTTGATTGCGATGCATCCGCAGAACGACCGACCGGCGACCGGGCATGGTGGCGCACAGTACGGGCGCCGCAAAGCCGCGCAGCCCGTCGACCTGCGCTGCGAGTCGGCCCTGGAAGGGGCCGTTCGCGCTGAATTTGTGGGTCGGCTATCGCGACCAGCTACGTGCCGAAGCACGCGTAGTCTTCGTGACGACGTCCAGGCGCGCCCCGAGATCGGATTTCGAGCTAGGGGATGAGGTCTATATAGCCCATCTTAGCTTGCTCGGGCGGATTGGAGGACCATAGGCATGTGCGATAGTTATGCCTCGCCCAGTCGTTGCTGCTGTAGACAGCCCGATTGTTACCGTCATCGACGCCTCCCACCAGTCCACCGAAAACATAGAACGTTGAGACACGAAGGGCGTTGGCGGGGGCGCGGGCGGGTTCCTTGCGATATCGACCGAGAACAGCGTCCCGGCCCGGTGATGGGGGAGGTGCGCGCTTCGTCTTCGCCGGGCTGATAGAGCTCAACCATTCGCGGAGATCGACTGCCGAGAAAGTGGTGCCCGTGTCGCTGTTGGAGGACCCGGACTCGGAGGCGCGGGTACTACGAGGAAGAGCGGGTGATTTAGGGCGAGGAGGAGGATGGCGTGCGTAATCGTATATGGACGGTCTGTTCTCACGAGACTTGGGCGGAGGTGAGGGCGCGTGAGTCACCTTGCGTCGAGAGCGCGCGGGCCTTTTCGCTTTGTCAGGATTGCAAGTGCTGAGTTGAGCGCGAGCAACGGAACCATCATCACTCGAGGGATGACGGTGCTCCGCCCAGACGTCGGGACCGACGAGAAACTCGACTGGAGGAGACCTCACCCAATGGTAGAGTACGGCGCTTATCATTGACCTAAGTCGTTCCTTCTTGACCTTTGGTAGCGATGGAGAGCCAGTAAGGATAAGGCTGTCCGCGCGAAAGATGACAAACAGTGGATGCGCATGCGACTTGATGCGAGGCATCTTCGAGTAGGCCTTGTTGATCGACCTTGAGGTGGAACCTCGTTTGAGGTAAATGGAGGGGCGGTCTCGCTTGGCTATGTGTAGTGGCACGAACTCGTATTCATACTCCTGCTCAGGAAGTTCCTATCTTTATGAGCATGTGGATGATACTTCGGCGCGGGGAACGTACTTCGGTAAACCGCTTCCTCTCATGCAAGTCTGCGCTTTTGTTGTATTCAGACAGAGCATTGATAGTGTCGATAGTTCGCTTAGTGGGAAGAAGGGCCCACTCGGATCTATCCATACGTTCGGCCATGTCGCTGCGAACTAAAGCGGAAAGAGAGGTTAGCGTTGTGCATACGAAGTATGTATTGTGACGCACGCTGAACGTGGTTGAGTGGCGAGGAGAGATCAATCTCCCCTCTTTGGAGACCCCAGTAGTATTCAAAGTGCTCGATCTAGCGACACGGATGATGAGCAGACCGCGGGTTTCCGCGAACTTCACAGACCTGCCGACGATAGAGGCCAGAATCAAAGTTTATGAGGCGGTAATTGACGATTGGCAACGCGTCCATGTCTTTCTGTGTAGACACGGAGGAGGAAAGGATAGAGGGGGACATTGTGTGAACGGGGAGGAGGCAAGCAACAGCGGGAGGGAAAGAACAAGGCGGTAATCGCAATCCCGGCCCGGCAGCCGCACGTCGCATTGACATGCTGCTCCGGCTCGGGATCAGCCGAACAAACGTTGAACAAAACCATCATCTGAAACTTCGCGCCGCCTTGTCTGTTCCAAAACCGGTCAAGCATTCATGGGTGTAATGTTCTTGCTGAGCTTTGACCACACACACACACACACCAGTAGCATGCATTCTCGAACGGTCATAAACACATTCTCGGCATATATAACTCCTGGACCGTCACTTGCGACGACTGCCCGTCAACCTCTCCTCCCCCCTTACATGGTGAGTGCCTTTCAACGTGGAAAGGGAGATGGGCAAGAGAAAACCCAACGCAACCCTTTCCGTGGGTGGTGCTGGCCGCAGGCAGCGTGCCGCCGGCAAGAGTCGTCAGAAGACTGTCACCCCCGCGCCATCCCAACTTCGTCGTAGCCCCCGACTTCAGGCGAGACTTGCTTCCAACGTCGTAGTGACAATACCGACACCGACACCAACACCGACACCAACACCGACACCAACACCGACACCAACACCGACACCGACGCCTCCCCGCAAGCGCCGCAAACCGCGACCCTTCAGAGTCTGCGCCGCTCCCCGCAAATATGCTTCCTCCAGCGCCTCCTCTGACCCTCCGTCTCCTCGGCCGACTCTAGCGAACTACGACAACAACAGAGACTACCATCCCGCTCAATCGATTCGCAGTGACGATAGCTCTACAGTGGGCGAGGAATCCACGCCACCAAAGATCTTTATGCCTGCGCGGAAGCCTGACCATGAGGACTTGATCCTCATATCTCCTAGGGGCCGTGTCTGTGTCGTAACTCTGGAGCACAATGGAAATGGCACCGTCGAAGATTGCCACTTGCTTGATCGTGCTTGTGGTGCCGACCCGCAGATCGTGAGTCTCACTTATCGTGTTCATGTACTGGCTGATGCTGACACGTATTCACAGGTCGATGGCATGGCGATCCTCATGGCTATCGAGCGTGGCACGCTCGATGTCGATTGTCCACGGAACCGAGTCTTCCGTGCGTTTTCCACCCACTCGCTTAACTTTTGACGTTCTGAACCCCTTGTAGTCGAGTCCAAAATGCACACCGCGATGGACAATGGGAAATGGGTACTTTTCCCCACGGTAGAAGACCTTGAGAGGATGCTGCTTGCGCTCACTGGCGAGCAGCTGGATCCAATCGAGGGTCAGCAAGAACCGCCACGCCGTAACTCAAATGGTTTCACTCGCCACACGGATGTGCGTAAGAACTACTTTTCTCATACTCCGCTCTCAACATGGAACCTGACGCGTTCTCGAAGGTCTTCCCCAACATCATCCGGAAGTTCTACATCGTTCCCCTGTCCACCTGGGCCGAGGGCCTCAAGATCTATCGTGAGCGCGAAGTCAACAGCCCCGAGCCGCCTATTGTGTATGGACCGCCGCCTTTTGAGGAGATTCCACCAGAGGACCTACACTGCGACCCCTACTTTGTCGTCTGGAAGGCGTACAAGGCGCTGGTTGGATCGGGCGTTCGGGCCCCTGCTCATCATTGGGCTCAGGAAGACCTGATCCGCAAGATCGGCGAGATCATGTGGGCCCGCGGCCTTGCACCCAAGGCATAATTTCTTCATGACTGCTCTGCGCTGGCGCTACGACGGCCCTGGACTCGTCGCAGCTTCGTGCACTCGACGCTCCTTCATCTCTTTATTCTTACTTTATTTCTCCCCGTCTGTTGTATCCCTGCGGTCTTTGCGTTGTATTGCTAGCTGGAACACCCTCGTTAATGTGTAATGTCGACGTAGTCTGGTTGGAATGTGACGTTTACTTGGGATATCTCATATCGCTTGAGCTTGAGAAGCCACCTTTCGATAGATGGGGTTTTTGTTACGATATCGCGCCAACTGGCGACGGTCGCTGAGTCCGAGGTTCAGGTTTTTCGACGCCGCAGATGGCCAGTCTTCCGGAGTAAAAGCCAGGTAACGTCAATATATTTGCAGACGGCGGCAATGACAGCGCGAAAGTGCGACGAGATCTAGTCTCCCGTAGGCAGACGTTCGAAGAAGCTCCGCAGTGAGGGATTGAGACGAGATCCGAATGAGCTTCGTAAGTGACTCGCAGGCCACAGGACGTGAGCTGTCGACGTTGTCGAACTCCAGTAGTATTCGAAGGCCAGACCTGCCGATGATAGAGAGGCCAGAATCAAAGAACATGGGGCCGTTATCAACGATTGGCAGCGCGTCCGTCTCTGCGTTGACACCGTAGAGATGGAAAGTATAGAATGCGCCATGCTGAAGGGGACGAAGAATGAAGGGCTGCATACGACGTGATGAGCAGCGGTAGAGAAGAGGCAGGACCGTGTACAGAGATACCACACTGGTTTCCATTTCCGTCCATAATAGAACCCGGCAGTATAGACAGTGCATCCACGCAAACAAATTCGATCAGCGATCCACAGCCGTTCTGCTGAGTATATTGACAAAAATACAATAGAGCCCACATCAAAATTCAGTCCGAATCAGGCTGAATCCCGCAGACGACGCGACGAGGTTGAGTAATAATAAGTCGGCGAGGCCTTCTGAGCATCTGTACGGTCGCAGTGTCCCGCCCTGCGGCGCTCGCGCAAGCAAATCGGACACCGCTCCGCGCTGGCTGATCCACTCTTCTTGCATGGACGTAGGGACCACCTGCTCGTACCCGTCGCGCCAGACTCCGAACATGGCGAAGGACCGCATAGGCGATATCAGGGCGAAGATCGATAGCATGCACGCTACGCTATGCGTAGGGATCCCGCCGACAATTAGTAACGCCGTTGATACACAGCTGCGTGTCGAGAGTAGGGCCCGGTAGGTATCCTATCGTCCATTGCCTCGGAAGCGGCTGCACCGTGGTCGAAAAGGGCACTAGCTACCGTGATAGCCCACGGCGTGGCAAGGTATGCAGCGGGCTTGGGATTTATCGACGCGGTCGGTGGGGCCTTCGCATGCTCTTAAGCGGAACGACGAACGAGGACCAACGGCAGGCACACTACCGTCGCAGGGTCTTGCCGTCGTCTGGCGCCCAGCCTCGAGTACAGGTTGGGCTACTCTTGGGCGTCGACCGACTATGCGCAGCTGCGCGCCCAAAGGGAGCCCGGCGAGCGACATGATCCAGTCGTGCGTCGCGTGCCACCTGACTCGCGATGAAGTACAGCGTCAGCTGTCGCGTTGACTTGCGAAGTCGTGAGCGACACGAAGAGCGTGGGACGATATCCGAGAGGACGTTTCACAGTGTACTTGACTGTTATGTGACGAGGTCAACGTAGTCGAACTGGGCCGCCTCGGGTGGATTGGACGACCAGAGACACTGGTCATAGATATGCATCGCCCAGTCGTTGCTGCTGTAGATGTAGCGACAGTTCGCATAGCCACCTCCCCCATACAGTCCACCGTGTCTTTGAAGCAGCGTGCCGCGGAGCGCATCGGTGGGGGCGCGAGCGGGCTCCTTGCGATAGCGGGCAAGGATGGAGTCAACGCTCGAGATAGGAGGCAATGCGCGCCTCGTCTTGGACGTGGGGCTGATGGAGTCCAACCAGCTACGGAGATCAACCGCCGAGAAAACGACATCGACGGCGCTATCGGAGGATCCTGAGTCCGAGGCACGAGCGCTGCGTGGAAGCGCCGGGGATTTCGGGAGAGAAGGCGGGCTCCGCATATAGTCGTATATGGATGACTTCGCCTGAGCAGTTTTGGGCTGAGGAGAGGGGGCGTGGCTGGATTTGCGCACAGCGCGCGTCGGCCTCTTCGTGCGTGCAGGATTACAGGAGCTAAGCTTCGCTCGAGCGACAGACCCGTCGTCGCTTGAGGGATGGCGATGTTCGGCCCAGACATCAGCAGGCCCCACGAGAAACTCTGCCGGAGGAGAATCTACCCAACGGCGGAGCGTGTCGTTCACTGTTCGGACAAGTCGATCGCATTTGGTTTGCGATAGGGACGTATAGCCAGCGAGGATTTGATCGAATATGCGAAAGATTACGAAGAGAGGATGTGCGCGAGACCTTATACGAGGCACCCTGGAGTATGCCTTCTTGATTGTCCTGATGGTCGAGCCTCGCTTGAGGTACATAGAAGGGCGATCTCGTTTGGCGATGTGCAATGGCACGAACTCGTATTCGTATTCCTGTTCAGGTAGTTCCTGGATCCATGAACATTGGGTCGTGACGACGGTTGATGGAACGTACTTCGGTGAATCGCTTCCTGTTATGTATGCTTGCAGTCTTGTTGAAGTCGGACAGCGCATTCATGGCGCCGAGCGTTTTCTTGGTGGGGAGTAGGGTCCACTCAGACCTGTCCATACGCTCGGCCATGTCGCTTCGGACTGTGGTAGAGGACGAGGTTTGTTAGCACGTAGCAAACGGGAGGGGCTTTGCGACGCACGCTGGATGTGGTTGAGTGGCGTAGAGAGATCGAGCTCTCCCTTCTGAAGGCCCCAGTAGTATTCAAAGTGCTCCATCTGTGAGGTCGGATGAGAAGAGGGGCTAACGGGTGCTGCGGAGTCCACCGACCTGCCGACGATAGTAGCCAGCGTCGAAGTTAACAAGCCGATAGTGGATGATGGGCAGCGCATTTAAGTCCTTCTGCGTCGATATAGAGGTTGAGAGTATTGAGGGGGGCATGTTTAGCAAGCAAGAGGAAGAGGGGATGCAACCAAGAAGGCGGGCGGGGGGCGAGATGGAAAGACAATGGAGTCGAGGACGAGCGCTGATGGCAAACCCGGGCCGGATGAAAGGCATCGGGCCGACCTCGGCATCAGCCGAACAACAGTCGAACAAAAGATTCTGAGACTTGTGCCTGCATATCCCCGCATTTGTGACCGCGCTGACCAGTGCAAACAGGCAACATGCTGGATGCTTTGTTCTTCCCTTACCCCATACGCAGAATGCATAACATGCATCTTGTAATGATCATAAACACCACCATATATAAAGGCCTGCTTCTGCTGGCGGTGGATAGCTCGTCGCTTCCCGTTCATGGTGAGACCTCATCCCCCCAGGTGCTCTATATGTGCTCACGAAATACAGGCCCCCTTCTCGGCGAATGGCTCTCAAGAGAGGCAAAGCGACTCCTTCGCCGACCGGTGTCGTCCGCGGACAACGTGCCACCAACAAGAGGCGTCAGACGACGACTGTTCCCCCTACGCCGAATCTCCGACGCAGCCTGCGGTCGCAAGCGTCAGCCAAGAAGACATCTGCTCGTGGCGGTCCTATCCCTCAAGAAATCCCTCCTGATGTGCCAGCTCCGTCGGTGTTTGTAACTGCTGAAGAGTCTCCGAGCCCCGTCTACCAACGCCGGAGCATACGATTGGCAGAAGCGCGCGCAAGTGGCAAAAAACTGGCCCCCAAATACGCGTCCTCTACTACCTCCTCAGACGCGCCGTCACCACGCCCTACGTTCGCGAAAATTCCGACGCAGATTTCGTTCCCTCCAATCTTGATGACTTGGATGACGGCTCCACAACATCCACTCCGAGCAGGGAGTCTACGCCGCTCTGCAACATTGACAATAGCATGTCACGTCCAGGCCACCAGCGTCTGATCGATAGATCTCCCTTGGGATATGTCTGCACGGCCTCCTTGCGCCACAATGCCAACGGCGAAGTGCAAGACTCTCATATCCTAGACCGGTGTTGCGCAGGCAACCGAAAACTCGTGAATTTGGCTCGATCTTGTCTACTATTGCACAGCACTGACGTCAATACGCATAGATCAAGGGATTCGAGACCGTCATGGTATACGAACCCGGTACCTTCAATGTCGACAGTCCTTCGAACCGAGTTTTTCGTGCGTTGCTCTCCTCTCTGACGTGTTTTCACTGTGCTTACCCCCGTCAGTTGCGTCCAATTACCACATCATGATGGACAAAGGGAAATGGGCGTATATTCCCAAGGCTGCAGATCTCGAGCGGTTGCTGGCCGCATTGAAGAAGGAGCAACTGGGGCCCATTGAGGGCCAGCAAGCGCCGCCCCCGCGTGGCCCGAATGGGTTCACGCATCACAAGGACGTGCGGCCCCTTCTTCTTTTCTTTCGCGCTCGCAGTGGCTGACATTCCCTCAAGGTCTTCCCCAACGACATCCGGGGATACCACATCGGTCCTTTCTCAACCTGGGATGACCCTGCCCTCGAATTCTCGCGCAAGCGCGAGGTTTACAGCACCGAGCCATCTCTGGAATTTCGGCCTCCTTGGAACACGCCGCTTCCGATCGTCGAACTGCCTTGCTCTCCTTACTTCGTCGCATGGAAGGCGTACAAGACGCTGCAGAATGAGGATGTGCACTTGCCTGCCCATCTTGCTACTGAAGAGGCGCTGCTGCGCAAGATCGGTCAGCTGATGTGGGACTATGGGCTTGGTGTTCCTTGCCCCAGCTGAAGGACTAATCTGGGCTCTCCGGTCTCCGTATCTTCTCAGCGCTGGCGCCACGACGACATCTCTTCCCATGAATCTCAAATGGTCCATGACTTTTCGCAGCTTCGTGCTCTCAACGCTCATTCACCTCTTTATTCCTATTTCTATTTCTCGCCTGTTGTATCGCCGTGGTCTCTGTGTTGTATCGCTACCTACAACACTCTTTTGTGTAATGACAATGTAGCATGCTTGGGATGTGGCATTTGTTTAGGATATCTCTGTTGCGCGAGCCCGCAAAGTCGTCGTTCAATATATGAAGTTGTAATGCGACATCGCATCGACCGGCGATGGCTACTTGGTTCGAGGCTGGAGTCGTGGAGCGCCGCACATAAACCAATCTTGTCGCGAGGGATTCGGGCAAGGTCAATGATATCCACAAACAGTAGCAATACGACGATTCGAATAAGCTTCATAGGGGACTCACGAGCTATGAGATCGTGAGGTCGACGTGACCGAACCTAGCCTTCTGTGGCGGATTAGAGCACCACAGACACTTGTGATAGACGTGCCATGCCCAGTCGTTGCTGCAGTAGACGGAACGCTGAAGGCCGTCGCTGGCAGCTACAAATTCAGCGTGGGTGACAAGCAACGTGCCGCGGAGCGCATTGGCGGGATCTCGCGCTGGTTCCTTGCGATACCGAGTGAGGATGGCGTCGCCGGTTGACGAAGGGTGTTGTAATTCGGCAAACCCCGAAATTACCCCTTTTGAGAACAAGGAAGGTCTGGATCGCGTGGTAACGAACGCCGCGGCGCGGGTGCAGAAGATGGCGATAAGGTAGCCTGCGAATAGATACAAAACTCGTACCAGGCTTGCTCTTTACCTCCACCAGGGAACTAACTGGCGTCGGCAGCAAACGCAGACGTGACCATGGCACCACTCACTTTAGACTCGTCTATCCTCGTCTTCGGTGGAGGGGGCACTATTGGATCATCTACGGCCTTGCACCTGGCGCGCAAGGGTTACCAGAATATCCGGGTGCTGGACGTGTACCCTATACCTAGCGCGCAGAGCGCAGGGAATGACCTGAACAAGATCATGGGGACGAGCCTCCGCAATCCCGTGGATAAACAGCTCAGTCGCGAAGCTAACGACATGTGGTAAGGCCTCGTTTCTCGTAAGAAACGGAGCTGCTACTCGTGGGACTCACCGAATCTCCGCCAGGTTGAACGACCCGACATTCTCCCCCTATTTTCATCGTACCGGACGGGTAAGCCAGTATAACGCGGGAGGTCGATAATTTGCTCACATCCTCACCGCAAGCTGGACTGCTGCGGGTCTCCAGAAGGAATAGAGGACTTGCGGAAGACCATCGAGAAGCTCAACGATGCCGGGCTTGGGCACACCGCCGAATGGCTCGACAATGAGGAGGATATTGTAACGCGGGTACCCTGGCTAGCTGGTAATGAGATGCCTGTGAGTGTTGGGTCGCACATGAGAGCAATCCTGAGTGAACTCCACTCACATTGACGTAGGGGTGGAAGGGTATCTACTTCGCCGACGGAGGCTGGCTCGCTGCCGCAAAAGCCATCAACTCTGTAGGCCAGGAGCTAGCGCAGCTCGGCGTGAAGTTTAGTTTTGGACAGTGGGTCGCCTCGAATACAAGCCCTGCGGGCTATATTAACGCATCCCAGATCTGGCGCATTTGAGCGTCTTCTTCTCTCGGACGACGGGAGTACTTGTGTGGGTGCGGTCGCAAAGGATGGCACGGAATATCGTGCCGACCGCGTCGTCCTGGCTGCAGGTGCATGGTCGCCCGTGTTGGTTGACCTTGAGGACCAGTGCTGCTCGAAGGTGAGCTGCTGCGCAAATGACCATAACTCTCGCTCATTGTTGCAAGGCCTGGGTCTACGCACATATGCAACTGACCCCGGAAGAGGTTGAGCAATACAAGGGATGCCCAGTCGTCTACAACGAGGACCTTGGCTTCTTCTTCGAACCCAACGAGTACGTCTGCGCACCTGAGGTCGGCCTCGTAGATCTTCATGGTGATCACCGCTCAGGTTCGGCGTCATCAAGGTCTGCGACGAATTCCCCGGTTTCTGTCGCTACAAGTTGCATCAGCCGTTTGGTGCGCCTGCGCCGAAGCCAGTGTCTGTACCGCGCTCGCATGCAAAGCACCCTACAGACACCTACCCCGACGCATCAGAGGTGACCATTCGCAAGGCCATTGCTGCGTTCCTGCCGCGTTTCAAGGACAAGGACCTCTTCAATCGCTCGCTGTGCTGGTGCACAGACACCGCGGATGCTAACCTGCTGATTACGGAGGATCCGCGTTGGAAGAATCTCATCCTTGCCACGGGCGATAGCGGGTACGTGAGGAGCCCCTATTGGGACGAGCAATGCTAAACTGCTGCAGGCATTCCTTTAAGCTGCTGCCGATTGTAAGCGATAGCTGTTGTACAACTAGAAGACGGCTTACCGTATCTACAGATCGGAAAACATGTTGTCGAGCTGCTCGAGGGTACGCTGCAGGAGGACATGCGTCAGGCATGGCGTTGGAGGCCAGGCTCCGGAGACGCTCGCAAGTCAACGCGGGCAGCCCCCGCCAAGGACCTAGCTGAACTTCCGGGCTGGAACCACGACGGCGAGAAGACGGAACTCAAGCAAGGGCCTGGTAAGGAGACTGCCCGGGCGGCTAAGGCAGCCAATGTTCTCGAGCCCTCAGGGTCGACGTGCTGTACGGTACTGTAAACGGTAGCAAGGAACTCGTTCACTTACTCTTCATCGGGAGGGACGACTCGACGAGTTGAATATCGACTCAATCCTGGCGCAAACTAGTACTTTGACTGCAAGCAATACAGAAAAACACCAATATGTATACATACTTACTCGTCGCTTCCAGCGTTCGAGCTGGCTGTTGGGCTCGGCGGCTCCGCTGGTGCCTGAGGTTTGGAAGCCGGCGCGAAACCGGGCAACGGCCCCCCCGGTGCATCGCCCCCGTTCTTCTGAGCTTCCTGAGCGGCGCGCCACGCGTGCGCCATCTGCAAGAACTTGAACGACGTGGGGTTCGCCTCGCGTTCGTCGTCGGCAAAGACAAGGTCCCAATCTGCAACGAGAGTCAGGGAAGGGGAAATGAGAGGACGCGAGATAGCACGTACCCTCGACCGTCTGGCCGGTTTCCTGGTCGACCTGGCGCCGCTTGCTGACGATGGGCATCATGCCCTGCACCTTCTTGATATCCTCCTCGCTGCCGTGCTGCTCCTCGAACGTCTTCCAGACCTCCAGAAGGGCGACACGCTGCGGCACAGTGAGCATATTGCCATGAAAGCAAGTATTAGACATACCTCGCTTTTGAGGCCCTTGCTCTTCAAGTCCTTGTACGCGCGGTCGAACACCTGTCTCGCCCTGTCCGCGTCACCCGGCACCGTCGGCACCTCCGCCTCATCGTCCTCCTCGTCTTCGTCTTCCCGATCCGCACGCGGTATAGGTATCGGCTCGGCCTCGAACAGCGCGTACGATATCCAGACCTTGACGTGCCCGCTGATACCCACAAGGCGCTCGTACAGCGCGCGCGCGTTCTCGCGCTCGCCCTCCTCGACCTCGAAGTCGATGTACTTCTTCCACAGAAGCTCTGGCATGGTGAGCGCGCTCTGGGAGATGCCGAGCTCGAAGATCGCACGCGCGCGGGCGAAGTCCTGCAGCTGCGTCTCGATCTCGGCGTACTTGATCCAGGCGGCTGAGTTCGAGGGATCGTATTCGATGGACTTCTCGAAGAGCTTGCGGACGTTGTCGAACTCGCGGAGCTGCATATAAGGCGTGAGCATTTGCGATGTAGAAGTTTCTGAAATTGAGACGCACGTCCTTCTCGAGCTCGATGTAACCTTTGAAGAGGGCTTCCTTTGGGCACATGCCGATGGCAGTACCAAGGATTTTCCGCGCTTGTGGTAAGTTCAGTCGCCGTATTTCGAACTTCGCGAACATAAGCCAGAGCTTCGCAAAGGTGAACTGCTTGTGGGGAACGACACGTATGGCCGTCTCGTAGATTTGCCGTGCACGGTCATAGTCCTGCTGTGTGTAAGCACAGCACTCCTGAAGCGCGAATATATAGACGTACCTTCGTCTCGATCTCCTCAAACAAGGCGTAGTACAACCATAGGAAGATGTATCGCCGCCAATGTCTCTTCTCTCCGCCGGGTGGTATTTGCGCAACCGCGCGCTCGTACACTTCCCGGACGCGATTCGCAGCAGCCTCTTCCTCTTCTGCTGTGCCCGCCTCCTCTTTGACTTCCGCGTACGCGCCCTCTTCGAGGCGAGCATAGTCGAACCAGACGTCGTAGTTTCGGCCGTCTTGCGATAGCTCTTCCTCGTACTGGATTCGACGTTTGCCAAGGACAGTGTTCTCCAGCGTGCGGCGGGTCCCATGCTGCTTCTCGAACTTCGTGTACGACGCGTACAGCGAACTTGACTTCGAGCGCGGTATCCTCTCAAGTGCGAACTATGACAAAGAGGTCAACGGGCAGTTCAGCGTAGTAAGGAGGTGGCGTACCTTGTAGATCACGCGTGCTCGGTCGTACTCCTTCAGACGGGTCTCCATCTTGGCGAACGCGTTGAAGACGGTCTGCGCCTTCTCGATCTGCTCCTCGTCGTCGCCGAAGAACTCGAGCGCAGTCTGGAATACCTCGCGCGCCTTGTCTACGCGCTGGCGCTCCTCCTCGAACTTGCCCCACTTGACCCATACGCGCGGTTCTGGGCGGACGGCAACCCAGCGCTCGTAAATCGCACTCGCGCGATCGAGTTCATTATAGCGCTCCTCAAGCTTGATGTACGCCTGCCACGCCTTGTCGTCCGGCTCCCACTGCATCCAGCGCTCGAAGACCTGTCGCGCGCCGGGGACATTCTGCAGCAGCTCCTCCAGGTAGACGTACTTGTACCAGAGCTGGTCAACGCGGGGGAGGAGGGTTACGGCGCGATCGAACAGGTTGCGTGCGTGGTTGACGTTGCGAGCCTTGAGCTCCATCTCGGTGTAGGAGAGCCATAGTTGGATGGAGCGCGGGTCCACGTCCAGAGCGCGCTCGTAGACGGAGCGTGCGCGATCGAACTCGTTCTGGCTGGCCTCCCAGTTTGCGTATTGCAGCCATTCCTTGCTAAAGGGGCGTCAATAAGGGGCGATGGGAAGGGACATGAGCACGCACATGCTCCCCCTCGTCCTCCGTATACGCTCCTCGAACTCTTTCCTCTTTCGACCGCGATATTCATGTAGTTCCTCGAAGTCTTCGACGCGCTGCTTCGGGGCGCGGAAAGCGGACTCTTGCCGCTCTTGAGCTTCGCGCAGAAGTTGCTCGGCGGTGATCTATTGCGTGTCAAATTCTATTTTTCGAGCCTATGATGATTCCCCTCACCTGTATCGCCGCTGGGGCGCGGTTTTTGATTCTGAGTAACAGGTAAGAGTACAGTGGAAGGGTAAGGAAAGAGGACATACCGAGGCGCTCGTCCGTCCTGCATAATGCTAGCCAGTAAGCCCTACAGAAAACTAGCACAGAAGCGGGCAGGGAATTGTGCTCGTCGTCTGGAACGTCAGGTCCGACGTGGTCAACGATGAGGTCGAGGACAAGAACAGCGCGGGAAAATATTGCCGAATTGGCGTGAACAGACTCGGGCCGCGCCATTCCGCTTGAACCTCAACAACTGTTCGCTCTCGCCCTCATCTCGAATCAGACGGAGGTGAGCATCCCGAGAAACATATGGACGCTATCATCAGGCGATACCCATTCTTCGACTAGCTCACTCTATGCGCATGTGCTCTCGATAATGCAGTACGCGGACAGTATACGGATAACCCTCGGAAAGCGCTATGGCAACTCTGGAGCCTATAGCAGAGATGTTTTCTCGACCGTATCAGATTTTCTACCAAAGCAGTTCTCTCCTAGCGATAGACTCTCTGGGTCAACCCTTAGAGACTTAGATCGACCTAATACTCTTGCTATCGACGGTCCCAAAACCATGAGGGCCAGAGAAGGGACAGCACCGTCGACGATGCTTCTCTCCGCGCTATGCATGCGTCTTCTGTGCCTGTTGATACGGGCTACGGACGGTATAAAGCTCGAAGTCCGGAGCGCCGTGCTCCCCTCGCTCTGCTCTATCTCGGTCTGCGGATACAAAAATCGATACTAACCCATGATCTTATCCGCTCTTACCACCGTCGGACTTGCCGCCCTCGTCGGTGCGGCAGACTGGTATACTGTCGAGTGGGATGCACCGTGAGTTCTTTGTACTCCTTACCGTCTGATGGTGCTCACGTCTGTGGCCAGCGAGTTCACTGCCCTCTCGGGTGATATGGTAGTGCCCGGAATTCCTTCTGGCGGTGCGGCTTTCCACCATCGTCGATAACGCCCATGTTGATCGAAAAAATAGGAACACCGTATGTCTGGCCTGCTCTCCAAAGCGACAACGGCGTTCTACAAGCCGTATGTGATGGGCGGAGTGGTACATGGTGGATCGGTGCGTACTCCTCTAACAACCCAGTCCAATTTATTATCTCCCGATACGCCCGCCTACAACGCAGTGCTCACAAATACATCGCAGGTGACGGCTTCTATGGCACGCCAAGCCTGCCGTGGGGCAACGGATTCAACGTGAACCCTGGCGACACGGTCCACTTCACCTTCACCGGGGTGCGCTGAGCACTTGATGAACGTTTGTCTGGACTCACTCCGTATCCGCCTACAGAACGGCGACACTTGGACTACCACCCTCGAGAGCAATGGCCAGACGGCGTCGACGACGCTTGACATCACTGGCAGCACGATGAACCGGTGCGCTCTCGATTCGTGCACTGCCGCCGGGTCCAAGGCTTGACAATCAACTATCCAGCGCGATCTTCGCTGTCGAGCTCTACGACGTCCCCTTCGACTTCGGGCCTGTTAGATACGTGAGCCCGACGACCGTACTCCTGTTATACGACACTTCTAACATGATTTCATAGAGCAACGTCAAGATCACCGCGACCACCGCCGCGTCTGGCTGGTGCGGCTCCGTCGCGCATCTCGGGTCCTACGTACGTGGTTCGCCTCTGTCTTCGTCGCCGAGCTCTGTCGATGTTGATGCTTGCTCTCTCAGAACTACACCTACTCCGGAAACACCGCCAGCGGCAACACATGCTCCATCGCGCAGATCGTGCAGAACAGCGCTGTCTAATGGGGCTTGCGGGAAAGAACTTATCTAAGTTTGTATTATCCGGCGTGGTTGAAATATCTGGCGTTTTGGAAAATATTGGGAGGCTCAAAGCATATGCTGAACTGGTGGAAGCCAGCAGTGACAGCCTTCAACGCTCCGTCCGTTGTACTCTAGCAACGACTGGGCGAGGCATATATACCACAAGTGTCTTTGGTCCTCCAAGCCGTGCCTAGGAGCGAAGTTCGACTATGTCGACCTCAGAGATCCATAGCGCGCAAGTCCTCTGCGAAGAGCACCCGAACGTCGTCGATGTTCGCCCTATACTTTGCCGCATCACAAGCTCTGGTGATTCGCTCTCCTGGCACACGGTACAGCTGCCACCCGGAGCAAGACCATGGACTATCGGCTCTTGCGGCGCCCTCCGCTCAACTTGCCTCTATGTATGCCCGGCCGACCTGACACCGCAGCTTGAGCGACTCATGCTCGGTAAACACGAGCGACGGCAAAGTCATACGCAAACTGGACCTCCGATATGCGCAGGACTTGCGTCTCAGTAAGGAGAGGGGATCAGCGGTGGCGCCGTTTGGTCTGCCTGCGCAGGCGCTGTAGTAGAGCCGACACTGCGTTTAATTCACGGATGCCTGTCTGTATAGGCAATCGTACCGATGGCTTCGAAGACGTGCCAAATTCTTCAGGTCTCCGACCGGATACAACCAGCTTTAAGCTGAAATAATCTTGCTCAGAACTGTAGCGAACCAGGCGCGAACTACAAGTCCGCGGATGTGCCTTCTTTGCCTTTGTTGTCGACGGAAAAGGAAGTTGATCCACCACGTTTTGTGCTATGGTCAAGGCGCCGGCCCTGTCCTTGGCAAAAACCACTCAGTCCCTCATCGTCTTCTACTGCTCACCGCGTTGTAGTCAACCCTCGACCTTCACGCTTGTCATCATGGGCGCATCCATACTCTCTACCTCCATCTCGACGCTGAAAGACATGGACGCGTTGCCGATAGTCGACTACCGCCTCGTCGACTTCGATACAGGCTATCATCGTCTTCAGGTTTGTAAATGCCGCAATGCAGACGACTTTGGCTTATCCAAGGACTTATCGGATGGAATACTTCGAGTACCACTGGGGTCTGGACAAAGGGGAACTCGATCTCTCAACGCCACTCAACCACATTCAACGTGCGCCACTTGGCTCCCTTCGCTTGTCGCAGCTCTAACGCCTCTCGATCGTAGTTCGCAGTGATATGGTTGAGTGCTTGAACGATGCTGACTGGACTCTTCTACCCACCAAGAAGATCCTCGACGCCATGGTCGCCCTGTCAGATTTCAACAAGACCACGGACTTGAATAAGAGGAAGCGCTTCACTGAGGTGAGTTCCTTGGTCGTCAGTGCATCTACCTGCTCACCATCTCAGATACTACCCGAACAAGAATACGAATACGAATTTTTACCCATGCGCATATCTCAGCGAGACCGCCCACAGCTCTATCTCAAGCGAGGTTCTACAACTAGGACGATCAAGAGAGCGTACTCCAGGATGCCCTGCATCAGGTCACGCGCGCATCCTCTCTTCGTATCGTTACGCGCCTACGACGACATCCATTCTGGCTACGACTCTATGCCGGAAGCCAAGATGGACCGGCTTCAGAAGATGCTTGCCAACGTGCTCTGGCGCTGGGACTCACATCCTCCTGTCGAGTTTCTTGTCGGCCCCGATGTCTGGCAAAAACACCGTCACCCCAGTAGTGACGATGGGTTCATCGCGCGCGCGCTGCTGAGTACCTGCAAACGTACGGACACGAAGAAGCCTGTGCGACGTGTGTGGAAGTCCAGTCGTGCGCCTGCACCTCAATCCAAGACTCGTCAGAAGGGAATGTCTGTATATGACCACGCACGTCAGCCGCCGCCACACCCCTCATCGCCGGTTCTTCCTCGGAGCGTCTGCGCGTCCGAGGCCGCGTCCACCGTCAGCGATGCTGATGTCCATGCCCACGATTTCTCGCCGGCCGATCTGCGCCAATGGTTGGACTCCATCAATTCCCAGACCGACACCACGACGAGGACCCAATCTCCCGCATCATCCGGCCGCGATTCTGTCCTCGCCCGCTATCGCAAGGAACCGGCCCGCAACCCCGTCCAAGTTCGTCTCACTACCTTGTATCATGAGGGTGGCCTTCTGGGGGGACGCGACTGCATCCGCCCCCGCTCCGTCTTTTGCAGCAACCTTTGGGCAAGGCATAACTACCAAGTCTGCCTCTGGTCGTCTACAGCGGCCCAATTTTCTGAAGTCAACCTCATCCCGTAAATAGGCTCACCGGCCGGTGTCCTATGTCCCCTTCTACCGCTACGCTCACGCTGGGAGCACTGACAGAGGCGATACGTTTACCATCGCGTCGATTCTGCCGAACAGCGCCGCGTGTGAGCAACTTGTCCTGAGTATCATCAAGGTGACCTTCGCGTCCATGATTTCGTAGCTTATCAAGGTCAAGGCGGAGCGTAGCATTGCAGCCCATTCGTCGTAATCGTGATAGTTGTATTGAGACATCTCGTCACTAGCGATACAACACAAGGAGCCAGAGATTGATAATGAGTATAGAAATAGGAATAAGGAAAGAATGAGCGTTGATAGGACGGTGCCGACAGTGAAGTGAACAAAGGAGCTATAGAGGACCCATAGACAGGTACACAGCCAAAGCGTCGATATGGGGTTAGGTTGTAGAAGTGTGAACTAGTAGCACTCGTCGGGAATACTAGCGTATTGCCACATAATCCGGCCGATCTCGATCACCAGATCCTCCTCATCGGCAAGATGAGCGGGGGCGTGTGCACCCTTTCGAAGCCACTTGTACGCCGTCCAGACGACAAGGTAGGGGGAGCAATGCATCTCGGTGATCGGCAACGGGTCATTCCAAGGCGGCGAGTACTCCTTGTGTAGGGCTCGACCATTCTCGTCGACGGAGACCAAGCAAGTGATCGGCCGAGTGCCAGTCCATGAGGACAGGGGAGCAGTGTGGTAAAGCCATGTCTCTTCCGGAAACACCTGAGGAGATTTGTGAGCGGATTGGCGAAAGCGAGGAAGGGAAGCGACACACATCCTTGTGGTGTGGAAAACCAGCAGCGTTGCGCCTAATCGGACCCTCCTGGCCGTCGGGAAGAGAAAGATACTCTCGCCTCAATGCGGTCAAGAGCCTAATGAGGACCTTTCTCTCGGGGAAAAACGTGAACTTTCCGCGATCCATCAGGACGTGCATACTGGGTTCGACTAAATCAGGGTAAGCGCATCGTCCAAGGACAGATATATCGAGGAAAGACTCACGGAAAATCCTGTTCCCCGTGCCGTCGAGGTTGAACGTTCCGGGGGGTAATGACAGGATGAGCTCCATGCCACTGATCTACCTTGAAGGTGAGCATATCTGAAGTGCGGTAATCTAGATTAATACGCACAAATTTTGGATGATTCCACCCATAAGCACGATTGGCCAGGTGGCAATCTTGCAAAATGCCATTGCTATTGTCGGTCCCAGTGACCACGTCGGTTAGACCCAAAGGCGATTTATCGACCAGACGCCAACGACGAGGCCGCCGTGTATCCCTATCAATGTTTCTAGGCGGAGTAGACAAGCGAGCCCGAGATACAGCGGATGAAGGGGATGGATCGTCTTCGTCAAGATCTGGTCCAGAGTCACTGTCGTCGTCCGAGAGCGTAGGTGTCGGCTTAGACGAGAGACTATAGGGTGTGTATCGGCGAGAGTTTGCGCTTTCTTGAGGCGGTTGTCCCCGGCGGCGCGAAGCAGGTGTGGTAGATTGCCGTTTCCGCACGGAACCGACAGCCGCCTGCGGTGTCGTTGAGTCGCTGTGGCCATGCTGAGAACTGCGAGTTCGAGACTCTTGCATGCGTTGGATTCGTGCACTGCGCCGAGTGTTGGCCTGTGAACAAGCGGCAGTCGTCTTCTGACGCCTCTTGCCAGTGGCGCATTGTCCGGGGACAGGGCCATCCGAGGAAGAGGCGTCTGACAAAGGGCTCGCTTTCCCACTCTTCCGTATCATCGGAAGAGATGAGAGCCTGCCTGTCGTTAGCTATTGTCCCAAACACCAGTGGCGAAGGGTCCCTCACCATGTAAAAGGACGACGGGCAACAGACTCCAACGCCAACTACTTATATGTGTCGAAGGTGTTTGTGACCACTCTAATATGCATGCTCTGTGTGTGGTCAAAGCATGGCAAGAAGAATGGATGCGGCTCCGATGCGTGCATGCAAGATCGGTTTTGGAAAGTCATCTCACAAGGCCGCGCGAGGTTTCAGAATGTTTTGTTCAAGTTCTGTTCAACTTTTGTTCGGTCAACTCCGACACGGGCCGGTGCGGATGTCGGGCCGGCCTTTGCAATCGGCGCCCGACGACCTTGTCCTTTCCCTCCCGCTGCAGCGCCTCTCGTCTCGCACTCATCTGCAATGCCCCACTCTGTTCTATCCACCTGCGTGTCTACTCAGAAAACCATGGACACACTGCCAATAATCAACTATCGCCTCGTCGACTTCGACACCGGACTCCATCGTCGGCAGGTCTCTAATCATCGCAGTACACACGGCTCTGGCTCATCCTGAGGCTTGTCAGATGGAATGTTTCGAGTATCACTGGGGACTGAAGAAGGGAGAACTTGATCTATCCTCGCCACTAAACCACATCCAACGTGCGTCGCCCAATTCGATTCGCATGCCGCAGTGCTAACGCCGCTCGATTGTAGTTCGCAGCGATATGGCCGAACGCATGAACGATGCTGACTGGACCATCCTTCCCACTAAGAAGACTCTCGACGCCATGATTGCCTTGTCGGACTTCAACAAGACGGTGGACGTGGATAAGAGGAAGCGCTTCACCGAAGTCAGTCCCACCCGTCGTCCGTGCAACCACCCACTCACCATGTCAGGAACTACCCGAACAAGAATACGAATACGACTTTCTGCCCATGTACATAGCCAAGCGAGAGCGCCCGCTGCTATATCTCAAACGAGGCACGACCACCAGGACGATCAAGAGAGCGTATTCGAAGATGCCCCGTATCAGGTCGCGCGCGCATCCCCTCTTCGTTATATTCCGCACCCACAACCACATCATCTCTGGCTACTCTTCTATGCCGGATGCCAAGGCCGACCGGCTCTCGCGTACAGTGCATGCCATCCTTCGGCGCTGGCAATCACAACCCCCTCCCGAGTTTCTCGTAGGTCCCGACGTCTGGCAAAAACATCGTCACCCCTGGAGCGACGACGGGTTCGTTGCACGCGCTCTGCTCAGCACTTGCGCGCCCACAGATGCGAAGCGGCCGGTGCGGCGTGTTCGGAAGACCACCCGTGCCCCTGCACCCCAGCCGAAGTCTCGTCAGGACGGGCCCTCCGTATATGATTACATACGTCAGCCACCACCCCACCCCAATTCCCCTGCACTTCCTCGCAGCGTCCACGCTTCAGAATCCGCGTCCACTACTAGCGACGCCGAGGTCCATACTCGTGACTTCTCGCCCGCCGATCTACGCCAGTGGTTGGATTCCATCAGTCCCCCTCCCAATACCAAGACAAAGATCCCATCGCCTCCCTCTTCCAGATGCGACGCTATCCTCACCCGCTATCGCGAGGAATCGGCACGCGACCCTGCCCGGGTTCGCCTCACCACTCGGTTTCAGGACGGCGGGTTGGTTAGGGGACGCGAATGCATTCGCGACCGCTCCATCTTCTGCAGCAACGACTGGGCGAAACATAACTACGAGGCCTGCCTCTGGTCCTCCACCGCGCCCCTCGCCACCGACGTCGACCTCATCCCATAGCAAGACGAGGCGTCGCATAGCTTCACAAGTCCCGCGTGTAGCTCGTCATACGGTGCAAGTCCCCGCGACGGTCGACTCTGCAACTTGCTATGCTCACTGCCTGCGTGTCGCGAATGACGCGACGCATGAGCGGTCACTCGCTCCTCCACGGCCGAGCTGTGTGCAATCGCCGGCTCTGCGTCTGCAGCGCATGGGCGTTGCTTACGGCGGCGAGACCGTAGACCCAACGCAGCGCGTCGGTCCGTGGGGCTGCACACCGGATTTGCCTTGTCATCCCTCGGCATATCCGCGCGATGGGAGGCGCGCTGTTGTCCGCCTTGATTCTAGACGCGGACTTGGGAACGACGAAGATGGCGGTGCCCGACCTGTTTGCGGAAGGGCCCCGACGAGCTGGAACTCGGCGCATACTTTACGGATATCTGCTTGCCTATGACCGTGAGGTGCTTCAGACAGCCTCGCCGACGTGCCAACCCTGTCCGATCGCCGACCGAATCCAGCAAGCTTCGAGTCTCGATACCGAGTGAGCTCGGGCGAGTTCGGCTCTCGCTCTGAGCGTCGACGGAGAAGGACGGGTGTGACTGTAAATGTTCGCCTTGTTCAGGCCCTGGTCTTTGTTGTAGACGGAAATGGAAATTGGACTGGACTGACGCGTGTCACGTCACCGTCAAGACCATCGCGCCTTCCGCAATGACCGCGCGGTCTCTCCTTGCTCCCCCCTCGTCCTCCGGTCACCCACAATGCCCCCCTCTATCCTCTCCACCTCTATATCTACTCAGAAAGATATGGATGCGTTGCCAATCGTCAATTACCGTCTCGTTGAGTTTGATACCAATCTCTATCGTCGGCAGGTCTGTAAACCTCGCGCCACCGCCGAGCCTACTTCTCATGCATGTTCATAGATAGAGCACTTCGAATGGTACTGGGGCCTTCAAAAAGGAGAGCTTGATCTCTCCACGCCACTCAATCATATCCAACGTGCGTCTGAGGCCACGATGTATGCCCGAGGCTAATGCATCCCTTCCCTCCAGTTCGCAGCGACATGGCCAAGCGTTTAGACGAGAACGAGTGGACTATATTACCAACCAAGCGAACAATCAACACTATCATTGCTCTGTCCGACTTCAACAAGACCGCAGACGTGCATAAGAGGAAGCGATTCACCGAAGTGCGTTGCCCGATTTAACAGTATACTCGGAATACTCATAATCGCAGGTCCTTCCTGAACAAGAGTATGAGTACGACTTCGTACCGCTGCACATCACCCAAGGAGACCGCCCTTCCATGTATCTCAAACGAGGCTCAACTACAAGGACGATCACCAAGGCTTACTCGAAAATGCCACGTATCAAGTCGCGCGCCCATCCACTTTTCGTCGTCTTCCGCACGGACCGCGATATCCTCTCTGCGTACTACACGATCTCAAAATCCGAAAAGGACCGACTGCGGGACATGACGCACGCTGTTCTCTTCCGTTGGCAAGATTGTCCCCCAATCGAGTTCCTTGTAGGTCCGGACGTTTGGGCAAAGCACCGTCATCCGTGGAGTGACGATGGCTCTATCGCGCGTTCCCAACTTAGCACCTGCAACCCTGCACCTACGAAGAAACCGGCGCGTGCTGTACGCAAGTCTACTCGCGCCCCCTCTCCTCAACCCAGAGCATATCAAGCCAGACCGTCAGTATACGACTACGCGCGGAGTCCGCCCCCTTGTCCTAACTCGCCCGTTCTCCCTCGCAGCACCCACGCGTCCTCATCCGGGTCCTCCGCCAGCGAGGCCGACGCCGAGTTCTCCGCCACCGACCTAAAAGATTGGCTGAGGTCTATCGAACCCGAGCCGAAGGCAAAGCGCGCATTCCCCTCCTCTCCTCGCCGCGACCCCGTTCTTGCTCGATATCGCAAGGAACCGGCGCGGGATCCCGCGAATGCGCTTCGCGTCTCGTTGCTCCTCGTGCTCGGCGGATTGGTGGCGGAAGGCAGCGACGGCACCAACAGGGAGGTTTACACCAGCAACGACTGGGCGACGATCGTCCACCGGACCTGTCTTTGGTCCTCAAATCCACCCGAGGAAGCCGTGGCCGACTATATCGACCTTATCCCCTAGCATGCGGGGCGCGCCTAGACGCCATCCTGGGCATTCTGCGTACCTCACTGTGCCGTAGCCTGTCGCCGTAGCTGACGGTCTGCCGCACTCGAACATGGTCCCTCGCAGCGCACCGCTACGCAACATGCAGATTTGCAGGGTGCGCGCCGCTGTACTCGGTCGGCCGATGCATCGCGTTTGGAGCACAAACACACAACCTGCCCGGCGACATCAAGGTCGTGCACTCTGCGCGACTACCGGGGCTCTCGCGATGTCGTTATTCTCTTGTCGACGTGCCGGAGGTTGGTCGACGTCGGATGTCCATACCCATAATGCCTCGCTAGCATGTTAGGGGACGGGATTGCACCCGCGACCGCGCCATATCCTGCAGAAACGACCGGGCCCCACATAACTGGAGCCTGCCTCTGGCCATCACCTGCGCCCCTCCCTGCCAAAGTCAGCCTCATCCCATAACAAGACAATGCGTTGCTTGCCTCACGAGCCCTTCCCGTAGCTCGTTATACGGCATCGCCAAGTAATCGCGAGGGTGGACTCTGCGACTTGCTATGATCGCTGCCTGCGTGCTGCGAGTGACGCGGGACGCACCAATATGTTTCTCCCGTCTCTACAACTCCCCCTCCGACCCAATCGCTGTTTATCATCATCCGTTCTGTAACGATAGCGCGCGGGATCGCTGACGAGGCTAGACCCTACGCTCAACGTAGCGCGCCGTCTGAGGGCCTACACATCGGATTCTCTCGGATGCTCGCGATGTAATGCGCACAGGAGTTTCCGTTGCGCTCAGAGGCGGGAATGGGAATGATGACATGGTGGTGCTATCTGTTCTGTCTGCGCCGGCACTACACTGGACCACGCCAGCCGAGTACCCTACAACGCGAGCATCTTCAGGCCAGGCGACGTGTCACACACGTCGCGTCGCCCACAGATCCTATCAGCCTTGCTTTCTGCTCGCGGTCGGGGTCGCGCGACGCGTTCTGCAAACTCCCATCAACCAGATCACCCAGACAGATGATGCTGGCGAGATTGAGTAGCATATCTGAGGAATACATATATTGCAAGCTAATAAAATATACGAGGCAAAGAAACTGAAAGGCCGCTCAGTTAGCCCAAGGTGAGCTAACTTCGCTCGTTGATAAGCTTCACGGGTTACGGTGAAGCGACGGTCCTGAGCCTGACGCCAATGACACCTGTGATGAATTGTCGGTGTTGGCTCGTGAAAGTTGCGAGCGCGTCCGAGCCGTGCCAGATAGAATATTGTCCTCGACGACTTCGAATGTTTGAGGGCTCGGAGGTACGGCAGAAGGCATGTAAGTCTCGGTATATTCCTTGTCCAGAACATCGCCAATGGCCGTTATGAGTTCGACTTCTTCCTGAAGATGACTGGGCGTTCGCGGGACTTCGGCGCGCGGTTTGCGCAGAGCGCGATAGGCGTGCATGACCATGAAGTAAGGGTGGACGGGCAGCTGAATCGTCGGAAGAGAGTCCTCGCCTTCGAACGGATATATGTGATCGAAAAGTTCATCCGAGTCTTGTGCGTGGCGGGTGATGAACAAGGTAGGTGACCAGGTGTCGTCGGATTTGAGTTCGCCCATGACAGGCGTGAATCGGTACTCGTACAGTCCGTCGGGCAGCGTCTGATCGACGTATATGGGTGAGTTGTGTGATCGAGCACGGCTGTGGCCACTCACGTGTGTATATATGACAAAACCGTGCTCGTTTGTTTCGACTCCGTCCGGGACCTCGACTTGACCGAGCGGAAGGCCGTGATTCGTCACCGCATGCAGCATGATCCTGAGGACTTCCAGTGAAGGGCAGAAGAATGCAGCGAAATTGTCGTGCGCCGCATGCATTGTCTTCGTCACTATACAGCTGTCAGTGGGAAGCCGATAGGAGTTGAGAGATAAGCCATACTATAGCAAAGGTTTCGTGGTGTGTGCAGATACAATGCTCCTGTCTTCAAACCGAGGTAATGCTCCACCAGCATAACCTACAAAAGCATTAATGTTCAGTGGTGGAGGTGAAGTCGGAGTCACATACCATATCGAGGGGCAGGGCGCGAGCCAGCATATGAGCTAGTTGCAATCCGAAATTCGCATTTCCTAGGCCCGTGACGACGCAGACGGCCCCCAAAGGCGATAACTTTTTGACGTGCTTGTAAACCTGTCTTGGAATTGGATCCTTGGGGTCGATATTCTGGAGCAACGTCCATATCTTGTGCAGCAATTCGTTCCCTACACAGTGAGATACAATCAGTTTTAGAAGTCATTCATTAGTGAGCAGAAACTACCTGCGAGGCGCTCGTCCCCCGCTACGGACTTTGGGGGCATTATGAACAGGAGAGTGAGGAGGGTAGGCGGTGGAGGTGTCGTATATTCTCGAAGATTTATATATAGATAGGTGCTCCCAAAGTATTCCTAAAGGAGAACAGGTGCGATATAGTACACGCAGCAAGATGGCCCAAGAGATGCGAGCTATGGCCATGCATCGTGGCAGGACAATGGCCTGATAGCGCACTGGGTTCATTTCAATGAAACTTTGTTCCAATACTTGCTTTCAAATCTGCTGCGGTAGCTGTAGGGCCAGAGCCGTTTGTAATGGGCCGCTGATGTTATGCACAATCCATCCGAAGGCCACGCACCATGGCCATCGGTATCCTGGCGGTCTCCTTGAGTTCTGTATGGCCTTCATTTATTCAGGAGATACGCGCTTTATGTGTGTTGCTGTGCCTCAAAATGTGGCCGATAAATGAATCTGGCGATGAGTTGCGCATGAGCAGGTACTTGAGTGGGCGGAGAAGATGGGATTGAAACTGGACGCGCGTGTCACGCGGTCGGCCATCACCGAGCCTGACGCTTCCATAGTGATCCCCAACGCCGGCTTCCGCTCTCCAGCTTCTCTGATTAACGATAGAACCCCGCCTCGAGCGCCATCGCGATCGTCGCGGGGGCCAACAGCCCAGGTAGTGAGTTGGCCCACCGAGTATGTCTGTGTCACGCATTTATGACGCGCCTGGCCAAACTGGATCTCCAAACACCTTCAGCGCGACCCATGGGGCTGAACTCGCCAAGTGCATGGTCTCAGCCACGATCCGAGGGCGATTTAAATTGGACTTGACTGCTCTAATGCATGACATCTGGTAGTCTCGTTCAACTCAAATTTCCGCCATATTGTCTAGTACTCTAGGTCCTCTATTTCAGCAAACAGTTTCCGCCGCACGCTCTTCGAGTCAGCGATGGAAGCCTCGGTCGACGAGAGCTCGGACCCGTCAGCTTCATCATCGCTTAGTCGCTTCAAAGGGCTCTGGAGGAAAGCGGAAGGTAGTTCCAGATCATCGATATACTGTCCGATTTCCACGATAAGCTGGAGATGCTTCGCAAAATAGTCCTGAAGGATAGAGACATCCTGCGCGTCCTCGAGAGCATCATGCGCGTCTTCGGCAGCATCCTGCGCGTCTTCAGAACCAGACTGTGCGTCTTCAGAACCAGAACGAGTGTCTTCGGAGTCAGCTCGCGCGTTCTCAGAGCTGGTCTTCGAGGATACGGAACGAGACTGAGCATCTCCAGAAACCGATTCGCCGTCGGTGTCAGAATCGGAGTCGGATTCGGAGCCAGAATGGAAGGCGGAACTCGTATCATCTGCCCTCGGGGGCGTGCGAGGGGCGGACGAGCATTTCTTGAGTGCACGGTGTCCATTGTAGATTATACACCAGGGATCGTTGTGCAAGAGCACCTCGGGAAGGTCGTCGTCGCCAGTGAATGGCCAACGGTAATGCTTGACTTTGAACTTGTTACTGTGTTCGAACGCGCCGCTCGGAGTAGACGTGCTTCCGTAGAAGACGGGCCTATCGATGGTGTGCTTGCGATTCCAGCGAGCGAGGGGAAGAAACCGATGCAGTCGGTGGAAATTCTTTTCGAAGAGCTAATTTGATGCATGGTATGAGTGATCGCATCTTGAAAGGGAGTTGCGACGCACCTGCTCGTGATGAATGTATCCTGCCGCATTCTCCGACGTATCCTTAATGTGCATGTTGATTCCGTTCTGTTCTGCGCCCTCTAACGTAGGTGGAGGCATGCCGTTGTTCTTCATCGCGTAGCGTGCAGCCAGGAGAACAGGCATAGGCGGTACAAACATGCACAGACCTGCATCCATAGCGGCGTGAATTTCCGGCTTCACTGTGTACGATGAGCATGTCGACCGATGTTTAATCAAGAGAGTACGCACAGTAAAGAAGATTCGCGCTGGTTCCAGAGTTGAACGCATCTCTGCTCATTCCACGAACACAGGCAATCTTTTGTGCCTATTGTAGGTATTGAGCGTCAAGTACATGAGTAAGAAAATATAATCACGCACAGTCAAAAGCTCTATAGCTCGAGGGATTAGATGCGCCAATTGTAACAAGTGCATGAAGTTGTCCATTAGAGTGATGGGGCATCTTGCGCCGTAAGGTTGAGCTTCTTCGACGCGCTTGTACGTCTCTTTTGGAAGTGGCTTGTACCGATATACATGCCCCGCCGGTGTGTTCTTCACATCTGAGTCCGCGGTCTTAGCATTTCTACCACCATCGTCCGAAGAATTGATGGTTGGGTTGTAAGGGAGGTCGTCCTTTCGCTCGGCGGCCACTTTGATGCGCTTGTTGGGAGCAAAAAGTGATGTCGAATGAGCAGTGCTCCCGTTCCCCGCCGCCTCATCGTCGGATGAAGACGTGTCGGAGAGTTCGACCAGGGCTGGCTTTGAAGCTTGGCGCTTGAGATGAGCTCGGGATTGTGGAAAAGAGACCTGAGAGGACGGCTGTTGCATGCTGCCAAAGTTTCCGTGTTGCTGACAGAGTCTATCCTTGGTGGCGGAAGGTAAGGAGCGATGGGAACATTGAGCACGATCGGACCAGGCCAGTCACGGAATGTGACGTCACGTGAGAGCCGCGTGGTGTTTCCGAAGCACGGGTAGCCGTGATGTCCCACGGGCTTGCACGCGTTGAGCTCTTACCATCATCATCTCGCTATGTCGCCTGACGCGGTCCCGCTCTCCGCACTCTCTTTCAGTGAAGATGCTGCCTGTATTCCTGTAGTTGAGCGCACGTTGCTCACTTTCGACGAGGCTGTAGAGTTTCAAGTGGTGAGCGATCCAGTCCGAGTGGCGAGATGCTAGTATTCACCGTTGCTAGATTTGGACTCTGGAGTGGTGTTGGGGAGTTGAGAGAGGAGGGATCCCTCTGACAGGCCCATTCAATCGTATGGAATGTGAGTCTTGTGTTTTTGAGTTGGTGAGCTGCCTTATCTAACCGGCGTTATGTAGTACGCGCCGACATGGCCAAGTCTTTCGACGAGGAGGATTGGACACTCATGCCGACAAGAAAGACTCTCAGAGCTATGTCGCACCTACTACGCCATAATGCCCAAGCGGATGCGAGCTCGCGAAGGAACGCCATGAAGGCGCGTGCTCATACAGCTCACTCCCATCTCATGCTGACACTCGATCTCAGGAATTCAAACCAGAGAAATGCAAGTACAAGCTCAAATTCGTTGGTCATCGCAAACCAGGCGATGAGCCAACGATCTACGCTGCCATCGGAGACGCGGAACCCACGGCCTACAAATATCCTTACAAGGATCTGAGAATTCGTTCCTGCGCACATCCCTTCATCGTCGTTTACAAGGCGCATCTCATAGCAACGGATCGGCATAATGGCTGGAACCATCACGCGCTCGAATCACTGCATGACAACACCTTGAAGATCAGCATGCGTTGGCGCGAAACGCCGCCAGCCCAGTTCAAATACGGCCCTGACTTCCCCCCCGAACATTGCCATCCTGGTAGCATAGCGGGCTCTGTCGACGGCTCGTCGCCTCGAAAGCGCGGATCTTCGGACCGTCCAAGTGACCTTCCTCCAACGAATGCGCTCTGTTCGCACTCTGGATCCCGCTCGTCGCTGCGCAAACGCAAACGCGAAGACAGCGACGAGGAGGTGGACCTCGAGGCGCCTCCCAGACTATGCGCCAGGACACTGGATACTTCGTCTCTGGCGAGCCTCTACGCTGACAGTACCGCGGTTGTGTCGTGGCTGGACATGCTCGAGCCCGGTGACGTCGACTATCGCTGCACACCCGAGTCTGCTATGGCGGAAGCGGACGCAGCCCTGGCACAGTACGTGCAGGAGCCCGCGCGCGATCCGAAGGAGGTCATGCGTACCGGTTGGAAGCCGCTGAAAATCTCTCGACCTTTGGGACAGGAGCGCGATATGTCGCGCTGGACCAGTTCAATGGCGGCGGCGTGGATTGCTGGTGTCATGATCTGGGGGCGCTATGATGACGGAAGTTCATAGACAGTGATGTATGGTTTTGCGGTTGAGTTTTGTATATGTACATTGTGCCGTCAAACATCCACGACACGACTTGTTTCTGCCTGATGACGCGCTCCCACAGGGCGACTCGACGCGTCGTTTCATCGAGGCGAGCGAAGTCATGCTCGCTGGAGTAGACATTCACGCTATGTACTTTACATGGGTATGGAGAAAAGACCGCTATACATACATCCAGAACTAAATCGGCGCAAGGTGGACCACGAAAAGGTTCAGAGCGACTGCTCACTCCGCCATAGCCGTGTCATTGTCGATAGCAGCCTTCTCCTCCGGGTCGAGCCAACTCTCCTCAACCGTCGTCTTGACCCGACGCACGTACTCCTTCATGTTTTCGCGATACAGCTGCGCGGCTTCCGCATTCGCGGGGCTGTTGGGGTTCGGGTCGTGCAGCAATGACTGGATGGAGGTGAGGATGGCAGCGACGTCGTAGGTTGGGGACCAGCGATTCTGCAAGATGTCGAGACAGAGCTCGCCATTCGCATACACATTGGGGTGGAACATGCGCGAGAGGAACTTGACGGTGGGTGGTTTGTTGGGGTAGGATTCGTCGAAGGTGAGGATCAGCTTGAAGGTGCCGTCTTCGAATGGCGTATCCGCTGTGGAGGCAATCGTTAGCAAGCCGCGTATGTAGCACCGCTTAGGGACGCACCTGGTCCGAAGATGACCGCGTTCCACACCATGATGTTGTCAGCGCATGGGCTGCCAGAGATGCCGCCTGGCGGATCGGAGGACAGGCGCTTAAAGTCCCGAATCAGGCGGCGGCGGCAGGCGGTACTCTATCTCTCGTCGTAAGCGGGAGGTCCAATGCGAAGGGCGACTCGTACGCACCATCGTGGGGGTTTCAGCAGGGAGAAGAGTACAAGGGCAAGTTCGTTATGGGAAAATGTGGCGCAAATCGCCCATTGTCAGCGAACTCGGCGTCTGCCGAGCGGGGTCAACCTGCGACCACAATAGTTCGCGCCTTGGCTACTCCCATAACGCACATTGAAACCTCGCTCACTTCCCGTATATATGCCTGACCCTGATAGCTGCCTGGTTCATAGCTGCCGTAGCTCGAATGTATCCTCGAGGTTTTGGGCCATAGGGAGTCTAAGAACTACTACTGCGACTCGTAAAGCATACGCCCTCCTCCCCTACCAAAGGGTATAGAGCAAGAACGCGTGAGTGCCAACAATAGTATAGGCGATTACCTCTGAGTTCTTGCCAGCGTGTTTACTGTTACGGTGGCGGGAGTAGGAAGGGCAGTTCTTAGAGTTGCACCCTTCACGATGAAAGCTTTAGGCCGTCGCAAGCGACTCATAGTCCCCGCCTCCTTCAGTTCGCGTCGACATACTGCAGCTTCACCAATGTAAGGATTATATCTATAAGCAACGAGACTCTGCAAGGCACGTCCTGCGCGCACACACTCCCTCGAGAAGGGTTCTCCAGAAGGTAATCACTATTAGAGACCCTTGTCTCTGATCTTCACTGACCATACTGGTAGGACTTCGCCGACTGAAAACCGTTCTTCCGAAGCCAACTCAATTACATCGATCCGGGGCGGGATTGCATCTCGCTTTCGAATGCACGTCGGCCAGCTCCCTATAGTCAAGTCGCGCGTGCATCCATTCGTCGTGTATAGATGCTAGACCTATCCAAGATGCTCAACCCCGAACAAACGACGACAGATTTGAGGTCATCGACATGAATGCCGCTCACCCAGCACGTCTCGCCTCCGCTATCGTAAGAGTGATCATGGTACCGACCTTCCCGGTGAGGATTGTCACTCAAGGAGCTGCGTCTGTGCTCTACGGGTACAAACAAGTGGTTTGTCAGGCAAGGGTTCTATCTGTGAAGCTCAAGAGGTGGAGGCTATGTGGCCGCGTCCGTTGGTCTTCACAGTACGGATGTTGCCGTCATTGTGAATGTGCGATAATTGAAGCCACGTGCGCCGCGTGGACAGGCTTGCTCCGAGCCTCCTCCGCGATAACTTGTCTTCTGACCTCATGCGCGATCTCACCAAGCTCGTTCTCAGTCCCCAATTGCCCCCCGCCCCTCCCGGACTCCTCGGCCAGGGGAAGAATGCACCGATCTGAAAAAGAGAGCTCAGGAGCCGCTGCTGGTCGACTAATTCCCGAACTGCAAGTCGTCTCGGCGGCCACGGACAGGTACCTTTGCAAACGACCATGTGTGCGAGATAGCCAGGCGCGTCATTCGGCCTTGCGATGGATGTGGGGAAGACGGAGACCCCGCGCAGGCGTTCCGGGGCTCACAAGAGACCCCGGGCCGGCCAGCTTGAGGAAGCGCCATACCAAATCCCCCCTTGCGTTCTCCTCCATCCTATCATCCCTTAGACGCCCATCATCGCATCTCGCACACTATGCCCGCGCCCACTATCCTCGTCGATCCTGCACGCGTCGTAGACGATGTCGATCCCCGCATCTACTCAGGCTTCACCGAGCACATGGGCCGCTGCATCTACGGAGGCATCTACGAGCCCGAGAACCAGCACGGCCTTGCAGATCCCAAGACGGGCTTCCGCACGGACGTGATGGAGGTGCTGAAGGAGCTCAAGATCCCTGTTGTGAGGTACCCCGGAGGGTGAGTTGAGCGCGATCACGGCTCGTGAATACGCCGATCTGACCACCGCATACAGCAACTTCGTGAGTAGCTATCGCTGGCAAGGTGCGCCCTACAACTATTATCATTGATCTGAGTGAAGACTCACGCGTATCTAGATGGCATCGGGCCCAAGGAACTACGTCCTCGACGCCCCGAACTCGCTTGGCTCAATGAAGAGAGCAATCAATTCGGCACGGGTACGTTCACATCATCCTCGCGGTCTTCATTCCGTCATTCTCCCAGACGAGTTCATCGACTGGTGCCGCGCTCTCGGTACCGAGCCCTACATTTGCCTCAACATGGGCACCGGCACGCTCGAAGACGCTCTCGCGTGGGTCGAGTACTGCAACAGCTCCGCCAACACGTATTACGCGAACCTGAGGCGCAAGAATGGACATGAACAGCCGCACAACGTCAAGGTTAGTCTACTTTGTCTGTACGTGACACTCTGCCGGTTCTGATGATGTCGACAGTACTGGTCGCTCGGTAACGAGGTTTGGGGCCCATGGCAAGGTGCGCTTAGCCTTAGGATTTGTGGAAGCTTATCGCTAATGTCACACCAGTTGGCCAGATGGAGGCGCAAGACTACGCAAAGAAGGCGTATCAATGGGCGAAGGCGCTACGCCTTTTGGATCCCAACATCAAGATCATTGCTTGTGGCGGTATGCAGTCGAGCTCGTAACCTATCGGTCGTCGCTCACGGCCCATCAGAGACCGGGTACGCGGATTGGGACCGCGTTGTGCTCAAGAAGCTGGCACCCGTCGTGGATTATCACTCCATTCACAGTACCTCGATGTCTTCTCCTGCCTTGCGGCGTTTACTAACTTGTGCACAGTCTACACTGTCAGCGAAGGAAAGCACGAGGTGAACGTGATGGGTCGTAAGTGGGTTCTCTAATCGAAGTAACCATTGGCTAATACGGTTTCATAGCCGCTGCCGCCGAGCAGGCCATCAACATTACCAAGTCGCTCATCGACTTGGCCAAGATCGAGAACGACCTCAGCAAGGAGATCACTGTGTACGTCTAGGTGTTTCCCCGAGGTTATCGTTCGTTCATCCATTCCCGGCTCGCAGTTGCTTCGACGAGTGGAACGTCTGGTGAGTGGGAGGAAGTCTCGGAGCCTTGGCGATGCTCATCACATGTATAGGGATCCCGTTCGTGGTAAGGCCATATCTGTTGTAGCAATCAAGGCGTCTCACGCGTCGGTGCAGCTCCGGGAGAAGATGGCGCGGAAGAAAAATACGACCTCTCAGACGCCCTTGGTAAGTACCCTCCGTGTTGACACGCTACCGCTTTCGCTCATTGTCATAGCTGTCGCATCGTGGCTAAACGTCTTCGTGCGCAAGGCCGACGTCGTGAAGATCGCTTGCATAGCTCAGTAGGTCTTCCTGCCCGCCGACGCTTGTTTTCGCCCGACTCACGTTCACCTCAGGTCTGTCAATGTCATCTCACCCGTTCGTGACTCTCCTCTGTCCACCATGGCCACAGTCTGACATACTCGCAGATCATCACGTCCCCAGAGGGCCTCTTCAAGCAGACCACTTACTACCCCCTTCACCTTTTCACGAACCTAATGCGCGGCGCTTCGCTGGATGTCTATGTCACCAACCCCACCCCCGATGATGCTTACACCGGCCTGACCGCGCCAACGTTCGTTCAGAAGCTTACGAAGACGTCGCCCGATTCCGAGAAGCTCACCAAATACGTCGACGTGAGCGCCGTCTTCGACGCGCAGGCGTCGGAGGTAAGGGTGGCCATCGTGAACCGGCACGCGGAGAAGGCGTACGAGGTGCCCATCAAGTTCGGCGTGGACACGAAGGTGGCGTCGGAGGTCAAGGTATACGAAGTGTGGAGCGAGGATCTGCGCGATAAGAATACGTTCGGGGAAGAGAAGGTGAAGACGGTGGAGAAGAGCGTGAGGTGGGAGGGCAAATACAGTCTCAAGGCGCACTCGTTCCAGGGTCAGTCGACTACTCATGCGCTTTTCTCGATGACGCTGACCTTCGTTCTTTTGCAGTTCTCGTATTCAAAATAGAAGCGTAAGGTCATTGTGTCTCGAGAAGGCTGGACCTTGTTCTCCGTTCGGACCCAAGCTTCTCTTCCTGCAATCGATTCCAAGTCTGTACCATGTGATGTATGTATTCATGCGAGGATCCATATCCCATATGAAGCCCGCAAGATCGAGAGCGCCCTGGCGCGTACCGCTTCCCAGCTTTGTGGCACCGGTCCCAGCATGCTCGCATCCCGGACTCGCGGACTTCGCCTCCTGCACGCTGCGCTAATTCCCTCCTCTCAATCCTCTTCAGGCCCTTCCTGTCAGGCACACCCGCTGCGCAGGCCTATCATCCGACACATGCCTCGGGCAGCCAGGCAATCTCGGGGGCTTTCCCTCCCCCGCATCCCTCGCCCCGCGGGGCACGCGGCGCCCCATCGCCATCAGGCTTCTTCATTGTCAACGCGCTTCGCGTCCCTTTCGCGGTCCCATGACCCATTATTCCGAGGACGGACCTGGCGGGCCGCGCGGTCTCTCTCTATGGGTCGCTATGTCACCGACCTGGGCAAGCGCCTGATGGTGTACTTAAGGACGAGGGCAGCTGACGGGGATTTTTCAAGCTTGCTGCTGCTTCACGACGTCGACGCACACTGACGACTAGCAAGGATGGCGCTGCTCTCGCCGAAAGTCTACACCTGGCTCTGCGGTTTGTTCGCGAGCTTGGGGAGCATCATCTTCGGCTATGATCTGGGTGTTATTGCGGGTGCGTTGTACAAACTTGCTTGACCGTGTTCGAGGCTAACTGTGTGCATAGGTGTCCTGACGGCGCCAGATTTCGTTGTATGTGTTGTGCCGTGAATGTAGCTGGTCTTCACTCAATGAAGGTTAGGCAACCATGGGCTCAAGATACGCCAACGATTCGTTGAAGGGCTTGATCACCAGTATCTTCGGTATGCCCCCTTCTCATACTTGTAGGCATCGCTCGCGTTTGACAAGTGCACACAGTGTTGGGTTGCTTCTTCGGCATGATCCCTGTCGCCTGGCTTGCGGACAAGCTTGGCCGTCGATATACCATCCAAGCAGCATGCGTGATATACATGTGCGCTACATAGTCGATCTCTCCGCTCGTCGTCAACTGACCACTCATGCAGGTTCGGCGGTGCCCTCCAGACCGGCGCGCAGAACATGGATATGATGCTCGCCGGGCGCTTCTTCGCCGGGTTCGGTGTCGGTATCCTCGCGGACCTCGCGCCCATCTACCAGGCAGAGATCGCGCATCCCAGTATGCGCGGCAGTCTCACTACGCTGCAGCAGTTCATGCTGGGCATCGGAGGTGCGTGAAGGGCTATGCAATTTTTTCCCTTTCTGACGAGGGCATATCCAGCCTTCATTGCCTCTTGGGTCACCTACGGCACTGCGCAAGGAGGCGCTACTGTTGGTACACAGGCCGAATGGCGCGTGCCCTTGGGCATTCAAATCATCCCTGCTATCCCGCTCTTCGCGTTCATCCTCTTGATGCCGGAGTCGCCGAGATGGCAGGCGGAGAAGGGGCGCATGGACCTGGGTGAGTAAAGGAAACCCTTGGCAAAGCTTTGTACTGACTTCGCAATCAGCCCGGGCAACCCTCGCCAGACTTCATGCCCACGGCGACGAGAACGACACTTTCGTGGTCGCTCAGATGGAGGATATCCAACAAGAGATGGACCGCGCCAAGCACATTGGGGAATCAACGTGCGTCCCACCCCCCCTTCCAACCTAAACCCCTCTCATTCTCACCCCTCACCTCTTCAGCTGGAAAGAATGCTTCGTCGTCCCCGCCAATTTCCGGCGCGTCGCCCTCGGCTTCATCCTCCAGTTCTCCGTGCAACTCACGGGCGTGTCCGCAATCCAATACTACTCGACGACGATCTTCACCACGATGGGCTTCAGCAACTCGCGCATCCTGCTCTTCCAGTCGATCAACAGCATCATTGCGCTCATCGGCGAGGCGTGCTGTGTGATTTGGGTCGATCGCACGGGTCGGCGGCTGCCGCTGATTGTAGGGAACATCGCCTCGGGGCTAAGCTTTGTGGTGGGGACAATTCTGATGGCACGGTGGCCGGGGACTGTGGACAAGTAAGTGGTCATGAGGATGGGTGTATGGACGTAAGCTGAACGCAGCTCGTAGCGATGCGGCACACTATGTGAGGGGTAGACTGCCGAGGGAGATCGTCCACGTCTGAACACGATTACAGCTCTTCATCGTCACGACCTGGGTCTTCAACTTCTTCTTCAGCTCATGCATCGGGCCACTCTCGTGGGCGTACCCGGCGGATATCTTGCGAGTGCCCCGGGATCTATCGTCTGGGACCTGCGCTAACTGTCCCGCCTCAGCTCAACCCGCATCCGCGCCAAGAGTACCGCAATCACCAGTGCCGCGTCGTGGCTGTCGAATTTGTGCGTCAACGTTATCTTCGTTTTGACTTCCCCGCTGATCTCTGAATGAACTCTTCCAGCATGATCGCTGAAGTCACGCCCGTGGCATTCGCGCAGGTCGATTGGAGGTATTACCTCGTCTTCGCGATCTGCAGTCACTCGAAGTGCGTAGAATCTCTTTCCCACATTCATGGGTACCCGCCGTACTGACTCGCCACCGCTCTTAGTGCCCTCTTCATCTGGGCCTTCTACCCCGAGACCACGGGTCGCCGCCTCGAGGAGATGGACGACCTGTTCACGAAGGCGCCGTTGTTCATCCCGGGAACGCAGTACCAGCATGTCGGCGACTACAAGGCGGCGGAGAGGCAGTTGAGAGAAGGTGCGTTATCGCGGCGATCCTGTCTACGTTCCCTCGTGGGACTTTGAGGCGCTCTTGCTGACACGGACTTTCAGGCAACTTCGTACCCGGCGCGGTCACGGAGAAGGACGCGGTCGTTGCAACGAGCCCGGTCACTAGCAATAGCGAGCTCAAAGACGATGTTGAGCAGCATGAGCACTCCCTTGTGGTGTAAGGGGCCACTTGAGGAGTTTCTCGCTACGCTGTTGTTAGGCCTGGGCGATTTGCTGGCCTTATATCTGACTGTTATAGCTTTGGTCTAGCTCCTCATTGTACTTGTATGTCACCGACTTTCGTGTACGCCAGTTTACGATCCGGCTCTGGTTCTTCCTGGTGTCGTGCTGCACGCGCCTCGAAAGTTGCCTGCTTCCACAGTTGAGATCGCGTTCAACAGCTTGAATTGGTCTTCTTCTCAGCAGGGCGTATACTATAGATTGGCGGCCGGTCGAGATGATGGTATCGCCAAAGTGTGCATGGTATGACCGCTACACATCAAGGGGTCGTCGCCGAACGCTCTGGCAATGGTTATTTCCGACCTGGTTCGTACCGTCACGGTATTGGGAAGACCAAGGAGAGATGCATACGGCAGCTTGATAGTGGCCTGCCCATGTCACCGCGACAGCGCCTCGCACCCTCACGCAGATGGTTCGACATCACACAACAGACGTTTGTGTCCGCGTAGTTGACTGCATTGGCCAGGCATACGGACTGTAAATACTTCGAAAAGTCCAGATATACACGTATCGTTTAAGAGCACAGAGGATGAAGGAGAAATTCTACGGAAGTCTGCTGCTATTGCGGGTGCCCCATAGGAGGATGTGATATTTCCACTCCGCCCATTGAGTGCTGGAGAAGCGTGACGAGTCTCGTTCTTGATAGATGGGAAACGAGACCACCGGCAGCCTCCTGCCAGTGCGCATAACATGTCGAGGGGAGCGAAAGGACTCCCGCGTGTATTGCGAGAGCGCAGCATCTGCCTCCTCTGTCAAAGAGGGCGATGTTGATCGAAGATTGGGGTCTCCGGACTCTACGCTGTCGGCCCATGCGCGTAGTGCGGCAGGATCGTCGTATAAGCACTTGTCAGAGGCAGATGCGAGAGCACGCGGGGACAGTCGAGGTGAGCCTCCGTCATCGGCCGCGTCGCGCTTGCGCTTGCCCAGAGATGTGGATGTCGGTGTCGATCGCGAGTCGGAATTGCTGGAGCAGCCCTTGTCTTTCTCTTCCACACGCGAGTCGTCTGCTTTGCAGATTTCGCGCGCCGGGCGACGAAAGTTGCGCCCCGCCACGCTGATTGGATGGCAGTGTTCGCTGGGGAAGTCGGGTCCGTATTTGAATTCGGTGGGCGGTTCATTGAGCCACAACCGTGCGACATTCGCGGTCGCGATATGCAGCGCTTTCAAGTCGCGGTCGTTGACAGGATGGATACCGTTCATCGTAGCACGTTCCACCATGTAGGTAACAAAGAGCGGATGGGCGCGCGACGTGACCTTCGGTAGGCCGTGATAGGGATATTCGAACGCGTTTGGCGCTGCGTTTCCATTGCGGACATATATTGTCGGTTGCTCCGCACCTTCACGAACGCGCATATACCTGAGCTCATACTCGTGTTCATGCGCGGAGAGCACCTACATGAACATGAGGAATTATCTGAGCTAGTTTAGTGGTTGATGAGCTCACCTTCATGATGTCCTTCCGCGAAGATGCCTTCGCACGGGCGTTATGCTTCAGGAGTCGTATCATCTTGTTGAGAGTTTCGGATGTGGGCATGAGCATCCAGTCCATCTCATGAAGTGGTTGCAGCATGTCGGAGCGCACTGTGTTCGAGTCAGGTTAGGCGCCGAGACGCGATGCATAGAATTGACTTGCTCTCGAGGCGATTCAGCGAGCTTTCCAGTGGCAGTTGCCCTCTAGGCAGTCCCCAGTTCCATTCGAGCGTCCACATCTGTGGACGATTAGCGTGCCATCCATGCCACTTTACAGGTTCGTACGCACGTATTGATAATCCAACTCCTTGTTAAACTTGACGGGGATATGTTCCGCCACTGGTATGTCGGCGATGTTTGGGCTCAAAGCCACAGATAAGAGAGGTACTGATGTGCTCGACATGGCGAGAAAAGTGTTTGCTCAGGGCAAGATGGTGGTTGGGAGAGGAGATCAATCCGCACCACGTTGGGATCAACAGCACGGTCACATGATGTGACAGGCTGTGACACGTCTTTGTTCCAACGGTCATCGCAAACAATGCATAGCCTAGTCATCCCTTCGTCTTGGTCTCCGATCCTGCGTTGCCACACGGCACATAAGACTGCTCGCGACCTTTGCTCTTCTGGCTTATGGCGGAACATGCAGGCCCGCCGTCGCAGGCTATCGCTCAGCCTGAATCGCCGAGCGGCCGCGGCACGAAGCGCAAATCGGCGCCATCGTTCCTGAAGGACTGGTCGGACTGCTCATCAGATGGAGGTGGTAGCATCTTTGGCAGCGCTGCCTCATCTGTCATTGGCGGTGCTAAAAAGGTCACCAAAAAGATACTCAAGAAGGTGCGCCAGATGAAACCGCGGAAGAGTCGCCGCAAGGGCGAAAAGGAGGAGGATTTGGCGTATAGTCAGGTCATGGAAGCTACTGCAAATGCCACTTCGAAAGTCCAGAGTACACCGATTGGACATCAACATCGCTATCGACGCATTCCGGAGTTCACCTACGAGACGGTGGCAAGGGTTCAACCGGGCGGGGCGCGTTGTCCTATTTCTCTCATGGACAACTCCATGCGCTTGCTGCAGCTGGTCCACCTTGTATCTCGTGCCACTGATATGAATATCGTATGTGAATCGACCATTTGCCTGCACATTGCGTCTGACCCTTCTCTGAGTCTGAACGCCTTGCATGCATACTTGGGCTGGAAAGGGACCATTTCAACTCTGGAACGAGTGCAAATCTCCTTTTCAGTAAGCACCTTGATATCCTGATCTACACACCGCTCATATGTTCCTCAGTGCAACGAGAATTGCACGTCGCGTTCGACTCAGATCGTTTCATTCTTGTTCCGTCTTGGCACATTCTCCGAGCCATAAAGTCTGCCATCTTTAACCACGGAATTCCAGAACTTCAATACCACTCTGCCGAACACGGGATCAACGCGAAAGTCAGGCGCCGACGGGTGAACAGGGCGGGATATGTTCATCATGAAGAAGTAAGTCCGGACTTGCTTGCGCCGCTCGCAATGATCGATCTTCCTCAAACAGGTGTTTACCCGGCACTTTGCACGCGGTTACCGTATTGTTCCTCTCAATGGAATGTGGTCCCCCGACGAGCCCATCACGAGGGACCCGCTCGATAACGACCCTGACGACCCTAGCGATCTCGACGGCGACGTCTACGAATGGCCTTTCACTGGGGATGACGAGCTGCCCATGATCTTCCTTCATAACAGCCCGCAGCTCGTCGTCTGGAAGTCATATACGGCCATCAAAGCCCAGAGGGAGAAAGAGAGCTCGAGTAAAGACGGCGGTCTCAAGAAAGACACCAGCATCGACGACACCGACGACCGCGAGGACCACGATGAAGCTCTTGTCACTGACACCGACGGCCGCGCGGACGACGCTGTAGCTCTTGTCACAGCACAAGACTTCGTACAGCACAAGCTGACAGCCATTTACGAGATCGGTCTTTACATTGAGAAAACGCTCCACCTGCCCACCAATTTCCTGCAAAGCCCTGGTCCTCGAAGGCCGTCTGAGCAGACCCTTGCGGAGGATCTTCCGGATGATGACGTGCTAGTGTCAGACGAGGAGGTTGTCACTGATGGGATGAGCCGATCCCTGCATGAAGCCCTCAGCGACGCCGCAGATCCAGACCTTTGATCTTGTTTCTGCAAGACGTCGAGCTTACAGTACCAGATGTACTGCCACTGCTGCGAAGCGTGGTGAGATGGCGAAGACCCATTCGAGCCATGTATCTTTTGAACCAGTATTATTCCTATAGAATTTCAATGCATCAAATCACCCTTCCGAGGCCGCGCTGGCTACATGAAAGAGTAGGTACTATGAGCGCAAGGGCAGGCAAGCCAAATGCGAGTTGGCGAGCCGGTCCGACCGAACCGCGGGAACATTGACAGACCGGTCCGGAGCCAATGAACTCAACCCGAACCTGCCTCTCGCCGCCAAACGCCCGACTGCAGGTGCGTGAGGGTTCGCACTATCGCGCGAACTGACAATTCCCTATTCTTTCTACATGCTTTCGACGCGCTTTCCGCTCTTGCATGTCACTCGGGAGTTGTACAGCGTGTGGACTGCGTCCGAGTCGCTGGCAGCGGCAACAACCGTAACGCCTAGGAAGGCAGGGAATTCATCTACCTGTACCACCACCGCGGAACTTCATTGACCTGTGGGTGTACTTAGTGTATCTTTTTGGCCTCATTGAAGTCAGACGTAATCGAGGTATGTCGCGTACCCGCCAGTATTTGGTGCAGTGCCTTCAAAGCTGTTCTTACCTCGTTCTGACTCAAAGCTAGGCAGGTTCCGTACTTTACGGCATCTTTTTGTTCGCTACAGAGTGTTGCGCATCGCCTTTTTTGACCCTTTTTGCTGAGCATTCAAAGCATCGAGCGCTTCCCCGCCACACCATGTGGGCTCACAAACCTTGGCCACGTTCCGCTTTCGCCGCCCTTGGTATAGCTGTTGAGCTATGGTGGTCTATTTTTACTTTATGACAACAAGACGCTTTCAAGTATCTCGACGCTGGCGCTTGTGCGAGTCCTCTATCTTTCCCTCAACGTCCAGGAAGACGCAGTGGCAAAGTGCATTTTCATACGCTGACCCATGCCTGTCAACTCCAAGATAATCGCACAGTGTGAAGGTGAGTCTATCGTCGGAGATGAGAAACTCACTTCTGCTGACTGCGTTGTAGACAACGCCGGAATAGATGCTCTCTGGACATCGCTCGAGAATATAGACCCCAAAGACCCAATTCCCCGACGAGTTGTAGATGACGTGCGGAAGATGTCGCCTCTTGGTCTAATCTGCGTTGTCACCTGGTTTGGCAATCAGCATCTCGCCCTGCAGCTTTGCCACATCCTCGCTCGAGCCTTGCCACCAGGTATTGTACGCGAATTTCACGCTCTGGATTTCTTGGGATCGCTCCTCATACGACGAGACAGGTGAAGCTAGTCGAGCACTTTCTCGGCCTGCCGTACGGAGCGTTGTACCTTCACTCTCCACGGAATATATACCTTAGTACGTCGCCTTGCCTTCGCGTCCTTTGCTTATCCCCAGTTCTATGCAGTGCGACCGACTATGCATGCCGCATTAGATAGCGATGCCGCCTTCTTATGCCCCACACGAAAGGTGCTTGAGACAATGCTGCACGCAGTACGCAACCACGGGCTCCCAATGGGAGAGACGGTCGTACCCGCGGGCGTCGAGACAAACGAGAAGGGCTTCGTCAAGTATACCTATGTCGGTAACCCAGATTTCCCGTACCTCTATGCTCATCACATCCCAGACCTTCCCCGACGGCGATTACGAGTACCAATACGCGCCCATCATGGGCCGCTCGAAGAACTCGTGGACGCCCTCGACTCGAATCCTGCGGCGCACCCCTGAGGGTATTCATCATCACAAGACGCCGTTTACCGGCGTCCACAGCATGCCCTGGGTCAAGATTCACATCCACCCGTACTTTGCGGTCGTGCGCGGCCATCGCGCTCTGTCTAGGACGCGCGACGGCCCTGTGACAACGCCTGCCCATCTTGCTCGAGAGGTTGAGCTCATTGGGCAGATCGGCGCAGTCTTGGACGAGGTTTACCACTCTGAGTACGAGGAGGACGATGAACCTGTGAAGTCGCCTGAGGTCGATCCGGCGTCGATTTTGCCCGAGAGACTCCGTCCTCGTCGTGGACCTCATGCTACTGGTCCTGCTGGCCACTAATTCTTGGTGTTCAGGTGTCCGTCGTCGGATATACGCTCTCTTCGGCCCCCTTTTGGTGCCTTGTAAGATGACAGACTGTATTATGCAGTCTCGCAACGTATAGATACTGTGACATAGACGTAGCTTAGACAATAATCATAATGTTCAGAATCTAGGTCATCCACGAAGTCTCGCTGGCGCCGTCTCCATCCCCGAGAAGGAAGAGAGTAAAACGCCCCGAGCACTTGCCAAAAAGTCCGCAGGCAGCTAGCACGAAGAAATTCGGCCGCACGAAGAGGATATGCGTTAGCATGACTACGCCCGGCAGGCTGATCCGATTCTGCGCAGGCAGGCTCGGACACTACCAACGAGATATTCTGTACCTCCTCAAACCCTTGTTGCCGTACACTGACGCCCTTACGCGCGGACAACCTCAATGAAAATGAGGTGATCCATATTTGACCAGCCTCGCGGCGGAAGATGTATAGCACCTAATTCCCCCTTCAGGATGGCCGCTGCTCTGATCGACACTGTCGCTGCTTTGACCAAATCTATTGAGAAGCAAACTCGCCCGTATACTTCAGGGGCGGAAGACGCGGACGTTACAACGAGCCCGGTCACTAGCAATAGCGAGCTCAAGGACGATGTCGAGCAGCATGAGCACTCCCTTGTGGTGTAGGGTGACGGTCGAGGGGTCTCTCGCTACGCCGGTGTTTGACCTTAAGTGGCTTGCTGACCTTGTGTCCTGCTCTTTTATAGCTTGGGTCTAGCTCCTCATTGTACTTGTATGTCATCGACTCTCGTGTGCGCTATTTCACGGTGCAGCTCCGTTGCTTCTTGAAGTATCACAGTGTATTGCCTTGCGATTGTGCTGCACGGCTTGCAAGTCGCGTGCTTTCAAAGTTGAGAACGCGTTGACACCGAACAGTTTGGTTCGAGCTCCCAGCAGGTCACAGTGCATGGTATGACCACTATGCCTCAAAGGTGTCGTCGCCAAACGCTTTGACACTGGTTTTTCCTGACCTGGAGTCGGTGCACCAATTTGCAAGGTATACGTGCTGTCACGGTACATCCTTCAAGAAATTCTGATATACACATATTGTTCGAGCGCGCAGAGGCCGAAGGGGCAATTCTACGAAAGTCTGCTATTATGGGCACCCCTTAGAAGGATGTGATATTTCCACTCCACACATTGAGTGCTGAGGAAGCTTGTAAATGGGAAACAAGACCACCAGCAGCCTCCTACCAGTGCGCATAACATGCAGTGGGTACGAAAGGACTTCCGCGTGTATCGCGAGAGCGCAGCATATGCTGCCTCTGCTGAAGAGGGCGATGTTGTCGTATATTTCGGGCTCCGGAAGCCACGCTGTCTTCCCATGCGCGGAGTGCAGCGTCGTTATCGTAGAAATAGTCGGCGGAGGTAGAAGCTAGAGCACGCGGAGACAGTCGAGGTAAGCCTTCGTCATCGGCCGCTTCGCGCTTTCGCTCGCCTAGCTATGTACATGTCAGCGTCGATCGCGAGTTGAGTTCGCTAAGCGCCTCTGAACGCGCTTCCTCTCGTGCATGCCTGCAGTCGCGCCGAAGTCCGACAAGTCCACGAGCGCCTTGATCTTCTTTGTGGGAAAGATAAGTCAGGTCAGAGTCATTCAGGCGGTCCGCCATGTCGCTGCGCACTACCGTCAAGAAGGATCAGCAATATTCTCGTGAACGAGTCTTGGCGACGCACACCGCTGAATACGGCGTAGAAAGATCGAGTTGTATCTTTTGCAGACCACAATGGAAATTCCATCTGGTGAATTTTGTGAATAGCCCAGACGCCGCGCATCGCAGGGTCGTTCAACCCTGTCGACGATGGTAGCCGGCATCGAAGTCGAACAGACGGTAGTTGATGATAGGCAGCGAGTCCATCTCTATCTAAGTGGACATAGAAGTAGATTGTATAGCGGAGGGCATCGTAGTGGAAAGACAAAGTGGACCGGCGGTCCATCGCTGCTGGCAAGCACGGGCCTGATAAGGGCACCGGCCCGGATCCGACGAACAATGGCCAAACAAAGGGCGGTCGCGTCTGCCCCGGGCTCAGGCGCTTATCCCTTCGTGACACCCGGACATAGCGATGCGGCGTGTAGCAGTAGATACTCGTACTAGATGCACGACGTTCATGGCGCTTGGCGACCTGAGTTGACATCCCCACCCTCGTCGACCGACCTCTTGCGCGTATTCGACAAGCGACTGTCGACACCGCAAGAGAGCTGGGCCGCGTATAGATTCCCAGCAGACGCGCGAAGTTGGCGCCGAGGACACGGTCTTGCTGTCGTCGGGTGGGCATCTCCATTGCGTGAATGTGCTGCGTACGCCATGGCCCAGCCGACCGAGGATAGCGGCGTGCCCAAGAGGCTCGCGGATCTGCAGGGTCCGTAGTCGTGCGCCGCGAGGAACCTGGATCGCGCTGAGAAGCACGTCGGCCACGGCGATACGCACTGGCACGGTCAAGTGTCAAGTATGCAGACGGCCCAGAATGACATCTAGGCGCACCTCGCATGCTAGGGGATGAGATCGATATAGTCGGTCCTTGCTTCCTTGGGTGGATTGGAAGACCACAGACAGGTGCGATAGTTGATCGTCGCCCAGTCGTTGCTCGTGTAAACCTCCCGGTTGGTGCCGTCGTTGCCTTCCGCCACCAATCCGCCGAGCACGAGAAGTAACGAGACGCGAAGCGCGTTCGCGGGAGCGCGCGCCGGCTCCTTGCGATATCGAGCAAGGACGGCGTCGCGGCGGGGAGAGGGGGGGAATGCGCGCTTCGGCTTGGGCTCGGGTTTGATAGAGCTCAGCCAATCTTGCAGGTCGGCTGCCGAGAACTCAACGTCGGCGTCGCTGGCGGAGGTCGCGGATGAAGAAGCGCGGGAGCTGCGAGGAAGAGCGGGGGATCTAGGGCGAGGGGGCGGATTCCGCGCATGGTCATATATTGACGGTCTGGCTTGAGTTTTTGGTTGAGGAGAGGGGGCACGGGTGGACTTGCGTACAGCGCGCGCCGGCTTCTTCGTAGGTGTAGGTTTGCAGGTGCTGAGTTGAGTACGCGCGATATAGCCATCGTCACTCCAAGGATGGCGGTGTTTTGCCCAGACGTCGGGACCTACAAGAAACTCGATTGGGGGACGATCTAGCCAACGGTTGAGAACGGCATGCGTCATGCCAAACAGTCGTTCCTCCTTGGCTTCTGGTATCGAGTCGTACGCAGAGAGGATATCATTGTCCGTGTGGAAGATGACGAAAAGTGGATGGGCGCGCGACTTGATACGTGGCATCTTCGAATAAGCCTTGTTGATCGTCTTTGTAGTCGAACCTCGTTTGAGATACATAGAGGGGCGGTCTCCTTTGGCGATGCGCAGCGGTACAAAGTCATATTCATACTCCTGTTCAGGAAGGACCTGTGATTATGAACATTCTGATTGTATCATTGGTTCGACAACGCACTTCGGTGAATCGCCTTCTCTTATGCACGTCTGCGGTCTTGTTGAAGTCGGAAAGAGCATTGATAGTGTCAAGTGTTCGCTTAGTTGGTATAATGGTCCACTCTTTTTTGTCTAAACGCTCGACCATGTCGCTGCGAACTGGAGGGAAGGGATGTGTCAGCATCGGGCAGACGATATGGCCTTGGACGCACGTTTTATATGGTTAAGTGGCGTGGAGAGATCAAGCTCTCCCTTCTGGAGACCCCAGTACCATTCAAAGTGCTCTATCTGTGAACATACATGAGAAGTAGGCTCGTGGGTGGCACGAGGTTTACAGACCTGCCGACGGTAGAGGTTGGTATCAAAGTCAACGAGGCGGTAATTGACGATTGGCAACGCATCTATATCTTTCTGGGTAGATACGGAGGTGGAGAGAATAGAGGGGGGCATTGTGGATGACTGGAGGACGGGGCGCGGCAGTGGGACACTGGGAGGGAAAAGACAAGGCAGTCGAGCGCCGATCGCAAGCTCGGCCCGGAAACCCGGGATACCGGCGCGACTCGGGATCAGCCGAACAAAAGTTGAACAACACAATGTGAGACCTCATGCCGCCTTGTGTTTATGACTTCCTAAAACCGATTAAGCATGCATAGATGCACTGCTTTTTCTCTGAATGGACCGCGGACAGCATTCATCCTGACATAGACATAAACTCCGTCGGCCTATAAAGGTAGCATGAGTGGGCTCTCATCGGTCCGCTGCGCGTCGACCTCTCTACATGGTGAGAACCTTGCCACCTGTTGCTCAGCGAGTATACTAAGAACCTACAGGCGCTCGCTGCCGAAGATGGTCACGAAGAAACCCAAATCAGTCGCTGGTGCCGACCGCAGGCAGCATGGCACTGGCAAAGGTCGTCAGAAGACCGCCGCCACCTCGCCACTCAATACTCGTCGTAGCCCGCGGCTCCTAGCGAGGCTTGTAGTCAACGACAAAGTGACCCTGTTAAAGCCGCCTCTATCCCGCCATGACGCACCGGTCCTTAGAGCTCGCGTGGTTCCTCGCAATTACGCCTCCTCAAGCACCTCCTCCGACCCTCCGTCTCCTCGACCAACATTAGCGAACTACGACTCCAACAGAGAATACTCACCCTCTGAATCGGGCGATCAGGAAGACAACTGCACGGCCGACGACGGATCTACGCCTCGCAAGAAGATCTTCCTACCTTCAAGGAGGCCAGGCAACGACGAGTTGGCCGCCATATCTCCTAAGGGCCATGCGTGTATAGTCACTTTGGAACACAATGGCAATGGCACTGTCGAGAACTGTCACTTGCTCGATCGTGCTTGTGGGGCTGACCCAGATATCGTGAGTCTCGCATGAGGTGCTTATCCTCCCGTCCATGCTAAGACATGTTTCCAGGTCGAAGGTATGGAGATCATCATGGTCATGGAGCGCGGCACTCTGGATGTCGATTGTCCGACGAACAGGGTTTTCCGTGCGTTCTTTCTTCACTTGCCAGCCTCCTCACTTTCTGACCCCCATCAAGTCGAAAGCAAGATGCACACCGCGTTCGACAACGGGAGATGGGTGCTTCTTCCCACCGTGAGGGACCTCAGGAGAATGCTATCTGCGCTGCGGCGTCAGAAGCTCGCGCCGATCGAGGGTCAAAAGCAGTCGCCGCCACGTAACTCAATGGGCTTCACTCACCACAAGGACGTGCGTCATTCTCTACGTGCTCCTTCCCGACAAAGTGCTGACACAGAGTCAAAGGTCTTCCCCAACGCTATCCGGAAAGTTGACATCGCCCCGCTATCCTGCTGGGCCGACGGTCTCAAGATTTATCGCGAGCGCTATGTCGGCTGCCCAGAGCCGGCCATCATGTATGGCCCGCAGCCTTTCGAGAAGCCCCTTCCGACCATCGACGTGCACTGCAACCTCTACTATGTTGTGTGGAAGGCGTACAAGACACTACAGGATCGTAACATCCACGCTCATGCTCGTTATTCGGTACAGGAGCGCCTGGTTCGTCAGATTGGCCAGATTATGTGGGCGTATACTCGCCAGGACGATAAGTAGTATACATGCTACGGCTGGCGCTCGGCGCTGGCGCCTCAACAGCGTCCTCATGCGCGGACGACCCCAGCATCTACAATCCTAAACTTATGTCTATCTCTATTGGCGTCCTATATGTGTGTCTTCCCGGCCCTTGTGTTGTACTGCTAGCCACGACACCTCGATATACTATTTATCACGTACTGTGGTACAACAATGGAAATCAGTTCGCTTCAAGATACAGATACCAAAGACGCGCAAAAGGCATGAAGGAGCACGTCAGAAAGTTCAGGCCTGGCGCACTTGACTTCCTGAGACGTCGGGGCGGGCGTGATTCGTGTGCTTACACCTCTGGGCTCAGTACGACCCACAGCATGCATGTTCTAGGTTAGCATTTGCTCGCTCTAACATTCAGGTTTGCCGTGTCGCTCTGGTAAGGTGTATTTCTTGGTATACTTCTAAGTCTAAGTCTACACGAGCGACGTCGCCGCGTTTGCCATAAAGGACGCCATATGATCGGGACTCGAACGTGAAAGCATTTAAGCAATCAGAATTGCCATGCCGTACCACGTGCAACGCTATTCGGCATTTAGTCCGACGTTATCGTGGCTCACCGTCGCGTACGACGTTCAGCATCTCTTCTCCGTCGTTCACGTCTACCTTGCGTCGGAAGAAATACACTACTCCCTTGAACATGACTTGCCTAGCAGGCCATCACCTACCTGCAGATCGCATCTGATGCTTGTCAGCGAGTCCGCCGACCGTGGATTTGTCGTTGCAGCCGGCCATATGCGCGAGTAAAGGCACCAGCGCTATCTTGCGCGGAACTTCTACCTTCCTCCGGTCGTAGTACACCATGGCGAGCGATAGATTGCCTAAGAACGTCGAGCCCGTCCACTATGACCTTGTGCTCCGCACCGATCTCGAGGAGAAGGCGTACTATGGCGTCGCGAACATCGCCCTCGTCGCACGCGAGGACACATCGGCGGTGACTCTGCATGTCTGCGACCCTATTCGCCTTGGGCAGGTACGTGACTGGGCGTTCTGTCGTGAGCTGTGCTGACTCGCGATCGAACGCACAGGTGTGCGCCCTCGTCCCCGACATACTGGGCTTAGCGCCCCCGAATGGGCACAAGCAGCACACGATCCCCGCCAAGGACATTACAGTGGATTCTGACTCTGAGCGCGCGACCTTCCAGTTCCCCTTCCCTTTCGCCAAAGGGACGCAGTTCACCCTTCGCATTCACTACCAGGGAACGCTCACAAACACTGGGATCGGGTACAGCGTGTCGGAATGGCAGAAGGAGGGGGAGGCGCGCGTGAGGCGCTATGCGAAGACCATGTTCCAGGTGCGTACACTGCATATATGCGTTAGTATCACCGCTAATGCCCACCTCAACAGCCAGTCCGCGCCAGAAGTGCAGTCCCCTGCTTCGACGAGCCCGCGCTCAAGGCTACGTTCAAGGTGTCCATGATAACCCGCGCCGAGTACACCAGCATCAACAACATGCCCGCGGAGAAGGAGAGCGCATACGATACACAGGAGGATGTCCACGGGCTGTTCCCTGAGCGCATTCCGAGTCGCGACGCTTGGAAGATCACGCATTTCGGCAAGACCCCTCGCATGTGCACCTACATCCTCGCCTTCTCAACGGGCGAGTTCGACTACCTGGAGAGCGCGTATGTGAGCCCGATCACCGGCGAGAGGAAGCCTGTGAGGGTGTACTGTTGAGTCCCTAATTCCATAAGCTGAGCACATCTAAATCTTTCCCCCAGCAACACCAAACATCCTTCCCGGCGGCGCGTTCGTCCTCTCGGTCATTGCCCGCGCGCTCCCGCTCTACGAGTCCCTCTTCGGCGTCGCCTACCCCTTGCCCAAGCTCGACACGCTCATCGCCACCAGCTACGGTGGTGGGATGGAGAACTGGGGGCTCATCATCACCAGTGATGATGCGTCCATAGTTGACCCCAATTCAGCGGACCTGCAGAAACAGCAGAAGGCGATGAGCCACATCGCGCATGAAGTCGGGCACAACTGGTTCGGCAATATCGTGACGATGGGATGGTGGAGTGGGCTGTATCTAAATGAGGGGTTGTGCAATTTGGTGAGTGCGACGAGGTTGTCTGAATGCTGGAAGGTACAGTGGTAATTGGACCGATACTGACTTTCGTTGCCTAGTTTACTACTATCATCTGTGACCAGCTGTATCCTGAGTGGGACTCTGGCTCTGCGCAGATGAGCTCCCTGGACACTGGCCTCAAGCTCGACGCGAAGCCGAGCTCGCACCCCGTCGAGGTGGACGTGAGCGGGAGCAAGAGGCTGAATAACGTACGTACACCTTCAGCAAAGGCCTTGCTCAAAGACTTAATACGTTCTCCCGCAGATCTTCGACATGCTCACCTACTCAAAAGCCGAGTCCGTCTTCGACATGATCATGCATTACCTCGGACAGGACGTCTTCGTGCACGGGATACAGATCTACTTGAAGCGGTACTTATATGGCAATACGGTGCGACAGGACCTCTGGAGGGCGTTGGGGGAGGCGGCAGGCAAGTAAATTCCTTTGACTCAGCTGATGCGCCCGGTGAACCTGGCATACACGCGTCCCCATTCCACCTCCCCTGAATCCGCAACCAGGTGACTGACATACGTCCTCACAGACATCGACGTCGAACGCTTCGCGGACAGCTGGTTCACGCAGACCGGATTCCCTCTCCTCTCCGTCACGGAAACCGTATCCGAGGTTCCGTCCGGCGGTCTCCGGATCCGGCAGGACAGGTTCTTGGAGACCGGCCTCGCGGATGGCGAGGCGAACGTGCTCTGGCATGTCCCCGTCGTCCTATGGCATGTACCACCCGGCGGTGCAACGTACACGACGACAAAGATCCTGCTGACGGAGCGCGAGACGGTCGTACCATGCGACCTGCACTTCCCGTACAAGTTGAACTACGGGAATCATGGGTTTTGTGAGTATCGTGGATTTCCCTGAGTTTTGTCCTGTCGCTGACCATACAATAGACCGCGTGCTTTACTCCGGCGCAATTAGCCGCAAGGTCGCCAACGTCCTGCTCTCGGGCGCCAAGATCCCCACTCGTGATCGGATAGGTTTCGTCAACGACGTGATAGCGCTGGCGAAGGCGGGGCTGATGCGCGTCGACGAGGTGCTGGGCCTTCTCGAGCTCTTCATCAAGGGTAGCCGGGAGCGTGAGTCGGACTTTTTGTATCTGCTTTGCGAGCTTTGGGTGACTAATTGTGGACGATGTAGATCTGGTCCTCCAGGCCGTCGCTGCAGGCTTGTCTATCATCGCCTCTACCTGGTGGGAGGACTCGGCGGTGCTGTCCAGTCTGAAGACTTGGGAGAGGGTGAGTTCGGCGTTTCCTCACCAACACACCATGGCAGCACGTCTTTTGGTACCCGTCCGTAGATTATTAACGATCACCCCACAGACCGTCTGGCGCCCCATCTTCGACGACCTCGGTTTCGAGAACAGGCCCGACGACTCGGTCACCACGCGCGCTATCCGGGCGCTAGTGGTGGCGCGGTTGGCGGATGCGCGGGATGTGGGGTGAGTGTGATGCTTTCCCTTTTGTGTGGTTTCCTTCGTCCTTGCCTTGATTCTCCCCCGGCCTTGCCTTGGAACCGACTTCGCTGCAGCTTTGACCTGACTTTGGTGCTGACTAAGTACCTCCCAGCGTCGTCCTAGAACTCCAGCGCCGATTCCGTGCCTTCGTTGATCATGGCGACGACTCAGGGCTCACGGCTGATTTGGAGCAGGCGGTTATGACTACGGTGCGTTCAATCTCTCTCGAAAATATATGTTTCCTCGAGGATCTGTTTCCTCGGGGAAGATCTCCGCTCCAAGGGTCTGGCTACTTTGCACTGATACTGACATCGTCTTACAGGGCGTCCGCTACGGCGGCGAGGTCGCGTACGACAAGGTCCGCGCGCTGTACACACCGGGGCAAGGCCCGTTCGCGCAGAAGATGTATATTGTTGCGTGAGTGGTCGTTCTTCCGTCCCACATCTGCTTTTGCCGTCGCGCGACATTCCCGTCTCCCGTCGGTCTCCATCCACGTCCCCATTGCGCTACATACTACCCTCCCGTCGGTCTTCGTCACTCTCTGCTGCCTCTCTGCGTCTGAGCCCTCCGCATCGCACCAAGTCCTGGCCCGGCGTTGCATCCCAGGCTGACAGTCATCACAGCACCGCCCTCACCGCCACCGAAGCCCCTGCACGATTAGACGCCGCTGTCGGGCTCGCTCTCAACGGCGCGCGGATGGAGCACGCGGCGTTGTTTTTGGGCGGGCTGCAGGCGAATCCGCTGACCAGGAGGAAGGCGGCGGAGGCATTGTTGGGGAGGTTTGAGGAGGTCGTCAACAGATTCAAGGAGGGCATGGGGCTCGAATACGTGATCTCGAGCGGCTTGAGCGGGCTGTCGACGTGGGAGGATTACGAGCGGTTGAAGGTGTTTTTTGAGGTGCGCTATTCACAAACTGTCGATCCAAAGGAAGAGGATGCTGATCATCATGGCAGGAGCGCGACACGTCGGTGTACAGGATGGTCGCAGAGCAGACGCTCGATGCTATCCGGGCGAATACGCTGTTCTTGGAGGTGCGTGTGCAGGATGGGTGCGAGGGATGGGTTGCTGATCAGAGGTGATAGCGCGCAACGAGCGATCTCAAGGCGTGGTTGAAGGAGAAGAGGCTTGACTGAGGACATTCGGGTGTAAAAGAGACACTATCGTAGGTAAGAGACACACTTATAGGTTCACACATAGATTATGCTGGTACGCCATGTCTTTCCTTTCGACTATAGTACACTATTAACCCGTGCGTACAGTATACATAGGGTACATGCAATTGGATTCAGCGTGCCATGGATCGCGTGCAGATTCTCGAGCGCATTCAAGCTACCACGCTCATGCGCGTTGAGTTTACTACGCTCATGCGCGCTTGTTGATCTCCTGCTGGGTCTCGCCCTTGTCGTGGCGAGCCTGTCCGGCAGCCTGCTGGGAGCTGTCGCCGGTGACGGCGCCGACGATGTTGTCCTTCTTGCCGGAGATGCGGTCGGCGGTGCCCTCAGCGTAGCCCTTTGCGCGTGCGGCGTTGTATTCGCCCTCGCCTGTGCGATTGTAAGTCTCTGCTCGTCGGGGTTTCTGAACGTGCTTACCCTCGGCGTGCTCTTGCTTGCCCGACGTCTGCCAGGACTCGAGACCGGTGGCGTTGCCGATGGCCTCCACGACGTTACCCCTGCGGAAGGGTCAGTACGATGAGAAAGAGGAAGCTGGAGCGAACAAACTTGGTCGAGTGGTACTGGCCCGAAGTCTTCGATGGCTCGTTGGACATGATGAAGGTGAGTTGGTTGGGTTGGTTGGTTTAGTGGGGTGAACTTGGGTTGCGTTATGCTGCTACTCCCTCCCAGACCGCCCTCCTTATATACCCGCGCGGCTCAGGGCCGGCACGTACATCGCCTCAAGTGGTTCATTCCCGGATCCTCCTTGACGGTCGCCGCCACCGCGGACGTTGCGCAAGTCCATGACGGCTTGCCGTACTTACAACAGGAGGCCCCGCCCTGGATGACGCCTATGACGCGCTGTCGTGACGTTGACGCGTTCTGTGACGTCGCGCGCTCGGCACGTGAGTGGTTCGACTTTGCCCTGTCCCGCGTCATCGCTCCAGTCTAACCCGGCCGGTTGGTGCAATTGGCTGCGTGTACAAAGACCATTGTTGTGTGATATCGAGCCATCTGCGCGGTCGTGCGGGGCGCGGGCGGTGCGCTGACATGGGCTTTGCTATCCGGGCAGGAGGAATGACGGGGGCGCGACCGTCATCCGAGCGTCATCCTGCGCTGCGGGCGAGTCGCGGATGCCTATATAAGAGGCGCTGGGCTTGGAGGGCAATACAGAATCATCTCATCCAACGAACAAACACCAACCACATAACGACAACCACATCTACCCTTTACGAACATCATGTCCGACCCATCAAAGACCTCCGGCCAGTACCACTCGACCAAGTGAGTTGCGCGATGCGAAGGGCGACCCACAAGTACTGACCCATACGCAGGGGCAACGTCGTCGAGGCTATCGGCAACGCGACCGGTCTTGAGTCCTGGCAAACGTCAGGCAAGCAGGAGCACGCTGAGGGTTAGTCTCCAGTCATGTCACAGTAGTCATCGACAAGTGCTAACGGCCTACAGGTGAGGGCGAGTACAACGCTGCCCGCGCCAAGGGCTATGCCGAGGGCACCGCAGACCGCATCTCCGGCAAGAAGGACAATGTCATCGGCGCCGTCACCGGCGACAGCTCCCAGCAGGCGCAGGGGCAGGCGCGCCACGACAAGGGCGAAACCCAACAAGAGTTCAACAAGCGCGCGTAGGCAGCTCCTATTGGGCTCTTACTATCTAAGCGACTGTACGATATACACCGACATAATGTATCAATAGCTCTGGAGGATGAATATACAGTAACATCGGACGCGAATCAGTGTGAACTATGAAGAGACTGCATGCACAAATCGCAACTCGGTGCCCTCGATAGACGTCATGTGGATATGAGGCATCAGAGGAGTCTGAGCTAAATGAGGCTTCTATCTGCGGGACGGAGGGCTCCGTGTCCAGCACGACGGGACACTGACGGCAGAATTTAGACCGTGGACGTGGATGCTGTTTGGCCGTGTATTTCTGGTTCACGTGATAGCCACGTTCTGCCCCCCCTTCGATTCTGAATGCGGAACGAACAGACGTCGGATGCTCTGGCGACCTCGAGAGTCGAGACGCCATTCACGCCGACATCGCAAATCTTGAGCAAGCATATGCGCGAAGAAGCCGATGACGGAGACTTACATCAATTCACCCCGCGCACTCCAGCATTCACCTGTCTTTACGATGACGCCACCCACCTTCGCGCATGGGTGGGCGGTATAGTGCCCTGCTACACGAGCCTTCAATTAACATTGCCCTCCCTGGCGGAGGGATCGACATCGCCCTCTTTGGCAGATGAAGCGGACGCTGCGCTCGCACAATACGCGCAGGAGACTTTCCGTGTTCCGCTGCACGTTGTGCGTACTGGAAGGAGGCTGCCGGAAGTTTCTTTCCTCATATACCAGAAACGGGATACGTCTCGCTTCTCCCGCTCGCAATGGGCAGAGTGAAAATATCACGTCCTTCTATGGCGATCCCGTAAGAGTAGTAGGCCTTTGTAGAATGACCCCGTTGTCCTTCTCTCGCTCGAATAAGACCGTGTCTGTTGTGATCTGTCTTCTTCAAAATATCGCTGTTGTCATTCTCGAGGACGCGTCTCGCAGTTCATCTATCTAATTGCAAGTCGAGATGCGGAGTCTCGTTATCTGTTACGCCCACGGACGAGTCTTGCTACGTATGTGCGCTGACTTCGGCGGCTTGTGCGACCACAGGCATGTAGAGTATACGTGCATCGCCCAATCGTTGCTCGAATATCTCGAGCGGTCGCTACCACGAGAGCCTATGACCATGCCACCGGTGTTATAGAATGTGCTGAGACGAAGGGCGTTGGCCGGGTCGCGCGCGGGTTCACTTCGGTAGTCGGTGAGTTGGGGGTCTTCGACGAGGAGGAAGTCGTTGGCAGCGAGGTCAGGCGACGAACACGGCGTGTTCGCCTGCGCCTTCATAGAGCTGATCCAGTCGACGAGCTCGGGTCTGCTGACGCCGTTGAAGGACTTCCTGCGTCCGGAGAGTCTGTAGACTGGCAGTGCGGAAGTCATCACTGCCATTGGCCGTTGCTGGCTATCGTAGATTGAAGGCCGAGTAGTCGTCTTCGGTTGTGCGCACGGCGCCCTCGTTCGAGGAGACGTCTTAGTCTGCAGCTGCGCGCGCGCCTCGGAACCATCATCGCTCAGCGGATGGCGATGTTCCCTCCACACATCCGGGCCCACAAGGAACTCAGGCGGAGGCGGCTGGATCCAGCGGTAGATCACTGTGCCCGCGGCGAGAGTCAGCTGCCGCTGCCTGGTATTCGGCTCTGATATGAAGAGAGAAAGGACATCTTCCGACCTGAAGATGACGAACAGAGGATGCGCGCGAGATTTGATGCGGGGCATCTGGTCGAAGGGTGGGTGCATGATTGTGGTTGTGTTGCCTTGCTTGATGTAGAGCGAGGGGCGTCGCTGTTCGTTGATGTATAGCGGCACAAACTCGTACTCGTACTCGACCTCCGGTAGCACCTAAGGAGGTATGATGAGTGTCGCTCGATGCGACGAAATAAGACAATGTACTTCGGTGAAAGGTCTTCTCGAGTCCACGTCTTGCGACTGGTTGTATCTTGACAGCGCGATTATCGCATTCATGTTCTCCTTCGTGGGGACAACAATCCACTCTTGTTTGTCCAGCTTCTTGGCCATATCGCTCCGAACTGACGAGGTCTATGTGAGTATCAAAAACCGAAACGGCCACTGAAAGCGCCTCACGCTGCAGGTGGTTGAGTGGCGTATTGAGGTCCAGCTGGCCCTTTTGCAGCCCCCAGTAGTATTCGTAGTGCTCTATCTACGAGTAGAAGATGTTTGAGTACCCATAATAGTGTGGCATTGATTGCATGACGCGTACCTGGCGCTTGTACTTGTCGGCATCCAAGTCCGTTAAACGGTAATTGACGAGTGGCAGGGAGTCAACATTCTTCTTGCTTGAAATCTCGTGAGAAGCGATAGCGGCGGACATGTGCTGAGCGATGTGGCAAGCCTGATGGTTGGAGGATGGAGAGCTGAGAACGAAGAGGTCAAAGCGCGAGCATTGTTGTCCTCGGCTCGATCGAAACATAAGCGCGTCACGGTCGGGATCGATCGTTAAATGAACTTACATTATCGGTAAGGAAGGTTAGATACGCTGTTGTGGTATCCCCAGAGCAGAAGATTGCGACCCTGAGAAGAAGCCAAAGCATTCTTAGTCAGAAGCGAGCGTCTTTTGTCAGCTTCCTGCCATGGTGCACTGCCTTCTGCTATGCTTCGCTGACTTCATACGCTGAGAGCATCGGTTGCGATGTTTCACGGCCGAAGTCCCTGCATTGCATCGTCGGGAAGTCATTGAACGAATATTGAGCCCAGGACGGACGCGCATAGAGAAAGACTGGCAAGCAATCGCCAAAAGACGAGAGCTGGCGGTCGCCCAACGCGCGTGTGCTGACCATGACGGCGGTCAGTTGCAAGAGAAATTCGACCGGGCCGAGCCGCTTTCGGAGCCGGCGTCACCTGATGTGACGCTAGCGTGAGGTTCGAACCTGTTAGGGGCAAAGTTGGCAAGTCGTTATTTTCCTCGAGTACGTACGGAAGCCTCGTAAGTAGGCTTTCGGACTTCCCAAATATTTTCTTGGGGAAGAACATCCAGATCGGATGCAACTAAGGAAAATTCAGAGTACTCAGGTCGAGAAGAAGAAAATAGCCACTTTGTACATCACCACGTATATTAAAATAGTAGGTGGCAAGCCACAGATTGCTCGCTGAGACCAAGCGAGCAACACTGAACACTCATGTGGAAGTTCATGCATCACACCCTAAATCACGCTTTGAGGTCCAAATCTCACGAGCGAGAGAGAGATGAGATTTTACGACTCCTGCCCTGCAACGGCGAAGTTCACAGAGGCGTGCCTGCGATCGCCCAGGCGGACACGCTTTTGTTGATATCGCCCCCAATGAGATTGCTTTGCATTGTCCTTTCTTTTCTAAAAGTATCCTGAGCAATACCCCAATAATTCTGAGGCATGAGAAGGTGGTTATAGCGCTTTGAAGCTGCTGCACCGCATGTCTGCGGTGGGTGGTTGTGGGCGTGCGTCACGCCACCCACGCTGACGCGTGACCGCGTCGCGCGCGCCTGCTAGCGCCCACGCTATGATGTCATTTTTCGCGATAACTCTTTGTACTTGCTTGGTCGGGGAAACGGCCCTATTCTCGTGGGTTAATCAGTGTTGCTCGCTCCGCCTTTCCCTCCCTCGCAAGCTCGGGGGGTCCCTTAGGCGTCGCTCGCAATAACCAATAGTCACTACCCCTTGCCCCCAGTATGCCTCGGCGTGCCATAATCGTACTACGCTCGCGTCGCACCTGAGCCAAGCCGGCGGCTGACATCGTATACGGCGTGGTCGAGCAGCAGACGTTAAAGACCCGAGGTGTGCTGTCGCCATACGCACCCTACAAACGCGCGGCGCAGCGCGACGAAGCAGAGCATCGCCATCATGCTCGGCCTCGAAGCGGTCGACCTCAACCTGACGAAACCTCCTCGAAAAGCATCCTCGACGCTCGACCCGCGTTTCGAGCGTTGGCGTTCGTGGCCTACATCGGGAAAGTGGCCGGCGCCGATGCCGAGCAATGCCCAACATCCAATGGGCCTATCCATGGCCGTTAAGGCCTTCGTTGTCGCCGGTATCAATACTACCGTCGCAAGGAAAGAAGGTCTAGCCGACGTCGTAAAATTCGAGCGCGTCCCGCAGATAGACGAAGGTAGCGGCGGTGGCGGAGAAGTCCTTTGGGAACCTGCAGAGCGGATATTCGCCGTTCCTGGCAGGTCGAGTCCGCGATTCATCCCAAGGGTTGACCCGCTGGTCACCGAGATGCCCGAGAGACGTCGTGGGCGTCGTATGTAGGAGGAATTGAGGGAGCGCGACGCCGGGTCTTATGTATTAGAGAGCCGAGGAGCGCAGCGCAACACAGCGGCAGGCGACGCTCTATAGCCAGGGACGCTTCGAGTCAAGGCCGTAGTTAGGCGGCGGTTTGTGGGTCCACAGACAGGTATTGAAGACGTGCATCGCCCAGTCGTTGCTCGAATACCTCGAACGATCGCTCCCTCGAGGGCCCGTGATTACTCCGCCGAGGTCATACACATTGCGCAGCCGGAGAGCGTTGTCAGGATCGCGCGCCCGCTCCTTCTGGTATTCGGCCAGTAGACGATCGTCTGCCGTAGAGTCGGGCGGCGCAGACGCCTGGCCGCGGGCCCTCTCCATCCAGTCGTGGAGCTCCTGCTCGCTTAGGCCGCTCGAGGACTCGGTGCGCCCGGAGAGCCTGTACAGAGGGAGTGCGGAGGTCATTTCCTTGATGGGTCGCTGCTGGCGGTCGTATATCGAGGGGCCCGTGTGCGCTTTCGGCAGAGAACATGGCGCTCTGGTCGACTTGCGTACATTGCGGGGCTGCTTATGGGTACGCTTGCCACCCTTTAGCTGGTCCTGCACCTTAGATCCATCGTCGCTCAAAGGATGTCGATGGCTTTGCCACACATCAGAACCGATGAGGAACTCGGGAGGCGGGGTTGCCTCCCAGCACTTAGCCACGTCGATAGCCGAACAGGTGTACGCGCGCTCTTTGGAGTCCGATGTGGAGATGAAGAGGATGAGAACATCTACCATCTTGAATATCACGAAGAGAGGATGGGCGCGCGACTTTAGGCGCGGCATGCGTGCGTACGGCGGGCGGAAAGTCCTTGTCGAGCGCCCGGTCTTGGCGTATATGGGTTGGCAGACGTAGAGGGGGACAAATTCGTACTCATACTCGACTTCGGGGAGGATCTGGGGACGGACTGAGTTTGGAGGGACCTACGCGGAAGTCATCGGACAACGCACCTCTGAGTAGTGCCTCCTCGCGTTGACGTCCTGAGATGCATTGTATCTAGAGAGGGAAATCATCGCATCGAGAGTATCTTGAGTAGGCATAATCGCCCATTCTTGACAATCCAACTTGTCTGCCATATCTTTCCGAACTATGCAGGATACGTCAGACAGGATCAGGCACGTAAGACGGTACAGCACACGTTGAATGTGATTCAGCTCGGTGTCAAGGGCTAATTCGCCCTTTCCGAGCCCCCAGTAGTATTCAAAGTGTTCCATCTGGTGAGACAATGAAAACAAAGGGCCTTGACGATGGATACTAAGAACACGTACCTGTCGCTGGTATCTACCAGCGTCTATGTCCACTAAACAATAGTTCACGACTGCTTCAGCTTGGATGTTCTTTGTAGTGGAGATATTGAGAGAGGATATGGAGGACACCATGCTTCACGAAGAAATCCTCGACGCAAACGTGGTGGGTGAGAGTAGGAAACAAGGCCTGACGCGCTTATGGATCCCAGTGGGTGGCGCACCGCGGCATCCGCCGAAAGCACGTGCCACTTCGGCATGTCGCGTCGCCCGATGTGCCCATTATCTTGCTTTCACCGCCTTCTATGTCCTGTGACTTTTCTGTAATACCTTCAACGATTTAATCATGTTACTCCGCCTTGTGAACTAGGCTGAACCACAACCTCTGTACCCTCTGAAGCTTTCTCGATGATCAAAGACACGCAGGCCTGTCCATTCGTCAACCGCGGAGAAAACAGCCGCCAGACGGGATCCTCCTCGGACCAGACGAGTGGTCATCTCATCTCCACCCTTTCAGCTATGGATGGGAGGATGCGCTTGGTGAACTGAGCTCCTCGCTTGGAGTCTATTCACACGACGCCCGCGGACACGACGAACTCGAGCGCCGCGACTAGGTCGCTTTTCTCAAGCAACAGCAGGACCACGTACACGCACGAGACCATCTTACAGGGGCAGAGCGTATCCGACCTGATTGATTGGCTATAGACCCGAATTCAGACGCATGTTTTGGTCCATATCGTGGATTGAGGCAAAGTCCAACGGCGTCCGAATGATTTTTCAACAAGCACTGTCACATCGATGTGGTATTTTACAACTAGTATTACAACTACGCGGCGCAAAGCCGGAGGCACATCCGACATTCCAGTGAGGTGGAGTCTAACTCGCGGTGAATACTGAGCCAGTCAGAGACACCGAAGCTTCGAACTCAACATCCCGGAATGTCGAATGGCGCGAAATAAAGCCCGAGAACCGCTAATGCGCCACCGGGTTCTCCTCGATATCACCCCGCATGAGCTTCCCGATGCGCATCACAAGCCTGGCTTCCTTGGCCACGTACGGGGGTGGGTCCCCTGCGCCCATTTTCAGGAGAGAGACGGAGGCCTTCCAGGCAAGGTAGATAGGCGAAACCTTGACCTTGATCGTCGGGATTTCGGGACGACCTTCCTCATCCATGAAGGGGTGCTCATAGTACTTGCGCTCGACGGTGCCATCTTCGTGACGAGTAATGCAGCGTATGCCACTGTCCTCGCTCCAGGTAGACACCGGGACTATATGGACTTCGATCTCAGTACCGCGCTCCCAGATCTGCAAGGTAGCGGACGTCAATGATGAGATTTTCAGAATTAAGTATCACGCACGTCTTCATGGTGGATATAGCGCTCCTTGTTCCTCCTGGGACGCCGCTTGGTAGTCCAGGGAGGGATCTTCTTTGTGTTCAAGACTTGGAACAAGTCCGATAAGACAGACATGCAAGGCAAGAGAATGAGGAGGCCTAGGTCCAATGGCCGATGGATCTCCACACAGACTGAAGTACGACATTAATAGACTGGTCAGGAAATGGTTGATCTTGCAACGCACGAGGGATGATGTTTGACCGCGTATCGAGAGACATGGTCTTGGGTTGCACTCCGGAAACTTTTTCCAGCTGACGAAGCTGTTGAAAAGCGCATTAGCATCATGCCAGAGAATACCGTGTGTTCACGCACCATGTCGTTGTCCAGCGACCGATCGGCGACGTGCGCAAACTGGATGGTGCCATTCTTGTTGCTCTGCCCGGTGATTATGCACCTCAACACGCCGTCATCTGAGGCATAGGAGCTGAACAGCTGGTACGATCGCGGTCGTGCCTCATCCTTGGAGAACTTCAAGGGGGTGTTGTATGCCGAGCCATCCGCATCGAAGAGCCTAACCGTGACAGTCTTGACCGGGGAGTAATCTGGATCCGCTTCACGGCTAGCTGACTCTGTCGAACCAGTAGGCGAGAAGAGCAGCTTTATCGCGCCGCCCCGAGCTTGAACACGCGCGGATCGACGGTCGGGTGTAGCGAGGTTACTCGCGCGCTGCTGAGCAACTAAGCTGTCCCTCGCCCGGCGCTGCTTGGTAACGATAGCAAAACCAGATGCCGATCGAAGGGTCTCGCGACGGGCATTCTGTTCGCTCTCCGATGGCACGTATTTCCGTGCCATGACGGGGGAGGCGCGACGGGGAGGAAGGGGACGAGCGAACTCCCGACAGGTGGGGGGCGAAAGCAAGTCACAGTGTTTGCCGCATGCCAGTCTTATATGCACGAGCGGCATTATCCGAGTCTGCCATCAGTTACTCGTTTTGGGATGCGGTCCGAGAAAACAATGGATGTTGATAGCCTCGAGGACCGTGTGAAGTTGGCTCCGGTCACGAGCGGTCGGCATGTTCCGATAACAGCACGTTCTCATCCTCGCTCTTACCATCATCGTTGCCACTACGCCTTCGCACCTACGATGAACGTCATCTCTTCCACCAGCCTCTCGACGCGTCGAAGTGTCAAGAACTCTCCGATTGTCAGTCATCGTATAGTAGATTTGGATACCGGACGGAATCGTCGTCAGGTAGGCGTTCACGTACTGCTCGCGATCCACTGGACGTTGACCTTTTCTAACAGATCGAGCACTTTGAGTATCACTGGGGCATGGAAAGAGGCGATTTGAGCCTTGATAGTCAGATGAATCACATCAAACGTGTGTGGCTTACTCTATGCGCAGAGTGTCGGCTGACGTCTTCGGCTCTAGTGCGCTCAGATATGGTGCAAAGGCTTCGCGATTCGGATTGGGTCTTCATGCCCACCCAAGATACTCTTCAAGCAATGTACGAGCTGGTTCAATACAACATGACGGCCCCCATCGAGGCCCGCAAACGCTTTCTTGACGTGCGTTGGGTACCTTTCCATCCTCCATGCTGTACTTAGTTTTCACCTAGGTGTTCCCCGACAAGGAGTACGAGTACGACGTGGTCCCTTTGTGCATGAATTTGAAGAAACGAGCGGCACTATATGCTCACGGCGGTGCGCATATCAAGGCCTTCCAAGCGCCATTCGCCAATCTCCCCCGCATCAAGTCTCGCGCACATCCATTCTTCGTGGTCTTCATGTCCAGCGAACTTCTCGATGGCTGCGCGGTTCATGTGATGCCCATGGACCGGGCCGAGCTCCTCATGAGCTCTGCTGGCCGCATCGTTAGTTGCTGGATGAAGGAGCCGCCGGCCACTTTCCTCGTTGGCCCCGATGTCTGGAAACAGCATCGTCATCCGCTGAGCGACGATGGAAAGGAGGCGCGCACCGCCCTTGGTGACTCTCGCAGAGCCAACGTCTCGCCGATGCGGTTGCGAAGGTCGACACGTGCGCCCTGTCGTCAGCAGAAGGTTGCCACCTCCGTCAAGCCATACGCCCGGTATGACCTCCGTCCGACGCGAACCAGAGGTTCTGCCCTGCCTCGCTCCGGCTTCGAGTCCGGAGAGGAGGACGATCACTTCGCCTACGACATAGCTGACCTTCGCGCGTGGGTCGACAAAGTCGAACGCCGAAGGGGCGCCTCCTCCTGGCCGGCGACCTGGATCGACAAGGAGGCCGCGGACGATGATATGCTCGCTCGCTATCGTCGCGAAAGCGCACGGGATGCTGACGACGCGCTGCACCCGCAGACCACCCGTAGCGGTGGCGGGGTGGCTCTTGTCGGCCATGATCGCTCTCGATACTCGAGCAACAATTGGGCGATGCGCACGTGCGATACCTGTTTATGGACACTCGGCATTCCATACGACGAAACTCACCGACCTCAGTAAACGCCTTCGCCGCCCGCATCGTTGGATCATCATCCATCATCCGGCCCGTTGACGTCTCGCCTCGACCGCCACATGTATATCGCATGAGGCCGGGAGGTGGCTGCCATAGTTCTCGCACTGCACCACCGACGCGACCGCTGGGCAAGCCCATGTCCCTGCGAGCGGCATAGAGACTGCCACCGCGCGAGTCATTCGCATAGGGGAGGTGCCTCGGCACACTGTGTCGTAGGGGCCGCCAATAGTTAACGGGGCGCTGCCTCGAAGCACTTCGCGTAAGTCAAGCGCACGGCGTTCCCATGCAGTCACGCCCGGCCTGTATCATGTACGCGCATATGGACTGCGATAGATGTACATATACAGTATAACTCTCTATGTAGTTGTCCAATTCATGTACGAAGCGAATTGAAGACAGGATACTGTACCAGAACTGTCACACGCATCATCATCAAATGTTATTGAGGAGGCCCCCCGACATCTCACCAAAATGTCCGATCTTAATGCGACGGATTGGAGGCTCAAAATGCCCCGACGTTCGATCCCAGTGCGCCGGATTTGGGGAAAACTTCGAGGTAGGTTCGATCCAAAATGCGCCGGTCGGGCCTTGTCGTCGCCCATGTTCGATCCATTGTGCGCCGGACTTGGGGGTCGCGTCGGAATTTCGTTAGCTCAGACCCCCGCCAACCCAACATCGACCAGCCAAGCATCCGTCAGAGCACCAACACGGCCTCATAAGCGGTGGTCTGGGAGGATTGTCGCCACCGAGGTGCGATCCATAGTGCGACGGAAAGTGCGCCTTGACCGATGGTCCGATCCTGGTGCACCGGGAGACCCTCATAATCGGCCAATTTCCATGCGACGGAAATGACCCCAAATCCCGGATTTAGGATCGGACCTTTTGGTGAGATGTCGGGGGGCCTTATTGAGGTAGCAAGGGAGGATGCATGCATGCAACGGAAGAGTCTCAGTGTCACTGTGGCGCCTCGCTGACACGCCGCGTGTGAGTCACGTTTTTCACGTGCATCACCACTGGCGTTTAGTTTTTTGTTCGTACCACCATCGTCGTCCGCCACTCAGACTCAAATTTGTGCACAAATCGCATAATATGTCTGCTGTTCCATCCGAATGCATCTCTGAATGGAAGCATATGCAAGACTACTCCATCGTCGACTATAAAGTGGTGGATCTGGACGAGGGCCGATTTCGCCGTCAGGTTTGTAACGTGTGGCACGGCGCTGGCGACCTCTGACCGTCTGATTCTACAGATAGAACACTTCGAATACTACTGGGGTCTACAGAAAGGCGACCTGGATCTAAGCTCGCCACTGAACCACATTCGTCGTGCGTGTATACGGTGTCTACCTTAATGAAGTATACTGACGCGCGCTTTTGTTCAAGTCCGAGCTGACATGGCCGAGAGCCTTGAAAAGCTTCGATGGACGCTTATTCCGACGCAGAATACCCTGAGAAAGATGCAGAAGCTGTCTGAATACAACATGTCTGCTGATATACACCGGCGGAAGGATTGTCTCAAGGTCAGTCGAAAGAACACTTGCCCGTTGTGTCAATGAATACTCACAACCTATCAGGAGATCCCGGGTGAGGTGTACGAATACGACTTCGTTCCCTTGTACTGCCTCAAGAAGGGGCGTCCGACACTGTACGTCAGTCGTGGCAAGACTACTCGTGCCGTCCGCGCGCCCTACACATCCATGCCCCGCATCAAGACGCGCGCACATCCTCTCTTCGTTACTTTCATGGCCGATGACCAGTTTGACATGTGTATCTCAACCGTCATGCCCGCAAAGAAGGCTAAGACCCTCTCGCTCGCTCTTGGCGATATCGTGACCTGCTGGAGCAAACCACCACCTTCCGAGTTCCTCGTAGGGCCGGACGTGTGGAAGGAGCACCGCCATCCCCTCAGTGACGATGGTCACGAAAGTGACGAATGCGAACTCGACACGCCACTCCAAGACGCGCGGAAGGGCAACATGAGCCTACGATCTGGCGTGCGGAAGACGACGCGTGCGCCATGCAAGCAGGCGAAGACCACCGCTGCAACCAAACCCTACACTAAACTCGGTCCACGGCCACTGTACAAGCGGTCCTCTGCCCTGCCCCGCCCCGGCGTCAAGTACGACGACGAGCGTCCAGAAGGCGCGGGGTACCCGCTTTCCGAACTGCGCGCCTGGGTCGACGGAGCCGCCTCTCAGTCGCAGAGGAGGGCCACGCGAGCGAGCTGGCGGGCGACGTGGATTGAAGAGGAGGCCAAGCGGGATGCGCTGCTCGCGCAATACCGCACGGAGCGCGCACGCGACGCAGCCAACGCGCTTGACCCGCATACCAATCTGCTGTACTCGGGCGGCACCATCATGGGGACGAGCACGGACTGGGCGGGGCACTCGAGCAATAACTGGGCGAGCCGGATACACGGCGTGTGCTTGATGGGCGAGAACGTCTTTGCGCGAGCGGCGAAGTAGATGTTGGTTTTGCCTCGATGGAGTGAACACGCGCCCTTGCGCCGCCGATCTCGCGAGTGGCTTCCCCACTGCGCCAATCACTTGTCGTGACTCCAAGCATCGCCGCACCTCGCACTCGGTTGCATATTTTGAGTAACCCCCTCGTACACCTCTTCGACACACCTGCCGTGTCCGACCGCCGTCGAGCACCCGTCTCCGACATCGCGGTGCTCCAGCAACCTGCACCCGAGCGCCCTGTCACCAGCCGAAGTTGATTGCAAGAATGAAACCCTACGACAGATGTAATTCTATCTCTTGCTCTCTCGCCCCGGCCTTCACTCTCGCAATGGCGTGGGCTACGCTCGTCCCGGCGCGTCGCTGCATGGTTTGACAACGTTGATTGTCAGACAAGGCCCAATGAGTTGTCCTCGCCGCCTACATGGCCCCGAGAAGAGGAGGCGAAGGCCGGCGAGTTCGCTCACCACCGGCTAGAGACGGCGCGCGACGTCGCCATCGCGCTAGAGCCTCACTCCAATGTCTTCTACAACACACTTGAAGGGGGACCTATCTCGTTATATCAAGCCAGTCGCGTAGTATCATTCAAGTACAATGAGTCGAGTACGAATACAAGGAGCGGATATAGAGCATACAGGGAATCAGATGAACATAAGTATAGACGGCAAGCGGGGAATGGGTAGAACAGAGAGGCGAACCAAGAATACGGCGTGATGTGAGTGGTCCAGCCACAGGGCGCGCGGGCGAATGCGGCTTCAATTGATCGACCCAAGAGAGTCAAGGGACGAAGTCAGCAGCATCCGGATCGACAAGACCGGTCATGATTGCGCCAATCTTGCGGATAAGGTTGACCTCAGGAAGAGCATACTCTGGCACGACAGAGTTGTCTTGGTCCTTGAGGATCTTGTTGGTCTTCCAGACCATGTTGTAGGGATTAACATGCAGCCTCTTGAGAGGCATTCGTGGCTTGCCGGAGTTGGTCGTAAATGGCGGGCGGATCAGCGTCTGCTGGATGGTACCGTCCCGACGCTCGGTGATACGCTGGATACCGGCTTTCCCCCAAGTGTTGAGGGGAACGATGCGGTAGTAGTAGCCGGTCTCCGTAAAAGGGAACACCTGTCGAATATTTGAGCAAGAGTCAGACGGACAGAGAAGGCTCGGGTTCGACTTGCCTCCTCGTAGTGAATGAAGCCCTCGGCGTTCTTGTGAGGCTCGACCGTTCCCCAGGGCCAGTCGCTCACGACCTTGTCCGTGAGCGCCGTATACATCTTCTGGAGGTCAGACATCACGGGGATGATGATCACTTTGCTTGGGTGATCCTTGCCCGGGTACCCATCCCAGGGAGCGTGTATATCGATGCTCACTTGGGAACATATTGGTCAAATGATCGGGCATAGTCTTGAAACAAACGCACAATATACATAGTTGAGGCGTGAATTGACGAAGTATTCACCTGGGCCCAAACCATAGGACCTTTCGATATCTCGAAGCTTCGTTGATCAGCGCGAGGATGACGAGGAAATCAGAAGACATACATCGGCAGGCTTCGCCGCTCTATCCACGCCATGGGAGATGTGGACGGTGTAGTCGCACCTTTCCATACCTGTAAAGGGACATCGGTCACCCGAAAGCGATACTAAGCGCAGCGCCTCTGCACACGGCCTCGAATCCGGGTCTGCGCGTCTTTGAGGAGAGAGCCATCCGATAGATGGAGGGCGACGCGGTCTCCAAGACGGCGTTGACGGCGGTGGCAGGTACTCGGAGATCTCAGAGTCTGCCAGTGACGGTGCAGGCGACGAGCGAGAGGCACTGAATGAAGCGCTTCGTATAGAAGGGGGTGGCGGGGGTAGCCTTTGCACACGCTCTTGTTCTTGTGCAGCGCGGTAGGCAGCGCGCTCCTTAAGCGTAGGAACGCGACCAGTTAGGGCACTGCGAGGTCGGAGAGTCCTGGTAGGAGGAGCATCAGAGGATGCCCCCCGGGCCACTCTCTTCTTCCGCCCCATCGGTTACGGGTCATTCTGTGTGTTGTGTCAGTCCAGTTCGGGGACAACGAAGGGTCCTGAGGCAGCGCACCGATGGTAGGCGAGTCGGTGGGGTGAGTGGGAGAACAACAACATACTTTGGGACCTTATATAGCACTGGTCGCCCGAGGGCTTTGACCATGTTCATACCAGCTATCGTGCATAAACCTGAATGTGAGACAGAGAACAACGCGGTCGATGTTCTTGTTCAAGTTTGTGTCAAGGTCACATTCATGACTGTGGGAACGTGATGTGACCGTGACAATGCGTCCTTTGTTCATTGCCGTCGTCAGAGACGACCTGCCACTGGACACCATCCTCAGGCGCTCGCATATCTGTAATCAACAGCATGTCTTCTCTTCCATCTGAGGCACTCTCAACGAGCAAAGCACTGCAAGAAATCATAACTCATCGTGTCGTAGACTTGAACCCCAGTCAGTATCGTAGACAAGTAAGTCCTACTTCCATGCGTCTCCATTCCCACGGTCTGATGGTCAGCGCCAAGATCGAGCACTTCGAATATTACTGGGGTCTACAGAGATGTACTCTGGATCTCAGCTCGCCAATGAACCACGTGCAACGTGAGTTCTCTATTAGCATGGATTTGTACAAAACCAACGGTATCCAGTTCGCAAGGACATGGTAGAAGGCCTGAAACATCGCGACTGGGTGCTCATGCCCACAAAAGAAACTTTGGATATCATGTATGAGCTCGCGAAGTTCAACGAGACCGCCGACCTTGGGTCGCGTAAGAATTGCTTTGAGGCAAGTTTTCCCCTCTTCTGCTGAAGTTGTGCTAACGAACTTTACAGGAGCTACCGGAAAAGGAGTACGAATACGACTTCGTTCCGCTGAAACTTCTGAAGAGCCGTCGCTCTCTCTACGTCGACCTCGGTACAAAACGCAAGGCGATTCGCGCTGCATATCGCACTATGCCTCGAATCAGATGTCGCGCGCATCCCTTCTTTGTAGCATGGATGGCCTCTGACCAGCTCGACCACTGCGCATGTTTAGTCATGCCCGAGAAGAAGGGCAGGGCGCTGATGACCTCCGTCGGCCGCATTGTCGGATGCTGGGTGAAGACCCCACCGGAGGAGTTCCTCATCGGGCCAGACGTCTGGAAGCCCCATCGGCACCCTTTGAGCGACGATGGGGAAGAGGCGCGCGCTGCGCTGAGCGGTTCGCCCAAGACCAACGTCGCGCCCCGTCGGCAGACGCGCAGGGGGACTCGAGCGCCGTGTAGCCAGTCGAAGACCAGCACGCGAGCCAAACCCTACGAGCTACGCGATCGACAACCGGTACGGTCAAGAGGATCCGCTCTTCCTCGCCCTGGCCGTACATCCGGCGACGACTCTGGCGATTTCGACGCGGCTTATATATCTGCTTGGATGGCCAATGTCCCGGATCAATCATCTCTAGTTTCTCCCTCCCGCCCATCGACTCCGCGCAGTGAAGACTCGGACCACGACGACGAGCCGGACCACCTGAGCCCGGACGACGCGTTAGCACGTTATCGCGAGGAGACTGCCCGCGATTCCTCAGACGCGTTAGATCCTGGAATCAACGTTGCTCGCCCTAGCGGGCTGAAGCTCGGTCAGGGTGGCGACTGGTCGCGTTTCGCGAGCAACAATTGGGCGGCATATATCTATGGAGAAAGCTTACTGGGGAAGAACTCGTTCGACAAGGCCAAGAAGTAACCCGCCGCGCTCGCGATCGCTCTGCATACGCACTCGCCACGTTGGTCATCGTAGAGCGCTTTTGCGCTCCAAAGCCGCGTAACTGTCAAAACCAGAGCGCTCGAATGGTTTCGACGAATCTTCAGCCCCTACGAAGATGAACGTCGAATCCCCGAGTCTACGCTCATCACGGTTCTGCACTGCACGCCGACTGGGTATCTTGGCATACATATCGCTCCCATGTCCTCCATTGACTTGTCGAGCTGCAAATAGTATCGCTGCACCCTGTCATCTGTATCATGTACGCGCACAATCAAAAGGCTGTCCTCTGGCAAATCGTATACGCTGCCTGCCGTTCCCTCGGAAGCTGGATCTGGATCAAGGAATATGCAAGACTCTCCCATCGTCGACTATAGAGTGGTGGATTCGGACGAGGGCCCATATCGTCGCCAGGTTCGCGTCATTTAGTACGGGTGTGAAGACCTCCGAAAGTCCTGTTTTCGGACTGAGCACTTTGAATACTGAAGGGGGCCTACAGAACGAAGACCTAGATCTTAGCTCGCCACTGAACCACATTCGTCGTGCGTATTTACTGTGCTTCTCTCAGCGTACTATGTTGACGCGCGCCTTTGTGCTAGTCCCCCGCCTCACCTCCTCGACACTTCTTGCGTGACTAGCTGCCGTCGAGAACCCGTCTTCGACGCTGCGATGCTCCAGCGACTCGCACCAACCAAGATGTAAGCGTGGCAGGCCTCTCGAAGTTGAAATATCCCTCGAGCCAGCGCTCCGCATAGCTCGTCGGTCGGGACATCACACTCATCCCCCCGACTCTCACTGGGGCCATACTTTGGCACGCCAGGCCTGCTCTATACCTCTGTAGTATAGTCTGTACTTAGTCCTCGCGCTCACACCGCCTCACGCCGCATTATATGGCGGCCGTTCCTCTAGTACCTGTCCAATGCAACTCTGCAAGGTTCATGGCTCCTAGCCACCGCCCTTCAAGCCATTGTGCTTATGCTCATTGTGATCCGGAGCATAATCGTCTCCTTTGCATGATATGGGTAACAAACCGACGTGTGGCTGAGCAGCGAGAACTTCGAGTTATGATCCCAATAAGATAAGCATACATTACACAACATAGCAACGATCTCGAAAGCATGTATTCAGTGGAAGAGGGTCAAAAGTGAGCTGGATTGCGGGGCGCGTCATCCCAACAGGTCGTCGATATCCTGCTCGACCTTTGCCAACAGCGCTCGCTCCGACTCGCGCCTTCGCGGAGGTACCTGCGTACCCTCGCGCTTCGTTGGCGCATTCGTATTCTCGCGCTTGACCGGTTTCGTAACCGAGGGAGGCGCGGGATTGTAGCCAGTGCACTCAATCTCCGAGTCTGAGTCCTCGGGTGCCGGAGGTGCTTGAGGGCGAGATGAAGGTCTCCGTTGAGGTTCCTTGCGCTTACTGCCAGAAGGCATCGAGGTGCGGCGGGGGTCGTTCCGCTTCTTTGCCGGTCGTGATGTATTGCCAATGTCGGAAAAGCGTCGACCATCTCGTCGCGGGGCCGAGGGTTTGGCAGCGCTCGTAACGCCTTTCGTCTCTTTCTTCGTGACGATTGGTCCCTTCTCCTTGACGATTGGCGCCTTCGAACTCGACGCCAGGGAGACGCCCGTCCCAAGGAACTCGATCTCGTCGTCGCTCGACTCGAGATCCTCCTTGATGTCAGGCTGAGACAGTATCAGCGGTGCAGGAGATGGTCTGTCGAGAGCGAGCGGGGATGCAGGCGCTGGCGGAGACCCAGGCGCAGGTGACAGCGATGACCACGACACAGGCGACCCCGCGGGGCTGAGAGGGCGGGGTGGCAAAACCGGAGATGGGGTCATAGCTTCTGCGTCCAGCGCCAGAGAGCGCTCAACCATCTCTTCTTCCTCTTCATCCCGCTCAGGTGACAATGATATTGGTGCGCGAATTGGCACTGGGGGTGACGGCTCTCTCCGACCGAGACCCAGATGGCGGACGATAGGAGACGAAGGACCAAGCGACCGCGATGGTGGCGTCTCTTCCGCGTCAGACTCGTCCGAGCTGATGTAGATATACTCGCGGCCCATCGTACGCTGAGATGGTCTGGGAGCGTGGTAAGCAGGACCGTCGCTGGCAGCAACAAGATGAGAACATACTGCATGGGTGGCGTTACGTCGGTCGCGACAATACTCTCCTTGATATCGTCGTCCGACGACTCTGACAATCTCGCTCGTCTGAGAATAATATAAGCATCCGACGGCAGGCCTGACTGCATTAGAATCGACTGACTTGTGAGGCTTGTCATCGTCATTGAGATCTGCACCCTCGGCAGCATCATGATCCTCCTCACCCTCCTCGTAGAAGAACCTGCACTGCGCATTAGCCCAAACAACATCGTCCCCAATAACAAACACCCACCTCGGCCGCTTATCCCCCGCATTCGGCTCAGTCTTCACCTCCTCTTCCTCCTTCGCCTCCTTATCCTCCTCCATCGGCACCAACGTATCCAAAAACTCAAACAACTCGCGAAACTCCACCAACTCCCGCCACTCCTCCCTCGTCAGCGACTCCAGCTGCTTCTTGTACTTGCTCTGCACGCGCTTCTTCAGCGCCGCGACCGCGTTCTTGGCGTCCTTGTGCTTCGGGCCGTAGCGCTGCACGACGACCTCAGCTTGTAGCTCAAAGCGGGGATAGGGAGCATTGAAGCAAGGAGTAGGAAGTGAGGACGCAGACGTACGTCGGTGACCAGGTTCTCCAGCAGCAGCTCGAGCGAGCAGATCTGGTAGAGGTCGACGTCCTCGGGCTCGGGGAAAGTCAGATGCGGCAGCATGAGCGCGAGCGGGCGCCTGTCGGCCTCTCGCGTAATAACATGCCGTTCTTCTGAAGGACCGCGCCGACCGAGGAGCGCGTACGCAATGTCAATCGCTAGGCGCAGCTGCACAGCGTCGTCGGCTTTGTTCACGCTGGAGGGATGTGAGAACGGGTCACTCAACATGGGCACAATACCTACCCGCTGTCGGTCCTGATGACACGCGAGCTGTCTGTCCACTCGAGGTAACAGTTGATCAAGGCGTCCGGACTGAGTGGTTTCTGATGGACCGAGTCTTCGTGATACAGCTCGCACGTGTATATGTACGCGTCCAGAAAGACCTCGAGTCGGAACTCAAGTCAGCGCTCGCTGTAAACTGATAACTGAAAAACTTACCTCGCGCACCACATCCTGCCTCACCGCGCCCGAGTGGCTGTAGCTCCTGAGGAAGAACTGCAGCGGCTGGATCAACGCCTGATTGTTCCCCGTCGCGTGAACCGCGTAGAGGACGACAAGGTTCTTCATCATCTATCCGGTTCGTTGGCCAAGTCTAGACGACTACAAAATAACCATCGCTCAGGCTCACCTGTCGCGCACCCACCAACTCCCGCCGGTCCCAGGTGATCTTGATCAGCGCCTGTGCCAGCATCGCCAGCGCCTCCGGATCTGTCGTGTTCTCCAGGACGTGCACCCAGTAGTTCGTCCAGTCCAGCCTCTGCGGGTTGTAAGCGATCAGATACATTGTCATTGCCAGATACGAGGCCATTGTCGAATAGACGATGCCATCGTCGGACCCAGACACCGAGATCCAAGCGCGGTATAGTTGACGGCGCGATATAGATGACGGCGCAAAACGAACAACGCACCGTCCAAGCCTTTCCCGTCCGCTCATCCACCACGTCGAGCCTGTCCCCCCAAACGCGGTACATGTCCGCCACGCACTGGATGAGCTCGATGCGCACGCGCGGGTCGGTCGCCTCTTCGGCGAGTTCCTTCGAGAAGGGGCCGGCGGCGAGTTTGGCAGTGGGCTGAAGTAAGGGAGCGAGCGCCTCAGCCGTGCTCTCAAGTCCTGGTCGAAGGCGGCTCACCAAATGCAACAGACAGAACATCGTAGCGGGCGCGAGGCCGTCCGCCTTCCCCTTCCGCCCCGCCTCGATCGCGACGAACCTATATGAGAGCTCCTTGAGCAGCTCGACGACCTCCTTGCTCGGGCGCTGTGACATAATCACGTTCAGCATGCTCGCCCATCCCTCGACTGGTACCGCGCTCACCTCCGGCAGATACCCGCATAGCAGCGTATAATATCGCAGACAGCGCATACGGGTCGCATCGTCGAGCAGCACGACGTCGACAGTTCCATCCTCCCTCAGCGCGCCGGCGTCCTCCAACCAGGCCCAGATGATCTCGCGCACGGCACGCGCGTAGGCCAGCTCGCCCTCCGTGTCGGCAAGCTGCGCGAAGACGACCTCGCGCAGGTTCTCAGGGAGGGCAGGGTGACGCAGCATCTCATCTGGCGGTCATGACTGTGAGCGCGAAGGATGGTAGGATGCGCACGGGACAACAAGACGTACATAGGATAGGCGCGAGCGCCTTCGAGCCATACGGATCGCTGGCCCCCACGGCGGCGCAGATGTGCAAGAGCTCGTGCAACCGGAACACGCGCTCGTCCTGCGCGAGGATTTCCTCGTGCTCCTTGTGCGCCGCCACGTCTTGCTCGTTTGTCATGTTGATACGCACGGCTAGGCGCCGTTGTGCATCGTCCACCTTCCCCCTCGCCTCTTCCCAGCAGCGCTCCACGCGCGGTACCAGATCGGTCACGGTGGGGAGTGTGTCTTGAAGGTCGGCGTTGGCGCCCTTGTGCGCGATGAGTCCGCGAACGAGGGCCAGAAGCGCGAGCGTGGAGTTGTCCCAGAGGTTGAGGCCTGGGGTGTGAGAGGTTAGCAGATGGTTCGGATGTTAGTTGATGATTCGGAGGATTAGACACTGGGTCAAGGGAGATGCGAACAGAAGAGCCCCGGAGGAGCAGACAGCGGGTTGAGGAGGTCCGAACAGAAGAGCCGTGGAATTGTATGGGAAGGATAGGAGTCGTATAAGAAGGATATGAGAAAGAACACTCACCACTCAAATCCAGCCCCTCGCACAACCTCGGTCGCGCGGAGAGAAACGCCTCTACGACGCGCAGGTATGACTTGCTCGTGGTGAGGCTGAGGCGAGTTAATAGGGCGAGAAGGCCGGCGAAGGGGGCTAATGGGTTCTCCTCAGCAGAGGGCATGTCAGGTTCCGCCTTGACATTGGGCGTATCCGGCTCCGCCTTGACATTGGGCGTGTCCGGCTCCGCCTTGACATTGGGCGTGTCCGGCTCCGCCTTGACCTCGGGCTCGGGCTTGATGGCGGGGTTCAATGCGTCCGCCCAACGAACTACAAGCTTCGCCACCTCCCGCCGCACGTCTTCACTGCGATCGTCGAAGCCGTACGCCAGGAGCCTGTCGATCACGGTACCGTTGAGCTTGTCGATGATCGTGCCGTTGAGTTTGTCGACGATCCTTGGGGCGTTGGAGGTGTCCGGATGCGTAGGTGAGGCCTGACTGGTGTTCTTCGCAGATCCTCGACGCTGACTAGACGCATCGGGCGCACCCATCCCAGCAACACTTTCCCTCAACCTCCGATACACGGCCGCGCGCACCCTCGCATCCCCCTGCGCACCCTTCCTCGCAGATTTCTCATCGCGCCCATCATCCCGGGACCGTAGCAGGAGATGAGGAATCGTGTTCTCCGTGATGGGAATATAGGACACCACCGCGAGCCGCACGTCGACCGCAGGATCGCAGGCCATGGACTCGATCAGAAGCGCTTCGTCCCCAGCAGCCAAGCGGTCGCCCTCCATCGCCAGGCACCTGCACAACAACCTCGCCGCGCCCGCCCTCACCACCCGATCCTTGTCCGCCAGCCTTTCGCGCACCTCTGCCCTCACCTTGTCGACCACGCGCGCGTCGATCGCGCCGAGGGTGCCGAACATGCGGGACAGGGTGTCGATGGCGCGGCGGCGGATCTGCTTGGTGGGCGCGGCGAGGGCGTGCCGGAGGGCTTTGAGGACGCGGCCGGTGAACCAAGGCGCGGGCTCGTGCGTGGGGGGCGGAGTCGTCGAAGGACCAGGCTCGCCGCGGTCCTGGGGGTAAAATTGGAGGTGATTGTGGCCGACCTGACCCACTGGGTGCGATGTCAGATGCGGAAGGCTTGCGCTAGGTACACCACGCACCAGAATCATTCAAAAACTCGATATACGCCGCGACAAAGCGCAGGCCAAGGTCGGCCGGACGCGCTGCCTTCATGTGCAGGCACTGGCCGAGGAAGTACAGAAAGCACTCCATGAACTCGTACCCGCCCTGCTTCCCGCCGCACTCCATCGGCGCCCCGCGGCAGACGACGGCGCAGTGGAGGGCGAAGAGGGCGGCGGAGTTGCGCGTGTGGGAGCGCTCGTTGGTGAGGGCGTCGGTGAAGATGTGCTTCATGGAGTCGTATATGTCGGGCATGCCGTCTGAGGGGCGGGGCGCGGGCATGGTCGCGTGCGAAGGGGAAGTGTCGAGTTGAAAGGGGAAGGGGAAACGCGATCACGTGTACGCATGCGCGTCGGCTGACTCTGACTCTGGCTAGGGTTGGATGGTGGTGCGTTCGGGCAGCAAGAATCGATAGGTGTTTAGCGCCCACCCCTCCTTTGCCGCGCCCCCCGCACACGGTCTCCCCGTCAAGGGGCCCGTGTGCGGGGGGCGTGCGCTATCTACTATCTATGGTAGTCTACGCTACGTGGTGTACTCTACCAGCATGGTCCCTCCTACCAGCATGACCCCTCCTACCAGCATGACCCCTCCTACACGCCTCATTGCACGAGCAGCATGGCGGCCTGCACGGTGGGTGACGAGTGAGACGGCGAGCGAGACGGGGGGTGGGAGAGAGACGGTAAGCCCTTGCCCACCTCCCCCCGTCTTATATACCGCCCTCTACCGTGCACGGACCTTTTGCAAGCCGAGTACGACCCCCAGCAAGCCGAGTACGATCCCCAGCAAGCCGAGTACGCGCCCCTTGCGACAGCGGCTAGTAGGTAGCGGATGTACGTTGTCAGTAGCTTATGCACAATAACATTGTCCTGGGCATGCTGAATACTCCACGAGTTGGTCGGTGGACACTGCGCCTGGCAGAGTGGAAACACCGTGTTCTCAATTCCTCCCTCTCGCAGTCAACGGGAGGGAGCCACCGATGAGCGTCGCGGTGGTGGCGTCCGCACTACTGCTCGCGAAGCTGTCCGCACTGGTACCGGCGCTCACGAAGCTCGCTTGCTCGCTTTCCGATTACAATGTACAAGTATCCTTTCCATTTATGATGTCCAAGTACCCGACGGACATCTCCGCAGACTCAAGGGACTGATATGTCGAGCAACTCAGTTGCAATAAGGATTGTAAGAGCTTTCATTGCAATTCATAGCTAGTAACATCGCAGTACGAGGTGTCTACTGAGCTAGCGGTGTCTACCGAGCTACAAAGAAAAGCGATACCCCAACTCGAAGGCGAGCAACGCAAGAACGAGCCACCAGATCGGGGGACGAAGACCTATATACTCGGCGCTCGAGTGGTGGACACTCAGCGCCCGAGTGGTGGACACTCATCGCCCGAGTGGTGGATACTCATCGCCCGAATGGTGAGTACTCGGCGTCCAAGGGGTGATACTCATCACCCCGCGGACGGCGATCCACTGCCTCAACGCCAAAGGGGAAGCAGATTCTTGCGCGTGCGAGGTGGGCGCGGGCGAAAGGGGTAGTCCATCGTTGAGAAGGAATAGCGCATCGAGAGCTTTGGGGGTGCACCTTGAGAGCGTAGGGGAACCGTGAAGCGCTGAGGAATAGCCCATTCGAGACGAAGAAGCCCTGAGAAGCGCGTGAGTAAAACCTGAAAAGCGCGTGAGTAAAGTCGAATAAAAAGCGCACCAAATATCCCTTACCCTCGCTCGCCGGACGGCGATACGTTGCCTCATCGCTTGGGGAGTGGGGGGCGATGCTCGTTAGGAGCGAATCTGTTGAGGAGTGGAAGGAGCGATGCTTGTGAAGAGTGAGAGGGGCAAAGGAGCGCGTCGGATAGAGGGGGGGAGCGAAGGAGGAGGGAGGGGAGAGAAGGGAGAAGGAGGGAGAAGGAGTGTGAGGAGCATGAGGGGGGAGCGTTAAAGGGCTGTCCAGGGTTGATGGGAAAGCTAGGGAGGAGGTAGAGGCTGAGGAGAAGGTAGAAGCTAGGGAGGAGGTAGAAGCTAGGGAGGAGGTAGAGGCGTCTGAGGGAGAGGGGAGTCTGAGGAAGAGGGGTGCCAGCCGAAGGGAGGGCACGATGAGGGTGTGGAAAGGGAAGGGGATTGAGGAAGCAAATCGGTCTGAAGGAGGGAGGGAGAGGGACGTGCACAAGCGACGGGAGGGCGGGGGCGGGGGAGAGATAGAGGGGGGAAGGGTGAGGAGGTGATAAAGGGGAACAAGGTGATAAGGGGGAAGAGGATCGAAGGGGTTGGGGTAGGGGTTAAGAGAAGGAGAAGCGAGGGGTGGAGGGGGAAGGAAGGGCGTACCTCGGACCGTGCTTGATGTGAGGATGTTGTGAGCGGCTAGGGCGGCGCTGCGCGCCACCCCCTCCCCCACCCCAAAGGTCGCGTCGATCAACGAGAACTTGAGGCGCGGACCTCGGCGCATCTGACGTCGATTTGCGGATTTCGGAGGATTGAGAAGCGGCCGAAAACACCTAGAAACGCGTCAGCAATGAGTGCAGTACAGTCAATACAGCACGCACCTGACGTGCTGGCCGCCACCCAATCCTCCTTGTCACCGACCGCGACGTCCGGCTCGTACAGAAATCACGGGAACCGGCGCAAATGTCGTCGATGCGTGGGGTTTCTGGGCTTGAGGAAGATATGTAAAATGTCTACAAACGCGTCAGAATGGTGCACGAAAGCGAACGACTCAGAGACGCACCTCGAACGTTGTTCCCGTCGCATGCAGCGCGGGGCGCTGCCCCCCTCCCCCTCCTCCCCTCCCCAACAGCCGTGGCGTTCAGCGAGGGGTTCCCGCGCGGACCTCGGCGCATTTCGCGTCGATTTGCGGATTTTACGGCGTGAAGAGGTGCTCGGGGACGTCTGGAAAATCATTAGAAAAGAGGTCAAAATTGGTTGGATTGAAGACGCACCCCTTGTCGGCGTCGCTGGCGGCGCTCCGCGCCCCCATTGTCCCCTCTCTAACTGTCGCGGCCGTCCACGAGGAATTCCCGCGCGGACCTCGGCGCACTTTGCTTCAAAATGCGTTTTTTCGGCGGATGGAGGCGCCAGAAAATGCCTGAAAACGCGTCAAAAATGGGTGCTAGACTCGACAGAATCTACAACGCACCTCGGCCGCGATGCGCGCTCGTTGTCGAGCCAGCTTGCCTATCACTTCCACCCACAAAGAGCTTGGTGCCGTCATCGGGCGAGGTGCTGGGCGAGATGTCGTGGGTGTTTGGTGGACCGCGTCGAGGGCGATGATCGCTACGACGTTGCCGGCTGCGCAAGCGCAACATCTCCAACAGCGTGGTCTAGATGTGAAGGGATGCGGGAGGCAAGTCGAGGGGCGGGGAGCGAGGGGGAAAGGTAGAGATGAAGCTCGAACGCACCGGTATATGTGGGCGGCGTCAAGGCGCCCTTCGCGACCGAGTAGGAGCAAAATTTTCATTCCCGCGCCACGCTCGGCGGAGCCCGCGCGCGTTCATTCCTGAGATTCTCGTAAGTCGAGACAATTCTGATGGAAGATTCGTGTCTCCGCGTAGGTATATGCCACTCACCGCACATGCAACGTGTTCCCTCGCGGCGAGCTAGTTGGCGGGGCTCAGTTTGCTCAGCGCCGCCTGCGACGTTGAAGGACCTGAATTGCAAGAGGGAGTCGCGCGCTGGCTAGAAATGGTTGGTGCGAGGGTGGGGAGGCAGATAACCTGGACTTACCTTCGAATGGTGGCTCAATGTCGCCTCGTGTCGCGCCGAGCATGTCCACGGGGCAGCCCGAGCGCCGACACCTACCCTGGAATTCTATTGCCGTTGTACCGGAAAGGTGCCGGCAGGGTATTTGGCACACCAAAACATACCTGGCCTGCTGAGTCCGAAATCAATTTGCACACGTACACTGAAGATGGAGGCGAGGAGGACATCGTGCAGAACCGACACCTGGCGCTCACCTTACCAGAATTGGCAGGACTGCGAGGATGGCGGAGAAACACGCGCGCCGCCCGAGCGACAACATGAGCAAAGGCCTTCCGGATTGGGCTCAATAGCCAGCCCCGCGTGCTGTCAAGGCACAGAGCTAGAGCTCCGTGCGAGTCGTAATGACGGAACCGGTAGCTTAATTCCGCGCCTTCGTCGCCTGTGTCGCCGTTGAGATGAGGGGGCGCGCGAGTCCGAGATGAGCACAAGATGGCTTTGAATGCATTTCTTGAGGGCCCGAGGGGTGTACAAAGAGTAGCCAGCTACGAATCCAGGACGTAGAGAGTAGACGGACGTCCTCGCCGGCCGCTGATGACGGTCGCGGACAAGACGGACGGAGTTTGTGGCGCCGCCAATCAGGGACCGGAGGGCGGCCCGTCGAGTCCGCGCGGCCGCGTTCTGCGTCTTGTCTTCGACTCACACCCATCGCGTTTGTCCGTCGCCTCGGAATAAACGCCATACTTTTCACAAACACTACCAGCAGCGATCCTGAACGTCTGGCGCTGTGGGCCCTACTCGGCGAGCTGTTATACGTCGAAAACAATGGCGGCGCGATCTCCCGCATCTCAGACGGCCTCCGCCGCGATCCCACCACCAGCGATGGGTCGCAGTAGGCTCGGGGCACTCGCCCATGAGCCCTGAACCCATCGCCGGTTTTGCGATGGGCGAGATCTGCGATTTCGCTTATCGTTCTGGGAGTTCGAGGATGTTTGCATGTGCAGCTCGACCTCCTTCCCTCCTTTCTGTGCACCTCCCCCCAAAAATACGAACCAACATAAATCGATGCAGTTTTCAATTCTGAACAGGTTTTGTATACCCAACCCCGCCCTCTGCGCCCTCGCTCGAGTGCTATAGCTCGACAAAGGGCGTTTTGAATATGTGGCGTCGGTTTTCGTCCGCGTATAGCGTCGTCGCATGTGCTTCGAACCGGCCCCAAAGTACATGAACATGATCTCCTATACCTCCGCATGGTATCTAGGAAGTAAGGTGAGCTCTCGATGTCTGTACGCCTTGGGAACCACTACGCTCATCCGCCCCCTTCCCAACCTCACCCCGATCCCAATCTTCCACCTAACGGCACGCAATTCCAGGCAGCGATTTCGTCGGATGTACCGAGCACGCGGATGACGTTGCGCCGCCCGAAGAACGCACGCGTAGCTCGCAATCCCACACTTGCAAAACCAACCTCCTGAAAAGTACGCATCTTCCACCCATTCCTCCCTCGTTTCCGCGCTCATTCCGCAGTTCGGGTCGGATAGTCTCAGTCTACACGTAAGGCTGAAACGCGCCCTCGAAGGATGGAAGATAGCGCTGCCCTCGCGCTCGCCCAGAGCCTTTCCGCGCTCACAGGCGAATTCTCCCCCTCTCCGGGCTCTCAGACGCACCATAACTCGCGCATGGTATGTCACAAACATATCTAATACTTCCCGCTATTGTTTCCGTCGCCAGCGCGAGAGCGCGGCGCTGCTCGTCGCGCGCCCGCCAGCGCGCTGCCTTTCTGGCGCTCAATGCCTTCCCAAAAGGGAAGGGCACGCGTCTTCCCAAACCGCCACGTCGATTCCCGTGCCCCCGCCTTCCTTGCCCTTTACTCACCCAAAATCGCGTCATCTACAACCTCACCATTCCATTCAGAACACACTCCTGCGGTTATTTGGCCGACATACGCGTTAAAAGGCATGGAAACGCGTCCAGACGCCGCGGAGGTACACCGTAAGCGTCCTCCTTCCACCGCCGATCCGCGCCTGGTATTCAACTTTCCTGACTCGCGCGCGACAGAACCTTCGTGCAGATCGCATATGCGCTCGCCCCGCGGAACATCCATCGCCATACAACGCCGTACACGCCAAATGCCCACCACGGGCAATCTTCCGCGGTTTCGTAAGTGTATCTGGGCGCGCGGTTCGTATTCGGGGGCGCGTCGCCTCCGCGCATTCAACTGCTGCGGTTGGAAAGGCTAATCGACGCGGGGAGGGATACATAAGGCAGGGGGTGGGGCGGTGTTAGGGCAGAGCTCGGCGCTCTTCCCTTTCCCCCCATCTCCTCCCCTCCCTCCTGTCGCTACCTCCCTGCTTCGTCGCCTGTCCCCTTCGCTGGTTTGTGATGTTGCCTACGTGAGGTCACTGCTCGGTGAGTCGCCTCGGCCTGTTTGTTCGATTTTTGGCTCTATTGTTGACGCTGCTTTCAGAGGTTCAGTTCTACTTGTGTTGGCGGTACGTGCCTATTGATCTTGCCTTCCATTCGCTTACCAACCTTTCTCTTTAGGTGCCTCCGTTCGCATCGAGTAGGACACGCTTCGTCAAGCGCGACGACGGTGAGCTCCTTCATTGTTTCTTATTCGTCCTGCCTTCACTAACGACGATTATAGGTATCTAGTACTATTTTCCGCGCCTTGACCGACGCCGCCGTCCTTCCCTCTCGTAAGTTTGCCGTCCTTTCCCTTCTTATCCCCTCCGATCTCGGCGCTTTGCTGACGATTTTGTCTAGATTCCACGGCCCCGTCGACGTGCTTTTCGACGCGTTAGTGATCAGCAAGGCCAGCGATGCGCGGGGGAAGTAGGATAGGTCTATGAGGTGCGTTTACTACGTCGTTTTTGCGATTCATCTGCTGATTGTTCCCTGTAGTCAGTGTAGACGGCGAGCTTCGATGTCGCTTGGAAGGACCGCGAGGTCACTAGCAGTACGTGGGGGAAGTGGTTTTGGGGCCATAAGGTGCGTCTCTCGCCTTATCATTGCGATCTTCTTGTTGATTGACGTTGTAGACGGCGACCCGCAACCCCTTCAACACGACGCGCGGCTTTTCTAGGGCGCGCAGCTCATGCTTGGACATCACCTCCACCGTCTTCGACGACCGCCTGAATGTCTCCCCCCTCAACGTCGTCGAGGATGGCGGCGTTGTGGGCTTCGTCTACATCACTACCCCCTTCGACGACGCCTCCAGCGCGCCCTCAAGCTCACCTGCCACTTCCACCCCTCCACCCTACTCGCATTCGTGCCCCTCACTTCGCGCTGTCTCGGGCGCGGGAGAAAGACCACCGACTTTGGGTGCGCTCCCCTCCGAGTCGTTGGCATGCATGCCCTCGTTGGCGTGAGGTACGTGTCCTTCGTTCGCGCATTGCTTCCTTGCTGACCGACGTTCGACAGCGACCCAGCCGCACCTGCAGCCGCTGTCTTCCGATCTCTCGGGGAAGTGTGCTTCGTGGGCTGGAAGGCATCTCCACCGGCGCTGGCGACGCGCTCGCTCGATGCCGGCGACGCGTCCTGGCCTCCGACACTGGCGAAAGAGCTTCATCGACGCCGGCGAAGCGTCTTCAGCCTCAACGTCACGCCCTCTTCCTCAACATCGACATGTCCTACGTCGTCAAGCGCGCTGACCCTACGGCTTCGACGTCGACGTTGATTGCTATGCCCTTGGCGCGCTCAGCGCCGCGAGGACAGCGCGCTGTCAGCAAGGTAAAGATCCGTCCTTGCTCCCAGCCCCCTGATGTCTTGCTAATCCTCTCGTCCAGTTTGTATCGGGTAAATCTTGTCGTTAGACAGCGGCGAAGGCGACGAACAAGGGAGAAGGTAGCGAGTACCAGCACGAAGGTGATGAGCCGGGGCGAAGGGTGAGAGCGGTGGGGAAGACTATGGAGGGGCCGAAGACGACGAGCGGCGGGGGTTGTGGCGGTTAGCGACGTTGAATGTAGGTATGTCTCCGTATGTGAGTTTGCCGCCTTGACTGACCTGCGTTTACAGTGCTTGCTGTGCTCGTACGCCGGGGCTTGCCAGGTGCAAGATCGCGCGTCGCTACGCGTTGACGCGGCATCTGGATAGCGGACGACGGTGGGATCGAGGTTGACGTCGGGTGAGTCCGTTTCCTTCGATCGAGGTTTTTACTGACTTCCTATACAGAGTGTACCCTTGCGTTGTGTTGCGCGATGCGATTGCGTCTTTCTCTTTGACGCGGTCTCGCCACGCGCGAGGCCCTCGCACTCCGCTTCAAGACGCCCTCGCGCCGAAGATTGAGGGGTCTGCTCGTTTGCGCCAGCCTTGTAAGTCTTATCATTTAGAGTCTTATGCTTCGCGTTTAATCTCGCATCTTCAGGTCGTTTACTTCACGCCGTAGTGTAATATGTAACTGCTTATACGACCGCATACCGCCCTTGAAAGCGCTGTGAACCGCCTGCGACGACGCGTAGGTCCGCTTCAAGTCGCGCGGGATCGCCGTTTGGGGCGCACAGGATCGTGGTCGACGACGCTCAGGACCGCCGTCGACGATGCCCAGGACCGCGGTCGACCATCCCCAGGACCACCTTCGACGACGCTCGCAGGCCTCGCCTTCACCATTCGCTAACAACGAATCCCCCCTCACGTCACCTTTGGCATCGGATTCCCCCTCGCCTTCTACGACGCGTCTCTGCTCATTCTCGACGGCGCGTTTCTGCTCATTCTCGAAGACGCATTCCTGCTCGCCTTCGACGACGCATCCCGCCTTCATCCTCAACAACGAATCCCCCCTCATCGCCTCCTCTCGGCCCTTAACAATGTTGTCAACGAGCACGTCGATGTCGATCTCACAATAAACGGCGGTGGTGGTTCGTGCCGGCGCGTCATTCGGGGAGTGGCAACGCGCTCTCCGTGCGTAGGAACAGCCTTCTTCAAGATCGACAAACGTGCTCAAAGAGCGCGAGCGAGGGAGGGGTAGCGGGGAAAGCGCTCGATGAGAAGACGAGGGGGGCTGTTAGAGGAGGGGTACGACTGGTAGAGTTTGGGGAGTAGAGAGGGGGGAATCTACTCGGCGAGTTGAGAGGCGGGCGAGGTGATTAGTTGACGAGTGGACGTGCTCACTGTACAGTGGTTCTCGAGTAAGTGTAAGCCTTGAGTTGACAAAGTGTACGAGTAAGACATGAGTTGCGGACGGGTAAGCCATGGCCATGAGTCGACGAGCGAGGCGTGGGCCGATATGAGCTCTCTGCGAGTCTGCGACGTGCCCTCGTGCATGCGGCACGCTTTTCGGCGATGTAGGCAAGGCGGAGGGGACGCGCGAGATGGGCAGGACGTAGTTTTCATTGCATACTGTCTAGCTACAAAGAGTAGAGTATCTAGAATGACTGGAGTACATACAGCGAAGACGGGGAGTATATGCATAGTCTCCTCTCCCTTCCCTCGTCGATTCCCCCTCCCCCCTCCCTTGTTACGCCCGTTCCCATCCCTCCTTCCCCTTCCGCCGCACTTCTCTGACGCTCCCGTCTCCCCATCGCCTTCGGCTCGCAGTCCTCGTCCTGGTATCGCGCGAGGTGTACGGGTTGAATCAGAGCGAAGGGGGGAGGAAGGGGGCGCGGAGACGGGAAACGATGCAAACACGACTCACCACTTGCACCCAGCCTCTCGCACAGCTCGGACGCGCGGAGAGGAAGTCCTTTACGACGCGCGACGAGGAACACTTCCACGACGCGCAGGTACGACTTCCTCGACGAGAGGCCGAGACGCGTGAGCACGCGACGAGCTTTGCCACCGCCCGCTGCACGTCCTCGCTCCGATCGTCGAAGCCGTAGGCGAGGAGCCTGTCGATGACGGTGCCGTTGAGTTTGTCGACGATCGCGCCGTTCGGTCGTGCACCCTCCGCGGCGGCGTTCGGTCGTGCATCCCCCGCGGCGCCGTCCCGCCGTGCACCCTCCACGGCGATATTCTCCCTCAACCTCCGATACACTGCCACACGCACGCGCGCGTCTGCCTGCCCACCCTTCCTAGTAGACTTCTCGTCGCGCCCGTCGTCCCGAGAGCGCAGAAGAAGGTGGGGGACCGTGTTCTCCGTGATGGGGATGTAGGACACCACCACGAGCCGCACGTCGACCGCAGGATCGCAGGCCATCGCCTCGATCAAAAGCGCCTCGTCCTCGGCGTCGATTAAGCGCCCTCCGTCCTCGGCGTCGATCAAGCGCGCCTCGCCCTCAGCGGCCATGTGCTTGTAGAGGAGGGCCGCGGCGCGCGCGCGGACGACCCTGTCTTTGTCCGCCAGCCTTTCGCGCACCTCTGCCCTCACCTTGTCGACTACGCGCGCGTCGATCGCGCCGAGGGTGCCGAACATGCGGGACACAGTGTCGATGGCGCGGCGGCGGATCTGCTTGGTGGGCGCGGCGAGGGCGTGCCGGAGGGCTTTGAGGACGCGGCCGGTGAACCAGGGGGCGGGGTCGTGCGTGGGGGATGGGGTGGTGGAGGAGGGACCGGGGGTTGACGAGGAAGAGGAACCGGGGACTGACGAGGAGGGACCAGGCTCGCCGCGATCCTGGGGGTAGAACTGGAGGTAATCATGGCCGACCTGGCCCACTGGGTGCGATGTTAGATGCGGAACACTCCGTAATGAGTCCGACACGCACCAGAATCGTTCAGATACTCGATATACGCCGCGACGAAGCGCAGGCCAAAGTCGGCCGGACGCGCTGCCTTCATATGCAGGCACTGGCCGAGGAAGTACAGGAAGCACTCCATGAACTCATAGCCCCCCTCCTTCGCGCCGCAGTCCGTCTGGATCCCGCGGCACACGACGGCGCGGTGGAGGGCGAAGAGGGCGGCGGAGTTGCGTGTGTGGGAGCGCTCGTTGGTGAGGGCGTCGGTGAAGATGTGCTTCATGGACTCGTAGATGTCGGGCAGGCCGTCCGAGTCGCGTCGAGCTGGCATTGTGGACTCAAGTGGAGAGAAAGAAGGACGGGGCAAGAAAGGGGAAGGCTGAAGGGAAACGCGATCACGCGCGTAGACGCTCTCAGCCCGCAGGCGCAAGTGTCAATGTTCGCTGTCCTGTGGCAAGTATCGAGCGCCAGGGCTTGACTTCCGACGTCGGTTGAGGGGAGGAGCGCTTGTGTGTAGGCCGCGTATGCGACCGGCAATCGTGCAGTCGAGTATGAAAGCACGCGAGCTGAACTTATGATTTATATCGAGCCCCTGCGGTTTCCGACCAAGGCCTCTGGTTCGGAGAGCTCCCTGGATAGGCTTGGTTGAGCGTATACAGAGATGACTGGCGGAGTCAAGACGAATTTAACTCAATGCGGACTTGTGCAGAAGGAAACGCGATCACGTGTACGCGTGCGCGTCGGCTGACTCTGACTCTGGCTAGGGTTGGATGGTTGTGCGAACCGACAGCAAGAATCGATAGGTGTTTAGCGCCCACCCCTCCTTTGCCGCGCCCCCCGCACACGGTCTCCCCGTCAAGGGGCCCGTGTGCGGGGGGCGTGCGCTATCTACTATCTACGGTAGTCTACGCTGCTACGTGGTGTGTTCTACCAGCATGGTCCCTCCTACCAGCATGACCTCCCCCTCCAGTCGTGACCCCTCCTACCAGCATGACCCCTCCTACCAGCATGACTCCTCCTACACGCCTCATTGCACGAGCAGCATGGCGGCGTGCACGGTCGGTGGCGAGCAAGACGGCGAGCAAGACGGGGGATGGGAGAGAGACGGTAGGCCCTTGCCAACCTCCCCTCGTCTTATATACCGCCCTCTACCGCGCACGGACCCTTTGCAAGCCGAGTACGAGTCCTCTGCAAGCCGAGTACGATCCCTAGCAAGCCGAGTACGAGTCTCTTGCAAGCCGAGTACGCGCCCCTTGCGACAGCGGCTAGTAGGTACCGGATTTACGTTGTCAGTAGCTTATGCACAATAACATTGAGCTGGACACGCTGGACAGTCGACGAGTTGGTCGGTCTGCACCTTGGACACTGCACCTGAGTTCAGAGTGCAAAGACCCAGTACTCAGATCCTTCCTCTCGCAGTTGACGGGAGGGAGCCGCCGATGAGCGCGGTGGTGGCGTCCGCAGTACTGCTCACGAAGCTTGCTCGCTTTCCGATTACAATCTACAAGTATCCTTTCCGATGACGAGGTCCAAGTACCCGACGGACATCTCCGCGGACTCGAAGGACTGACATGTCGAGCAACTCGGTTTCGATGAGAATTATAAGAGCTTTCATTGCAATCCATAGCTAGTAACAACACAGTACGAGGTGTCTACTGAGCTAGCGGTGTCTACTGAGCTAGGGGTATCTACCGAGCTACAAAGTAACTCGAGGGCGAGCAACGCAAGAACGCCCCCCCAGATCGGGCGACGAAGACCTATATACTCGGCGCTCGAGTGGTGGACACTCATCGCCCGAGCGGTGGACACTCGGCGCTCGAGTGGTGACTAGTCATCGCCCGAGCGGTGAGTACTCGGCGTCCAAGGGGTGATACTCATCACCCCGCGGACGGCGATCCACTGCCTCAACGCCAAAGGGGAAGCAGATTCTTGCGCGTGCGAGGTGGGCGCGTGCGAGGTGGGCGCGGGCGAAAGGGGTAGCCCATCGGTGAGAAGGGGTAGCACATCGAGAGCGTAGGGGGTGCACATCGAGAGCGTAGGGGAACCGTGAAGCGCTGAGGAATAGCCCATCCGAGACCAAGAAGCCCTGAAAAGCGCGTGAGTAAAGTAGAATAAAAAGCGCACCAAATATCCCTTACCCTCGCTCGCCGGACGGCGATACGTTGCCTCATCGCCTGGGGGTGGGGGGCGGTGCTCGTTAGGACTGGGAGGGGCGAAGGGGCGCATCAGATAGAGGGGGGGCGAAGGGAGCGGGGAGAGGGGAGAAGGTGGCAGGAAGAGGGAGAAGGAGCGTGAGGAGCATGAGGGGGGAGCGTTAAAGGGCTGACCAGGGTCGATGGGAAAGCTAGGGAGGAGGTAGAGGCGTCTGAGGAAGAGGGGTGCCAGCCGAAGGGAGGGCACGATGAGGGTTCGGGGATGCCCAGGAAAGGGGAAGGGGGTTGAGGAAGCAAATGAGTCTGAAGGGGGAGGGAGGGGGGACGTGCACAAGCGACGGGAGGGCGGGGAGAGAGATAGAGGGGGGAAGGGGAACGAGGTGGTAAAGGGGAAGAAGATCGAAGGGATAGGGATTGGGATTAAGAGAAGGAGAAGCGGAGGGGGGAAGGGGAAGGAAGGGCGTACCTCGGACCGTGCTTGATGTGAGGACGTTGCGAGCGGCTAGGGCGCCACCCCTCCCCCCCTCCCCGGCGGTCACATTGATCAGCGACAACTTGAGGCGCGGACCTCGGCACACTTGACGTCGATTTGCGGATTTTGATGGATTGAGAAGCGGCCGAAAATCCCTAAGAAAGCGTCAGAAATGGGTGCAGTACAGTGAATACAGCACGCACCTGGCGTGCTGGCCGCCGCCCCCGCCTCCTCGCGACGCCTGGCTCGTACAGAAAGCGCGGAATCCGGCGCAAATGACGTCGATGCGTGGGGTTTCTGAGCCTGAAGAAGGAATGTAAAATGTCTACAAAAGCGTCAGAATGGTGCACGAAAGCGAACAGCTCAGAGACGCACCTCGAACGTTGTTCCCGCTGGCGGCAGCGCAGAGCGCTGCCCCCCTCCCCCTCCTCCCCTGCCCGACAGCCGTGGCGCTCAGCGAGAGGTTCCCGCGCGGACCTCGGCACAGTTCGCGTCGATTTGCGGATTTTTCGGTGTGAAGAGGCGCTCGGCGACGTCTAGAAAATCATTAGAAAAGAGGTCAGAATTGGTTGAGATGAAGACGCACCTCTGCGCCTTGTCGGCGGCGCTCCGCGCCGCCCTTGTCCACTCCCTAACTGTCGCGGCCGTCAACGAGGAATTACCGCGCGGACCTCGGCACATTTCGCTTCAGAATGCGTTTTTTTGGCGGATGGAGGCGCACCAGAATATGCCTGAAAACGCGTCAGAAATGAGTGATAGACTCGACAGAAGCAACAACGCACCTCGGCCGCGATGCGCGCCCGTCGTCGAGCGAGCTTGCCCATCACTTCCACCCACACAGAGCCTGGTACCGTCGTCGGGCGAGGTGCTGGGCGAGATGTCGTGGGTGTTTGGTGGACCGCGTCGAGGGCTACGACGTTGCCGGCTCGCGCGAGCGCAACATCTGCAACAGCGTGATCAGCACTCGGACGCGACATGAGCACAGACAACGACGCACCAACACCCCCGCCACGTCAGCGCCGCGCGGTCGAAGGCGATGGCGAGGAAAGATGGATGCGAAGGGAGGCGGGAGGCAAGTCGAGGGGCGGGGAGCGAGGGGGAAAGGTAGAGATGAAGCTCGAACGCACCGGTATATGTGGGCGGCGTCAGGGCGCCCTTCGCGACCGAGTAGGTGCAAAATTTTCATTCCCGCGCCACAGTCGGCAGAGCCCGCGCGCGTTCATTTCCTTGAACTTCTCGTAAGTCAAGTCAATCTGATGGAAGATTCGAGTCTCCGCGTATGTGTATGCCACTCACCGCACATGCAACGTGTTCCCTCGCGCGAGCCAGTTGACGGGGCTCGGTTTGCTCGTCGCCGCCTGCGACGTCGAGGGACCTGGATTGCACGAGGGAGTCGCGCGCTGTCTAGAGATGATCAGAGCGAGGGAGCGGAGGCAGATAACCTGGACTTACCTTCGAATGGTGGCTCAATGTCGCCTCGTATCGCGCCGAGCATATCCGCGGGACAGCCCGAGCGCCGACACATACCCTGGAATTCTGTTGCCATTGTACTCGAAAGATGCCGTCAGGTTATTTCGGCGCACCACCTGGCCCGCTCCCGCTGAGTCTAAATCAATCTGCACATGTATACGGAAGACGGCGGCGAGGAGGCAATCGTGCAGAACCGGCTACGTGAGATACACCTGGCTTTCACCTTACCAGATATCTGGCGCCCGGTCGAAAAAACACGCACGCCGCCCGAGTGACAGCATGAACAAATGCCTTCCGGTTTGGGCTCAATAGCCAGCCCCGCGTGCTGTCAAGGCACAGAGCTAGAGCTCCGTGCGAGCCGTAATGACGGAACCGGTGGCTTAATTCCCCACCTCCGTCGCCTGTGTCGCCGTTGAGATCAGAGGGCGCGCGAGTTCGAGATGAGCACAAAATGGCTTTGAATGCATTCCTTGAGGACCCGAGGGGTGTACAGAGAGTAGCCAGCTACGGATTCAGGACGTGGAAAGTAGAGGGGGGCCCTCACCGGTCGCTGATGACGGTCGCGGACAGGACGGACAGAGTTTGTGGCGCCGCCAATCAGGGACCGGACGGCGGCCCGTCGAGTCCGCGCGGCCGCGTTCTGCGTCCTGTCTTCGACTCTCACCCATCGCGTCCGTCCGCCGCCTCGGAATAAACACCGTACTTCTCGCACACACTACCAGCAGTTATCCTGAACGTTTGGCGCTGTGGGCCTTACTCTGCGAGCTAATATATGTCAAAAGCGTTGCCGGCGCGATCTCCCGCATCTCAGGCGGCCTCCGCCGCGATCCCACCACCAGCGATGGGTCGCAGTAGGCTCGGGGCACTCGCCCATGAGCCCTGAACCCATCGCCGGTTTTGCGATGGGCGAGATCTGCGATTTTGCTTATCGTTCTGGGAGGTCGAGGATGTTTGCATGCGCAGCTCGACCTCTTTCCCTCCATTCTGTGCACCCTCCCCCGAAAATACGAACCGACCGAAATAGATGTAGTTTCTCATTCTGAACAGGTTTTGTATATCCAACCCTGCCCTCCGCGCCCTCGCTCGAGTGCTATAGCTCGACGAAGGGCGTTTTGAATATGTGGCGTCGGTTTTCGTCCGCTCATAGCGTTGTCGCATGTGCTTCAAACCGGCGCCAAAGTACATGAACATAATCTCTTATACCTACGCATGTTGCGTAGGAAGTACGGTGAGCTCCCGATGTCTGTACGCCTTGGAAACCACTACGCTCATCCGCCCCCTTCCCAACCTCACCCCGATCCCAATCTTCCACCTAACGGCAAGAAATTCCAGGCAGCGATTCTGTCGGATGTACCGAGCACGCGGATGACGTTGCGCCGCCCGAAGAACGCACGCGTAGCTCGCAATCCCACACTTGCAAAACCAACCTCCTGAAAAGTACGCATCTTCCACCCATTCCTCGCTCGTTTCCGCGCTCATCCCGCAGTTCGGGTCGGATAGTCTCAGTCTACACGTAAGGCTGAAACGCGCCCTCGAAGGATGGAAGATAGCGCTGCCCTCGCGCTCGCCCAGAGCCTTTCCGTACTCATAGGCGAATTCTCCCCCTCCCCGGGTTCTCAGACGCACCATAATTCGCGCATGGTATGTCACAAACATATTGAAGACTCTTCGCATGTTTGCTGCTGCCAGCGCCAGAGCGCGGCGCTGCTCGTCGCGGGCGCGCCAACGCGCTGCCTTTCTGGCGCTCAATGCCTTCCCGAAAGGGAAGGGCACGCGTCTTCCCAAACCGCCACGTCGATTCCCGTGCCGCGGCCTTCCTTGCCCTTTCCTCCCCCGAATGGCGTCATCTGGAACCTCACCATTCCATTCAGAACACTTTCCTGCGGCTATTTGGCCGATATACGCGTTCAAAGGCATGGAAACGCGTCAAGCCGCCGCGGAGGTACACAGTAAGCATCCTCCTTCCACCCCCGATCCGCGCCTGGCATTCAACTTTCCTGACTCGCGCGCGACAGAACCTTCGTGCAGATCGCACATGCGCTCGCCCCGCTGAATATCCATCGCCATACAACGCCGTACACGCCAAATGCCCACCGCGGGCAATCTTCCGCAGTGTCGTAACCGAAGCTGGGCGCGCGCTTCGTAATCGGGGGCGCGTCGCCTCCGCGCATGCAACTGCTGCGGTTGGAAAGGTTAATCGACGCGGGGAGGGATACATAAGGCAGGAGGTGGGGCGGTGTTAGGGCAGAGCTCGGCGCTCTTCCCTTTCCCCCCATCTCCTCCCCTCCCTCCTATCGCTACCTCCCTGCTTCATCGCCTGTCCCCTTCTCTGGTTAGTGATGTTGCCTACGTGAGGTCACTGCTCGGTGAGTCGCCTCGGCCTGTTTGTTCGATTTTTGGCTCTATTGTTGACGCTGCTTTCAGAGGTTCAGTCCTACTCGTGTTGGAGGTACGTGCCTATTGATCTTGCCTTCCATTCGCTTACTAACTTTTCTCTTTAGGTGCCTCCGCTCGCATCGAGTAGGGCACGCTTCGTCAAGCGCGACGACGGTGAGCTCCTTCATTGTTTCCTATTCGTCCTGCCTTCACTAATGACGAATATAGGTATCTGGTACTATTTTCCGCGCCTTGACCGACGCCGCCGTCCTTCCCTCTCGTAAGTTTGTCGTCCTTTCCCTTTTCATCCCCTCCGATCTCGGCGCCTTGCTGACAATTTTGCCCAGATTGCACGTTCCCGCCGACGTGCTTTTCGAGGCGCTAGTGATCAGCAAGGCCAGCAGGACGCGGGGGAAGTAGGATGGGACTATGAGGTGCGTTGACTACGTCACATTCGCGCTTCATTTGCTGATTGTTCCCTGTAGTCAGCGTAGACGGCGACCTTCGATGTCGCTCGGAAGGACCACGAGGGCACTAGTAGTACGCGGGGGAAGTGGGTTTGGGTCTCTAATGTGCGTCTCTTGCCTTATCATTGCGATCTGCTTGCTGATGGACGTTGTAGACGGCGACCCGCAACCTCTTCAACACGACGCGCGGCTCTCCTACGGCGCGCAATTTATGCTTCACCATCGTTTCCAGCGTCCTCGACGACCCCCTCAACATCTCGCCCTCGAAGAAGCCCTCAACGCCGCCATCCTCGACGACGTCTACAACCCTACCACCTTCGACGACGCCTCCAGCGCGCCCTCAAGCTCACTTTTCACTTCCACCCTCCACCCTACGAGAGAGGCCCACGACGTCGGGTGCGTCCCTTCCAAGTCGCTGGCATGCATGCCCTCGTTGGCGTGAAGTATGTGTCCTTCGTTCGCGCATTGCTTCCTTGCTGACCAAATCCTGCCAGTGACCAAGCCGCACCTGCAGCCGCTGTCTTCCGATCTGTCGGGGACGTGTGCTTCGTGGGCTGGAAGGCATCTCCACCGGCGCTGGCGACGTGCTCGCTCAATGCCGGCGATACACCATGGCCTACGACACTGGCGAAGAACCTTCACCGACGCCGGAGAAGCGTCTTCAGTCTCAACGTCGCGCCCTCTTTCTCAACATCGACATGTCCTACGTCGTCAAGCGCGCTGACCCTACGGCTTCGACGTCGACGTCGATTGCTATGCCCTTGGCGCGCTCAGCGCCGCGAGGACAGCGCGTCGCCTTAAGGTGAAAATTCGTCCTTCAATCCAGCCGCTTGATGTCTCGCTCATTATCTTATCCAGATCGTATCATGGGGAGCTCTGTCGTTGGACGACGGCGAAGGCAACGAGCAAGGAGGAAGGTAGCGTGGGCGAGCACGAAGATGGTGGGCCGGGGCGAAGAGTGGGAGCTGTGGTGAAGGCGACGAGCTCAGAGGGGCCGAAGGCGAGAGCGGAGGTGAAGGCGGTCAGCGACGTTGATGCAGGTACGTCTTCGTATGTGAGTTTGCCGCCTTGACTGACCTGCGTTCATAGTGCTTGCTGTGCTCGCCCGCTGACTACGCGTACGCCGGGGCTTGCCAGGTGCAAGATCACGCGTCGCTAACCGTTGACTCGGCGTCTGGACAGCGGACGACAGTGGGATTGAGGTCGACATCGGATGTGAGAGTGAGTCCCTTTCCTTCGCATGAGGTTTTTACTGACTTCTTATAGACTGTATCTGCTCGGAGTGCTGCGCGATGCGATTGCATCCTTCTCCCTGGCATGGTCTCTCCACGCGCGAGGCCCGAGCGCCGCAAATAGAGCAGTCTGCGCGTTTGCGCCACCCTTGTAAGTCCTATCATTCGGAGTTTCCCCCCTTCGCGTCTGATCTCGCATCTTCAGATCGTTTACTTCACCCTGTAGTGTAGTATGTGACTGGTGATACGACTGCCTCTCGCCCTTGAAGACGCTCCGAATTGCCCGCGACGACGCGCAGGTCCGCTTCGAGTTGGGCGGGATCGCCTTTTGGGACACACAGGACCGCGGTCGACGACGCTCCAAATTGCCTGCGACGATGCCCAGGACTGCGGTCAACGACGCTCAGGACCGCCTTCGCCGACAATCGGAGTCCTCGCCTTCACCACTCGCCAACAACGAATCCCCCCTCACGTCACCTTTGGCATCGGATTCCTTTTCGCCTTCGACGACGCGTCTCTGCTCATTTTCGACGACGCGTCTGTGCTCATTCTTGAAGACGCGTCTCTGCTCATTTTCGACGACGCATTCGTGCTCGCCTTCGACGACGCATCCCACCTTCATCCTCAACAACGAATCCCCCCTCATCGCCTCCCTTCGGCCCTTAACAATGTTGTCAACAAGCACGTCGAACGAGATCTCGCAATCAACGGTGGTGGTGGTTCGTGCTCGAGGGCAACATAGATCAGGGCTCTACTTGACGGCGCGTCATTCGGGGAGAGCCAACGCGCTCTTCGTGCGTAGGAATAGACTTCTTCAAGGTCGACAAAAGCGCACTGTACATGCTCGAAGAGCGCGAGCGAGGGAAGCGCTCGATGAGAAGACGAGCGGGTATGTCTGGGAGAGTCCGAGGAGGAGATGGGGGGGGGGGGGAGTGCTCGATGAGGAGCTACTCGACAAGTTGAAGGGCGGGCGAGGGGATTAGTTGACAAGTCGACGTGCTCAACGTACAGTGTTTCTCGACTACGTGTAAGCTCACCACTGTGAGAAGTGAATTGACAACGTGTACGAGTGAGGCCTGAGTTGCGGACGGTTCAGCCATGGTCATGAGTCGACGAGCGAGGCGTGCACCGATATGCGCGAGCGGCGAGTCTGTGCGACGTGTCCTTGCGCATCGCGACGCGCTTTTCGGCAATGTAGGCAAGTCGAAGGGGACGCACGAGATGGGCAGGACGTAGTTTTCATTGCATACTGGCTATCTACAAAGAGTAGAGTACCTAGAACGACTAGAAGTACGTACAGCGAGGACGGGGAGTACATGGATGACCTCCTCTCTCTTCCCTCGTTGTTTCCCCCTCCCCCCTCCCCTATCCCTTGTTGTGCCCGTTCCCATTGTCCCCCTTCCTCCCCCTCCCGTCGCACTTCCCTGACGCTCACGTCTCGCCATCGCCTTCGGGTCGCAGTCCTCGTCTTGGTATCGCGCGAGGTGTACGGGTTGAATCAAAGCGAAGGGGGGAGGAAGGGGGCGCGGAGACGAGAAAAGAAGCAAAGGCGACTCACCACTTAGATCCAGCCCCCTGCACACCCTCGGCCGCGCGGAGAGGAAGTCCTTTACGACGCGCGACGAGGAATGCCTCTACGACGCACGACGAGGAACACTTCCACGACGCGCGACGAGGAACGCCTTTACGACGCGCAGGTACGACTTGCTCGACGAGAGACCGAGACGCGTGAGCACGCGACGAGCTTCCCACCTCCCTTCGCACGTCCTCACTGCGATCGTCGAGCCCGTAGGCGAGGAGCCTGTCGATGACCGTGTCGTTGAGCTTCTCGACGATCGCGCCGTTCGGTCGTGCACCCTCCGCGGCGGCGTTCGGTCGTGCACCCTCCGCGGCGGCGTTCGGTCGTGCATCCCCCGCGGCGCCGTCCCGCCGTGCACCCTCCACGGCGATATTCTCCCTCAACCTCCGATACATGGCCGCGCGCACCCTCGCATCCACCTGCGCGACCTTTCTCGCAGACTTCTCGTCGCGCTCGTCGTCCCGAGAGCGCAGAAGAAGGTGGGGGACCGTGTTCTCCGTGATGGGGATGTAGGACACGATGGCGAGCCGCACGTCGATCGCAGGATCGCAGGTCATCGCCTCGATCAGAAGGACCTCGTCCTCGGCGTCGATCAACCGCCCCTCGTCCCCAGCATTCGAGCGGTCGCCCTCCGCCGCCACATGCCCACCAACCATCGTCGCTCCCATATGCCTGCACAACGACCTCGCCGCGCCCGCCCTCACCGCCCGATCCTTGTCCGTCAGCCGCTCGCGCACCTCCGCCCTCACCTTGTCGACCACGCGCGCGTCGATCGCGCCAAGGGTGCCGAACGTGCGGGATACAGTGTCGATGGCGCGGCGGCGGATGGTTAGGGTGGGCGCGGCGAGAGCGTGCCGGAGGGCTTTGAGGACGCGGCCGGTGAACCAGGGGGCGGGGTCGTGGGTGGGGGGCGGAGGTGGGCCGGAGGAGGGACCGGGGGTTGACGAGGAGGAGGGACCGGGCTCGCCGCGATCCTGGGGGTAGAACTGGAGGTGATCATGGCCGTCCTGGCCCACTGGGTGCGATGTTAGATGCGGAACGCTTGCGCTAGGTACACCACGCACCAGAATCGTTCAGATACTCGATATACGCCGCGACGAAGCGCAGGCCAAGGTCGGCCGGACGCGCTGCCTTCATGTGCAGGCACTGGCCGAGGAAGTACAGAAAGCACTCCATGAACTCGTACCCGCCCTGCTTCCCGCCGCACTCCATCTGGACCCCGCGGTAGACGACGGCGCAGTGGAGGGCGAAGAGGGCGGCGGAGTTGCGCGTGTGGGAGCGCTCGTTGGTGAGGGCGTCGGTGAAGATGGACTTCATGGAGTCGTAGATGTCGGGCATGCCGTCTGAGGGGCGGGGCGCGGGCATGGTCGCGTTCGAAGGGAGAAGAAAGAGGGAAGTGTCAGGGCTAGATGAGCGCGTCTGGAAACGCGGTCACGTGTACGCGCGCGGTTTGCCCATCACGTCTCGGCCTTGTGCTTCCGCTGGTCTGACTCTGACTCTGGCTAGGGTTGGATGGTTGTGCGGTCGGGCAGCAAGAATCGATAGGTGTTTAGCGCCCACCCCTCCTTTGCCGCGCCCCCCGCACACGGTCTCCCCGTCAAGGGGCCCGTGTGCGGGGGGCGTGCGCTATCTACTATCTACGGTAGTCTACGCTACGTGGTGTGTTCTACCAGCATGGTCCCTCCTACCAGCATGACCTCCCCCTCCAGTCGTGACCCCTCCTACCAGCATGACCCCTCCTACACGCCTCATTGCACGAGCAGCATGGTGGCGTGCACGGTCGGTGGCGAGCAAGACGGCGAGCGAGACGGGGGATGGGAGAGAGACGGTAAAGGTCTGCCCACCTCCCCCCGTCTTATATACCACCCTCTACCGCGCACGGACCCTTTGCAAGCCGAGTACGATCCCCTGCAAGCCGAGTACGCTCCCTAGCAAGCCGAGTACGCGCCCCTTGCGACAGCCGCTAGTAGGTAGCGGATGTACGTTGTCAGTAGCTTATGCACAATAACATTGACCTGGGCACACTGAACACTCCACGAGTTGGTCGGTGGACACTGCGCCTGCGAAAGCGCAAACACCATGTTCTCAGATCCTCCCTCTCGCAGTCGATGGGAGGCAGTCGCCGATGAGCGCGCTGGTGGCGTCCGCAGTACTGCTCACAAAGCTATCCGCGCGGTAGTGCTCACGAAGCTGTCCGCACTGGTACCGCCCCACGAAGCTCGCTCGCTTTCCGATTACAATGCCAAGGTACCCGACGGACATCTCCGCGGACTCGAGGGACTGATATGTTGAGCAACTCGGTTTCGATGAGAATTGTAAGAGCTTTCATTGCAATTCATAGCTAGTAACGAGACAGTACAAGGCGTCTACTGAGCTAGCGGTGTCTACTGAGTGCGATATATCTACTGAGCTACAAAGAAAAGCGGTACCCTAACTCGAGGGCGAGCAACGCAAGAACGAGCCACCAGATCGGGCGACAAAGACCTATATACTCGGCGCTCGAGTGGTGGACACTCATCGCCCGAGCTGTGAGTACTCAGCGCTCGAGTGGTGGACACTCAGCGCCCGAGTGGTGGACACTCATCGCCCGAGCGGTGAGTACTCGGCGCCCGAGTGGTGAGTACTCAGCGCCCAAGGGGTGAGTACTCGGCGTCCAAGGGGTGATACTCATCACCCCGCGGACGGCGATCCACTGCCTCAACGCCAAAGGGGAAGCAGATTCTTGCGCGTGCGAGGTGGGCGCGGGCGAAAGGGGTAGCCCATCGGTGAGAAGGGGTAGCCCATCAGTGAGAAGGGGTAGCCCATCGGTGAGAAGGGGTAGCGCATTGAGAGCGTAGGGGGTGCACCTTGAGAGCGTAGGGGAACCGTGAAGCGCTGAGGAATAGCCCATCCGAGACGAAGAAGCCCTGAAAAGCGCGTGAGTAAAACCTGAAAAGCGCGTGAGTCAAGTAGAATAAAAAGCGCACCAGATATTCCTTACCCTCGCTCGCCGGACGGCGATACGTTGCCTCATCGCTTGGGGAGTGGGGGCGATGCTCGTTAGGAGCAGGGGGAGCGATGCTTTTGATGAGTGAGGGGGCGAAGGGGCGCATCAGATAGAGGGGAGAGCGAAGGCGGAGGGGCGAGAAAGGGGAGGGGGGAGAAGGGAGGAGGGAGGAGGGGGAGGGAGAAGGAGGGAGGAAGAGGGAAAGGAGCGTGAGGGGGAGCGTTAAAGGGCTGTCCAGGGCTGATGGGAAAGCTAGGGAGGAGGTAGAGGCTAGGGAGGAGGTAGAAGCTAGGGAGGAGGTAGAGGCGTCTGAGGAAGACGGGTGCCAGCCGAAGGGAGGGCACGATGAGGGTGTGGAAATTCCGAGGAAAGGGGGAGGGGGTTGAGGAAGCAAATCGGTCTGAAGGGGGGAGGAAAGGGGGACGCGCACAAACGACGGGGGGATGTGCACAAGCGACGGGAGGGCGGGGAGAGAGATAGAGGAGGGAAGGGGAACGAGGTGGTGAAGGGGAAGAAGATCGAAGGGGTAGAGATTGGGATTAAGAGAAGGAGAAGCGAGGGGTGGAAGGGGAAGGAAGGGGGTACCTCGGACCGTGCTTGATGTGAGGATGTTGTGAGCGGCTAGGGCGGCGCTGCGCGCCACCCCCTCCCCCACCCCAAAGGTCGCGTCGATCAACGAGAACTTGAGGCGCGGACCTCGGCGCATTTGACGTCGATTTGCGGATTTTGGGGGATTGAGAAGCGGCCGAAAATCCTTAGAAAAGCGTCAGAAATGGGGGAAACAAGATGAGTACAACTCGCACCTGCTGTGCTGACCACCGCCCCCTCCTCCTCGTCACCGACCGCGACGCCTGGCTCGTACAGAAATCACGGGGACCGGCGCAAATGACGTCGACGCGTGGGGTGTCTGAGCTTGAGGAAGGGGGGTAAAATGTCTACAAACGCGTCAGAAAGGTGCACAAAAGCGAACAACTCAGAGACGCACCTCGAACGTTGTTCCTGCCGCCGGCAGCGCAGAGCGCTGCCCCCCTCCCCCTCCATCCGTCCCCGACAGCCGTGGCGTTCAGCGAGGGGTTCCCGCGCGGACCTCGGCGCATTTCCCGTCGATTTGCGGATTTTTCGGTGTGAAGAAGCGCTCGGCGACGTCTGGAAAATCATTAGAAAAGAGGTCAGAATTGGTTGAGATGATGACGCACCTTTACGCCTTGTCGGCGTCGCTGGCGGCGCTCCGCGCCGCCCTTGTCCCCTCCCTAACTGTCGCGGCCGTCAACGAGGAATTCCCGCGCGGACCTCGGCACATTTCGCTTCAGAATGCGTTTTTTTGGCGGATGGAGGCGCACCAGAAAATTCTTGAAAACACGTCAGAAATGGGTGCTAGAATCGACAGAATCGACAACACACCTCGACCGTCGTTGTCGAGCGAGGCCTATCACTTCCACCCACACAGAGCCTGGTACCGTCGTCGGGCGAGGTGCTGGGGGAGATGTCGTGGGTGTTTGGTGGACCGCGCCGAGGGCTACGACGTTGCCGGCTCGCGCAAGCGCAACATCTCCAACAGCGTGGTCTGGACGCGAAGGGAGGCGGGAGGCAAGTTGGGGGGCGGGGGGTGAGGGGGAAAGGTAGGATTGAAACGCGAACGCACCGGTATATGTGGGCGGCGTCAAGGCGCCCTTCGCGACCGAGTAGGGGCAAAATTTTCATTCCCGCGCCACCTTCGGAAGAGCCCGCGCGCGTTCATTCCTGAGCTTCTCGTAAGTTGAGGCAATTCTGATGGAAGATTCGTGTCTCTGCGGATGTGTATGCCACTCGCCGCACATGCAACGTGTCTCCCCTCGCGTGAGCCAGTTGGCGGGGCAGAATGTGCTCGGCGCCGCCTGCGACGTTGAAGGACCTGAATTGCACGAGGGAGTCGCGTGCTGTATTATATAGAGATAGTTAGTGAGGGGGATGAGAGGCAGATACCCTAGTAGACTGACGTTCGGATGGTGGCTCAATATCGCCTCGGGTCGCCCCGAGCATGTCCGCGGGACAGCCCGAGCGCCGACACATACATACCCCGGGATTCCATTGTTGTTGTACTCGAAAGGTGCCAACAGGTTATTTCGGCACACCAAAACATACCTGTTCGATCAGTTCGCACATGTGCACCGAAGACGGCGGCGGAGAGACAATCGTGCAGAACCGACACCTGGCGCTCACCCTACCAGTTCTGGTACGGCTGCGGGAATGGTGGAAAAACACGCACGCCGCCCGAGCGACAACATGAGCAAATGCCTTCCGGATTGGGCTCAATAACCAGCCCCGCGTGCTTTCAAGGCACAGAGCTAGAGCTCCGTGCGAGTCGTAATGACGGAACCGGTGGCTTAATTCCCCACCTCCGTCGCCTGTGTCGCCGTTGAGACGAGGGGGCGCGCGAGTCCGAGATGAGCACAAAATGGCTTTTGGATGCATTCCTTGATGACCCGAGGGGTGTACAGATAGTAGCCATCTACGTATTCAGGACGTAGAGAGTAGAGGAGAGCCCTCGCCGGTCGCTGATGACGGTCGCGGACAAGACGGACAGAGTTTGTGGCGCCGCCAATCAGGGACCGGACGGCGGCCCGTCGAGTCCGCGCGGCCGCGCTCTGCGTCTTGGCTTCGACTCTCACCCATCGCGTCCCTCCGCCGCCTCGGAATAAACGCCGTACTTTTCAAACACACTACCAGCAGCGATCCTGAACGTTATGCGCTCTGGGCTCCCTCGGCGAGCTGATATACCTCGAACGCTCGGTCGGCGCAATCCCACCCATCTCAGACGGCCTCCCCCGCGATCCCAACTCCAGCGATGGGTCGCAGTAGGCTCGGGGCACTCGCCCATGAGCCCTGAACCCATCGCCGGTTTTGCGATGGGCGAGATCTGTGATTTTGCTTATCGTTCTGGGAGGTCGAGGATGTTTGCATGCGCAGCTCGACCTCCTTCCCTCCTTTCTGTGCACCTCTGCCCAAAAATACGAACCGACATAAATCGATGCCGTTTTCAATTCTGAACAGGTCCTGTATACCCAACCCCGCCCTCTGCGCCCTCGCTCGAGTCCTATAGCGCGACGAAGGACGTTTTCAATATGTGGCGTCGGTTTTCGTCTGCTCATAGCGTCGTCGCATGGGCTTTCTGCCGACGGCAGAGCACACGCCCATAGTCCCCTATACTACCTCAAGCCGCTCATGAAGTACGGTGAGCTCTCGATGTCTGCACACCATGTTATTCACTACGCTCATCCGCCCCCTTCCCAACCTCACCCCGATCCCAATCTTCCACCTGACGGCACGCAATTCCAGGCAGCGACTCCGTCGGATGCACCGAGCACGCGGATGACGTTGCTCCGCCAGAAGAACGCACGCGTAGCTCGCAACTCCACACTTGCAAAACCAACCTCCTGAAAAGTACGCATCTTCCACTCACTTCTCGCTCGTTTCCGCGCTCATTCCGCAGTTCGGGTTGGATAGGCTCAGTCTACACGTAAGGCTGAAACGCGCCCTCGAAGGATGGAAGATAGCGCTGCCCTCGCGCTCGCCCAGAGCCTTTCCGTGCTCATAGGCGAATTCTCCCCCTCCCCGGGCTCTCAGACGCACCATAATTCGCGCATGGTATGTCACAAACATATTGAATGCTTCCCGCTATTGTTTCCGTCGCCAGCGCGAGAGCGCGGCGCTGCTCGTCGCGCGCGCGTCAGCGCGCTGCCTTTCTGGCGCTGAATGCCTTCCCAAAAGGGAAGGGCACGCGTCTTCCCAAACCGCCACGTCGATTCCCGGGCCCCCGCCTTCCTTGCCCTTTAATCCCCCAAACTCGCTTCATCTGTAACCTCACCATTCCATTTAGAACACTTTCCTGCGGCTATTTGGCCGATATACGCGTCAACAGGCATGGAAACGCGTCCAGACGCCGCGGAGGTACACAGTAAGCGTCCTCCCTCCACCCCCGATCCGCGCCTGGCATTCAACTTTCCTGACTCGCGCGCGACAGAACCTTCGTGCAGATCGCACATGCGCTCGCCCCGCACGACATCCATCGCCATACAACGCCGTGCACGCCAAATCCCCACCGCGGGCAATCTTCCGCGGTTTCGTAAGTGTATCTGGGCGCGCGGTTCGTATTCGGGGGCGCGTCGCCTCCGCGCATGCAACTGCTGCGGTTGGAAAGGTTAATCGACGCGGGGAGGGATACATAAGGCAGGGGGTGGGGCGGTGTTAGGGTAGAGCTCGGCGCTCTTCCCTTTCCCCCCATCTCCCCCCGTCCCTCCTATCGCTACCTCCCTGCTTCTTCGCCTGTCCCCTTCTCTGGTTAGTGATGTTGCCTACGTGAGATCACTGCTCGGTGAGTCGCCTCGGCCTGTTTGTTCGATTTTTGGCTTTATTGTTGACGCTGCTTTCAGAGGTTCAGTTCTACTCGTGTTGGAGGTACGTGCCTATTGATCTTGCCTTCCATTCGCTTACTAACTTTTCTCTTTAGGTGCCTCCGTTCGCATCGAGTAGGGCACGCTTCGTCAAGCGCGACGACCGTGAGCTCCTTCATTGTCTCCTATTCGTCCTGCCTTCACTAACGACGATTATAGGTATCTAGTACTATTTTCCGCGCCTTGACCGACGCCGCCGTCCTTTCCCTTTTTATCCCCTCCGATCTCGGCGCTTTGCTGACGATTTTGTCTAGATTCCACGGCCCCGTCGACGTGCTTTTCGATGCGTTAGTGATCAGCAAGACCAGCGATGCGCGGGGGAAGTATGATAGGTCTATGAGGTGCGTTTACTACGTCGATTTTGCGATTCATCTGCTGATTGTTCCCTGTAGTCAGCGTAGACGGCGAGCTTCGATGTCGCTTGGAAGGACCGCGAGGTCACTAGCAGTACGTGGGGGAAGTGGTTTCCGGGGCCATAAGGCGCGTCTCTCGCCTTATCATTGCGATCTTCTTGCTGAGTGACGTTGTAGACGGCGACCCGCAACCCCTTCAACACGACGCGCGGCTTTTCTAGGGCGCGCAGCTCATGCTTGGACATCACCCCCACCGTCTTCGACGACCGCCTGAATGTCTCCCCCCTCAACGTCGTCGAGGATGGCGGCGTTGAGGGCTTCGTCTACATCACTACCCCCTTCGACGACGCCTCCAGCGCGCCCTCAAGCTCACCTTCCACTTCCACCCCTCCACCCCACTCGCATTCGTGCCCCTCACTCCGTGCTGTCTCGGGCGCGGGACAAAGGCCCCCGACGTTGGGTGCGTTCCCTTCCGAGTCGTTGGCATGCATGCCCTCATCGGCGTGAGGTACGCGTCTTGCGCGCGCGCATTGCTTCCTTTCTGACCGGCGTTCAACAGCGACCCAGCCGCACCTGCAGCCGCTGTCTTCCGATCTGTCGGGGACGTGTGCTTCGTGGGCTGGAAGGCATCTCCACCGGCGCTGTCGACGCGCTCGCTCGATACCGGCGATATATCCTGGTCTTCGACACTGGCGAAGGACCTTCACCGACGCCGGCGAAGCGTCTTCAGCCTCAACGACGCGCTCTCATTATCAACAGCGGCCTAGTCGTACGTGTCCTACGTCGTCAAACGCGCCGACCTTACGACATTGACGACGCACTCAGCGCTCTAGGATAGCCGCTCGGAGGAGAGCGCGCCGCCTCAAGGTAAAAATTCGTCCTTCAATCCAGCCGCTTGATGTCTCGCTCATTATCTTATCCAGATCGTATCGTGGGGAGCCCTGTCAATGGACAATGGCGAAGGCGGCGAGCGATGGAGAAGGGCGAGCGTGAAGGTGGTGAGCCGGGGCGAAGGCTGGGAGCGGTGGGGAAGACTATGGAGGGGCCGAAGACGACGAGCGGCAGGGGTTATGGCGGTTAGCGACGTTGAATGCAGGTACGTCTTCGTATGTGAGTTTGCCGCCTTGACTGACCTGTGCTTACAGTGCTTGCTGTGCTCGTACGCCGGGGGCTGCCAGGTTCAGGATCGCGCGTTCGCTACGCGTTGACGCGGAAACTGGACAGCAGACGACGGTGGGATAGAGGACGACGTCGGGTGTGAAAGTGAGTCCCTTTCCTTCGATTGAGGTTTTTAACTGATTTCCTATGCAGACTGTACTCTCCTGCTGTGCTGCACGATGCCATTGCGCTCTTCTCTCTGATGTGGTCCTACCACGCGCGACGCCCTCGCGCTCCCCTGCACGATGTGTCTGCGAGTTGGTGGTAGCCTTGTAAGTAAAACCATTTGTAGCTTTCCCCCTGCGTATCTAATCTCGCATCCTCAGGTCGTTTACTTCACGCCGTAGTGTAATCTGTTACTGCTTATACGACTGCCTAATGCCCTTGAAGACGCTCTGATTTGCTCGCGACGACGCTTCGGTCCGCTTCAAGTCGCGCGGGACCGCCTTCTGGGACGCTCGGGACCGCCGTCAATGACGCTCAGGACCGCCATCGACGACGCTTAGGACCGCCTTCGCCGACGCTCGCAGTCCTCGTCTTCACCACTCGCCAACAACGAATCCCCCCTCACGTTACCTTTGGCATCGGATTCCCCCTCGCCTTCTACGACGCGTCTCTGCTCATTTTCGACGACGCGTCTCTGCTCATTTTCGACGACGCGTTTCGGCTCATTCTTGAAGACGCATTCCTGCTCGCCTTCGACGATGAATCCCGCCTTCATCCTCAACAACGAATCCCCCCTCATCGCCTCCTTTCGGCCCTCGTCAATGTTGCCAACAAGCACGTCGAACGAGATCTCGCAAACAACGGCGGTGGTGGTTCGTGCCCGACGGCACGTCATGTAGGGCTTGAGAACGCGCTCTCCGTGCGTAGGAACAGCCTTCTTCAAGATCGACAAACGTGCTCAAAGAGCGCGAGCGAGGGAGGGGTAGCGGGGAAAGCGCTCGATGAGAAGACGGGCGGGTCTGTCTGGTAGAGTACGAGAAGAGTAGGGGGAGTGCTCGACGAGGAGCTACTCGACAAGTTGAAGGGTGGGCGAGGGGATTAGTTGACAAGTAGACGTGCTCAATGTAAGTACAGTGTTTCTCGACTACGTGTAAGCTCACCAACGTGAGAAGTGAGTCGACGACGTGTACGAGTGAGGCATGAGTTTCGGACGGGTAAGCCATGGCCATGAGCTGACGAGCGAGGCGTGCACCGATACGCGCGACCGGCGAGTCTGCGACGTGTCCTTGCGCATGCGACACGCTTTTCGGCAATGTAGGCAAGTCGGAGGGGACGCGCGAGATGGGCAGGACGTAGTTTTCATTGCATACTGTCTAGCTACAAAGAGTAGAGTATCTAGAATGACTAGAAGTACGTACAGCGAGGACGGGGAGTATATGCATCGCCTCCCCCCTCTTCCCTCGTTGTGTTTCCCTCCCCCGTCCCTTGTTACGCCCGTTCGCATCCCCCCTTTCCCCTCCCGCCGCACTTCTCTGATGCTCCCCGGCTCCCCATCACCTTGGGCTCGCAGTCCTCGCCCTGGTATCGCGCGAGGTGTACGGGTTGAATCAGAGCGAAGGGGGGAGGAGGGGGACGCGGAGACAGGAAAACAAGCAAAGGCGACTCACCACTTGAATCCAGCCCCTCGCGCAAGCTCGGACGCGCGGAGAGGAAGTCCATTACGACGCACGACGACGAACGCCTTTACGACGCGCGACGAGGAACACCTCTACGACGCGCAGGAACGACGTGCTCGACGAGAGGCCGAGACGCGTGAGCACGCGACGAGCTTCCCACCTCCCTTCGCACGACCTCGCTCCGGTCGTCGAGCCCGTAGGCGAGGAGCTTGTCGATCACGGTGCCGTTGAGCTTGTTCGTGATCCAGCCGTCCGGTCGTGCACCCTCCGCGGTGCCGCCCCGCCGTGCACCCTCCACGGCGCCGTCCCGCCCCGCACCCTCCACGGCGCAGTTCTGCCGTGCATCCCCTACAGCGATGTTCTCGCGCAGTCGACGATACACCGCCGCGCGCACCCTCGCATCCGCCTGCGTACCCTTCCTCGCAGACTTCTCGTCGCGCCCGTCGTCCCGAGAGCGCAGGAGAAGGTGGGGGACCGTGTTCTCCGTGATGGGGATGTAGGACACCACCGCGAGCCGCACGTCCACGGCCGGACCGCACGTCATGGACTCGATGAGAAGCGCTTCGTCCCCAGCAGCCAAGCGGTCGTCCCCAGCGGCCATGTTGTGCTTGCAGAGGAGGGCCGCGGCGCGCGCGCGGACGACCCTGTCTTTGTCCGCCAGCCTCTCGCGCACCTCCGCCCTGACCTTGTCGACCACCCTTGCGTCGATCGCGCCGAGGGTGCCGAACATGCGGGACAGGGTGTCGATGGCGCGGCGGCGGATCTGCTTGGTGGGCGCGGCGAGGGCGTGCCGGAGGGCTTTGAGGACGCGGCCGGTGAACCAGGGGGCGGGGTCGTGGGTGGGGGTTGGGGTGGTGGAGGAGGGACCAGGCTCGCCGCGATCCTGGGGGTAGAACTGGAGGTAATCGTGGCCGACCTGGCCCACTGGGTGCGATGTTAGATGCGGAACGCTTGCGCTAGGTACACCACGCACCGGAATCATTCAGATACTCGATATACGCCGCGACGAAGCGCAGGCCAAGATCGGCCGGACGCGCTGCCTTCATGTGCAGGCACTGGCCGAGGAAGTACAGAAAGCACTCCATGAACTCGTACCCGCCCTGCTTCCCGCCGCACTCCATCGGCGCCCCGCGACAGACGACGGCGCAGTGGAGGGCGAAGAGGGCGGCGGAGTTGCGCGTGTGGGAGCGCTCGTTGGTGAGGGCGTCGGTGAAGATGGACTTCATGGAGTCGTATATGTCGGGCATGCCGTCTGAGGGGCGGGGCGCGGGCATGGTCGCGTTCGAAGGGAGAAGAAAGAGGGAAGTGTCAGGGCTAGATGAGCGCGTCTGGAAACGCGATCACGTGTACGCGTGCGCGTCGGCTGACTCTGACTCTGACTCTGGCTAGGGTTGGATGGTGGTGCGGTCGGGCAGCAAGAATCGATAGGTGTTTAGCGCCCACCCCTCCTTTGCCGCGCCCCCCGCACACGGTCTCCCCGTCAAGGGGCCCGTGTGCGGGGGGCGTGCGCTATCTACTATATATGGTAGTCTACGCTACGTGGTGTGTTCTACCAGCATGGTCCCTCCTACCAGCATGACCCCTCCGACCGGCAGAACCTCCCCCTCCAATCGTGACTCCTCCGACCAGCATGACCCCTCGTCCAAGCCTCATTGCACGAGCAGCATGGCGGCGTGTGTGGTGGTCGGCGAGCGAGACGGGGGATGGGAGAGAGACGGTAGGCCCTTGCCCACCTCCCCCCGTCTTATATACCGCCCTCTACCGCGCACGGACCCTTTGCAAGCCGAGTACGAATCCCTAGCAAGCCGAGTACGATCCCCTGCAAGCCGAGTACGCACTCCTTGCGACAGCCGCTAGTAGGTAGCGGATGTACGTTGTCAGTAGCTTATGCACAATAACATTGTCCTGGGCACACTGGACAGTCGACGAGTTGGTCGGTCTGCACCCTGGACACTGCGCCTGAGAGCGTGCAAACACCGTGTTCTCAAATCCTTCATCTCGCAGTCGACGGGAGGGAGCCGCCGATGAGCGCGGTGGTGGCGTCCGCAGTACTGCTCACGAAGCTTTCCGCGCGGTAGTGCTCACGAAGCTGTCCGCACTGGTACCGCCCACAGCTCGCTTTCCGATTACAATGTACAAGTATCTTTTCCATTTACGATGTCAAGGTACCCGACAGCCATCTCCGCGGACTCGAGGGACTGACATGTCGAGCAACTCAGTTGCAATGAGGATTGTAAGAGCTTTCATTGCAATCTATAGCTAGTAACAAGACAGTACAAGGTGTCTACTGAGCTAGCGGTGTCTACTGAGCTGGGGGTATCTACCGAGCTAGGGGTATCTACCGAGCTACAAAGAAAAGCGGTACCCCAACTCGAAGGCGAGCAACGCAGGAACGAGCCACCAGATCGGGCGACGAAGACCTATATACTCGGCGCTCGAGTGGTGGACACTCAGCGCCCGAGCAGTGAGTACTCATCGCCCGAGTGGTGGACACTCAGCGCCCGAGTGGTGGACACTCAGCGCCCGAGTGGTGGACACTCAGCGCCCGAGCGGTGAGTACTCGGCGCCCGAACAGTGAGTACTCAGCGCCCAAGGGGTGATACTCATCACCCCGCGGACGGCGATCCACTGCCTCAACGCCAAAGGAGAAGCAGATTCTTGCGCGTGCGAGGTGGGCGCGGGCGAAAGGGGTAGTTCATCGTTGAGAAGGGGTAGCGCATCGAGAGCGTAGGGGGAGGGGGAGCACATCGAGAGCGTAAGGGGAACCGTGAAGCGCTGAGGAATAGCCCATCCGAGACGAAGAAAACCTGAAAAGCGCGTGAGTAAAGCCTAAAAGGCGCGTGAGTAAAGTAGAATAAAAAGCGCACCAAATATCCCTTACCCTCGCTAGCCGGACGGAGATACGTTGCCTCATCGCCTGGGGGGTGGGGGTGATGCTCGTTCGGAGTAGGGGGAGCGATGCTATTAAGGAGTGAGAGGGAGCGATGCTATCGAGGAGTGGGAGGGGCGAAGGGGCGCATCAGATAGAGGGGATGGCGAAGGCGGAGGGGCGAGGAAGGGGAGGAGGGAGGAGGGAGAAAGGGGAGGGGGGAGAAGGTGGGAGAAGGTGGGAGGAGGAGCGTGAGGGGGAGCGTTGATGGGAAAGCTAGGGAGGAGGTAGAGGCGTCTGAGGAAGAGGGGAGTCAAATGAAGGGAGCGCACGATGAGGGTGCGGGGATGCCGAGGAAAGGGGGAGGGGGTTGAGGAGGCAAATCGGTCTGAAAGGGGGAGGAAAGGGGGACGTGCACAAACGACGGGGGGATGTGCACAAGCGACGGAAGGGCGGGGGGAGAGATAGAGGGGGGAAGGGGAACGAGGTGGTAAAGGGGAATGAGGTGGCAAAGGGCAAGAAGATCGACGGGGAGCACATGGGGGGAGGGGTAGAGGTTAAGAGAAGGAGAAGCGAGGGGAAAGGGGAGTGGAAGGGGAAGGAAGGGCGTACCTCGGACCGTGCTTGGTGCGAGGACGTTGCGAGCGGCTAGGGCGCCACCCCTCCCCCCCTCCCCGACAGTCGCGTCGATCAGCGAGTGCTTGAGGCGCGAACCTCGGCGCATTTGACGTCAATTTGCGGATTTCGGAGGATTGAGAAGCGGCCGAAAGTAGCTAAAAAAGCGTCAGAAATGGGTGGAACGGAACGAATACAGAACGCACCTGGCGTGTTGGCCGCCGCCCCCTCCTCCTCGTCACCGACCGCGACGCCTGGCTCGTACAGAAAGCACGGGAACCGGCGCAAATGTCGTCGATGCGTGGGGTTTCCGGGCTTGAAGAAGGGGGGTAAAATGTCTACAAACGCGTCAGAAAGGTGCACAAAAGCGAACCACTCAGAGACGCACCTCAAACGTTGTTCCCGCCGGCGGCAGTGCGGAGCGCTGCCCCCCTCCCCCTCCCCCCTCCCCGACAGCCGTGGCGTTCAGCAGGGGTTCCCGCGCGGACCCCAGCACAGTTCGCGTCGATTTGCGGATTTTGCGGCGTGAAGAGGCGCTCGGCGACATCTGGAAAATCATCAGAAAAGAGGTCAAAGGTGATTGAATCGAAGACGCACCTCCGCGCCCTGTCGGCGTCGCCGGCGGCGCTCCGCGCAGCCCTTGTCCCCTCCCTCACTGTCGCGGCCGTCAACGAGGAATTCCCGCGTGGACCTCGGCGCAGGTCACCTCAAAATGCGTCTTTTTGGCGGCTGGAGGCGCGCCAAAAAATGCCTGAAAACGCGTCAAAAATGGGTACTAGACTCGACAAAATCGACGACGCACCTGAACAATAACCTCAGCCGCGATGCTTGCCCGTCGTCGGGCGAGGTGCTGAGCGAGATGTCGTGAGTGTTTGATCGACCGCGTCGAGGTCTACGACGACGCCTGCAACAGCGTGGTCAGCACTCGGACGCGACATGAGCGCAGATGACCACGCACCGGCACGCCAGCGCCGTGCGTCGAAGACGACGGCGAGGAAAGATAGACGCGGAGAGAGGCGGGAGGCAAGTAAAGGGGCGGGGAGCGAGGGGGAAAGGTAGAAATAAAACGCGAACGCACCGGTATATGTGGGCGGCGTCAAGGCGCCCTTCGCGACCGAGTAGAGGCAAAATTTTCATTCCCGCGCCACAATCGGCAGAGCCCACGCGCGTTCATTTCCTTGAATTTCTCGTAAGTCAAGACAATCTGATGGAAGATTCGGGTCTCCGCGTATGTGTATGCCACTCACCGCACATGCAACGTGTTCCATCGCGTGAGCCAGTTGGTGCGGCTTAAGCTGCTCGACGTTGAAGGACCTGGATTGCGCGAGGAGGCAGTCGTGCGCTGTCTAGAGATGGTTAGTGAGAGGGATGAGAGGCAAATTACCTGGACTCACCTTCGAATGGTGGCTCAATGTCGCCTCGTGTCGCGCCGAGCATGTCCACGGGGCAGCCCGAGCGCCGACACCTACCCTGGAATTTTATTGCCGTTGTACCGGAAAGGTGCCGGCAGGGTATTTGGCACACCAAAACATACCTGGCCTGCTGTGTCCGAAATCAATTCGCACACGTACACTGAAGATGGAGGCGAGGAGGACATCGTGCAGAACCGACACCCAGTGCTCACCCTACCAAATCTGGTACGGCTGCGGGAATGGTGGAAAAACGCGCGCGCCGCCGAGCGACAACATGAGCAAATGCCTTCCGGATTGGGCTCAATAGCCAGCCCCGCGTGCTGTCAAGGCACAGAGCTAGAGCTCCGTGCGAGCCGTAATGACGAAACCAGTAGCTTAATTGCCCACCTCCGTCGCCTGTGTCGCCGTTGAGATGAGAGGGCGCGCGAGTCCGAGATGAGCACAAGATGGCTTTGAATACATTCCTTGAGGGCCCGAGGGGTGTACAGAGAGTATCCAGCTACGAATCCAGGACGTAGAGAGTAGACGGACGTCCTCGCCGGTCGCTGATGACGGTCGCGGACAAGACGGAGAGAGTTTGTGGCGCCGCCAATCAGGGACCGGAGGGCGGCCCGTCGAGTCTGCGCGGCCGCGTTCTGCGTCTTGGCTTCGACTCTCACCCATCGTATCCCTCCGCCGCCTCGGAATAAACACCGTACTTCTCGCACACACTACCTGCAGTGATCCTGAGCGTTCGGCGCCGTGGGCCTTCCTCGGCGGGCTGTTATACGTCGAAAACAATGGCGGCGCGATCTCCCGCATCTCAGACGGCCTCCGCCGCGATCCCAGCGCCAGCGATGGGTCGCAGTAGGCTCGGGGCACTCGCCCATGAGCCCTGAACCCATCGCCGGTTTTGCGATGGGCGGGATCTGTGATTTTGCTTATCGTTCTGGGAGGTCCAGGATGTTTGCATGTGCAGTTCGACCTTCTTCCCTCCTTTCTGTGCACCTCCCCCCAACAATACGAACCGACAGAAATCGATGCAGTTTTCAATTCTGAATAGATTTTGTATACCCAACCCCACCCTCTGCGCCCTCGCTCGAGTGCTATAGCTCGACAAACGGCGTTTCGAATATGTGGCGTCGGTTTTCGTCCGCGTGTAGCGTCGTCGCATGTGCTTCGAACCGGCCCCAAAGTACATTCACATGATCTCCTATACCTACGCATGTTATCTAGGAAGTAAGGTGAGCTCTCGATGTCTGTACGCCTTGGGAACCACTATGCTCATCCGCCCCCTTCCCAACCTCACCCCGATCCCAATCTTCCGCCTAACGGCACGCAATTCCAGGCAGCGATTCCATCGGATGTACCGAGCACGCGGATGACGTTGCGCCGCCCGAAGAACGCACGCGTAGCTCGCAATCCCACACTTGCAAAACCAACCTCCTGAAAAGTACGCATCTTCCACCCATTCCTCGCTCGTTTCCGCGCTCATTCCGCAGTTCGGGTCGGATAGTCTCAGTCTATACGTAAGGCTGAAACGCGCCCTCGAAGGCTGGAAGATGGCGCTGCCCTCGCGCTCGCTTACAGCCTTTCCGCGCTCACAGGCGAATTCTCCCCCTCCCCGGGCTCTCAGACGCACCATGATTCGCGCATGGTATGTCACAAACATATTGAATACTTCCCGCCATTGTTCCCGTCGCCAGCGCGAGAGCGCGGCGCTGCTCGTCGCGCGCGCGCCAGCGCACTGCCTTTCTGGCGCTCAATGCCTTCCCAAAAGGGAAGGGCACGCGTCTTCCCAAACCGCCACGTCGATTCCCGGGCCCCCGCCTTCCTTGCCCTTTAATCCCCCAAACTCGCGTCATCTGGAACCTCACCATTCCATTCAGAAGACTTTCCTTCGGCTATTTGGCCGATATACGCGTTAAAAGGCATGGAAACGCGTCAAGACGCCGCGGAGGTACACAGTAAGCGTCGTCCTTCCACCCCCGATCCGCGCCTGGCATTCAACTTTCCTGACTCGCGCGCGACAGAACCTTCGCGCAAATCGCACATGCGCTCTCCCCGCAGAACATCCATCTCCATACAACGCCGTACACGCCAAATCCCCACCGCGGGCAATCTTCCGCGGTTTCGTAAGTGTATCTGGGCGCGCGGTTCGTATTCGGGGGCGCGTCGCCTCCGCGCTATCCACTGCTGCGGTTGGAAAGGTTAATCGACGTGGGGAGGGATACATAAGGCAAGGGGTGGGGCGGTGTTAGGGCAGAGCTCGGCGCTCTTCCCTTTCCCCCATCTCCTTCCCTCCTAACGCTACCTTCCTGCTAGTCGCCTGCCTTTGCTTAGTAGTGCTGTCTACCTGAGGTTACTACTCGGTGAGTCTTGTCGGCCTGTTTGTTCGACTTCTGATTGACGCTGCTTTCAGAGGTTCAATTCTATTCGTGCTGGAGGTACGTGCCTATTGACCTCGCCTTCCATTCGCGTACTAATATTCTCTTCAGGACCCTCCGCGTGCGTTGACTAGGACGTGCTTCGTCATGCGCGACGATGGTGAGCTCATTTATCCTCTCTTATTCGTTCTAGCTTCCCTGACGACCGCTATAGGTATCTAGTCATCTTTTCCGCGCCTTGACCGACGCCGCCGCCCTTCCCTTCGGTAAGTCCGTCTTCCTTTCCCTTTCTGATCTCTCATCTTGGCGCTTTGCTGACAATATTGTCTAGATTCCACGCCCTCGCCGACGTGTCTTTTGACGCGCTAGTGATCAGCAAGGCCAACGATACGCGGGGGAAGTAGGATGGGACTACGAGGTGCGTTTACTACGTCGGATTCGCGATTTATTTGCTGACTGATCCCTATAGACATCGTAGACGGCGAGCTTCGATGTCGCTCGGAAGGACCACGAGGGCACTAGCAGTACGCCCAGGAAGTGAACCTGGGTCTCTACTGTGCGTCTTCTGCCTTATCATTGCGATTCGCTTGCTGATTGACGTTGTAGATGGCGATGTGCAACCTCTTCAACACGACGCGCGGCTCTTCTACGGCGCGCAGTTCATGCTTCACCATCGTCCCCAGCGTCCTCGACGACCCCCTCAACATCTCGCCCTCGAAGAAGCCCTCAACGCCGCCACCCTCGACGACGTCTACCACACTACCGCCGTCGTCGACGCCTCCAGGGCGCCCTCAAGCTCACCTGCTACTTCAACCCCTCCACCCCACTCGCATTCGTGCCCCTCACTTCGCGCTGTCTCGGGCGCGGGAGAAAGGCCCCCGACGTTGGGTGCATCCGCTCCTGAGCCGTTGACATGCATGCCCTCGTTGGCGTGAGGTACGTGTCCTTCGTTCGCGCATTGCTTCCTTGCTGACTGACGTTCAACTGCGACCCAGCCGCACCTGCAGCCGCTGTCTTCCGATCTCTCGGGGACGTGTGCTTCGTCGACTGGAAGGCATCTCCAGCGCCGCTGTCGACGCGCTCGCTCGATGCCGGCGATATATCCTGGTCTTCGACACTGGCGAAGGACCCTCACCGACGCCGGCGAAGCGTCTTCAGCCCCAGCAACGTGGCCGCATCCTCAACATCGACATGTCCTACGTCGTCAAGCGCGCTGACCCTATGGTGTCGGTGTCGACGTTGGTTGCTATGCCCTTGGCGCGCTCAGCGCCGCGAGGACAGCGCGCCGCCTTAAGGTGAAAATTCGTCCTTCAATCCAGCCGCTTGACGTCTCGCTCATTATCTTATCCAGATCGTATCATGGGGAGCTCTGTCGTTGGACGACGGCGAAGGCAACGAGCAAGGAGGAAGGTAGCGTGGGCGAGCACGAAGATGGTGGGCCGGGGCAAAGAGTGGGAGCTGTGGTGAAGGCGACGAGCTCAGAGGGGCCGAAGGCGAGAGCGGAGGTGAAGGCGGTCAGCGACGTTGATGCAGGTACGTCTTTGTATCTGTATTTGCCGCCTTGACTGACCTGCGTTTACAGTGCTTGCTGTGCTCGCCCGCCGACTACGCGTACGCCGGGGCCTGCCAGGTGCAAGATCACGCGTCGCTAACCGTCGATGCGGCGCCTGGATAGCGGACGACGGTGGGATCGAGGTCGATGTCGGGTGAGTCCGTTTCCTTCGATTGAGGTGTTTACTGACTTGCTATACAGACTGTACCCTCGCGCCGTGTTGCGCGTTGCGATCTTGCCCTTCTCCCTGGTACAGTCTCGCCACGCGCGTGGCCCTCGCGCCACAAACTGAGGGGTCTGCGCATTTGCGCCAGCGATGTAAGTCCTATCGTTCATGGCCATCCCCCTTCGCGTCTAATCTCGCATCTTCAGGTCGTTTACTTCACGCCGTAGTGTAGTAGTAACTGCTTATACGACTGCCTAATGCCCTTGAAGACGCTCCGAATTCCCCGCGACGACGCTCAGGTCCGCTTCGAGTTGCGCGGGATCGCCTTTTGGGACGCTCAGGACCGCCGTCGACGACGCTCAAAACCGCCGTCGGCGATGCCCAGGACCGCCTTCGCCGACGCTCGCAGTCCCCGCCTTCACCACTCGCCAACAACGAATCCCCCCTCACGTCACCTTTGGCATCGGATTCCTCCTCGCCTTCGACGACGCGTTTCTGCTCATTTTCGACGACACGTCTCTGCTCATTCTTGACGACGCGTCTGTGCTCATTCTTGAAGACGCATTCCTGCTCGCCTTCGACGATGCATCCCGCCTTCATCCTCAACAACGAATCCCCCCTCATCGCCTCCTCTCGGCCCTTAACAATGGTGCCAACAAGCACGTCGAACGAGATCTCGCAATCAACGGCGGTGGTGGTTCGTGCCGGCGCGTCATTCGGGGAGTGGCAACGCGCTCTTCGTGCGCAGGAACAGACTTCAAGATCGACAAACGTGCTCAAAGAGCGCGAGCGAGGAAGGGGTGGCGGGGGAAGCGCTCGATGAGAAGACGAAGGGGGCTGTTAGAGGAGGGGTACGACTGGTAGAGTTTGGGGAGTAGAGAAGGGGGGGAGTCTACTCGACGAGTTGAAGGGCGGGCGAGGACATTAGTTGACGAGTGGACGTGCTCACTGTACAGTGGTTCTCGAGTAAGTGTAAGCCTTGAGTTGACAAAGTGTACGAGTAAGACATGAGTTGCGGACGGGTAAGCCATGGCCATGAGTCGACGAGCGAGGCGTGCGCCAATACGCGCGAGCGGCGAGTCTGCGACGTGCCCTTACGCTTTTCGGCGATGTAGGCAAGGCGGAGGGGACACGCGAGATGGGCAGGACATAGTTTTCATTGCATACTATCTAGCTACAAAGAGTAGAGTATCTAGAACGACTAGACGTACATACAGCGAGGACGGAGAGTATATGGATGACCTCCTCTCTCTTCCCTCGTCGATTCCCCCACCCCCTCCCTTGTTACGCCCGTTCCCATTCCCCCACCCCCCTTTTAACGCCCGTTCCCATCCCCCCTCCCCCTCCCGCCGCACTTCTCCGACGCTCACGTCTCGCCATCGCCTTCGGGTCGCAGTCCTCGTCCTGGTATCGCGCCAGGTGTACGGGTTGAATAAGAGCGAAGGGGGGAGGAAGGGGGCGCGCGAGACGGGAAAGGAAGCAAAGGCGACTCACCACTTAAATCCAGCCCCTCGCACAACCTCGGACGCGCGGAGAGGAACACCTCCACAACGCGCGACGAGGAACGCCTCTACGACGCGCAGGTACAACGTGCTCGACGAGAGGCCGAGACGCGTGAGCACGCGATAAGCTTCCCCACCTCCCGCCGCACGTCCTCGCTCCGGTCGTCGAGCCCGTAGGCAAGGAGCTTGTCGATCACGGTGCCGTTAAGCTTGTTCATGATCCAGCCGTTCGGTCGTGCATCACCTACAGCGAGGTTCTCGCGCAGTCGACGATACACCGCCGCGCGCACCCTCGCATCCGCCTGCACACCCTTCCTAGTAGACTTCTCGTCCTTGCCATCATCTCTGGACCGTAGCAGGAGATGAGGAATCGTGTTCTCTGTGATGGGGATGTAGGACACCACCACGAGCCGCACGTCGACCGCAGGATCGCAGGTCATCGCCTCGATCAGTAGCGCCTCGTCCTCGACGTTGATCAACCGCCCCTCGTCCCCAGCAGCCGACGGGTCGCCCTCCATCGCCACGCACTTGCACAACAACCTCGCCGCCCCCGCCCTCACCACCCGATCCTTGTCCGCCAACCTCCCGCGCACCTCTGCCCTCACCTTGTCGACTACGCGCGCGTCGATCGCGCCGAGGGTGCCGAACATGCGGGATACAGTGTCGATGGCACGACGCCGGATCTGCTTCGTGGGCGCGGCGAGGGCGTGCCGGAGGGCTTTGAGGACGCGGCCGGTGAACCAAGACGCAGGCTCGTGCATGGGGGGTGGTGGGGTGGTGGAGGGACCGGGGGTTGACGAGGAGGAGGGACCGGGGGTTGACGAGGAAGAGGGACCGGGCTCGCTGCGGTCCTGGGGGTAGAACTGGAGGTAATCGTGACCGACCTGGCCCACTGGGTGCGATGTTAGATGAGGAACGCTTGCGCTAGGTACACCACGCACCGGAATCATTCAGATACTCGATATACGCCGCGACGAAGCGCAGGCCCAGCTCAGCCGGACGCGCTGCCTTCATGTGCAGGCACTGGCCGAGGAAGTACAGGAAGCTCTCCATGAACTCGTACCCGCCCTGCTTCCCGCCGCAGTCCGTCTGGACCCCGCGGCACACGACGGCGCAGTGGAGGGCGAAGAGGGCGGCGGAGTTGCGCGTGCGGGAGCGCTCGCTGGTGAGGGCGTCGGTGAAGATGGACTTCATGGAGTCGAAGATGTCGGGCATCCCGTCCGAGTCGCGTCGAGCTGGCATTGTGGATTCAAGTGGAGAGAAAGAAGGACGGGACAAGAAAGGGGAAGGCTGAAGGGAAACGCGATCACGCGCGTGGACGCTCTCAGCCCGCAGGCGCAAGTGTCAATGTTCGCTGTCCTGTGGCAAGTATCGAGCGCCAGGGCTTGACTTCCGACGTCGGTTGAGGGGAGGAGCGCTTGTGTGTAGGCCGCGTATGCGACCGGCAATCGTGCAGTCGAGTATGAAAGTACGCGAGCTGAACTTATGATTTATATCGAGCCCCTGCGGTTTCCAACCAAGGCCTCTGGTTCGGAGAGCTCCCTGGATAGGCTTGGTTCAGCGTATACAGAGATGACTGGCGGAGTCAAGACGAATTTAACTCAATGCGGACTTGTGCAGAAGGAAACGCGATCACGTGTACGCATGCGCGATGCGACATCAGGGTCACGGTTTGCCCTTGACTGTTACCATCACGTCCTTCCCTCAGCCTTGTGCTCCTGCTCGTGCGCCGGAAGAGCGTCGGTGCTCTCGACGACGCTTACCCGGCGGTCAAAGATGTCGAGCGTCCCTCGCAAGATGGAGCGCTCATCCGACGGATCTACAAGGTATTCTCAAACCGCATATCTTCAGACGCCCGATTTCTCACAAACGCGTCCTTCCTTCAGAATCGTCTGCAAACTCCCAGGCTGCAAGAAGCCCTCATGGCCGAACGACCGGGAACTCGAGACCGCGAGGACCTACCATCATCAGCGGTACCACCAAGAGTCGGCGCGGATCGTCTATCAAGGTAAGAGTGTTTTTGCCCTCTGAATCCGTGCGTACCACGTGCATCACTCACTGAACAGGCCGGTCCGTCGAAATCCGCCGAGACCCTGCCACAGGCAAGTTCCCCTGCCCCTGTGGGGCACCCCAGCACGCGCGGCGGATGGCCATCAACATCCGTACGCTGTGCAAGGCGCGGGTGCACCCTCCCCCAGACACACTCGCGGCGGGCGAAGCGGGGACCGACGACGAGGGCTTCGGCAGCCGTCGGGGACTGTGGTCGCACAGCTCTGCCGCTGGAGGGCCGCGAAAACATGCCAGTGAATCTGATGCAGAGGCGGACGCGACGGCGAGACGAACGAGGTCTGCCGCGTCCTCGTCCGCCAGCAGCCGCCAGCCCGCACCCCTGCCCCGCAAGCGCCATCGCGGATCGCCCGACGTCATCGAGCTAGACTCCGACGACGACCAAGAGGGGACCGTGCTCGTTAAGCGCATGCCCGCGTCGCCCAAGCGCGTCAAGCGCGAGCCGGCCGCCTCCCCAGACGCAGAAGAGCAGCCCGACGCTGGGGAGCCTGAACACGACATCACGCCCGCCGCGGAAGACGCGGCACCCGAGCGCCAGGAGCGCGAGGTTGAACGCGCGGTACGTGATCTTTGCCTGCCTTGCTCACACTCCCCGCCAACCATCTCCCTAGCTGACCCTCGAGGAGAAGTTCGAGCGCAACAAGGCGCTGGAACAGAAGTTGCACGAGGCGAGTTTGCTTTTCCTTTCCTAATTTGCGTTTCCTTTTCTCGGCTGCTGCTTCTCTTCCGCGCTCGACGCCGCTCTGGGTCTGCTGTGTATCACTCAATATCTCTCTGCGGTTTCTCTCTATGTTACCTCGTCGCTGCGCTCCTGCGCTGACCACTCGCTAACGCTTCCCTCCCGTGGAAACCGACCGCTAACGCTCCCCTCAGCGACTCGACAAGCAGTACGCGACATACCAGGAGAAGCTGCGGGCGATGGAGGCGCTGATGTCCTGAGGACTCTCGGGTCCATGGGCGCGATTTACGAAAAACGTAGAATTTGAGAATCTTCATCTAGCGAAGACATCTTCATAAGTAAGACGCTAGTAGCATTATCACTCCGGTCATAATGATTTATAATCTGCTTACCACGGTATACACCACGCTGTTTGTTCGCAATCAGCCGTAGGTAGAATCCTGCGTTCTGCGTCCGCGTAGAATCCTGCATTCTGCGTTCGGGTCAGGGCAAATCCACCAAAGGTTGATGCGCCTTCAGGAAGTACACCCTACCGATACAAACAACTACCACTGCAAACAACTACCACTACAAACAACCACCGAAGCAAACGTCTTTCCGTGCTGTATCTACGGCGCCTCGTCAAGAGGAACCTGAGCTAGGTGCATACTGCCGACGTCCAAGGGAATACGAAGTAGCAATGAATACGAAGTGGCAATGAATCCGAAGCGGCAATAAGTCCTTCGCGATGCTGCCCTGCCTCATCGCGCAAGGCCGCAGAGCCGACTTCTGCGCGGCGTCAAGGAGCCAGCGTGTGCGCTGCCTGAAAGGAGCCAGCGTGCGCGCTGCCTGAAGGGAGACAACGCGCGCGGCGGAGCCAGAAAACGGTGGCGTGGTCACATTGTCCCGACCACTACATTGAGGGTGGCAGATTCTCCAGTAAGACGCAGTCCCTCGCCTGGGTCGATGCACCGAGCGCGCATCCTCTCGTCAAGCGCGCATCCTCTCTCGTCAAGCGCGCAGCCTCTCTCGTCAAGCGCGTATCCTCTCTGGTCAAGCGCGCACCCTCTCCGTCGCGCACATCCTCTACCCAAGTCAGACGTCGAGCCCCGGAAAAGCCTCCAAACACCGCCCACGAACATGCGCAGAAGCGAAGTCGACCTGCGCGCACCTGCGGGTCTCGCCGGGGTGCACAACGAGGAGCGCGTACGCGGCATCGTCGTCCACTCGCAAAAGCCTAGCCCGGTAAAAGATCTTCTGGAGCTTTGCAGCACCGTCGGGTTTGCGGGAAGCAGCACTGTTGAGTTCGCGGAAAGCAGTACCGTTGCGTTCGCGGAAAGCAATACCGGCGAGTGCGCCGACGACCTTCGCAGTGTTGCGTTCTGCTATAGCGCCGTCTAATCGCGCCGCTGGGCCGTCCTCCCAGCTCCCTCTTCGCATCGCCGCCTGAAAAGCCAGCGGCGTATCGGGTCCATATTTATCGAAATATTCGCGGATTATCTCCGAGGATTTCCTGGCGTCGGGCGCCGCCATATGTTCGCCAGCGCCGCATTGCACAGAAAACCTGAGGAAGATCAGTCTCGGGACTCCGTGCGACACGAGGGTAAACGATGCGCACGCCAGCTGCGCCTCCTCAACGCTCATAGGGCGCATAACATAGTAATTTGTGATCATTGTAGTTTTCGTCTGCCAGGCGGTCCGCCGCGCCTCCGGAGATGCTGCTTGAACGATGAACAGGACGAGATCGATTATATGTTGCGGAACACTTTCAAGAGCTTCGTTCGAATCCACAAGACACCACGTCGCATTAGGGAGTGCGTAGCGCAGCTCGGCTCTTTCTACGTCCGAGCGGCGTAATTTGAAGACACCGCACGAGTTGAAGACGTGCAGGAAGGCAGGATCCACCTGGAGAACCACGGTCCAGTGACGCTCCAGACAGCGGAGAAGGGCGAGAGCGAGGAACAGCGTCTTGCCTATACGGACGGGTCAGACTAGGTCACAAAGAACATCTTCAACGCATACCTATTCCCGAGCATCCCGTCACGGTGTACGCCCTTCTGTATGGCGCGACCGCCGCGGGGATCGGATGTCCTGCTACATTCGCCACACCCATTATATGGTGTAAAAGAGCGGGGCAAAATCAAGAATACCCACCATGACGCGTCGCAACCTCCGCAGGATCGAAGATCTTCCGACCGGCGACGAATGAGCTCTCCAAGTCCCTCCATGCAGCTTCGTATTCTCTGCGAATGAGTACAGCCTTCACCGAGTCGAAGACGTCCACCGGACAAGGGGAGAAGGCTTGATAGGTCTCTAAAGTGTCCGCTAAGTTGTTTTGTATCTCCCCGTCGTTAGCGGGGAACTTCCCCCGGATCCCCGCGTCGCCGTACAGCTCCCCTGAACGCTGTGGATCGCGTGCTATCTCCCAGTACCTCTGTAGGGCATCACTGGCGGGCACCGCTACGCGTGCAAGCCTGGAGGAATGCCACGCGCGAGCGTCCGCGGCGTCGAGAGCGTCAAGGTCGTAGAGTATCGACGTGGTCGACGTAGAGGCAGTCGCAGGGCTCATAATCGCCTTGCAGTGATGATGGTTGAAAGTAAGGGGCGAAGGTGCGTCGGTCCCGAGAATCATGTGAGCTCACCTGATCGAGACAAGTCCGAGTAGCTCGATCACCTCCTGCGCCCGCGGATGTGGCGACAAAGAAGCGGACTCGCAGTCGCCTCTTACCAGCTCCCGCCCAGGGTCGTGCCCGCCCAGAAAACCTTGAGCACCACGCACGCACGACGGTACGAATCTGCTCTTCTCGTCGCGATGATTTCAAGACTTGAACCGCGCGCGCTCGTCGCAGACCATCGCCAAGTCACGCCGCGTCTACCTTATCTCGGACGCGAGCGACGACGCAGAGCCAAGGCTTGAAGCCCAAGTCCAGCGCCTTCACTTCGACTTCCTATCGTGTCAATTTTCATTGTTCTTCACCTTACATGCTTTACACCGACTTCAAGTTCTAGAAATGCATCTCTATTCCTTATTCTGATATTGCAGTGTAGGACAGTACTATAGTAAAGCATGATACGAAGTAAACTACGTGAGAGGTCGTAAACGAGAGCCTCGCAGAGATCGAATAACTAGCATGAGAAATTGCTTCCGCTCATCGCCAAGAACGCGCCAGTGCTGCCGAGAACACCCACCCCCGCCGTCGCCCAAGTCATGTAGCCAAGTGAGATAGATGTCACGCATGGAATTAGGGGGTATCGTATGCGTTGGTGAAAGGCTGGGTTGGGGCGGAACGAGTGACATCTACCCGGTGGACGGGGGTGGGATATAATTACAGCTCTAGTATTACGATGGATGAGACAGTTGGCGTAGGATGATGAGGATAGGAAAGGGAAGCAAAGGGTAATCGCACATGCAAAGATACTTCTCTACTCTTCTCTCTGTACGTCCAGTCGTCGTCTATGCGTTGGCCGTGCGGCTCGGGTTGCGAGCGAGGGTCTGACCGGCGCGCTGGGCCTGGATCGACGAGAAGCGCTGGAGCTCCTCGGGCTTCATGGACACCTTGCCGCCGAAGCCGACCTTGCGAGCGGCGCGCTTGATGAACGAGACACGGTTGGAGTACAGCGACTCGTGAATCGAAGCGGCGCGCGACTGGGTGCGGGTCATCGGGACACCGGAGGCCTCGGCCGCCGCGACCTGGCGGGCGTGGCGGGCACGGAGGGCCTTGATGACGGTGGCCTTCATGGCGAACTTGATGAGGTCCATGGGCGCGAACCAGACGATGTTCTGAAGAGTAGTCAGTAGGTGAACATGAGAGGCGAAGGAGGCGACGTACCCAGACCCAGACGATACCAATCCAACCACCAGAAATACCGTGGATGTCGGTGAAGCCCCAGTCACCGTAGGCGGCGATGATGGAAGAGATGAGCTGCGCGATGCAGAAGGCGCCCATGAGAGCGAACGACGGGCGCTCCATGAAGAACCAGCCGTGCGAACGCGTGATGAAGATGAGGGCCTGCGAGATGATGGCGACCTGGAGGTAGACAATCATGTGGAGCTCGCGGTCGTTGTGGTCGACGGGGTAGCCGCTCTCGAGGGAAACACCGAACTTGTCCTGGAAGAAGGTGGTCTCGATGATGGTGCACACGAGGGCGACACTGAGATATGATTAGTGAAAGTTCAACATGAGGCGAAGGCGGTGACATACGTGGAGGCAGTCAGGTAGAGACCGTACGCGATGGCGTAGGCGAAGATCTCGGCGAGGTCCCAGCTGTCCGGCGTCATCGACGGCAAGACACGGTCGACGGAGAGTGTCATGATGGTACCGTCGTTCAAGAGGGCAATGATCAGAACCATGAACGGCGGGAAGTCGAACTTGTACGCGAAGGCGAGGATGGCGAAGCAGACGACGATACGGATCGTGACGGCGCAGGCGTAGATCGAGTAGTTGCGCATACGCTGGAAGATGATACGCGACCCGCGGATGGCATGGACGATGGTGGAAAGACCCGGCTCAGTGAGGACGATATCGGCGGCGCCACGGGCAGCGTCGGTGGCACCCTCGACGGCGATACCGACGTTGGCGCGAGACAGAGCAGGAGCGTCGTTGGCACCGTCACCAGTCATGGCGCAAAGGTGACCAAGACCCTGGAGGCGCTTGACGATCTCGTACTTGTGCTCGGGGAAGACACCGGCGAAGCCGTCGGCGTCCATGATCATCTCGTCGAGGGTGAGGTGCTTGCCGCCGGGCGCGGGGCCGTCCTTGAGAACCTTCGCCGGGTACATGTGGTCACCGAGGCCGAGACGGCGACCGGTCTCCTTCGCGATAGCGAGCTGGTCACCGGTAACCATCTTGACCTTGACGCCGAGAGCGAGCGCATCGTCGATGGTCTGCTTGGTGTCGTCACGGGGCGGGTCGAAGATCGAGAGTAGGCCGATGAGCTCGAAGCCGTTGCCCTCAGCCTCGTGGTCATCACCCTCGAGCTCCTCGTACGCGACAGCGAGCGCGCGAAGACCACGAGCGGCGAACTCCTCGACGTCGGCCTCGAGACGGTTCTCGAGCTCCTCGGTCTTGTTGCGGGTGCAGAGCTCGATGATGATACCAGTCATACCCTTCGTGACGCGCTTGAGCTTGCCGGTCGCCTCCTCGCGGTAGGTGATCTCGGTGCGCTTGTCGACGGGGTTGAAAGGCTTGAAGTCGAGGAGCTTGATACCGGCGCGGGCGCGGCCAACGTCACCAAGGGCCTGAGTGGTGGCCATGTCGATAGCGTCCTGGTTCTCGGTACGGGAGGCGTACGCGGCGAGGAGGATGACATCGTCGGGGGAGAAGGGGCCGTAGGTCTTGATCGTGGAGCGGTCGATGGTGAGCTTGTTGGTGGTAAGCGTACCAGTCTTGTCAGAGCACAAGATGGTGACACCGGCCAACTCCTCGATAGCAGTGATACGGGTAACGATGGCCTTGTGCTTCGCGAGCTGCTGGGCACCGACGGCGAGGGTGACGGACAAGACCGTGGGCATGGCGATGGGGATACCACCGATCAAGAGCACCAGGATGTTGTCGAGGCCGTGACGGTACGAGTAGCGGAAGCCGGCGTAGAGGACGAGGATCTCCGCGACGACAAAGATGCCGATGCAGACCAAGCAGAAAGACCCGATCTGGGCGAGGATCTTCTGCAAGTGGCCGGTGGTGTCGTCGTCCTGACCGACGAGCGACGCCGCGCGACCGAAGAACGTGTTGGGGCCAGTCGAGATGACGACACCCTCAGCCTCACCCTGCTTGCAAGTCGAGCCACTAGAGAAGAGGTCAGATCGTGCGAATGCGAACGGAGGCAGGTAAACTCACGAGAAGCACTGATCACCAGCCTTCTTGGACTGCGGGAGCGACTCGCCAGTGAGAGCAGCCTGGTCGATCGAGACGTTGATGGCCTCCGTAAGACGGCAGTCGGCCGGAACGATGTCACCGATCTTGAATGCGACCATGTCACCGGGAACGAGCTCAGAGGACTCAATCTCCTTCCAGGAGCCGTCGCGACGAACGCGGGCCTTGGGGGCGAGGGAGTCCATAAGAGCCTTGACAGCGTTACCGGCGTTGCGCTCCTCGTAGAAACCAATGGCGGAGTTGACGAAGAGCAGGAAGACGATACCGACGAAGTCGGGCCAGTCGGGGGCACGGTGCTCGCCGTTCGAGAGCGCGATGGCGACGAGTGCGGCGGCCTCCATAACCCAAGAGAGCGGGTTCCACATGAAGGACAGGAACTACGCCATTGTGAGTATTAACCGCGGGGGAAGGGCGGGTGTACACACCTGCAAGAAAGCGTTCTGCTCCTCAGCCTCAAGCTTGTTCGGACCGAAAAGTTCCAAGCGGCGCTTAGCCTCAGCCTCGTCGAGGCCGTTCTCCGAGCACTGGAGCAGCTTGAAGACATCTTCGATGACGATAGTCTCGAGGTCCACTTTCTCCTTGTCGTACAGGTCCTCTGCCTTGAGCTCGATGGTGCTCATGTCCACCTTAGCGTCTGGTGTGAAAAAATGCGTGTGAGTGACATCACTGCGGGCGGCGGCGGGGGGACGTACGGGTAGCTTTCTCCTCCTCATGGCCAAAATCCTTGTACTCGCGCTTCTTCTTCTCCACGGGCGGTTCAGAGGGAGTAGTCTGGGCGGGAGGGACGTCGCCCTGGGGTCCAGGTTCTTTTTCGACGTTGGAGGCCATTGGTATGAGCGGCGGATGCCGAGAGGTGCGGGAGGGTAGGCGGGGTGGGCGAGCCCGGAGCGCTAGACGGGACTGTAGCTCTAAGGGACGATGAGGGAGGGAGAAGGATGGCTTGCCCAATCTGGGGCCTCTTTTTATTCGCCCGGGATGTGGTGCTATTTACCCATCAATCCGACAACACCCGTCAACAACACCCCGGTGACATGCCGATCGTGCCGTCTGATTCCGATGGCGACCACAACAAATCGATATGTTATTTCCGCCCCAATTTACTGCAACAAGTCTCCACGGGTCGCAGGGTGGGGGTGTGTCGACGGTGACCAGGAGCCCTTTGCTGCTCTTTGCCTCCCCTCCACCGCCCTCCCTTCGCTCGCCCGACAAACATCGGCTTTGATCTTGCCCAGCAAACTGAGATCTGTTCTGCCGGCGTCGACCGGATGACGTCGGCCTAAAGATAGTTCGGACTCTTGTTATGCCTGCAATCCCATTCGTATGTGTCCGAGCGCACCCCTCCCCCGCACCAAGGCATCCCCCTGGCCCCCGTAAGAGCGAGCGCACCCACCCCCCTCGACGGCCGTACGCGCCCTCCCCCCGACGCCCGCGGCTAAATTTCCAGCAGCGTCAGCGCGCGCGACTCGTACCTGCGTGGAACCTTTTCGGCACATTTCAAAGGCCCTGGCCCGCGACGTCCCACGCCGGGCGTCTCACTGTTTTCCCTGCGCGCGCCGCCCCCCTCGTCGCTGCCGCCGACGCCCCCCGTGCCCGCACCGGCAGGCGCGATAGGCAGGAAGTTCACTCGCGCGCTGCCGAAGCACCCACCGTCGGCCATAGCGCACTTAATCCCCGCGCACATCACCCCCGACCGCGAGCACACGGATCTGTGCGCCATGCGCTCTGTTCCACTCGCGAAATTCGCTCGTGTGCGTGAACTGTCGGATACCGTGCGGCCGACCTCCGTCTGCATGTTCGACTGATGGAACCGTCCCACCTCGGCTACCGTCTGTTTGCTTGCTTGCTGGAAGGACTTCGACCAAGCGCTTGGCTTGGCTAACCCCCGACGAAATCGCTACATAGCCCGCCTCGCTGTCGAGCTCTCGTATCGCCGTCCACCTCTCTCGTCATAGCTGTCGACGCCATCGCAGACGGACCCGCCAAATTGCGCGCTGACAGACCGCCCAATCTGCCACCGCACGCCCCTGTCCTCCGCTTGTCTGGTACCCAGTGCGCTGGTCGGCGCGCTGTCCGTCCTGAACGTAAATCTCGCCAGCTCAGACCCCGCGCGGGACTGGGCCGAGCTGGACAGCTGTCTCGTCGCTGTCCCGACGACGCAGGTCCGTTGTCCCGTCGTCGCTCGCGCTTTGCTTAGAGCCTTGGCGTCGTTGTCGGAGCGCGCGCCACGATTGCTTGGTGCCACCTGAGCTCGCGTAGCCTCTCATTCATCGCGTACATACCCCGCTCTGTGTCCACCTTACGAGCGAAGGAGAAACACGTATATGCGCCCGCCGCCTCCCACGGTGCGCATCGCCGCACCGACGTGCCTCATGAACTGGTGGCGGGTGCGGCGCGTCACGCGAGACGGAGCTGGGGGAAGGGTATACGACCATCCCCGCACTTCCTCCCTGGCTTCTAGCGCGTCGTTCTTCCCATCGGTTCCCATCTCTGAGTTCTGTACCGGCCAGTCCTTTCGTGTCCACCAGTCTTTGAATCCACCATCAAGGACATCGAGGTCGAGGCGCGTACCTTTTGCATGGTATTCCTCGCTGTGTTCCTCAACGTCCCGCATCCCACCTCGTCGATAGCGTCATACCTCCGAGCTCAGATCTCAAACCGTCCGCCTCCGAGCTCTGATCGTGCACCGCCGCATCGGAGGACCTCGTCGGACCCTTTTTGGGTGTGCATTCAAGTACAATAGACGGGGGGACCCCCCCAAGGCGTATTTCCCTCGAATGAATAGAGCCTTCTGGGATGCATATTCCTCCCGAGTGATACGGAGGCCCAGCTGCGCTCGGGACGTCCGGACCTGTTTCCTACGTCCTCGCTCGACGTCAACTTCCTTCGAGCGACACTCTTCTCTGCTCACGAGCGACTCCCTTGTCTACTCACGAGTGACTGTCTTCTGTTCTCAGTGGTCTCCTGCAGCCATCGCTTCCTTGTCCAACCACAGAACACGGACTCCGGTATCCCGTGTTTGCACCCGCCTCGAGGAACATCGTCGTCGTCCCCCCGCGTTCCGGTACCCTTGCCTACCAACGGCGCGTTCCTATCCTCCCGACGGCGCGCGTATCCACCTTGCCTCGACGGATGGTTTCCACCTTACCTTGACGGATGGTTTCCACCTCACCTTGACGGATGATTCCATGTCACCTCAACGGGTGGTTTCCACCTCACCTCAACGGACGGTTTCCATCCCACCTCGAGGCGCGCCCAACAACGCTTCCGGGCGCCGGCTACCCTCAGTTACCGCCTTCTGTTGCTGCTCAGGACGTCGTCTGATCTCCTTCTCGACATCCAGCAGTTGCATGCGCGCATCCGACGATTGCGTCTACACGCCGATTGCATCTACACGCCGGACATCTCCCGCACGGCAAGTCACCCTACCGCGTCCTGTACGCCTTCTACTCGACTCTATTCACGCTACTCAAGTCTTTACATGACCACATCGTCTTTCTCTTGGCTGCGGGCTGCGGCGCGTCGCCAATCGTCCGTCCTCAATCACCCGCTCCGTCCTGCAATCACTCGTCCACTTTTCCCGGTGCTCTCTTGGCTGAATCCATGCTTCCTCCCATCTGAATGGACGCTTCTTCGATCAGCGATCTTCTTTCATGAGACCCGCGGTGGCGCGCGCTTCTGCAAACAACACCATCAGCATCGCTTGCAGGTCGTCGAACTCCAATTCATCGCTGAACCCACATCAGCAACAGCATTCAACAAACCCCGCGCCACCCCGCGGTCCTCAGCGCATCCCCCGCAAACCCTCTGGGGCCCCAAACGACGCCAAGCCATCCTGGACGTTCCACTCGCTGCCTCAAACATGTTTTTCGACGCCTCCGCGGTGTGCTCGCTTCGCTTCTGGCTTGTTTGTGGCCATGTCATGCTTTGCTCTTGGCGCCGCTTGTGGCCTTGTCTTCTCCTTCGCTCCAAGCCACCCATCTCTTCGGACCCCAATGCCCGCCCCCTTATGATCGTCTTCCTTCGCTTATGGCCGTGTCCTCAACCAAAAAGGTGTCGAACTTCCACCTCATCTGTGGCGCGTCCGTCCATGGCCGAAATCCCTCACGATCACTGCGCCAACACGAAGGTCTCCATTTGTGGACACCGACTTGCTTTTTTGTTGGCGCCAACCACCCTGGACTTGGTGTTCTCTGACGCTCCCGACGTTCCGCAGCGCTGCGCGCGCCTCACCGCCGTCACCATCGCTGTAGGGCGTTGATTTTCGTCTATTTTCCGTCCAAAGAGTCTATTTTTCGCAGCCGATTTACTCTCGCAGCTTGCTCTGTCCCGCCATGCACCCATGCACCCTGCGCGCTGCTCTCATACCGCTACGCGACGCTCCCATGCCCGTCCCGCAAACTCACGTCTACGCGCCCGCCCTATCTTTGGGGCGCCTTTGTCCCTGTGACGAAATGCGACTGCCCATCGCGAAGCCCCTTCGCGTTAGCCCGCCCCGAATGTCCATCTCGGCGTGGGCAGCAGACCCGAATCGACCCTCGATGCGTTCAGCGGCGCCGTGGTGATCCTTAGCCGCGACGTTTGAGGTCGCCTCTGCGTGTGGCCCCGAGCTCCAAGGTACATCTTTCAGCATGCGCTCTCGAGAACTTTCCCCGACGTCAGGAGTCTACCAATCGCGAGGGATGGGCGCGCTCTATCCATCTCTATTCTATTGAGTGCAGCACCAGACATCTCGGGCTCGTCAAGGGTGACGCTAGTCTGAGACGACCTGCTCGGCGCTCGGTGGGGTCCTCCATTGTCCGCGCTCCAGGCGCGGGTCGAACATGCGCGCGTGAACACTGCGCCCACTTGGACCCACCCGGATCACGGAGGGCGCGCATCAATGGGTGCGCGTGCGCGCCCGAGTTCAACATGCAACGGCGCGCCCCGCAAGCCCGAGGTGATGGGGGTGCTTCTTCCGCGCTGCGCTGGGCTCTCCACCCCCACGCCGTACTCCACCCTCTAGACGGATGCGCGCCCGGAAATCAGACTGCGCATGCGAACCCGCCTCCTGCCCCAAGCACGACGAGACTGGCACCACCGCCCATCGACGCGGCGCCCCACCTTCGACGCTGCCCCCATCGCGCCAAGAACGCTCGAGCTCAACGCCAGAGGTCTCATGAAATGCTCAGCGACTGCGCCGCTTGCGCTCTCACCACCCTCCAAACCATCCGGGCGCTCATGATCTTCCATTCACCCGGATTTTTTGGATCAATAGACGGCAGCCTGAAGATCGGTATGACTCACCTCAGTCGGACGTCTCTTCGCCTTGCCGTTACGTTCACTACAGGGGGCCTTGCGGTATACACGACCTTCGCACGTTCACCCGATGTCGCGCGAGCACTTGCGCCTGAGAAGGCAGAATTCGCTATCGTTCTCGAATACCTTCGAGGTCTCTTGGAGTGGACGAAGCTCGTGCTCTTCGCCAACGCCACCGCAGTGCAGTATCGACCGCAATTCTTGCTGAATGGTCAACGCCGCCACCACTTGTCTCGCTGCCGTATCCTCAGTCAAAGTAGCGCCACTTCTATGGCTTTCTGTGGGTCGAATTGATGGTAGAAAAGTGGTGCGAGCTTCTCGCTTTCCGTATGCCTCTCCTCATTTGCCCGAACTCCTTCCTATCTCCGTTTCTGTTGCCCGCATACGGTTCCCTACTCATCCTCTTCCATTGAGCTGCTCGGGATGCCTTGCGCTGTCCGAGCGTAGCTTCAGCATGTCTTCGTTGAGGGCCACCTCGGGTCTCACTCAAAACATTCATCTGCGCATTGGCGAACTCTCGCTCGTGAGATGAAGCAGCCACGATGCACTCTACTGAGTTAACCACTCATGCACGAACATCACCGACATGAAGCAACGTTGGCGTCGCCTTCCTTTTCTCAACGCTTCGCGCGCAGATACGAAGGTCCGACCGTGATATGAGGATCTCATTCCCCTCCACTCAGGAAGAGTTTGTTCCCCCCGCGCTGCTCACACGACGCGCTTCCCGCTGACGCCACCTCTTCTGCTTGCGTGCGCAGCTGTCCGGCTCTCGAGCTTCTGCCACTGCCGCGTTTGCTCCGTATCTGCTACGATGAACCCCAGGATCTCGACAAGTCATTGAGAATAGGACGAAGTCGGCACCAACGCGACGGTCTAACCCATCCAATTGCATCCTCCTGCTGTCCCACTCCCTGGATTCGTTACATGATAATGGGATGTGTCGAGAAGCTCAGCCCGAGTTCATATAATTTTCTTACGAAGGAGACGTTTGTATCGAATGCTACATATGCATACATTTTCCAACACTAGTAGATACAATACGAGCGTACGCCGCGTCATACAACCTGGGGAGCAAACCTACAGCAGGCCGCGCTTCACCAATTTGGGACAAAACTGCCGCATCGCCGTCCTTGCGATTTCCTCTCCCTGCTCGACGGTCACAACTTCACCGTGACGTCTGAGCTCCCACGCGAAAAGTCCTTTGCTTCCTCCAAAAAGTCCGTGACCGAGGGGCAGGACTTCATGTTCCCGAATGCCATGTCGCTTGTGATACATCCATTCTGGGCGGGGAGATACAGGGTTGTCCAGCACTTCCCAATCGCTGACAGTGACCGCCACCTTCCTTAGATCCGGAAGGTTGCCACAGGTCAGGATGTCAGATACCGCCATCCATGGATCTTCGGGCAATGGCCGAGTGTTCCCCCCAGTGTTTCCTCCCCAGAACTGCGACGTGTTCCTGTCGCGGAGCGACCTCTCATGGCGCGACCTTCTATCGGGGGAGAAAGATTTTTTCTTAATGTACTTCCGCCTGTCGTCCTGGGCGAACACAAACACGACTTCTTCCAGACGCACGGGCGAGCCATCGCGGATGGGACGCAGCAGCGTCGCCACGCGAGAAGAGTATTCATCCCTGTACATGTGGTGTGGTATCCGCCCGCTGAGCATCATGCCGCAGAGGCGGAGGGTACGAAGAGCGGGGAACAGGGAAAGATCGAGGACGAACTCGTCGTCCCAAGATGCAAGGGTCAGAATGCGCACGGTCGCCCCCACAGCATGGCAAAGCGGCTTGTAGAGGGACGCGTTAGGCAGCGCGGCGGGTTTGGAGATCGTGAGCTCCTCGACAGCGGCGAGAGAGAAGAGGCTGGTCCCCGAAAGCCAGTAAGCCATTGACTCCGTCGGTTGGCAGACGACGAGGGACTTGATAGTTGGGCGATGGCTCGTGTCCTCTAGCCTTCCGCCTCCCAGGGGCATGTGTGGCTCCTTGGAAGCAATGCACAACTGGCGGAGGCAGGGCGAGTTACCGATAGCTTCTCGGAGGGGACGCATCATGACAAGGTCCTGCGCCATGCTCAGTCGCTCAACCGATGTTCTGAGCGTTTTTGCGACCGCGTCCTGCAGTTTCTGCGAGTACGGTGTCTCTGTTTCGCCCGTGCAAAGGTGGATAATGTTGGGCAAGCAATCTAGGCATGATGCTATCGCGTCGTCAGCGGCACAGTCGATGACGGTCTCGCGCCCCCATAGCGTATAGATATGGTCAGCCCAAGCGCGAGTACCGACATTGAAACGGGAATATAGTTGGCAGAGGGCGGAGTTGTGACGGAGGACCTCCGTAAACCTTTCGATCTGAATTGTAGCCCAGTGACCGCTCTCGGGACCTATGTAAGGGCACTGATCGTCGCTATGCATAGTCTCAGGCGGGGAGGACTTCATCCCCCGGAGGATGATCACGTCGATGTCGATGGCCTGAGAGTGAAAGAGGTATTGCCGGGTGGGCCAAGTCCACGCGCGGCACACAAGAGAGTAATTGATGAGCGTATTCTGGTCTGCATCGGCAAGGATGTGTTGATGAAGCTCAATGGGAAGGCGCTGCGCTGTACAAAGGTTGAGTGAAAGCATGCGGTAGTACACTAGATCGACCCACAAGCGCTCTCCCCCTCCTCAATGGCGCGTGAGTCGTTAGACGCCGCTGACTCCATCTGCGATGAAGCACGGTTAGCGTAGCGGCGACGAAGACAGTCGAGGTACATACTATTGGCGCACAATTCTGAGGGCGGAATGTCGAGGCGATGCTTGTCGATGACCTCGTCTGTCGTGGCGAGAGGCAAGGCGTACGACCAAGGGATGGTGGTGGCAGTGAGGGAAAACATAGCTCGATAGAGTTTGATATCGGGAGTACGGCACACTGAGGTCGGCGGTTCACAGGTTGCGACTGCACGTCTAGCGCCTAGCCATCTGAGCCCCCACATTCAGCACGAGAGGATGAAGTGGAATGACGAGGGGACTGAACCAACCAGGCTACCAGACTGCGATTTGACTGAAAATTAGACGGACATTGATCCTTCTTCCTGGCAAGAATATATAATCTATTCACACCTGCGGCAAGCAAGTCAAGATCACATGCCGTCACTGCCAGAGGGGCTAGGCCATTACAGCAAGCCATGTTGTACGAGTTTGGGACAAATCTTTCGCAGAATTTCCCTAGTTTTTCCCACCTGCTCCGCGGTCGTCCAAGGTTCCTCGGGCGCGATGCCCTCCTCTCCATGCATCGCAAGTCGCAACGCCTTTGGTGGACGCCCACGGAAGGCACGAGGCGAATTGGCACGAAGTGCGCTCTCTGCCCGATCGTCAACCATGATCTTGATCCTCTTCAACCCAATGAGCCCGGGCCCAATAAGCACGTCCGCGAAGTCCTGCCATGACTTGACGCCCTTCGTCCGCTCATCGTCGTCGATGGAGCGCACAGGCATGAAGACGAGCTCGACTTCTTCCAGCTGCGGTGCAGGACTGTGAGGGAGTTGCTTGAAGAGCAGTAACGCGCGACTCGCAGACATGCCGCGTAGAGACATGCCGCATATGCGCAGGACGCGGAGCGACGGGAACAGATCGAACTTGACGCTGAAGTCGAGATCCCACGACGCGAGCGTGAGCACGCGCACGGAGGATCCGACAGCGGTGAAGAGCGGCTCGTGGATGGAGGCGATGTGCAGCGCTGTCTCGTGGATAGTGAGCTCCTGGAGATTCTCGAGGGAGACGGGCGAGTCGTCCGAGACGAGCCACTTGGGGAGGTCGCGCGTTGCCGGGCCAACGTCCAGGGAGCGGATTGAGGGGCGAGGGGTATCCCCCTTGGCTTTGAGACCGCGGATAGGCGTCAGGCGATCGCGGACAGATACGCGTAATGAGACGAGGTGGGTTGCGTCGCGCACTGCTGCTTGTACGAGGGGCATGGCCATCACATCCTGTATCATGGAGAAGCCAACGACAGAGGCACGGAGCTTGCGCGCAACAGAGGCCTGCAGGGCCTTCGAGAAGGGCGCCTCAGTGCTGTTCGCATCCAGGTATCGAATATTTGGCGTGCAGTCCAAGCACTGCGCGATCGTATCGTCCACGATGCTGTTCACGGGATCCACCCAAGGTCGCTGTCCAAGATGGAACCTTTGGTATTGTTGCGCGATGGGGGGATGCGCTCGGAGGAATGCGATGAATTGGTCGATGCTATGCGCTGTCGATTTGGCGAAGTACGCTGAACTCATAGAGGCGGTCGAAGACATAGTTGCATCGCGCTGAGTTCCTCGGTGGATGACAGTGTCTATGTTGGCGACCCTGAAGAGGAAGGGACGTGTCGGCCAGGACCATGCACGACAGACGAGGGAATAGGACGCGAGCTCCTTCTTGCTACCCTCCGCGTAGGCAAAGATCTCTTCTAGCAACTCCTCCGGCAGTCGTTGCACTATATGCGCTGCGTGAGCAATGGAAACACTCCCACTCGGAAGTACGATTGCGCACCAGCTGTCAAATCCTCTTTCGGTGTCTCCATCCTCATGCTGTTTTGTAGCAAGATCGATAAAATCCCCTTTCGCTTCAGGAGTTGCGATGTGCTCCTTGCTTCGACTTGAATACGCTCCTGCGTCGCGTATGCAGTGAATGGACGAGGGGCGGAAATCAGGATGAGGGGATAACGAAAGAGCGGGATCGTCCTTTGTAGGATGGATTGACATGATTGTTTTGACAGTCAACGGCAACGCCGTTACCGACATCCCGAGCTACGCAGCCACAACCACCGAGGGTCTGAGCGTAGTGACAGAAAACATTCGGGGTGGAACATAGATCACGGACGGCAGAGGCAGAGAAACATGGCAAATGCACCCGCTGTCGGAATTTGCCGCCCACCAAGATATCCGACTTCGAGCTCTCCGAAACGATATTGATATGCATGTCAATCAGAAAGGTATTAGTAGATACTATTACTATACGTGCACGTCCGCCGTCTGAGGTTCAGTGTATCCCACTTCGCCCAGCTCGACGTGTCCGTCTACATCACCCGCTTCGGCGAGCGCAGCCTTCTCGTCAACAACCTCACCATTACCCTCTCCCTCATCACCGCCCTCATCCCCAGCCTCCTCGACCAGAGCGCCTCGCTCGCGTATGACATGCCAGCTGCGATCTTTAACCTGTGCATGCTATGAGTCTAACCGTCCGACCAGTGCGAGCCAAGCAGCGGGCCGCAGCATCAATCAGCGCGCCGCGATATCGACCAGCGGTGGCATTTGCAGGCGCCGACCGTACTCGCAGGAGCATACAGGATGTGGAGAGCGTCCGATTAGCACGTACCTCTAGATTCTGTCCCGCGCTGATCGCCTTGACCAGCTTGCCCTCATGCCGCGCATGCAGTGTGCGCCGGAACGACCGCGTCAAGAATGTCGACAGCGTCTTCAACGGCCACGCCGGAGGTACTAGTGTCAAGACCTGCATGACCGGTCAGCGATCCCGTCAGAGGTCACACGAACGGACAACACTTACATCCACCACCTCCAAGTTCACCCCCTGCGCATCCAGTAGCCGCGTCGCACGCTTCTCCGACTCCGCATCCTTCTCCCCGACGTACACCTCCAACAAGATTTGCAAAAGCTGTTTCCGCAAGCCCTCGTCAACGCCCGACTTTCCCGGTGTTCCATTCCGCCCTCCGGCTGCATCAACAGTGCCCCTCTTCCCCGCCCCCGGCGTCCCGCGCGCGGCCCATGCTGACCACACCGGGCCTAGTGAGTCGGTCGCGGTTGCCTGCACCATCTTCGGTGGTATGACCTCGCCGCCGAGCGCGCAATACGTCTCTGCGGAGATCTCGTCGTGTGCATCGTGGACGAGGCGGGTGAGGGCTTGGCGGTGGTTGGCGAGCTGAGGGTAAGGCGTGAGTGTGGTATGGTGATGACTACAAGTACTCAACACACCTTGCCATCCAGTATTGCAATCTCCACGGCGAACAGCGATGCATGTGGTGAGCCCTCTAGGCACGCCTTCATAGCGGCCGTATCATACAGGTCCGATCGCTGCAGGAAGAAGGCAGCCTTCAAGCGCTCGTGCTTTGTCCGCGATTCGGGCGTGGTCGAGGCGAAGTAGCGGAGGAAGGAGGAGTCGGCGTGGCTGGAGGCGAAGGAGCGGGCTGAGGGCGAGGGGTTAGATTAGGAACGTGGCATAGGTGGAAGGGGCTCACCTTTTGCTTGCCATAACCTCAACGTGCCCGAGTCTGACGTTGCGTCGAGGAGGTTGTCGACGAGCACGCTCGCCAACCGGGAGTGTAGCTCGCGGTTCTATATCATGACAGTCAGCCGTGAATTGCCTACGACCACCACCATCGCGTACCGAACTTCGTCTTTGCAGTACCAAGTACTCCAAGAACATCTGGCCTGCCTCCTTGCTGGCTTCCGTAACCTGCTCCAGTAGAGCAAGGTCTTCCTCGGGTCGATCACGGCGCTTTCCAGTATCGCGGGCGGGCATGAGGAGCTGAATTGCATGTTGAGCATGCATACAAGCGAAGTGACAGCCGAACGCACTTTCAATCCTCGTTCCGGATCTCGTTTGATCATCCAGAGTGCCCATTGTTGTGTCAGTGAACGATCCTTCTGGGCGGCGAGTAGCGTCATCATGGACTCGAGCGGGTCCTGTATTTCGTCCGTCCTGTACTCGCCCTCCGCGATCCTTAGGATGGTGTTTGTCAGTCCTGAACCAGCGGAAAGAAGCACAAGACGCACTTCGAGTAGAGCTCGAGCAGCTTCCGCGCGTCCCCGTGTCGTTGGTACAGCGTCGTGAGCGCGTCAAACTGGCTATGCTCAACCAAAATTGGCTCAATCTCCGTGGCGACGATCTCGCTACGCTCATCCTGGATGAGTGCAGCGAGCTCCTGCGTCTTTCCATTGACAGCCAGGACCTTTGCGTACACTGTATCCACAACCTGCAAATTACGCATGTCAGCCTCTCCATCCACTCCTCCTTCAGCTGCACTACCACTCACCGGATACGCCGGATGGCTCCCCGGCGCCGCCTTCGGGTCGACGCAGCGGCGGATCCAGCACTTGCGCAGGTAGCTCTCGAGCATGTCCTGCGCAGCGGTGCGCATGATCGCGCGCAGCTCGACCGTCGGGGGCGCGGTCGCCGTGTTCGGCGAGAGGTGCGGGGAGTAGTTCCTGACTAGGTTGTAGACGACTGTGATCAGTGCCACACAAAAGAGCGCGTCAATGGGAGCCGGGGTAATAAGAAAGAGAAAAGAGAAGAGACGGGAGGGGGAGTGAGGGCAGCTGAGCGCTTGGGGCTTGGCGATCGAGGTAGGGAGCAGGGGCTTGAGGGAGGACACGCGACTTGCATGGAGCGCAGGAAGCTAGTTCGGAGATGGAGGAAGAGAGGGGATACGGGTAGACTCAAAGGGACGATTCTGGACAGGAACACTGACTGATATCGTCCACACTGGTCTCGGTCGGCATACGTTCCGCCACCCCGCTGAAGACGTCGAGGGTATCACCCTTCGTGAACAGATTCCCGCGTAGCTCAGGGTAGTAGCTGATGAGTAGTCGTGGGTCTGTATCGCCGTTGAAGAGGTTCTTCCCCGCGTCCTCGAAGAGCGTCTCGGAGAACAGCTGCCATCCTATGCGCTGGTACACGTAGCGCAGCTCGTCGAGCTGGTCGCAATCAGCAACATCTTTCAGGCTACATGGCTCACGCACCTCGTCTTCATTGATCCTGATGTTCCCCTCGACCTTCTTCCTCTGCTGGTCGGCGAGATCCGCGGCGTCCTGGATGCGGTGACTTCCGAGAAGAGCTTCGACTTGGGAGACAAGGGTTGACGAGAGCAGCGATTGGACAGAGTTCTCAGCGAGAAAGAGGACTTTGGCGCGGGGGAAGGCCGCGGGTGCCATGTCGCGCGCGTCGAGAGGACAGGAATCAAGTCGTAAATTCAGACCGCGTCACGAAATTGAGGCTTCCATATGGAGAAAGACCAGCCCATTGTTCTCTCGATTTATTCCAGGCACTGTTGTTCGTGTAGAATATTGCGATACGTTGACTGGGCACTATTTCTACATAGGTATGCAGGACGGTGCTTGTACTTCGTCACTCCAGAGAGAATCGTCTACCGGCCTCTGCCCATTGCAGTCGCCTCGGCCCACATTCAACGTCTCTACGGTCACACCACGTTGGCCCAGCGCAGCTACTAGGCCTTCATAGCCCGTGCTAAACCCTTTAGAGATATTGGTCTGGCGCAGAGTCAGGTTCGTCAGGTTGCGCAACCCTCCATCGGCGAACAGCGCTCGCAGATCGGCAAGGCTTTTTTCGGAAAGATCGCCCTCTATGGCTAGATCGCGCAGGGAAGAAGCCACCCGCAAGTTTGCAAGGTCGACGCGGCCCAAGTCATCCGTCGTTAGGTCCAAACATTCTAGAGCGGGTAAGAGCTCAAGGAGCTCATCCAGTGTATGTTCCTCCAACTCGCTAGGCAAGTCAACAGGAGATCCGGGCGAGATTTGGAGCGTGACGAAGAAAGCACCCAGTGCGGCAGCCGACTGAACGCGCACTGACGCGGGGTCTTGTTGGAACACGAGAACAAGTTCTTGGAGTCCTTGAAGACCGGGCCCTCGGCGGGCAAGCTCGATGAGACTCTGTGTCAGGGCGAAAGGCCTCCAGAAAGGCCTCATATAGCAGGCGAGATACTCAAGTTTGGGCGCACATATGCATTGACACAATGAGCTTGCCCGATCGAGTACGAGCGAGCGCAACGAGGGGAGGACAACAGGTGATTCAAGCCCAGGATATCCGCCTGTGCCGACGGCGATCCTCAAATGCTCGAGAGCGACGCACCGAGGTAGGACCTCGAAGCAGTCATACAGCGTCGTCTCCTCGACACTTCGAAGATCGAGGGTGAGGTGGGTAAGGCCTTCCCAGGGTAGCTGTATGCGCGAAGGCGACGGCGTTTGTAAGAGATGCAAGCGGCGAAGTGCCTGCGCTCTGGCCAGCCATCGGAAGTCAATCCTGTCACCGTACCCATGCGAGCAGATGATGGTGGCTTCCTCAAGAATTGGGGCCTTGAGAGCGCAATCGAAGGGCTTCGGGGCTGCGCAACGAAGGTGATCGTCCAGGACCAACGAGACCGTTCGCCACCGTGGCAATTCTCGAAAGACGGTCCTCCAGAGGTAGATGAAGTTGTCATCTTCATGCAGCTTGCGACCGACGCCAGCAGGAGCGTTGTCATCGTCGTGGTATCTGCCGATCACGATGTCCAGTGGCAATGTCCCCGATCGGCGCAGTTGTTCGCGCAAAGCGGCCAGCTCGACTGCGCCAGAGCGCCACATGAGCGGAGTATACCCGTCTAACTTGTCGTTACGAACACCGTCCGGGTAGAGGCCTCCGTAAGAGATTGACGACCAAATCTGCGGCGTGTTCAGGCAGACGCTGCGCCAGTAGCGACAGACCCGACTGAATGCGAGAGGCTCCATGAAGGGCCGCTTCTCGTGCCAGTCCTGGCCGATGCTGAGGATCATGATAGTGGCGAGCAGTTCTGGCGGGAGAAGGCGGTTGATGAGCGCATCCTCATTGAACAGGCATGATGTTTGGGAAGAGGAATCTCTGCCGATAGTCATGGTGGTGATAAGGTTGACGTAGGCGGCGGCGGCGTGGTGTTGGTGGGGGTAGTGGTGGTGGTGGTGGTGGTGTGGAAAGAAGAGAGAAACGGCAGCTCAAATCTCGAGAACCGTGACTTATATGTCCGAGGGGATGCACGTGAAAAACGTGACCTGCACGCGGCGTGCCAGCGCCACATTGAACTTTATTGTCAATTTGAACATTCCAACTTTCGTTCTGTCCTTGTATTGCGCACTCACTACCTCAACTACGTTTAATGATGCTGCGTCTACCGTTTTAGTAAATGTTTTGCGTGCTGTATATGCGAGTATATATTCTTGTACATGCAATGGATAATTAAACAGTTCTGTATATGTATGGCATATCGCAGTCGCTCTGCGCGTACATGATACAGGCCTGGCGTGGCTGCACTGGAGCGCCGCGCGCTCGACTTACGCTAAGATAAATAGAGGTAGTGCCCCGCTAACCGTTGACGGCTCCTATGACACAGTATACTGGGGCGCCTCCCCTATGTGAACGACTCGGGCGGTGGCAGTCTCTATGCCACTCGTAGGGACATGGACTGGCCCAGCGGTCGCGTTGGTGATGCAGTGCGAGGATGATGGCAACCTACCGTCCTCGTGCGATATACATGTGGCAGTCGAGGCGAGACGTCGATGAGCCAGATGACGGGAGGTAATCCAATGATGCGAGTGGCGGAGGCGTCTACTGAGGCCGGTCGATCTCGTCGTATGGATTGCCGAGTGTCCATAGGCATGTGTCGCACGCGCGCATCGCCCAATTGTTGCTCGAGTATCGCGAATGATCTTGAGAGACGCCGAGGATCACGCCACCGCCATTATACGTGGTCTGCGGGTGCAGCGCGTCGTCAGCGTCACGTACGCTTTCGCGGCGGTAGCGCGCCAGCATGTCATCGTCCGCAGCCTCCTTGTCAATCCAATTTGCCGGCCAAGTAGAGGCGCCCCTTCGGCGTTCGATTTTGTCGACCCATGCACGAAGGTCGGCTATGTCGTACATGACGCGGGCGTCCGCCTCTCCGGATTCTAGTCCAGGGCGAGGGAGGGCAGAGCCTCTGGCGTGTGCCGGACGAATGTCGTATCGGGTGTATGGCCTGGTGGAGGTGGCAACCTTCTGCTGACGGCAGGGGGCACGTGTCGATCTACGCAACCGCATCGGCGAGAAGTTGACAGCGCGGGAGTTCCCTAGCGCTGTGCGCGCCTCTTTTCCGTCGTCGCTCAGCGGATGACGGTGTTGCTTCCAGACATCGCGGCCGACGAGGAAGGCAGACGGTGGCTCATCCGACCACTGGTCGACGATGCGGCCAGCGGCGCGTATGAGGAGCTTGGCCCGATCCATAGGCATCACACGGATGGCGGCAGCATCTAGGCGTTCGCTGGCCATGAAGATGACGAAGAATGGGTGCGCACGAGACTTGATGCGAGGGAGGTTCTCGAAAGGTGCTTGAAACGCCCTCAGATGCGCCCCGCCGTGAGCATACAGTGTCGCTCGCTTCTTTGTGAGCATGCGCAGAGGGACTACGTCGTACTCGTATTCCTTGGCGGGGAAGAACTACGTTGACATTTCAGTACACACGCAAGATGGGACTGTATGCGACGCACGTCAAGAAAGCATTTGCGAGCGTCAATAGGGGCTGTCGCATTGTACTGAGCTAGTTCAAACATGGAATTGAGAGTATCTGGAGTAGGCATGAAGACCCATTCCGAATGGCGCAGCCTGTCCACCATATCGCAGCGGACTCGCCCAGGACGTCAGTTGACACGCCTGCATGAGACTGAATCACTCACGCTCGATGTGGTTCATCTGACTATCGAGATTCAAGTCGCCCTTCTCCATGCCCCAGTAATATTCGAAGTATTCAATCTAGCAGAAGTAGTCAATTTCACTCGGCCGTTCACTATGCGTCCAACGTACCTGACGACGATATTGACCTGCGTCCAAGTCTATGATACGATGGTTGACAATTGGGTTGTTCTGAAGGCTTCGACGCGTCGAGAGGTTTTTGGAGGAGACAGAGGGCATGGCGAGATACAGTGCACAGTGAGAATGTTGACGGCAGGAACCAGGACGGAAACGTGGAATGATCGGACGACGCGTGACCGAATTCAACATCACAGCGAGGCGGCGTGACCTCCATGTGGGAAAAAGGGGCGCCATTGTTCTTCGTTCGACTCCCAGCCCTTGCCCGAGTATTTGCTCGTTGCGTATCACTCAACTCAGGGAAGGAGCTACCATATCAAGGGAACTCAGATGAGGCTATCGCAGATCATGAATCGCAATTGGTATGACGGGCAGTAATTACAAACCCTCGAGATCTTGCATTGTGGCAGGAAAGGACTTCCATCGCTAGATGATTGAAAAAAATACAGGCTATACTACCAAGGTATGAATCAGGCCAAGCGTGCCATGGTATATCGGTGCAATGAATGCAGCTCGAGAAGGCGGTGGAGGTGGGTGGCATGGAGATGAGCACGCGAATGTGTATGAGTATCGCCACATTCCATGCGACGCGCAGTGCAGAGCCGGGATGAATACAGACTCGATGGATGCCTCAACCTCTAGAGGTCTGACACTCCATTGGACGCTGCTCGTACATCGAGGTCATGTAAGCATTGCGCAGCTGCGGAGCGCGAGAGCGCTCGACGCGACGAGTGCATCTCTGCGCACCGCGGCGGGCTATTTCTTCGCCTTGTCGAATGAGTTCTTCCCCAGTAGGCTCTCCTCGTAGATGTACGCCGCCCAATTATTGCTCGCGAAACGCGACCAGTCGCCGCCGTGACCGAGCTTCAAGCCGCTAGGGCGAGCAACGTTGATCCCAGGATCTAACGCGTCTGCGGAATCGCGGGCAATCTCCTCGCGATAGCGTGCTAACGCGTCGTCCGGGCTCAGGTAATCCGGTTCGTCGTTGTAGCCCGAGTCATTGCGCGGAGTCGATGGGCGGGAGGCAGACACCAGAGCGGACTGATCCGGGACATTGGCCATCCAAGCAGATATATAAGCCGCGTCGAAGTCGCCAGAGTCGTCGCCGGATGTACGGCCAGGGCGAGGAAGAGCGGATCCTCTTGACCGTACCGGTTGTCGATCGCGTAGCTCGTAGGGTTTGGCCCGCGTGCTAGTCTTCGACTGGCTACACGGCGCTCGAGTTCCCCGGCGCGTCTGCCGGCGGGGTGTGACGTTGGCCTTGGACGAGCTGCTCAGCGCAGCGCGCGCCTCCTCTCCATCGTCGCTCAAAGGGTGCCGATGGGGTTTCCAAACGTCTGGCCCGATGAGGAACGCGTCTGGAGGCGTCCTCATCCAGCACCTGATGATGCGGCCAACGGAATCCATCAGTGCTCTGCCCTTCTTCTCGGGCATGACCAGACATGCACAGAGGTCGAGTTGTTCGGAGGCCATCCAGGCTACGAAGAAGGGATGTGCGCGACATCTAATTCGCGGCATAGTGCGATACGCAGCGCGGATTGCCTTGCGCTTGGTGCCAAGATCGACGTAGAGGGAGCGGCGGCTCTTGAGGAGTTCGAGTGGAACAAAGTCGTACTCGTACTCTTGTTCCGGAAGTCCCTGAGGAGTACGTCAGTGCCACATATATACCTGGTGGAGATGAGGAGACTTGCCTTGAGGCAATTCTTGCGCGATTCGAGGTCGGCGGTCTCGTTGAACTTCGCAAGCTGGTACATGGTTTCTAAGGTATCTTTTGTCGGCATCAGAACCCAGTCGAGGTTCTTCAAGCCTTCAACCATGTCCTTGCGAACTGGATAGCGTTGGCCTTGCATATGTTTGCACAGATGGAAAGCTCACGTTGAATATGGTTCATTGGTGAGCTCAGGTCCAGCGTGCACCTCTGCAATCCCCAGTAGTATTCGAAGTGCTCAATCTGGACGCGGGTCATCAGACCGTGGGAATGCATGCGCATGGAAGTAAGCCTCACTTGTCTGCGATATTCGCTGGGGTTCAAGTCAACAATACGATGATTGACGATATCTTGCAGCTTTTTGGTTGTAGAGAGAGCTTCAGACGGTAGAGACGACATGCTGTTGATACAAACGGCTGAGGTCGATGAGGGGTGGCAGGTCGTCTCTGCTCGTGGTGGGGAACAAGGGCGCATTGTCACGGTCACATCATGTGACGAAGGTCCATGCTGCGAGCGTCTTCGTCTATTGTCTCAGACTCTCAGTTTCGTGACTTGAGCGACTCGTATGATGAGCAACAGCGATTGCAACGTCCTTGAGTATATTTCAGCTTAAAATTTTCAAATGGAAATCGACTTCAGGCAGGAAGATGGAGGTTGATTGCCTACCGGAGCTGAAGCTCGACGGTAGGGTACGAGAAATGGGATTCAAACTGTACTAAAGTAATCTAGTACAGGCCTAGCGCGCCGGTGTGCATTGGCGGATCGCAAGCACTTCGAAGGACTGAGCGGTGCGTGCCCATGTAGCGCAGGGGGCGCGTCGGCGAAGCGCGGCACGAGTGGCCGCCAAAAAGCCGCGCGGGCATACGCGATGCGTCCCGGGCATAGGGCGAAAAGTGCGCCGAGGGCTACATGAATGGGTTGCTGCTTGATACTGTCACTGATAAGACCAGTCTTGAAGCATTGTAATGCTCGAACAAGATCAGGGACCCAGCGTCGTCCAGGCTACGCCACGGGGACGTCAAGCTTCCATGGGGCAGCAAACTAGACCCCCGCCTTGGCGAAAGGATCTTTCCCAAGCAGGCAGGAAGCGTGGATATACATGGCCCAGTTGTTGCTGGACAAGCCGGACCAGTCGACACCCATGCCGTAGATCAGGCCGGTGTTGTAGAAAACGTTGGTGTGCGGGTCGAGGGCGTTCGCAACGTCGCGGGCCTTCTCGAGCCGATAGTGGGCGAGCTCGGAGTCTTTCGCCTCCTCGTCTCCGAGCCATGTCGGCGGCCAGGATGAAGTGGCACGCTTCGCTGGGCGACGGACACTGTCGACCCAAGCGGCGACGTCGGAATGAGTGCTGCCAACGCCTTTGCCGGACTGGAGGCCGGGGCGAGGGAGCGCAGACCCTCGATCGCGAGGGGAGATGGGATTGGACCTGTCGTAGGGCTTCGCTTTCGCAGTCGACTTCGGCTGCCGACAGGGCGCCCGGGTTGTCTTGCGCGATCGAGTGAGAGGTGGTGTGCAGTCTTTCGGCGGATTGGTGATATCAGTGCGGGCGTCGTTGCCGTCGTCGCTGAGAGGGTGGCGATGGGCATTCCACACGTCAGGCCCAATGAGAAATTCAGGCGGCGGTTCTCTCAGCCAGGTCCGAACAATGTTCCCAACCGAACGCATGAGAGGTCGAGCTTTGTCCATGGGCATGACGATGGGGGCCATCATATGGATGGTGGTATTGGCCATGAAAGCAACGAAGAAAGGATGGGCGCGAGAGCAGATACGGTGCATGAGCTTGTATGGTGCGCGCAGGGCCTTGACGCCATTGCCGTGATCGACATATAGAGTAGGCCGACCCTTCTTGGTCATCAGTAAGGGCACGAAGTCGTATTCGTACTCTCTAGCCGGAAGTAACTTCAAGAGATGAGCCTCAACTTGCAACCCGAACGAAACAAACCTGACCTTGAGGCAATGCTTTCGTGGTTGAACACCTGCGACCTTGTTGTGGTCGGCGATCTGCTGCATCACTCGTAGCGTCTCAGGTGTCGGCATAAAAACCCACTCGCGATTTCGCAGTCGAGCGGCCATGTCCGAGCGTACTACAGAGCGATCAGCCAACGTTCGCTCGGCAAGGGAACGGACTCACGCTTAATATGGTTGAGTGGCGAATCCATGTCAAGTTCGCCCTTCTGAAGGCCCCAGTAGTATTCAAAAAACTCGATCTGTGTTACATCGGTCAGAAGTAAGGGCAGTAAAGAGCGGAACGGACACACTTGGCGGCGGTACCGTCCTGGGTCGAGGTCCACGACACGGTGGTCGATGATAGGAGCAGCCTCCCGGTTCTTGAAGGTGGAGATGGCATCGGAGGTTACGGTGTACATGGTGGAAGACGTTAGGGCCAGAATATGTGGCAGACGCGTTGGATAGGTGAGTGGCTGTCGTACGGGTGGTGGCGGGAGTGAGTAACAAAGGGAACACGCTGATCTTTGTCACGTGTCTACCTGTCTTACCGCATAATGATACGGCGGGCCGCGCGGTGCCGTCGTCAGGTGACAGCCACGTTGCTTGACGCTACTATCCTGGTCGAAGTCTTCGGATTGCAGGTTGCTATTAATCGGCAAGGTTCAAGGGCTGTCGAGCGAACGAGAAACAATATGTTACTGATGAATCTTCAGCATTCCGAATTCCTGATCCGTATACAAAAATGTCATTAATAAGTACAGTAAGTTCAATGACCTCCGACCCTTGCCCGGTCAATCGCATCGATCAACGAGCTGGAACTGTGCACGAGATCCTCCCCGCAAGCAGCACACGCAAGTTCCCTGGCTTCTTTCGCGCGGCATGATCACAGCTCATGCATGTAGCGTATAACGAGACAGCCTCCGTGTCATACAGATAATTTCTCTGTGTTATGCGCCATACCTACCGCGTACGAGCCTGAGTTATGTCGACGCTCAGACAAGCGACAACCGCCGCTGGCGCGACCCCGCCATAACAGTCTTAGAGAGAGCGGGTGCGATACAATGTGCACATCGCATACTACAGGCGAAAGCATACATGGTTGTCCTCCCCGGAAAGGTACAACGCATGCCCGATGATGCAGTGCCAGCGATCTCCGAAGTTGAGAAGGTCGATGAGCCCGTGGACTTGTGAGGCGTTCGCTCTCGCAACGTATCGGGGTCGGGGTGACAAAAGGGGCCCAATGCTCAAACGAGAGCGCACGCCAGCGACGCACGCACGACATGCAAGCCATCGTTCACGAGAGACACATACGCGAGATCGTTCACTGGATCTCCTTAATGACATCGTATGGGTTGTCGAGCGTCCACAGGCAAACTCCGCACGCGCGCATCGCCCAGTTGTTGCTCGAGAAGCGCGAGCGGTCTTCCCCCCGACCAAGGACAAGACCGCCACCATTGATAGTGCTCTGCGGATGTAGCGCATCCTCGGCGTCGCGCGCGCTCTCGCGGCGATACCGCGCGAGAACGTCGTCCGAGGCGGCCTCGTCGTGCAGCCATGTCGACGACCAGGAGAGCGAGGTGGACGTGGACTCGATCCTGGCGCGGTCGTTCCATGTGCGCAGGTCGGGCAGGTCGTAGGCGATGTAGCCCTCGGGACGTTCTACAGATTGGATGCCGGGGCGAGGAAGGGCGGAGCCTCTATCAGCGGCGCGACGATCGTCGTATCTCGCGTAGGGCTTAGCCTTCGCGACGGTCTTCGGCTGGCGACAGGGCGCACGCGTTGTCTTTCGCGTGTTGGAGGCAATGAGAACATTGTCCTTGCGGGAGTCGCGCAGAGCGGCGTCCGCTTCCTGCCCATCGTCGCTCAGAGGGTGGCGATGCTGCTTCCAGACGTCCGGGCCGATGAGGAAGGCCTCCGGGGGTTGCTTATCCCAGCAATCGACGATGTCGCCAAGAGCATCGGTCAGCCGCTGCGCGTCCTCTTCGGGCAGGTAGGATGAGGCGTTCATGTCGATCTGCTCGCTTGCGACCCAGACGACGAAAAATGGATGCGCAGATGACCTGATGCGAGGGAGGTCCTTGTACGGCGGGCGATACGTCTTAGGGCGCGCGCCACCGTGGACATAGAGCGTCGGGGGCTTTTCTTCTAGCATGCACAACGGGATCACGTCGTATTCGTATTCTTGAGCGGGGAATTCCTACGGTGAAGTCAGCGCAAGACGTGTGAGAGATCGCACTCGACCGTACCAGGAGGTAGTGCTTGCGTGCGTGAATGGGCGCGGTCTTGTTGTACTCGGCCATTCGTAGCATCGATCCAAGGGTCTCCGGGGTCGGTATGAGAGTCCAGTCACCCGATCTGAGCCGTTCGGACATGTCGAGGCGAACTAGGGTCGTATGTAAGTTATGCAATGACGATACAATACCGCGTTGACCCACGCTCGATATGATTCAGTGGCGATTCCAGATCAAGCTCCCCCTTTTGCATGCCCCAGTAATACTCGAAGTGCTCTATCTAGTGTACATGATCAGCGACTGTCCAAGTGCGTCGCGAGAAAATCTACCTGTCGACGGTACTGGCCAACATCCAAAGACAAGATACGGTGTTGAACAACGGGGCAGTTCTCTAGGGTTCTGCGCGTTGAGATGTCGGAAGAAGGTATGGCAATTTTCGGCGTTGGCTTCGGTTGGCGGCGGCGAGACATCGTGTACTGGATGTACGGGGCAAGATGAGGGCGGGTGATGGTCAAGAGCAAGGAGGGGAATGTGATGCGGTCCGCGGATGCCGATCACGACGCGACTTCAACTTGCTCGCCATTGTTGTATGTAATCAGTGGTGGCGGCATCACCCGTATTCCCCGCTTCGGAGTGCCGCTATTGTACCGTCTCGCTCGAGCCCCTGACGCGCGATGTATTCAGGACATTCAAGACTGAACAATGTTCGTCAACTCAAGAGGTGGAAGATTTCTAAGATGAGGCGCACCTCGACGCGTTGTAAGGCGAGATGTCATAATTGAAATCGAACAGAGCGTATAGGAATGAGGTAAGATGTAAGTCCGGCGTGCGCGTGTCAGCTCCGGCGCGTACGCTATAGCTCGACTGTGCAGAGTTAGGATAAGCTTTAGACCCTACCAAAGTGCGGACGGCACAATGGTCGGGAGGGCTAGCTGCTGCGCAAGACCTTGCTCGATGTGGCTCGAGATCACGAAGGGGACCTCAGATGTAGCTCGGCGGAGGCGCGGCGGAAGGGACCGCTTCGCTCCCCTTGGTCCTAGGGAAGTAGACGTCTGGCTGCTCAATCCTCAGTTTCGTGGTGTTGACGTCCGCGTCATGTCGCAGCCACTCGGTTTCCATTGCCACAGCGGCGTCCCAGGCCTTGCGCAACATCGGACGCAGGAATGATACGACGTCGGCTTGGGTCATCGTGTGCATCTCGAGTGACGTGAAGAACACGTAGGTCCAGCCTGCGCTATTGCCTCAGTGAATAGAACTTCACCATGGTATGGGCAAACGCACCTGCCAGGACCCATCTCTCAACGTTCGCCTGCCCGTCCTGCTCATCGAGAATGAGCTGCCGCCGTCCGCGCACGAGGTCCCCCGCTTGAGCGCCGCGCGTGACGATGAGGTTGATCGCCTGCTTCAGCGCGCGCATGGACGAGACGCGTAGATATCGTCGCTTCCCTTGGCGCTTGAGGCTGGAGGCGAAGACTAAGGACATATGCGCTCTTCCGTCGCGCACCGCGCTTTGCACGTGAGCCATGAGGGGGGTGTCATGTTCCTGCGCCTCCTCGATCTTCGCGCGCACGGCTTCTCGCCAAGGCGTGAACGGGCGCTTGAAGGGCTCCTGCAGCTCGACGGGAGCGGGGCGGCCGAGCATGCCGGAAGGGAAGAGGCGCAGAGTTAGGGCCGGGGAGTGAAGTACAGGGAGGGCACGTCGATTGGGAAGCCATTGGCGCCAGGCAGGATGATCGGGGTCCAGTGCCTCCTTGCGGTTGACGTGACCAGGATTGAGCAGCAGGTTGATCGTCCCAGGGGTCTGGTGGCGGAGCTGGGGTACTGTTAGCTGGATCGGGGGTAGAGTTGAAGGCGGCGCGCCTTGACAGATGTAACCCGGGGAAGCTTGGGGAGCTTACTGAGGCCCGAGCATACCGTCATGTATATCCCAGGCTGTCATACGTCTCTTCAGAATGGTGAGCTTGCTAGTGGTTAGCCAGACTGCGCCCGACGTCGGTGCTCGATGGTGGAGAACAAAGATCGAGACGGAGAACAATGGATGTACGCGATGGTCGTGTTTGTTCTGCTCTTCTTACCGACCACCAGCATCAAAGGGATCCACTCAATCTATCTGCGACGAGAGGTGACGCGGTGTCTCTGCTTCTATAGACATCGGCAAGGCTTATGGCGCGTTACGAGTCGACGACCGCGCTCTGTTTTTGAAATATGGTCTCGTCCTACGTGTTTGCGCTGAGATTTACGCAACAAACAAACCTTCCGACTACTTTTCATCTCTCAAAGACACCTTCTGTGCGCTAGCCATATCGTGAGTTACTTACGATCCACGGAGAGCAGAGTGGCCCCGGATGAGGCAGAAGGCGACATCTGTCGACTCCTAAGCTGCTGGGCAGTCAGCGCGGTTGGCCATGTCTTGCAAGTCATAATAAGCTCCTCAACCTTGTCATCCACTGGACATTTTCCACTTCTTAGCATCCCAGTCGGCGAGCGAATTAGTGAACTAACCCGCAGAAGCACCGTCTGCGATTTCGTGCACCGCACATACCGCTCTGAATCTACGGAGACCTTCTGGAACTTCGGCTCGCCAGGTCGTCTGCATAACGCGGTCTAACACAGGGAGAGGCCCTGAATGAGCCCCTCCTTTTCCTTCTCTAGGAAGATTAGGATAAGAGGCGGTCTGAGCTCAAACGGCGCCTACTACGTTGCAAGACGCGGCCGCAAGAACCGGCCAAGTTCGTATGGCCAAGGTAAGTACTGAGCAGCGCCGTCTGCTTCTCTTCTCACCACTATCATTTCCTCGACGACCTCGCCAGCGAGTCCGACAGCGCCATCTACCATACAATTTACTCTGATGCCTGCCGGCGGAGATGTCCAGGGCGTCGTCTCGCCATAGAGGCCCAGTTCAAGGTCAATGCTGCGCTGGATAACGACGATGTGACCTGTCGCGTGTTCGGCGCCGACACACTGCTTGTGTCTTCTCCGACCTCTCGAGCATCATCAGGCGTGCAGAAGGGAAACCTCAGTCCGAAGGTAAATACTAAGCAGAGTGAGTGAAAGACGCTCTCGATCGAAACTTTCGCATTTCGAAGTTCACCCTACGGCTGAGGAATCGCCGAGAGGGCTGATAGCCTTTCCGACTTAGAATCCTCGAGCGGATGTTGTCAAGGCAGAGTCCCCTTAGTTAGGCGCGCGGCTCGGCGGTACATCAAGGTGGGCTGAGTCTCGCAAACCATCCTCCATTAAACTCTAGCGGAATGGCATCCTCACCTAGTGCTGACGCCCTATAGAAACCTTCGGAGGCATGAAACGGCGACGTTCAGTCACTTCGTCGTGCGCGCGACGGGCCATTTGTGAGGTAAGTATGCCAGCGCGCGCGCCAAAGAACCTTGCGCCTTACGCCATGCAAAAATATGTTAAGTGGGCATAGCCACATAGACGTCTCCTCTCCTTCTCGTACTTGAGGCCCGACCGCTTAGCGTCTGGTCGGCTGAATTCTTGATTGGTCGAATGGATCAGACCCCCACGCGCTCGCTCACCTAGGAATGCCTAAGCGAACGTCTTCCTCCAGGTACATATTTCATACTAGCAAATCTCGCCAAGGCGCCGCTTCATCGCGCGGGACACGCTGAATGAATCGCGTGGCTTCTGTCGTCGAGCGAGCACGAAGTCGCGCACTGAAGCTCATGCATTGGAGCGTATTGATCCAACTGTAGAACCTTTGAGTCGTGTGAAAACCAATGCAATATCAGACCCTTGGATGGGCGTAAATTACTGTTCTGCGAGAAATGGCGGTGAGATACGACGCTGGTGCTTAGGCCTGAGGTAATGCACTCTCAAGAAGCTGCCGACGCCGTCGAGCGCGGTCACGTTGAGCGTCGTTCACGCTACGTGTGTGGAACCAATCAGGTGACGCGCGCGTGTACGCGACCATGGATAGTCTGCACGAGTTCCGTGTGGCGAAATATATTACCTTCGATATACCAGAGAAGAAAAAACTCGCTCATGTCACTCCTCAACGGTTCCAATAAAAAGCCACTGCGGGCCTCGTCGTTTCGACGGTCGATTACACAATAGCAGACAAACTACAAGTACATGGGTGCGATGGACTCGCTAAGCAAGTCCATGATAGACCAGCGATGTGGCTATAATAGACCGGCTAAGCGAGTCGCGGCAGCGCGCTGGGGATGATCGGGTGCAGGACCAGCTTGCATCGATAATCCCCAGGGCCGGATCGCACCGAGGGAAGGAGGCCGGCGAAGGAAAACTAGGACGAAGAGAAGAAAGCGGCACCATCATTGTCAACGGACATCTGCTGGTTAGCATTATTGTCAGCCGGCATCTGCTCCTTCAGGTCATCGATCTCGCGCCTCATGAGCTCTCCAATGCGCTTGAGTTCTCTGACGTCGCTCTTGGCATATTTCGGCTCCTTCCCCGCGTTGGGCTTGGTGAGGGCCCAGTTTGCCTTGAAGGCAAGGAAGAACGGCGAGCATTTGACTTTCATCAGAGGGATGACGGGTTCGCCTTTCTTCGTGGTGAAGGGCGGCTCGAATAACTGGCGAATGATCTTTCCCTTCTTGTTGCGAGTGATGTACTGGATGCCGCTCTCCTTGCTCCACTGCTTGAGCAGGGGAACGATGCGGACGTCGACCACGGTGTCGGGAGAAAAAACCTGCGGAGGAGGTCAGGGCAGATGGCGCGGAAGGTAACAAGTATACGCACGTCCTCGTGGAACAAGTAATGCTCGGAGTTCGCCCTTGGCGCCCTTCTCTTCGTCCAGCCCTTGACCTCCTTTGACGCCAGCGCTGTACGAAGTTTCGAAAGCCATGGGGCCGTTGGAAGAAGAATGACTTTGCCTAAGTCCATCGGTATGTGTAGTTCGACACATACTGAAAGGTGGGGTCAGTTTGCGTATAGCGGATGGACGGTGGACATACGAGGGATCAAGTTCAGGCGAGTGTCGAGATTCAGACCATCAGGCTCATGCCCCATCACCATCTCCAGCTGGCGTTTCTTGAAAAAAAAAACGAGGTCAGTCGCATACTATGATGACCTGATGTACGCTCACCTCCACAGAGCTGATCGAACGATCGGCGACATGGCAGAACTGTACGGTCCCGTTCTCATTACTCTGGCCCGTTCCTGCGCAGCGTAAGATACCATCCTCGGATATGAAGGTGGCCGCGAGCTGGTCAGGACGCGGTCGCCCGATGGTCTTAAAGAGTTTGCCTTCCGGGGTATGGTAGCTCGAGCCTTGCTTCTGGTTGCGGGAGCCTTGTCCACGCTCGGGGGTAGCAGTGTAGTCAACGTCGCTCGCGCGGTCAATGTTGGACTCGAAGGACTCCGTGGAGTCAGTCGACGATGGCTTCTTCGCAGGTGGCGACTTGGCGAGCTTCTTGATCAGTCTTGCGGACTGGCGGGAGGGCGTCTGGGGGAGTCGAGTCCTCTTCTTCTGCGCTCGTTGACTGTCTCTCGCAGCGCTCTGCGCCTTGCCCACGATGGCAAGGCCGGTTGTCGCATCGCGCCGGCGAAGGGTATCGTGCCGAGCCTTGCGAAGGCGTTCCTTCGCCGACAAGCGCGCCGGACTGGACATTGTATGACGATGAGACAGACTCAAACGATGTCCAGGCAGTGGCAGGGGGCGGCGCCGGTCAGGGGAGGTGGATGAACAGATGTGGGCGAAGGCAAGGTCGGACTCGCAGCATCCCCCCAATTTTATACGTTCGAGGGGGTTGGCCCTGGATAGCCCCGAAAGGGAGCTGATGGCAGAGGATAACGCCCCTAAGGGTCAATCATCTGCAAACAATGGAGGTCATTGTTGAAGTCGGCCTCGAGGATCGTGGGAAGTCGAATCACCGTCAGGTTGATCGGCATCTGCCGGCCGCAGCACGTTTCCATCCTTGCTCTTGACCATCACTAGGCGCCACTTTGCCCTGAACGCTCATCGCTCCATTTTCGCGATCGACAGCTTATTGGAGCTACTATGCCTTCTATACCATCTGCCGACATCTCTACTCGCAGGGTGTTGAAGAATTGCCCTGTTGTGAAGCATCGCATTTTGTCGTTAGACGCTGGCCAATTTTGCCGACAGGTGCGTAGCCTTCCTTGCAAACTGGTCAGGGTACTGATTGTCATGTTAGATCAACCATTTTGAGTACTACTGGGGTCTACAGAAGGGCGAGCTCAATCTTGACACGCCGCTAAATCACATTGAACGTGAGCTACGCTCCGTACTCCCCCGAATTGCGATCTAACATATCGCAGTCCGCTCAGATATGTCGGAAAAACTGACAGTTGGCGACTGGGCTCTTGTACCAACACCGGAAACGCTGCGATCGATGCTGCGGTTTGCCAAATACAATGCGAAAGCCTCCTTGCACGCCCGCAAGCATTACCTCACGGTTAGTTCCAACGCACACCACCGACCTCAGGCTGATCCCTTCCCAGGTCTTTCCCGCGAAGGAGTATGAATATGAAGTGGTCCCCCTCTATATGTTGAAAGGAAGGTCCCCTACGCTATATGTTCACGGCGACCCGCGCGTCAAGATGTTTCGTGCGCCGTACAAGGGTCTCCCTCGCATCAGGTCTTCCGCGCACCCATTTTTCGTCGCTTGGGTCGCTTGCGATCTCTTAGACCTGCAAGCGCCTCTCGTCATGTCCATCGAAGAATCAGAGGCGCTTAGGAATCCTGTCGGCGACATCATCGATTACTGGTACAATGAGCCCCCAGAGACCTTTCTCATTGGCCCGGACGTCTGGAATCAGCACCGCCATCCTCTTAGCGACGACGGTCAGGACGCCGACGCTGCTCTGCGTAGCTCGCACAAGGCGAACGTCCCTGCCTCGAACGTGCGGAAGACAACCCGCGCTCCCTGCCGCCAGCCGAAGGCCACCACCAGGGCCAAGCCGTATGCGAGATACGACACGCGCCGTGTAGCCGATAGAGGTTCTGCCCTCCCTCGGCCTGGCATCCAATCGGAGGAGCGGCCCGCGGGTCACATCGCTTACGACCTCTCCGACCTACGCACATGGAACGACCGCGCTAGGGCTGAGTCGACGTCTCCCTCCCTGATATGGTCCGAGACGTGGCTCGACGAGGAGTCCGCTTCCGACGCCATTCTCGCGCAGTATCGCCGCGAGAGTGTTCGCGATGCCGAGGATGCGCTGCACCCGCAGAGCACCATCAACGGTGGCGGCCTAGTCTACGGCGAGGGCCAGGACAGGTCGCGCTTCTCCAGCAATAACTGGGCGATGCGGGCGACCGGAGCCTGCCTATGGACGCTGGGTAACCCCCGCGACGGTATCAAGTGCCTCCAGTGATGGACTTGGCGCAGATTCACCGCGAAAAGCCCACAAACGATGACTCGTGTGTGGGATCGGCGACGCTGGTGGCTGCAATGTGCATAGCTCGCGACCTCCCCAGCCTCACCGCCGTGAATCCCTCTACGAACGTGGCGATACCCATAGCTTCGCCGCGCCGTGGTTCCTCGACTGTAGGCACTGCGCATTACAGCACTCGGCGCGTAGCTTCGGCGAGCGTCATCATGCAGGTCGCGATACCGACATGCGATGCGCGCGTCACGTTGCACGACGGTCCGCTTCCTTGCGTCGATGAGGCTCATCGCGCGCGTCCTGGCGACCTTTCGGACTGACCGCGCCTTCCACTGCGTTGCGCGGAAGCGCTCAGTCGCTCGCTATCCTACTCACAATAGTGAAGCCTGCCGACTTGCTAGACCTACATGATGTGCTCGGGGAACATACGAGGTGCCCACTCGGCTGGACGGGATAGTATCCCGCGCTCAGCTTGCTTTGATGAATGACGTGGCGGCGTGGCGGCGATGCAGGGATTGGAGAGGGCCAGAGGTTGTACTCAGCACAGTTTATCGTGTATTGTACGGGCACATAGCTACTCAGAGTCGGGATGACTCAAGATTGGGGCAGGAATGTCGGCGTGCGGCGGTGTTAGGTTTGCAATGCTCGCAGGGTTCCGTCAACAACCTCATTACGAACGTAGACGCTTTTCCCTTGATTCGAAAACGCGTTCTGCGAACTCGATCGCATGTGGTTTACGCGTGGCCATCACCTGATCTCCGGCCCGACGTACAGCCGTGGGTGACATCATCCCACTCCTTCAGCTTGCTCCCATCTGCCATCCTCCGACTTCGCATCTTCACCGTTGTATACTTACCTTGATTTCTCGTCGTGTTGGAACATGAGATTAACCAACTTCATGAAACGTCCTCAGTCTTTGCTGAGTCTCTGTTCCGTGCATGGCTTTCGCGTGTTCTGAGCGTTGTTCGAAGCTATTATCATCATTTCTCAGTCGTGTTTGACTTTGCAAGGGAACTCATTCACGGGCCCAGAGTGACCTGCGTCTACTTCTTCTGAACATTGCCGTGAGCGACGCTCATCCTCTTTCCTTGCATCTGCCGCAGGTAAGACGCCGATCTCAACATCGGTCGTTGCTAATGGTCTCCCACAGGCTCGCTTTTCATCGATTAGTACATAGTACGTAGAGACTACTCACCTTTCGTACACACACTGACAGCTCCTCCTTCATACCATTCATCTGCCCCCATTCCACTCTTGTGCCTCGACTGCCTATTTCGCTCACCCGGCCCAGAAACCCTTTCACCTCGTGCCCACCGCGCTCGCACCCTACATGCTCAACCTACCGTATGTGGTAGTTTGCATTGACTGCGGGACGCGCGACATACCAGAAGGAGATCGCTAAATGACCGTGGTGCGTGCATGTTAGCCTTGAGGACGGCGTATCTGATGCACGCTGCTAAACCTATCTGATGCGCTAGTCCCGGGGCTCGAGCTCAGCTTCAGGCCGCGGAGCGTCCAATCTACTAGAAGCCGTATGTCAGGCGCCGTCTGAACCCTCCGCCGCTCGTTAATGAACTGTAACATACGGTGTTCCCTGCCTTCCAGCATGCATAGCGTCGAAAGAGGCAGGATCGCCCCGCTACCTCTATCGATTGCCCACGACTTTCAGGCGCTGTCCCACGCCACCCAGCAGCTTATCCACGACCTGATGATGACGGTAAGCATCTTCTCTATGTGCCTATCAAGCGGCCTCGCTGCACTGACCTGCGTGAACTCACTGAAGCGCAGCTGTCCGCTGATGCAGGTGGTATTCGCCGACCCTGATAGTGTGCGCCACCCTTGGGGTCCTCGACTATCCGACTGACAAGGCTATCGAAGGACGGTGAGGTCGCGTCTGTATTCTAGCAATGCTCAGCTGACCGTTGGGTAGTAGATTGACGACATAAGGTGCATGGGAGAAGTACCATGCGTAGTCAGGTGCTCGACTGAAGAAAGTCAACCTTCACGGAGCGGGCTCTAGTGACAGTGTAAGCCTATCCGCGCGGCCGCTCGTCAGGCGCTCAAAGAATAATCGTCATAAACACGCCAATAATCCAAGCGGAGGACGGAGTGTACAACGCAAGACCTGCGCGCGAACAATGCACGCCCACGATAGGAAGAATCGCGGACTGAGGACTGCGTCGAAGTCGAGGCTGTGTGTGATCGGGCTCCCAACGGTGAGTGTTCCTATGTCGTCGGATGCCCGTGCTGATCATCCCATTGACAGATGCTCGTTAGCGCGGACATGGCAGCTTCCGGCGCCATAGAGAGCATCCCGACCAGCGCTATACATCCTGCCCTGCGCCACCCTCGCAGGTCGGACATGTTCACTTTAGCCGGGCGGGAGACATCTTCGTAGCAGGTCGGACGACATGTCTATGGCCAATCGGTGGCATCGAAGACTTGACGACTTCAGACGGACTCGCCGAGGCTGCCCGACCGCGATCTGGTGACTCATCCCAAACTTCCAGCGCGGTGGGGCTGCTCCGCCGTCCTATCGCCTCTTCGGTGTCGGTCCACCCGGCGCGCCACTCTACGGTGAGTTCGAATTCGTTCATGCTCATCTCCTTCTGTTGTTACAACGCAGATGCGCTCGATAGTTGCCTGCTCTCCTCTCGCGGGCGGTCTTCGACTTCAGCGAACGGTTACCAGTATGCAAGCAAGTACGCCGTCCTTCGATATCACCGCTAGTCTTCCTCGTACTTCCTAGCCCTTCAGTGGCACAGCTGACCGTGACATGCCATCGCGCGAAGGCTCTTCGAATCCCGTCAAGTGCTGATGCGGTTGTTGAATGCGCAGTCCTATTGAAGCCTTACTGTACTTTCTGTTCGTGGCGCCTGATCAGCTTACCACGACGCGACGGCTGATCACCTTACTAGGACGAAGCAGCTGCCTAGCTCAATGGAGGCAAGGGTACGCATCCGTGAAGTTGATGCCCGCATCTGTATGCCGCCATGAAGGGCGCCTGACCAGCATTGTTACTTCCTACATCAGACTAAAGGTAATGTCCGTCTACGCTGGTTCGACGCCTGACCTGACACAACTAATCGCCTATTTGCGGGACCGCGATACGGCCGATATGAGTGACAGGACATGGTACGCGGACATCTACTTTCTAGCACGACACCGTATGCTACTGACTGACATGGTGTAGGAACGTGGCGGGCACGCTACGCGGCGATAGCCATGGTCCAGGAACGCGAGCGGCAGCGAACGGCGACAAACGGCAGCGAACAGCAACACACGGCAGCGAACGGCAACACACGGCAGCGAACGGAACAGACGACAGGGACTTGCATGGTCGGTAGGCCGCGAGGGTGCCCGGGAGATCAAGTACAGGGTAGGGAAGATCACGGTCATGATCAGGGTGAGCAAATGGCGTCCAGGGTGCGTGAGATCTCACGTCCAGGGTACTGTACGAACGATCGCTTGCAGGGAGTGCGCTCGTCTGGGAAGTGGTCGACAGGGAAAGAGTCGATCAGTCGGCGGCGAGAGGATGGACCAGGCGGCCGCGAGAGAGGATCGACCACGCAGGAGCGAGAGGGGTTGACCAGTAGGTGGAAGATAGCACCCAGGACAAGGGGCATACGAGATAAGTCGACCAGCCACTTCCCGCCGCGGAGCCCGTCATTTACAACGAGGCAGCTCGCTACAGCCGCCGACGATAAGAGTCGATTAGGAGGTCGTCAAGTCCAATTGCGCGGCAAGTCTTTCTTCGCAGCTAGTCTAGTCTATCGTGAGAGCATTTCGAAGAGAGCCGGTCAAGGTTATCATGCAGGATGGTCGAGTCTATCGTGAACGAAAAGCGCTCTGATCAACTCCGCATCATGAAGAGGTTGATCGAATGCGAATCAAAGGCGCCAGCGCACCCCAACTGCCGCGGCCCATCCACGGGATCCGTCAAGCGATAGGCCTCTTCAGACGGTCTCCAGACCAGAGTCGAGCTCATATATGCGCCTCGCGAAGGCGAGGAAGCAGTCGTTATCTGGCGGCTCCCCTGTCAGGCGAACCCGGTGACCTCTGCAAGGGGGCCCTGTCGACCCCTGCGAGGGGACCCGTGCGCGTTGGGACGTACCCGTGCGTGTTGGGATTCACTGGGAAGTACCCCTTCAGGAGACCCTATACCCGTCCGAAGACCCTATGACGCAGCGGTCGAAGTTGGTGCGGCGATAGAGTGTGATGCGTGCGTTGGCAAGGGCGGAATCAAGCGTGGAAGATAGGCCGTCCGGACGTGGAAAATACCATCCGGACGTGGAAGATGGTCCCACCCGACGTGCGTCGCGGCTGTCGACGTCGGCGCTGATAGGGCGCCGTAGACGCGGTTGGAGGGGAGCTATGGCGATGCTCTCGAGCGATGTCGGTGAGTACGCGTCCTTCGTATGCGTGAGAGGCTACTCGTCGTCCATAGGTCTGGCCTTGTCGATGTGGCGCGCGAGCAGTGGCCGGTGGCGTGTGCCCCTAGCTCTCGGCAGTGATGCACCGAGTGCCGGCGCAGACGAGCGGGAAGGTCACGGGCTGGCGGGCACAGCTCCATCCGCATGCTCGCACAGACCTCCCAAACGCGGTATGTGAGTGCCCAAGCTCTGATCGGCGCCGTCCGTCCCATTATCCTCGGAGCGGCGACGAGTGGCGGCAGGCAGGCGGTGGGGGACCCCGTGCTGACGGTGAGGATCCCGGATGGCGAATATGCGCGCGAGGATGGTGGTGCACTGCCGGCTGTCAGTGGGCGAGTGTCAGGAGGGAAGGATGGAAGACTGACTGGATCAGGGGCCGGCGGGGGCACGTCGTGAGACGTATGCGTGTTTGGGAACAGTCGGGGCGGAAGAAGAACACGTTGCAATGCGACAAAGGCGATGGTGCTTTCCGGCACTGTTAGACAGGGATAGCCGCCTGTGGGCCGCGTTCCGCGCGCGCAATGGGGGGCGAGTCCGGAATGCGTTGTGCGGCTGGCCCAGACAAGCCGAATGTGTGGAGTGCGGGGAAATGATGCTGGGTAATTCCTTTTCTCCCATTGTTCTTACTGCTTGCTAGGGGAATGGTAGACTTTCCTAAAGGTCTCTGTCGTTTGCAGCACGCTCGCGTACTGCCTACCATTGTGCCTCAACGATAAGAAAGCGGAAGGTGGATCTGTGGGGTGCTCATTTGAATTCGTCACGACTTTGTTCCACTCAATTGCCCAATCAGAAGCGCGGAGGGTGACTCGTCACGCGAGTCACATCCGCTCCGATTCATAACGCCAGTTGCCCGACACAAACAGTGACAAACTTTCATTCCAGCCTCCCTCTTTGCTGCCCACCATACACCGCCGTCGCCCCGACGCCCTCCTCCCTCCTCTATAACCCTCAACCTGGGCAGCAATGCTACCTGTATCTCGACCCCAACTCCCAACAAACAAGATGACTTCCAAGCCCCACAACAGATCTCACAACAAGGCCGCCTCCACGTCCGTCCTCCCCAGCGGCCGCGGCGGCCTACTCTACGTCAAGGCCCTTCCGGCGACCTCGCATAGCACCCCTTCTCAGCAGCGCTCTGGCAGGAGCAAGAAGGCAGACGCCAATCGCCTCGCCGCACTCGGTCGTTCAGCCCCTGCGCCGTTGGCGCCGTCGGCGGAGCTCTCGAGCAAGTCTGCGCCCGCTACGCCCGAGAAGCATGCGAGGGAACGCCAGGCGGCCAAGGGAAACAAGAAGCAGACCGCGGCAAGGTACCGACAGCAATTTTACTGCCCGGAATGCGTTACTCAAAAATTACCATCTACTGCTCCAGGTCCTCGTCGCAGTCTGCTGCGCAACGCTCCGGCGCCCGCGCAGAGTCCCCCTCTACCAACGCCCCGCAGGCCGATGGGCTTTTCAAGAAGTCGAAGTCGTCTCGTCACTCCGCACCTTATACTTCTTCTACGTCTCGGCGCGGAGACATGTCTCCGCAGCTCTCCAACGTCCCGACCGGGCAGCTCGCGAGCCGCCGTCAGGCGAGCAAGATCGCCTCGAACGTGCCTATCATGGCCGGCTACGACAGCGATGGCGACCGGAACCAGGTAGACTGGCTGGTGAACGAGGATGACGACGAGGACGACTATTCGTCCGCAGACTCCTCTATGCCTGCCACCCCCGCCAACGGTACCGGTATCGCTGTGTTCGGGAATGTCCCGCGTACTGCGCCGATCGCCGGCGCCATCCAGGGCTTCCCCTTCGAGGATAGCCCCTGCAAGGGTCGTCAGATCCCCAGGGCACTCCGTCCGAAGCACCAGCGCTCCCCGAGCGAGAACGTGTTCAACCTCTCGTCCTCGGACGAGGAGAGCAGCTCGCCGTCTACCGGCTCGTCGCCCGTCGACGTCCTCTTCGAGGCTATCGCGCAGAAGGGCGCCACACACCCTGTGCCCCGTCGGTCGGTCTCGTCGCCCGGGATGCGCCCGGTCACCCCGTCGAATGTCGCTGTTGGTACTCCGTCGTCCGCGCCCACGCGCGACGGCCTCAAGGTCAAGTACGCCAACGCGAAGTACCAGACGTCGCCGAGCGCGGCCGTGCTGCCCGCGCCGAACTTTTACGCTTGATTGCGTCGTTCCATTCTTTGATTGATGATGCTCGAGGTGCGTGGCTGCGTCCTGTGTCGTCGCTGGGTCCTGACCGACGCCGTAGCTCATCCCGTCGCCCTCCGCGATCCTTCGTTTGCCCACATAGACGCATGTTAATCAGCCCGAACGTCTGCCGATGCCCACTACGCACCCCGCTATCCTTATTCACTATCCTATCGGCACACGGACTCGGCTGCCTCAGCATACCCTCCACGGCATTCGCGATGGCTCAGGCCTCGACATCATTCATCCTCGGAAACTGCAAAAACCGTCATGGCCACCACGAATTGGACACCCGCGCGCATACCACTGTACTATATCCCTCCACACACTCTCATCTGCCTTCGGACCGCCTGGCCTCCATCGCGCCTTCTCCCCTGGACCGCGGGGAACGTGGCGCACTACGAGGGACGGCCGATTGACCGACGACATATCGTTTAGCTCGTCATCAATTGCGTCATCGGCCGCCGCCGTCCGATCGAGCACAGCACCGCCACCCTCCTATCCTCGACCTCCGCCACTCTATCTATCGTCGGTTTCGTCGCATCTCGTTGTTATTGTTTTCTCTCGCAATTCCCTCTTCGGCGTCCCCTTTCCCCTCTCACGACATCTCGGTTGTATAAAAGGAAAGGCAGATTGTACCCTGGGCTATTATTCTCCATCTGCCAAGACTCGACGACGTGACCTGGGCCTGACCCGAGATCTCTGGGTTAACTTGTGTATAATATGTGGCAGGCCGGTCGCTCATTGCCGTCGACGTGTCGTGCGTCTGGACGGCGCGGCGACACAGCGCGCGTCACGATGCTTATTTCGTCTGCTATCTCGTCTCGGGCTCTGCGTATTTATTATGCTCGCTCGCGGCCGCGCTATGTGGTCGCCATTGTCACGCTCTCGTTGCCGCCATCGCTCGCGCCTCCGTCCACTCGTCGGACTGCCCGAGCCAGGCCGCCGCCATCTCGACAATCACCACCACTACCACCACCACACCGGCTCCGCGTAGACCGCCTCATCCGGCTTTCCACCACCCGCCACACGCACCCACCTCCGTCACTGTTCTTGGTTGTGGAATTCCTTTCTACAATATCTCCCTCTACATACATAAGTGTCTCTCCCCTCGGTATTTACGCTACAGCTACCCCTATCTAAACCAGCCACCGCCCCCCACGTTCCTTTTCCGTTTCCTCCTTCTCTCGTCGCGGGGCTTCACGACTTTATCACACCCTTTCATGGCCGCCCAAAATCCCACACATATACATATACGCCTTCACGCTGCCTTCTTCTCTTATACTCGTTGCACTTACGACTGTATCAATACGTTTGATGATTGCTTCGCGTTCATCATTGTGTTCCTTGTTCGCTATACTTTTACCTTCTTCTTCTGCCCCCCTTTTTTGTCTTCTTTCTCGACACGATCCCTCGTTCATCGCGGGCGGAGGAGGTTCGGGTCTGGGACGCTCGTCATCTGCGTGCCGGTCGCCCGTCGCCTAGCGTTCTGCCTCGCCGCCTTTGCTTCGCTCCCGGGATCGCTCGTCACCCACACGCGTTACCTATCCCTGCGGCGGCTCGTTGTTTTCCTGTGTATCATATCTGGTGAGTCGGCTTTGTCATTTGACCTGGAGGTGAAATAGAGCTGACGGTCTTCGACAGAACAATACCCATGAGCGCCGCTGCCGCCCTCCTAGCCGACAGCCAGTGCTGGTGGCCCGCTCGCCGCCGTCAACTACCCATCCGCCCGTTCCGTAGCGCGCGTCGTCGCCTCGGGCGTCGCTTCGTCGTGGCATCGGTCTCGTCGTGGCGTCGTCGTCCCGTACGGTTGCTCTCGGGGCATTCGTCTGCTCGTAGGGCATTTGTCTCGTTGGGCAACTGTCTTTTCGACTCGTCGCGTACTTGACTGTCGCTTGTTACATATCGTCGGAGCACACGCACGCACGGGCCCTCGCTGCTGCTCGAGGTACTTACATCGTTTACTAGAGTGTACATATACATAGCTTCGGCGCCGCGCGCATTGTCGGACTGTCGCGGACACGGACCACGTTCGTTACCCAGTAGGACTAGTGTAGAAGGTTGTAATGCGCATTATGAATGCATGCGTTGTTACTGTTTGCTGTGGCTGGGCGTGAGACTGGATGGGTGGCAACCGTGCATCTTCCGTGAGAGCGTCTGATCCGGGTATATTCTGTTGAAGGTTCATAGCTCTTCCCACGCCCCTTTCTTCACGCCGCCATCTCGACCTCACTATTCCATGCACCAACCACTTGCTTGCTGAGTTTCTTCGCTTCTGGAGATCCAAAATGACTGTCGTGCTGTCACAGGACATCTCGACCTGTAGGAATATGCACTCTTTGCCCGTAACGGATTTCCGACTGGTCGACCTGGATCCAGGACTCTACCGCCGTCAAGTAGGTTCTCTATCAGCCTCTACCAAACTGGTTTATTGATGAATATGTTAGATAGAGCACTTTGAGTACTATTGGGGCCTCGAAAAGGGCCAGGTGGATTTGGCTTCGTCACTCAATCATGTAGAACGTGAGTATGCGCCACCTTGACCGCGGATTATCTTGGTTGACCATCGCGTCGTCCAGTCCGCCAAGATATGGCGGAGAAGCTGGAGGACTGTGACTGGGTAATTATCCCGACGCAAGAGATTATTCGAACCGTGCATGCACTAGCCGAGTACAACATGACAGCCGGATTGCGCGCACGTAAGAATATTCTGAGGGTATGACTACCACGTTGCCACCTCCAAATGAGCTCATTGTTTTGCAGGAACTAGGTCAAGGACCCTTCGAGTATGAGTTCGTGCCTCTATATCTCCTCCAACGTCGGCCGCAACTCTTCGTCGACGACGGCTCGAGGATCAAGGCCAAACGCGCGCCGTACAAGGCCATGCCTTGCCTCAGGTCTCTAGCGCATCCGCTCTTCGTTATCTGGTTTGCTAGTATGCAGCTGGACTCGTGCGCTGCGCTCGTTATGGAGGAAGATAGAGCTCGTGCTCTCATGGACTCCGTCGGCAATATCGTGATGTGTTGGCTTGAGGAGCCGCCTGAAGAGTTTTTGGTCGGCCAGGACGTGTGGCGGCAACATCGGCACCCTCTGAGCGATGATGGGCACGAAGCGGTTTTGACTTTGGGCGGCGAAAATACACGTAGGACGACGCGCGCACTGTGCAAGCAGAGGAAGACCGGCAAGGTCGCTAGACCTTACGCTAGACTCGACCCTCGTTCCCCGAATCGAAGATGTGCGCTGCCTCGTCCAGGAACCAGGTCTGACGACGAGCAAGGATCAACTCAGTACACCTCGATGGAACATCGGGCGTGGCTCGATGGAGTCGCGCGCGAGACGAACATCGACCCCACGCCCCACAATTCGCTGTCCACCGAGGATGAGACACGACAAGATGTCTTATTAGCAGGCTACCGAGAAGAGATTGCGCGCGATGCTGCCGACGCGCTGAACCCCAGCCATAGCGTTCTGCTATCCAGCGGGCTCATCATTGGCAACGGCTTGGACTGGTCCGGATACTCAAGCAACAATTGGGCGATGCGCGTGCATGGCATTTGCCTGCTGGGGAAAGAGCCTTTTGGTAAAGGCTCAAAGTGAAGTAGGGCGCTACTTCAGTCGTGTGGCATTCTCTGTCTCGACGAGACTTGCGGCGCGGTTTTTAAGCTGCGACTCAGGACCTGCTCAAGGCGGCGCCACTGAGAAATCGGGCTTCCGCTTCCTCGAGCGCCGTGTCAAAAACCTACCAATCGTTCTCGAGCCTAACGCGGGTGCCTCGACGGTTAGATAAATAAATAAATAGGTCATTAGATTCGTGAAGGAGGAGCGGAAACGGATACAACGAGTGTGAGTGTTGGAGATACAATGAGTGTGGGTGATGAGGATACATGCAGCTGAATGAGTGGCTATGTACATTGGTAAAGAGAGTGATGCGTGTAAAGGAGCGGATGGCTGCGAAGGAGGGCGTCGGGCGATCCGACTAATATACAGTACTAGTGTTCATATGATACAGTGGGGCGGCGGTCCTGGCGCGGACCGCCGAGTTGGTTGAGGTTGGGGGGTTAAGCGAGTCGACAATGAACCTCGTAGTTTGCATCGTCCTCTCCATGCGTAAAGACGGTAACACCGATATGTTACATCGATTTCTCGAAGGGCCTCTTTGCCGAATTCAGCAAAAATTTGGCTTGATGCGATTGCATGCTGGTAAAATACCGGAGACACAGATGAAGAGATTGGGCAAGCGCTGCCGCTGCGACTCTCTTCCGCACACAGTACACAGTCGAATCTGTTGTTTGGTCTTCGCGAGGGTGCGAGGGACTTCTTTGCAGCTCCCTGTCGTGCACAGCGCAGAATCGCATGCCAGTCCTTTTTGATGATCTACAGCTACATTTTTGCAACCAACAATCACAAACTATACTACGCTCTGTATGTACAGTATGGGCCTGGCTTGCCCTTGGCGCAGGCGGCAGACCGCCTCGAGTCGAGCGCTATACGCCCGGTCTCATGGACCTGGAGGGCGAGAAAAGGCTGCATGCAGCGCTGGTGAGTGGCGAAGGCGAGCGACGAGGGCGGACGGGACGATGACGGCGTCCTCGACGGCGGGAAGAGTCGCGATCAGCCTCGATGGCGCGCATAGTGCGTCAGCAGGAAGATATGCCGGGATGGACCTGAACGATCACTCGGGGGCGGCCGCGTATGGGTCTTGACCAAGGAGGCAGACATCGTATATGCGCGCCGCCCAGTTGTTGCTCGAGTACCCCGACCAATCGACGCCGTTGCCGATTATGAGGCCGCTACCGAGAAGGACGTTGGTCGTCGGATTGAGGGCGTCGTCGGCGTCGCGGGCGCGCTCGCGGCGATAGCGGGCCAGCTCCGCATCCTCCTTCTCCTCCGCCTCGAGCCACGTCGACGGCCACGAGGATGACGCGCGTGTACGCCGTCGACACGCGACACCGCCAGATGTGGATGATGCAGCGTCGTCGATCCATGCGAGGATGTCCGCACGATCGCGACCCATGCCGCCTTCGACATCGTCGGCGGACTCGACGCCGGGGTGCGGCAGGGCAGACGTTCGTTGGGTGGGATGACGGGCGTCCAGTCGCGCGTAGGGCTTGGAGGCAGCTCTCGCCTTCGTCTTTGGCTGCCTGCACGGTGCGCGCGTCGATCGGCGCACCTTGCCCCCTTGCGCCGCGTTGGTCTCCCGCGAGGTGCAGAGCGTGGGGCGCACCTCGCACCCGTCATCGCTGAGGGGGTGGCGGTGAGGCTTCCAGACGTTTGCACCCATGTACCACTCCTCGGGGGGTTCGTTGAGCCAGCACAAGATGATGCGACTGAGAGGAAACATCATGGCCTTTGCTTGATCCTCGGGCATAACGAAGGTGGCAGTTGTGTCCAGTATTTCGCTCGCCATCCAGAGGACAAACAGAGGGTGGGCCTGCGACCGGATGCGTGGCATGGATTTGTAAGGCGCCCGAACCGCTCTCGTGCTCCTGCCGCGATTGACGTACAGCGAAGGATGACCGCCGCGCTTGAGAAGATGGAGAGGGACAAAATCGTACTCGTATTCTTGCGAATTTAGCTCCTGAAGAGGTGTTAGACATGTAAGCCTGTGTACGAGGTGGATGAACCAACCAGTAGACAATGTCGACGTTCGTGCAAAGTGGCGGTCTTGTTGTGCTCGGCCATGCTGAGTATGGCTTGCAGCGTTTCTTGCGTCGGCATGATCGTCCATTCTCGTTTCTTCAGCCTCTCCGACATGTCTGCGCGGACTAAGAATGCAGGAAAGATTGAGCGTTACGCCATCGCGGGGACTAAAGAAACGCACGGAGTATGCGGTTGAGCGGTGATTCGAGGTCGATGCCTCCTTTTTCGAGGCCCCAGTAGTACTCAAAATGTTCGATCTGGTCGGGGAACAGTCAGAACTGTAAATATGTCACGGAATCTGCGTCTCACCTGGCGCTTGTATCGTCCTGGGTCCAAGTCCAGGACCGGATGATTGACCATCGGGCATTCGTGCATTTTCTTGATTGTAGAGAACGCATCGGACGGTATCGAGGCCATCTTGAAATTGAGGCGCAAAGAAGTATGTCTGACTGTGAATGTCCGAGTGGCGGCTGGGGAATGATGATGGTGGGAGGAACAAAGCAACGTGCCGGCATTCGGGATCAGCCGATCCTGAAATTCCCACGGCCATCTTCAACATCAACAATGGATTTTACCATTGTTTGTGTTGAATCATGTGGGTGATAGCACGCGTGCACAGTTTGAACATCCGCCGCTTGGATATAAAAGCCCGCACGCGGTCCGACGTGACTCCCTGACTCTTCCTCCTCCCCTCATCTCGTCGGAACCGTCTCCCCCTCGGTAAGTCGCTTTTACCTCAACTCCAGCTCTCTTCCTTATTGCACATCCAGCATTCGTCGCGGCACATGGCTCGCAAAAAGTCGGCTGACCCTCCCCCTTCCCCCACCCGGAAATCCCAACGCCTGGCCGCCGCCTTCAGGGCTGCCTCCTCAAGCCGTGCACCGTCTACGCCTAAAGTCAAGAACCGAGCGTACGATGCTGTCAGGCGCGAGAACCGAGCCCGCGAAATGCCACTTCGTAAATCTGCGCGAATCCGAAATCTCCCCCCGGGTTCAGTCCCACCTCCCACGGGTTCGACGCCACCGCCACTCCCCTCCCGACGTCGCCAAGCAGCCCGCGAACCTGCCGTGGGATACACTCCGCAGCGTGCGCCTGGAATAGACCTCGACACGCCTCGAGGTAGGATCCGCTGGGGTGACCCACGACCGACTGGGGCAAGCCTAGCCAAAGTTTCCCTCTCGGGCACAAATTCTGCGCTGTCGGGGGTGAACGTTAGCATGGGCATTCCGATCATTCACCACGCTGATAGGAAGATCAAATCTGAAAAGGTACATACCTTATTCCTCTTGTCGGTGTCGGTAGCTCACACTCCTCTAGCTCAGGACAATGGAGATCACTTTCGGCGAGGATCAGGGTAAACTCAACCTCGACACGCGAGGAAACTTGATGCCGGGTGAGTCAGGTTATATGGATATATAACTTTCAGTCTGATCGTAATTCGTACAGTGGAACCTTCTGTCCATGAGGCCTACGACAGGGGCCTTATCGTTTTCTCCCCCACGCTCCCCGACCTGATCAAATTGTCCAACGCCCTCATCAACAAGGAAGTGGACGGCTGGACCAAGCAGAGGCCTCCCTACAAGAACGCTCAGGGATTCATCCACCACGAAGACGTGCGTACTCCTGAACTCGTTATTTGCGCGTGCGCTGAGGAATGCATCATTCCAGGTCTTTCCCCTAGACGGCACCGGAAGGGAATACCACATCCTCCCGACCGAGAAATGGGATCACGGAAGCCATATCTCGATCAAGGCCGATGGTGACATTGAGGCTCAGCCATACAAGAGCCCGTTCAAGGAAGGAGCGCCGCCTCTCCCCCTCGTAACAATCCACTGCTCGCCCTACTTCGTCGTGTACAAGGCATACCAGGCTATGACCAAGAAGGGTGCCGTTCTTCCTCCGTACATGTCAACAGAGGAGAGGCTCATCCGCAAGATCGGCGAGATCCTGACCGGCAAGGTTGTTCCTCCACTTCCTAAGGCTTAAGCCCCTCGGCGAGTCTTCCTCAAGGCGAATCTGCGGCTCCCTCTCTCCGTTCCGGCACTCGCTCAACCCCCCAACCTCAACCAACTCGGCGGTCCGCGCCAGGACCGCCGCCCCACTGTATCATATCGACACTAGTACTGTATATTAGTCGGATCGCCCGACGCCCTCCTTCGCAGCCATCCCCTCCTTTGCACGCATCACTCTCCTTATCAATGTACATAGCCACTCATTTAGCTGCATGTATCCTCATCACCCACACTCGTTGTATCTCCCACACTCACACTCGTTGTATCCGTTTTCGCTCGCCATTCACGAATCTGATGACCTATTTATTTATTTATCTAACCGTCGAGGGACCCGCGTGAGGCTCGAGAGCGATAGGTAGGTTTTCAACACGGCGCTCGATGAAGCGGAAGCCCGACTTCTCTGTGGCGCCGTCATCGGCGGCGGTAGCGCTCGCGTAGGTCCGAAGTCGACCTTCCTGCTAGTGCTGCGTGCGCGGGCTCGAGCATAGAGATGAACACCACGGCCATCCTGTCGAGGACGTCCTCATCGTCCACGCCACCGCCACCTTCCCCCATGACTTTCGGATGCTGCGTCCCGCTGCCATCAAGGTCCATGAATTTTGGCGCGTCTACCCGTCACTTGGGGCGGTCCGCTACCCTCTCAAGTTCACACCAGGCCCATGCTGTACAGTATCTAGGATAGTTTGCGATCGCTGTCTGCGATGCCACTGTGGCTATAGAATAAATACAGTTCATCGGCCCCTCAACATCAGATTCACACCGACATCGTGCGCACCTCACCGCTGACCGCGCGAGATCAAGCGGAAATTGCAGCGTAACGGTGCGGTCCACAAGCACGAGTTGTACACAACGTGAGATAGCCTGTTCAGTAGCGAACGACGTGAACAAAAGTGGGATCCTGGTCGGTCTGATACCAGTACATGCCCGACGTGAGATCAAATCCCTGCGCCCGAATACTTTCTTCCACCGAGTGGCGAAACAGCCCTAATTTGCCGATGTCCCGCGGTCCAGGCTCCCTCCAAGGTATCCGACCACTTCCGGGTACGTCCTCCAGCAGGTCGTCGGGACACAGGCGCTTCGTAAAGACGGCGCAGACTGGACCGCTGAGCTCCGACCTCGCCGGCGGCCAGACTGATACGATCCAGTCGTGGAAGAGGGTCCCGCGCGGGAGTGGGTATCGCCCTCGCTTGAAGCAAAAGCTGTCGTGGTAGGTGACGGAAGTTTGCGGTCGTCCATCGCTACTCAAGGCAACGACGTGTAGTTCCTCCGAGTGAACACAGATGATGATATATGCACTCTCGTCGTCCGGCTCGCGGAGGTGATTGGCAGTTCGTATCGTGAACATGTGGACCGATGGTCGTTGGTGACCGGCAGGCTCAGGCATCACAGCCAAGGATCTGCTCGATATAAGTTGAGGCGTAAGCTGCATTCCTTGCTGCAGGCTCGGCAGAAGATATTTCTCTAGCGTCAACTCGTCTCCCATCGATACGCAGAAGACGGCATCGGAGACGAGAACCACCTAAGGTTGTAAATAAGGATGAAGACTACGAACGACATCATAATACGTGCCTCATGTACCATGCAACCACAATTCCAGATCGTGTATCGGTCTTGAGTGTAATTCCATATCCCCATCGTGGTGCCTTCGTAGAACACGATCAAGTCACCACAGCGATGACCGTAGCAGATAGCAGGGGCTGTTAGCTGTCCCCGCACCCGGAATCTCGACGCTTGCGAGGAAACGCTAGTCTGTAATACTGAGAGCGCATCTTCGCTGACTAGAATATGAGCGAAATCCCATGAGCATGGAAGGTGGACGTACCGCTCGCCTTGAGCCCGCACCGCGACACATAGCTGGTCAACGACTTCGTAGTTGCCACCTTGCCTCAGCTCACACGAAGCCACGCAAGTTGCTGACGAGGATGGCGATGATAGCCAGAGATCAAGAAGTCGCAATTGGTACGCAGAGATATACAAAAGGTACCTCCCGCCACGGACCATAGTCAGTGATCGAGGGATACACGTAGCGTCTTCGGGGTTGGTGTTCATCATGAGGGGAAACTGATCCGTAGACTTTATTGGAAGACACGCCGGTCTCAGATGCTCCGCTCGACGATTACGGTCCATGAAGTGCAGGACTCGAGCAGGAGCTAACACGATCTCTTCCAGGCGCGACTGTGGGACATCAAATAAATCGTTGTTGTCGCCGCAGAAGAGTCCATCCCGGGCGCAAGCTGCCTTCGCGCGATGAAGCCATGGCGCACGCTGCGCTAGAGCTTCGCGCAGTGCCTTGCATGTCTATTGCGTGTACCAGATCAGAGAGATAGAGGGTCATTAGAGAAAAAGACGTCTGCCCGTGGGCGTACCTTGCGCAAGGCGACAAGGTCCAATGGCAGGAGATTCGGTTCGCTCAAGATGATGATGAGTAGGTCTGATGGAAGAGTATGGAGCAGGATACGCTCCGGCTTTCTTTCGAAAATCAAGTCTCGAAGTCCCTGCACGTAATCGTATCTATGTGGAGGATATAGGCAGGAGCTTGCAGCAAGGAGGTAAGAGGCAAGCGACGACTCCAACTTCCTGCCCGGGGCGGTTGACGGCGAGAGCGGCCCGGCAAGACAGGGGCACAGAGCTCACAGTCACGCGCAGCGGTGACTTGAACACAGAGATCCCATTTGTAGGCGCAGTAAACCTGTAGGATTGAAGCACTTCATTGCATAGCCCATAGCTTGTAGCGATCTCAATGCAGATCAAAGCACATATAAGGTACAAAACCGAAGATAACTAGTAGTGCACAAAGTGCAGAGACGTTTCGTCCAGGCTCTCCGTCTGGTTCCAGTACGTACCGGACGTAGGGTCAAAACCCTGGTTCCTAGCAAGTGGCTCTACCGTGTTGGGAAGCAAGGTCACTTCGACATAATCTCCTGCGCCAGGCGCGTTCTTGAAAACCCGTTCCGCCTCAGATGACCCATTCTCGTCGACCACTGGGCGTTTGGCGAAGATCGCAAGGACGGAGGAGGCCGTGCTCCAACACGGTTGACGGTGTATCTGTGGCCACACGGAGACATACCAGTCACGAAAGGTCGCCCCCAGACGGGTGGTATAACGATGTTGTGCCACGAGAGACTCGTCTGGGTAGTCGACCATCTGCGCTATGCCACCTTCACTAACCGCGACGATCTGAAGCACGTCCAGTGTGAAGTACGCATCCTCTTTTTGGGAACGACGCAAATGGTTGATGTGTCGGGCATTATCTTTGCCCAAAATATACATATTCGTCGGATTGACGCGCAGCGTGTTGATGTCCTGCCTGATGAGTCGAGTGTGCTGGGAATCTTGTATGACGGGGGATGCCGAGATCATATCTGGGATAGCGAAACCATGGAGTTCAGTGGTTGATCCCGCCACGGCGCAGAATAAGATATGTGAAGAGATGACCGCCTAGATGGGCTACGTTAGAGAGGTCGGGTGTTCTGGTCACACTCACGTGCTCACCTGCAGAACCAACCGTTCGCACCTCCATTGCGATTGCGCTCCCGTCATAAAATCCCACACCCCGACAGTGGACCCATCGCTAAATGCTATGAGATCACCGCACCGATAGCAATATCTGAGCTGCAAGGCCGTAATCTGCGCATGTACTCGCAAGCATCGACCCCCTCCCGAGGAAACAGCAGCGCGACATAGTAAGATGGTATTGTCTGCACTACGAAGAGGTCTGATGTCAACAGGCGAACGACAACTATGCGCAGCGATACACACCTTCGGAGCGTTAAGGCCACCCACAGCTCGCAGTCATCTGTCAGCCAGTAATCGTCCACCGTATAAAAGAATGCGTGTGGTAGCGCTAACGAGGCAACGAGCATTTCGTCAACCAATCGCGATGAGCGCCAAAGGTCAAGAAGGCGCAACTCATCAGCGCATACGTAGATGAGATATCTCCCTCCGCGAACGATGGTCACAGCCCTGACGACCGCGTCCTCGGGATCGCTGCTCTTGAGGAGGGAAAACCGCTCTGCGAGTTGCACTGGTAAACATGGCGGCGTCTCCTGTGCATCGCCGCGACAGATGTTCTCCAGGAAGTGGGTGATACGGAAGGGCGCCGCGACGATGTTCTCAAGGTAAGATAGAGGGACATCGGAGAGATCATCGTCGCCGCAGAAGGTATCGTCTTCGGCGCTAATCTCCTTTGCGCGTGCGAGCCAAACGACTCGCAGCGCCAGGACATCGCGCAGCGCCTTGCAGGTCTGTCATGCAGTGAGCACACGTACAGATCAAGGCAGGCAAGCGAGCGCACCTTGCGCAAGGACACAAGGTCCAGCGGGGAGAGCTCAGGCTCGCTCAGGATACTGATGAGTAGATCTATGGGGAGCGTTTGAAGCGTGATCGGCGTCCGTTGCCTCCAGCTCGCGAATAATCGTCGAAGTAGGTACATTTCGCGTCAGATTCTCCAAGTGAGCTCGAAGATCGGTGTAGACGCAGAGAGCAATACGAGGGGACTAGATGTGACGACAACATCGGCGTGGTCCGACATCACAGGGGTTCCCAGGCCCACGGTCCTGCATCATGCGTACACGGCCTACTGTGGCGCATATCATCGCAATGCCTAACATCACGGCACGGCAGAAGACTCTGGAAGGATGCATAGTCCATGAGTTATGCCATTATAGCTGTAGCTTGTGAGTTAAAAGAGTGTACACAAAAAAGATAGGAAAGAGGGGGAGCATCGCAGTATGGCGGTCTCCCAGTAGGTTGTGTTAAGTGTGTCCGTGTTCCCAACGAGCATGGATACCGCTCAAAACTTGAAGCCGCCGGCGAGCGCCATCACGTTGTACGGGTCGACGCGCGCGCGGATCTCCGCCAGGCGCTGCGTGTTGCCCTGGTAGAGCTCGTCGAGCGAGCGGTTGAAGATCGCGTAGTTCGGGTAGAGGGGGAAGCCGCTGATGTCCTGGCCGGAGCTGACGGCGTAGTCGGAGATCTTCTGCGCGCTCTCGCGGATGGCGTCGAAGACGACGTCGTCGGCGAGGTCGGCGCCCCACGCGTAGTAGAGGTTCAGCGGCAGGAACCCCTTGGCGCGCGTGGGCGGGTAGGCGGAGGAGCCCTCGGCGCCGTGCGAGAGATGGCCCGGGAGGAAGGGCTCGATGTCGTAGGAGATGAAGTTGCCGGACTTCCAGGCGAGCTTCGAGCCGACGCGCTGAAAGACAGTCAGTACCGGCAGCGGCTACGAATAGCTTCACCTCACCTTGGTCTCGTTAGCGATGAACTGGACCATATCGAGCGGGTAGCTCTCGAGCGAGACGGTGTTGAAGACGCCACTGCTAGGGTATCAGTAGAGCGTGGGCAGCGACACCAAATGTACATACCGCTGGCCACCCGTAACGTTAGACGGATTGGAGGTGACGAGGTCGACGAAGCTGCGGGCCTTCACATCCTTGCTGAAGTGGGGGATTTCTAGCAACTCATCGAAGATACCCGAAGGTGGCTCCGGACCGTCGTAGAAGAACAGCTGCGAGATGCCAATCTACGGACGGGGAAAGTTAGCGAGGGTGACAGGCGAAGCACAGGAGAGCTCACCTCGCCGAGGAGGAAGTTGTACGCCGATATGATAGCAGCCTTCGGGTCGGTGACCTTTGCGGAGAAATTGGCGACAGCCTCCGAAACCTTGTCGACCTGATCCTGGGTGTAGGTAATGATACCACCCTGAGAGCGAGGGGGTTAGTATGATAGGCAGCATCATGCGGTACCTGGTATACATACCCAAACCTGCTCAGGTTGAGGGTGCGTCTTGAGAGTGAACCGCGTGACGATGCCCTAAGGTTCAGTTCAGCGGTGAGCTAGAACGGTCGAAGAAGGCGATACATACGTAGTTGTTGAATCCACCCTATTCAAGGATTCATCAGCGTCTGCCGCACATCCGTTTGGAAGGTAGCTTTACCTTCAGTGCCCAGAAAAGGTCCGCATCCGACTCCGCGGTGACGGTGGCAATCTCGCCGCTGGGCTTGACGAGCTCGTACGCCTGGATGGTGTCAACGGTCAGACCATACTGGTTGGTCTTCCAGGAATAACCTTAGATAGGGTGAGATTCTTCCTATAGAATGCGAGTTCACAGCACATACCACCGCCCAACGTAAAACCGGCCACGCCGACACCCGATACGCGACCGCCAACAACCATCCGGCCGAGCGGTTCCAGCGTCGCGTACACGTTATCCCAGACATTGCCCGCGCCGACGACAACGTTCTCCGTCGCCTCGTCGTAGGTAACCTCGGAGAACCGGTACATGGCGATGTGCACGCCAGGCGTGGACGAGAACCCGGGGTTCGCGGTGTGCCCGCCGCCCTTGACCTGCGATCTCAGCATCAGCACGAGAACAAGAACACGAGTGCGCGTGGGCGCGCGCCCGACGGCCGGGGGTCACATACCGCAAACGGCGCCTGCGTCTCGTTGACGATGCGAAGCTGGGAAAGGAACGCGCTAATCAGTGATCGAGGGGTATAGAAGCGGGTGGCCACGCACGATGGTCGCGACGTCCTCCGCGGTGCCGGGCTCGACGGTGCATGTCGGCGTCTGCGTCGAGCTCGATGCCCAGTGCTCGATGTCCTTCCACCAGCGGCTGTCCCAGCCTGTGGGGGATCGGCAGGAGCGCGTGAGCGATGGGTCGATGTAGGAGGAGTTATTCACGCACCATCCTTGATAAAGGCCGACGACTCTGACAGCGCATCCGCGATCTGCGCGCACGCTGCGCTCGCGTCGCCCGCAAGAGCGGGAGGGAGTGAAGATAAAAGAGCGGGGAGGAGGAAGAGAGCGGAATGCATGGTTGGGGGGACACGAGCAATCCATGACGAGGACCCGCGGCTTTATATCCCTTCCCCCAGGGCGCTTGCTTACGCCGGCTCCCGGCCTGCGGGAGAGGGCCGCGTGTGAAACGGAAAACCATAAATTTCCTTGGCTACATCAGCTCACTTCATGGATCGGACGTGCGGGAGGCAGACGTTCGTCCGCGCGCGGCTAGGGTCATGCGGAGGACTGGAGAAATCGCCACTTCTGTGCGTTGATTGAGGCATACCGGGACGTTGGGTGCGTCAGGTGATGGAATACTGCGACCTGGACCGTAGAAACCAGAACTTCTTGGAGACCTTTGTATACAGTGATGATTTCAGGTGAAAACGTCTTGATGTTGTAGTTACGAACGCAGGTGGGAGGGCGGAGTGGTAGCCGAGGGTACTGGACGGGCTGGACGGACGAGTGGGAGGCGGATAAAGTCCATGACAAGTTGGAAAATAAAAGGCGACCCTCCCGCCGGCGCAGTTCCGGGTGTATGAAATTGGAATATTGAGGCGTCGGGCTGCTGATCCCCCTTCATCTGGAAGATTATCTTGGATGTTGTCGTCAGTGTAGGGTTTCGGACTTCGACAAAGTACCGACCGTATTACACTCATCTGTCTTGGACAGACTGACCGGGTACTCAGAAGTACCTAGGCGTGAATACAGGAATCACTTCTCTCTTCAAAGTCGCGCCCTGGCGTTCCGGCCGCTCGGCTATAGTGACGACACTGACCTTAAGGTTGACAGCGCACAGGGTCAACGTTGTCAACCAGAAATCCATATCGCTCTTCATCTGTGTCGGGAGCAGAGAGCGGGCGCGGAGGTGAGATAGAGCAGGGGCAGAAATGAGTACGAGCACCGATTCGAACTTGGAGGTCCGAGTTGATCCAAGGCTGTCAATCATAACATCAACCGGTCACACGACCAAACACGACCAACTCGAGCCGAACTTCGAGTGCACAAGCAGTCCGATAAAATCAGTCAAGAGCATGTAGGCCCCAGTCCTTTGACTGTAGGCACGAGTGTTAGTATGCATATAACTTATTGATACAAATCCTGCCGTGCAAGACATCCAAAGAAAGCACACGAAATGATAGGTATACACGAGATACGATCCGCTACGAGGTCTTGCCCTCCATGGCCTCCTCGACGAGCACGCCCACCCAGCGCTCAAACTTCTCCTGGTCCATGACACCGGACGCGTCGAAGAACGTGTTGTACCCGGCCGCGCCCCGCGTCTTGCCCTTGGCCAGCAGTGACTTGCCGCCGCTAGTCGAGCGCAGGTAGGTGACGGAGAGCTCGTACGCGGGCGGGGTCTCGCGCGTTGCGCGTTCTGTTCGTGAGCTGAGGGTGATCTTTTCGGTGATGATCTGCGAGGGGGGCGGGTCAGCACATACAGCGCGAACCGCTCGCGACGACGATCACACGCACCCGCTTCGAGAACGATTTGCGCTTGCCGACGAACACGACGTTCCCCTCGACGAAGAACGCGTATAATGTTTGTAATGTCGTCAGGATGCAGTATCTGCGCGGGGTCAGACGGGTGATAGCCATCCATGACGCGGTCCACGCACAGTATTAGTCCTGCCCACACGCCCTTCTTCGACTGCTCAAATTCCACTTTGTAGCCGTACAGCGCGGTCCCGCCGGCGACGAGCACGCTCAGCCAGCCAAGGCCGAGCCGGACGTCAGTGTGCGTGTGTATTTGCTTGAAGAGGTCTGGTCGTGAGAGGTACTGCAGCCGCATTCTGTGAGCGCTCGCCCGGGCATCGCTATCCGGCAAACTCACGCGTTTAACAGTGTCGTCGCATGCGTTCTTGAGTTCTGTAGTGCTGGCGTTGTTGACCTTGACGAGCTCGCGCTCTTCGGGGGCCACCGCGACGTCGAGTGGGCCAGTTGGCCGGTCGGGCGAGGAGGGTGTCGATGATGACGCTGAGAGGCGGCGACGCGACGGGCTCGGGGTGCGCAGGCGGGGCGTCCCATTTTCTGACTGTCTGGCTGCGCGAGGCATGATGGGAAGGCCGGGACACGAGGAGAAAGGTGGAGGAGGAAAGGGTCAGGGACAAGGGTGGCCGGCCCAAGAGATAATGGCGGCTGCAGAAACAACGTGTCGACACGTGATGATGCGTTTATGTGGCGTTCACCCGCATCAGGCGGGGAAGTCGAACTTCATCTCGCTCGTGGCTCTGGAGGCTTTCTTCGTAAAGCAAGTGGGATATCTACCTTGAATAGTACGTATATCTAGTCTACTTCACCCGCTTATCCTCCGTCTTCGCGTCGTCGCGGCGAAAAATTAAACATCGTCCTCCCAATTATCTGGCACCTCCCCTGAAGCCGCCGCGGCCACGGGGGCCTGTACTGATGCCTGCGGGGTGCGCGTCGCGGCACGAGGGGGCGCCGCCGACAACGAGGCCGCCGCCGCAGGAGGTTGCGGAGACGCCCTCGACGCCTCGTGCGCCGCAGATACTGGCCTGGGTGCCACCGGCTGGGGCGAGGCGGAGGGGGTGGGCACCACCGGGGGAGTCGCGGAGGCTGGCGCGCGCCACGCCGGCGAATTCGCCATCCGCAGGTTAGCTAGTTTGCCCAGACCGCCGCCCGAAGGCGCGCTCGTGGTGATGGTCGTGTAGAGCGAGGGGTTTGGGATTCGCGTGTCGATCCGGCGTGAGAGCTGGACGCTTGGGGAGAGTCAGTAAACACGTTGAGTTGTGTGTAATCGGGTCCGTACCTGGTGTGAGGCTCTGAGTCTATCATTCTCGTGTCCATCCTGTAAACGGCAGCGAGCTGAAGAGCACAAGGAGGTCAGCTCTGGGTCTCAGTTATAGCAGGGCAAAGTACGTACATCGTGCACGAACTTCCGCCGCTCGGGAGGCATATGTGGGAGCACTTGCGTCTTCTTGTCCGACGCGATGAACCTAAGGGTGATTAAATACACTCATCCAGAATCAGAAAGACAATCAACATACTCCTTGAACGTCTTCTCCACAAGCGCGACGAACTTCGGATTCGCTCTGCCGAACGCGACGACCTCGTCCTTGTACTCAACCTTGTCAGCCTTCGCAGCATCATTCGTCGAGATGCCCAACGCCTCCGCAAGTCGCGCGTTGCGCTTAGCGATCGCGCACTCGTTCGTACATTTCGGTGGCGCGCGCTCCTTCTTGACGCTCCCGGTGCAGTTGCCGCAGCGCACGCTCTGCTTGTTGCGACCACAGGGGCAGCTGAGAGTCACCAGCGCTTGGCAAGGCGCATCCTCAGGACAAGCCGCCGGCGCATGACACGGCTGTGTACAAGGGTGCTTGTCCGGGAAACTATCGCATCGTCAGTGGAAGCCCTCACCCCGCCAAACACTTCATACTCACCACAACTTCCTCGGCTTCCCGCACACTGCTGTGCACTCCCCACACTCGCCCGCGTGACAGAGCCTTTCGCAGTGGTGGAACCCACAGCGCATCAGCTTACCACAGGGCGTCCCGCAGTTCACCTTCTCGCGCTCGAGCGAGCAGCGCAGATTGCGGACTTCCTTCTTCCCGCACGCGCAGAGCTTAGTCGTGAGGAAGGGGCACGGCGGGCAGCTAACCGTGTCGTCGTGGCAGGTGTGCTGCGTGCGAGGGTGGCCGCAGGGGGGCGGGGGCATCGGGCACTGGTAGTTGCAGCGTATCTTCGTACCGCAAGGGATGGGAGGATCGAGGACGGTTCGACCGCAGAAGCAGATCATCTAAACGTAGTTGTAGAGGGTATAGGAGTATAAGACCGGACAGACGTACCTCCTCGAACGAACTACGCAAACAAGGCGGACACGGTCCTCGATGATCGCGCTCCTCGCAGCGATGATTCCCGCACGTCAACGGCTTCCCGCATACGAGATCGCACTCGTGCAGACCGCCACGCTCTTCCCCGACGTTCATCTCCTCCGCTGTGCCGAGCGGGCGCTTCTTCTTGCCCTTCCCCTTCGCCAGAGCAGCCAGGGGGCAGCATATGCGATTGCACTGGTGTCGTCCGCAAGCGCGCAGCGCGGGACATGGGCGATCGCACAGAATCTCGCTACCACCATCTCCAGTGATCTCGGAGCAGAGCACGCTCTTCGTCGACAGGCCGCAGCGACATGGGCGGGTGATGGGTACGGAACAAGGAGGGCACGGCCCAGTATGACACTTCGCTTCGCACGGGTGACTGCATCCGGGATGGGGCTTCGAGCACTTGCTATCGCAGGTCGGTATGGGGTCTGAGCAGGAGGTGCGGGTAGGAAAGTCGGACGCGGGATGTCGACCACACGGGCAGCGAGTGACGAGAGACGGGGAGAAAGGGCACGGTGGTGCAGATCGTGATGGCGGATGGCAGGGCTTCTGGCACTTGTGGACGCCACAGTCAAAGAGACTGGTAGGGTAGTCAGTAAAAGTGCTACAAAGCTGGCGATGAACGCACCGATCACAAGTCTGACCGCACGCAAACCTCCCAAACCATGTCTCGCCACCTTCGATCTCGCAGGCCTCCGCCTCTCCCTCGCCGCACTTGACTTCCTTCTCCTCCTTGCCGCAATAGCACTTCACGGTCTCGGTGATGTCGCAAGGACCGCAATCACCTTCATGACATGTCCTCTCGCAAGTGTGCTTGCCGCAAGAGAGGCGACGTCCGCAGGGCTCTCCGCAAGAAGCCAAGTTCGCTGCATTCGCTTCTCGTCCCGAGCAACGGAATGCGATGACCCGCCGACGCGGACAGTAGCATTCGAGCTCTATTCGTACTTGACACGGTGGACACGGCCCCGGATGGCACGTCAAGGGACACGCGTGCCCGCATCCACTAGGGCGAGGACGCGAGCAAGGCCCGGCGCACGAGTGCGGCGTCGCCAGACGCGGTGGCTTCGGCTCGGGTGTCGAGCCGCAGAAGCACCAGTAGCCCGGCGGAATGACCTCCCGACGCCCTTGACAGCCCGGACAGCGCCAGTCGCCCGGCTTGTCCTGATTGCGCGCGCGCCACGCCTCCGCCATCTCCTTCACGCTCTTCGTGGCCCACGGGCGGATGCATTTGAGGTGGAAGGTCGTCCAGCAGTACTGCGCCTCGCCCTCCGTGATGACGGGGATGTTGGGAGAGCAGGACCAGGTGGGCTGCGCGGGGTGGATTGGGGAGAAGCAGATCGGGCAGTCGGGGTAGGGAGGTGTCTTGAGGGCGTGGGTGAGGATAGATGTGAGATCATCGGCGGGGGGTTCGACGGGTTTGTCCTTGGGTCGAGGGCGAGGGCGTGAAGGAGTGCCGGAAGACGCTCCATCTGGTGCGCCCGATCGCTGCTGACCACGTCGATTTCTCCCGCCACGGCGCGCACCATTGGGGTGACCAGATGAAGGGCCTCCAGCATCCGATGAAGCAGCGGACGCAGTCTGACCGTCCGCGTCCGCAAGTCCCGGCTTGGGGCGATTCCTCTTTGGCGCGTTCCCCTCGGAGTCGCGCGTCTTCTCCGACTGCTGCCCTTGTCCGCCACGTCGTCGAGGGTGGTGGGGACGTGGCGCGCCCTCCGTCGTAGCAGTGGGTCGTGAGCCTTCACCCGCTGTAGCGCGTTCGCCTGCATGATCGCGGTTCCTGCCTTTCCCTCGCCTGCTGGGGTTTGCTGGAGGCGCCGTGCGCGCGCTTTCCACTGTGGCGCCCTCCATGATTCCGGATAAATCCAGGCAAGGTCTTGGAAGGAAGTTCTGTGAAGAGCAAAAGATGCGCGACGGCTTAAAAAGAGGGATCCGGTCGAGCCTGAGTCAGCGGGAGTTAAGGCTTGTCGGCGCCAACGATGAGCCGCTTGGGCACTGCTTCTCGAGTGAGTGCGACTGGGGACAGATATGCACCAGAATCGGGAGTGTTTCTGAGTATATGAGTGTAATGTAAGCCTGCTGGTGACGTGTGGGTGGCAGTTCGGGACAAGAACGATTGGCCAATTACTGCTTAATCCGGAGTACAATGCGTGGGATCTTCGCTCCTTTTTGGCTCACGGCGTTTGCCGAGTCTATCTCACCTCTCCATCCTCTTCCACTCGTTTGCGCTTCATTTTCACGGAACGCGGAATATCTTACCCTCCGGATACAGTGCTATTGACATGGACTCGTGCTGCGCAGTCAAGCATTCATTCTCGTGAAATCATCGTCTCAGAATGGATGTGCGTAGCGATATTTGATGGTACTTATTTTGAATGCAAGTCGTGCTCGTCTGGTCCAGCCTATCGAGGAGAATCTTGTGAGTGCTCCACGATTTCTTCGCCTGATTATCTGCGCTCACCTGGGCCTTCATTTAGCTTGCGCCAGACTCAGACTCGAGGGCTCGGCACAGGATTCTAAGTAAATGGCCAAAATTCTACCTGAGCTTCGCACGAAATACTTTTGGCGCGCGCAAGCGTTTTCAGGCAGGCGTCGGCATACCGTTGGCCGTCCAGCAGAAGTTATCGTGGAGTCTACATGCAGTTCTAAATCTCAATGAATGGTAGTCTTCGTCGTGACTTTGGTCCGGGAATCGAAACCGCAAAGCACTTCATCGCTAATGGACTTCAACGTTGACTGTGACTCGTGAGTCGACATGCCGTGATGTCGCGGCCCAGCTAACTAGTGACACTGACCATCGTGGCTGTTGACGAGCGGTGGTGGGCTTTGGGCGGGCTAGCGACTAGCGGAGGTGGACGGCTATGACCTCAATTATCGTGCGTTCATGTACGGACCCGCTTTCATCTTACGTGTGAATGTTCGCGCTGCGCTCAAATGAATGGTCGGAGAAAAACAGGGCAAGCTCTACGCCCTCACAGACTTCGAGGACCCGTGGCTGACACGATGCATCTGTGGGTCTACATCGCCCATCGCCTGTCTTCCAGCCTCCATGCGTCTCTGCAGCTAACTCATCGCAGGCTCCAACATAGCGCTTCCAGCTCCCGTTCTAGTAGCTTCTTGCATTGCGTCTGAGCTGACTGGCCTTTTCCGGGATCGCCGACAACGCTGCTCTGGTCTTCTCAACCTCGTGTTCGTCGCACGGTCCTCGTGTGCTGCAGGCCTCGCGCAAGAGGGATCCATCACATCTCATATAGCCCCTACCTACGAGCATGTCCTTCTTCGTCCAGCTACTCTCTCGCTGGCTCCCTGTTCCCCCCATGGCTGCCCCTCCACGCGTCCAGACACCGAATCGACGGATGATTTACGGCGTTATGCACGCCGAATGCCGTCAGTTCTCATCGCTGGACTGGACCCACTTTGTGTACTATGACGGTGTCCAGCGCGCCGACTGGGTCAAACAGCTGGAAGGGTACAAGCTGCGAAGGATGGAGCAGTGGAAGCAAGCGAGCGGCTGGGCCCACGAGTTCCTGTACTTCACGTTCTATACCACGCACCAGGGCAAAGACTTCGTGCGCTACCTCCGTCTCGATCGCATGGGGCAGCTCACCGAGGTCGACGACCCGAACACGACCCCCGGGCCCAGCGACATCGCGCTCTCCGTCTCCAAACCCCAGACCATCGGCTCGTCCGCCCATGCGTCCGACGCGACTGCAGCGCTGCTGGGCACAAAGGCGGCCGGCGACTCGGTCACGGTTGACCCGTATCGCCACGACACCATCGTCGGCAGGCGCAACTGGCCCGCCGGTAGCCAGCTCCTGTACGCTCTCGACTTCCCTCCCGACCAACAGCCCACCATCCTCCACCTCGCGCTCGTCATCGACAGGATCCACAGCATCGGCCCGCATTATAAGCTGCTCGGCACCATGTGCTACTGGTACGCGCGCAGCGTGTACGAGGTCCTGAAGGCCAAGTTCGGCGGGCGCGAGCAGCGGACGCGGCACGCCAATAAGCGCGGGACGTACATGGGCAAGCTCTTCGTCAGCGACGACCTGCACTTCGATCTCTCGCAGCTGTCGGACGACGTGCTGCGCAAGGCTGCAAAGAAGGCGTATCCGCGCAAAGGTCTGCTCGGGAGCTCGTCGTCAGGGCCCGACGGTATCGACTCGCAGGAGGGACAAGCGCTTACGGCGCAGCTGCGAGCGGAGCGCAGCAGCTTGGGGCAGGCTTGCCCCGATGTGTTCGCCATGGTCGAGCTTCCCTCCTCTTCTACGCGCGCGAGGTTCATTCGGCCAATCGAGGATCTCATTGACAAGCTCGACAACATGTATGCGACAAAGGTCGAGGAAATACAAGCTGAAGTGTTCAACAATATGGTACGTGTCCTCGTCAACTTGGTTGTGTTACCTCGTATTGATGTCTCGCACAGGATGACGCTGTCAAAGATGCCGAGGTTTGCTACAAGTGCAGTCCGACTGCGATTTCTAATTGACCTTCCTTCGCAGAATCGTGCCCGCGCAGCCGAGGCCATGCAAAGGGAAACGGAGGCGAGGCGAAAAGAATTGGAGGCTAGGCAACGAGAATTGGAGGATAGGCTAGCCGTCTACGAGCAGCAAGACGCCAGGAAATCTGTGCAGGGTCGGAGCCCTTGAATTGGTCGGCATTTCATCCACTATGCTATACTGTTGCCGTAGGCTATTCCTCTTTTAGCACCGGGCAGTCTTGCAGTGTGGCCTCACTATGACTGCGTTAGTTTATTATTCGTCGTGCAATCGGCGCATTACAGCCTCTTATATCCTTTGACTTACCTTCTCGAGTACATGCATGTATCACTATATGTAGGACTTGATTCTAGCCTCCGATCTCTCCGATGTAACAAGAAAGCTGTTCGTATCTGTCGGCCGCGCCATCTCCTTCGACGATGTTCACCGGTTGAGCATCGTTCAACAAGAATTCTAGATACTGATAAATACATACGTAGCGAACGGATGTTATACAAAGGGATATCGAGTTCTGCGTATCACGCATGCTAGCTTGTGCCTTCACGTGGACCCTCCCTACCTGAGGGTTTTGAAGTCCATCCGAGCCTCGCACCATCGCGCGCAAGGCTGTCTCAAGCCGATCCCTTCGGCCGTTGTCGATCTTGGGAGGACAGCATTTGACCCAGAGTCAAAGCGCAGGCGAAGGACACCTGCGTCGACGAGGCATGAGCCGCGGGCATTTTTCTTGGAAATGCAGATGGCGGAGCATTCGTCGAGCTGGGGGTCGGCGCAGAAGGTGACAGAAAAAGTGCGCGCGGGGCAGCGTTCTGAACGCTATGCGATAAGTAGGCCTTGACACAACCACACAAGTCGACGTATGATGGCGTTCGATGCGAGTACGACAGTGAGATCGTAGCCTTTACCGGGGATTCCTGTCATTGACATTAGCTTCCTGCGACGACAGGTATCGTATCTTACCAGCTCAAGGGAATGCTTGCGCGATCGGATACTGGCAGTTTTGTAGTACTCAGCCACCTCATACATGGCGTCCAAAGCGTCTTCGTAAGCATCATGATCCACTCAAGGGATTGGAACTCTGCCGACATATTTTCGACGCACTGAAGATGATTAGCTTATGTCCAGGTGCGGCATGCCAAGGTCACTAACGTGCAATATGGTCGAGTTGCGAGTCAAGGTCCAATTCCCACCATGACGTTCAGGTTTGCCGCTTTCGAATTTGGAGGGAACGAGATTCCAGTCCACATCCCTTCTCGTTGATGCATAAGGTGCAATTCCAACTAATAACCTCGGCTGTAATATACATAGATAGACCCTGATATCCGTCACTTAGAAGCATAGTAGAATTGGATGAGCGCCAAACTCCTACGGAGATCATGTCGCCACAAAAATCGACTAAGAAGCACCTTGTACTGCGGATGAAACTCACGCCCCACCACCACCACCCAGCCCTGCACTCACCCCACGCAGCACGCCCGCGAAGTTCACGTTGCTGAAGAACGAGCGTGCCGTCGACGCAGAGAAGGACGTCGTCCGACGCGACGTCTGCACATGCTTCGTCTGCGCGGGATGCGGCTCCGGGCGTTGGACGTGCGCCGCCAGCGCGTCGTCAGAATGGACCGGTTGCGCGTCCTTAAAGCGTTCAGAAGGAGCGTCCAGTACGCGGTGACTGTCGGCGCTCGACGCAGCGCTGGCGTTTTGCGCGTGCAATATCGAGCCGGTCGACGCTGCCCGGCTGCGCCTAGGCGTCGTGGAGGAAGGGGAGGCCTGCAAGGAGGCCCGCCTCTCCGTCGACGCGCGCGCGAGGGTGGTAGGCACCACCGACGCCGGTCCAGGGCGACCCGTCGCGCGCACAGTAGCGTCCTCCAACGGAGACTCCTGCGGGCGCGCCGGGAAGATCGTCGGGCTCGAAGACGTGCTCGACGTCGAGCTGGAAGTGGGTTCAGGCGTCCCGAGCGTATTCGCCCTCTTCGGCGTCCTCCCACTCGACTTCGTCGGCGTGCCGCCCTGCGACCTCGGAGCCGCCCCCCGCGACTTCGTCCGCACCAAGCCAAAGAAGCTCGTGCCCATATTCGACTGGAAGTCCGTATCTGACGCAGTACCCTCCGCTCTCTGCTGCCTCGCCGCCGGCCCCCTCGAGCGCGACCGCGAGCGAATCATGCGTAGCAAGTTATGCCCGGTCGTCGCCTGATTCAACGGATGGGGTCCCAGCTCCTCCTTCGACGACGACGATGAGCCAGAGGCCGAAATCGAGTCCTTCGAGCCCGCTGGTGACACCACCTCGGAGTCCATAGGCGATTGTACCTTCGACCCCGGTACCGGACGCCTCTTCTTCGGGCCTCTCGACAAGCTCCGCATCATCCTCATGATCGGGGAGCCTGGTCTCGAGTTGGGCGACCCTAGCCATGGGTCACTGCCCTCGCCGATCGATGCCGCGTCGTCCATAGAGAGCGGGACCCATCCGTCATCGAAGGTGCCCTTGGAGACCTTGTGAGTGATATGAGGGGTCTGTGGTGTAATCTTGGGCGTCTCGGGCACGATGAGGGGCGACTCGTAGGGCGAAGTGGAGGTATCCAGTGGTGGGGTAGCGCCCGCAAGCGGCGTGGCTGGGGCGGTTGTCGTGACATTGACTGCAGGAGGCGCGGTAGCGGTGGTGATCGCCTGGGTCGTGGGCGATCTTTCGTCTCCTTGCATTCCTTCAGAAAGCGCACTAGGTGGGGCGCGAGAGAGCGCTCTCTCCGTACTTGCCCCCGAAGCACTCCGCCGACCTCTGTCATCACTCTTCCGACTCTCCGCGTGCATATCACCCGCCCTCGACGCCGGCCTCCCTCTCTCCCTCCGCGACGAACCGGGTCGTGACATTGTCGACACAGGGCGCGACTTATTCGACGTCGGTCTTGACCCCTCATGTGATGACCCCGGTCGGGTCGACCCTCCATGCGACGACGATGGGCGAGACGACGACGATAGAGGACGCGAGGCCGTGACCGAATAAGGTCGCAACTGCGACGACGTCGACACCCGCGGGGGCGTATCTGCCCCAGACGTGTCCACGGACACCTTGCCCGACGGTTCGACCGACAGCATCATCGAGCTTGCTCTCGACGACGGCCTCATTGCCGACGCCAACCCCACCGCACTCGCTGGCCTACTCTGCCCTGTGATACTCGCCGGCCGACTCGGGCGCTCATCTACCACCGGCGGCGGGCTCGGGCGCTTCGCAGGCTGCTGCGCGGTGCGACGCGAAATCGACGCGCAGAGCATGCCGTCCTCACACTTGGCGACGGTGCCGTCTCCCAGACCGCTATCGTTGACACCCGCGGCCGCCGCGTCTTCGTCGTCGTACACGCCCAGCGCCTCCTCCGAGGCCTCGTGGAATACATCGTCTTCTGAGTCGCTGCTGCACGATCCGGACTGGGATTCTTCATCGTCGGGCGCAAGACTCCAGCGACACGTAGTATCGCCCTTCTGCAGCGCCGCCGCGACGCCCTCCGCTACGCTCGCGGGCGAGTCTGTGATGACACCCTGCGGTCCAAAGACGCTTCCCCGCGACCCAGAAATACTGTTCCGCGAGCCCGGCGATCCCGAACGCAGCGCCGACGGCTGCATCTGCCGCGCCAGCGACGCTGAGCTACCTGGGCGGCTCGTCGACTTGCGCAAGGAGGCATGACTTGTGTTGCGCAACAATGACGTGCGGCTGCTCTTCCCGACGAGCGGGAGTGAGAGCGGCACGACAAGCGTGTCCTTGACCTCCATTCGCGAAGGCGCACCGTCCTTCGACAACGACACCCTGGAGGCGGAGGCAGAACCTGGGCGTGATGCAGCAGGGGATGTGGCGGCGGAAGATCGGCCCGAAGACCGACGGGGTAGGGGGAAGTCTCCGTCGAAGGACTTCGCGCCTGTCAAAGGTTTGAGGGGCAAATCCGAGGCCGACGAGTCCGTTGCAGGCGAGGGGTCAATCCCTGAATCCGTCGAGGGAGAGACGGGCGAATCGGATGTGCCCATGGCGGAGAATGTCGAATGCGGGTCGGTCTCATCTAGGAGGGTCGCCGGCTGCTCGTCGAGGGAGTGCAATCTCCGCTTCTTGAGCACGTCGATCTCGTCCACATTTAGTTGCAGGGAGAGCGGGCGTGGCGAGGGGGACTAGAGCGGATGAGTACAGTGCATATATGCGAGTATGGCATGGACGTACTAGATCTCTTGCCCCTTCTCTTAGCTTCGCCTTCCTCTGCTCTTCCTCGGCTTCCCTCTTCTTCACATCCTGGGGCCCGCTGTACTCCTTCCATGCTCTGAATGCCCGCGCTGTCCATCTGATCGCGCGCGCCGGGTGTTCCGTCGCGGAGAAGCACTCCATGCAGCAGGGCCGCAGCGGCATGAGCAGATCGCCGCTCTCGTCCCACTCGTCCGGCCCCATTGTGTGCGTCGGCGTCGGCGGCGTGGAGCTCTGACGGCTGGGCGTCGCAGAAAGCTGCCGCGGTGGCGTCGGATGCTGCTGCAATCCTATGCGTTGCAGAAACGTCGTACGGGGAGATGAACTGAGTTCCGGTGATGCAGCAACCTCTTCTGGTATGGTTGCTGGTGTGCGGTGCATGGGCTGCGGCGAAGGAGGATCCACCGCGGGGAGCAATTCTGCGATCGGGGTCGACTCGCAGTGACAGTGGATATGGGGGCTATGGTGTTTCAATGCGGAGGGGAGTTCAGGGCTGTCTGGGTGGGGCGTAGTCGGTGCAGAGACGAATCTAGGGAGTATGAAAGGGGGGAAGCGTGTTTAGCACATTGTCATTGACGAGGAGGACTACATCAGACAAACGCACCCTATCGTCGGTACGCGGACGGACCAAAGGGTGGTGTCGCGGCGTACCACCATGCGCGTACGGGAGCGCGAACGCTGGCGGCCTGGCGGGGAAGGCAGGTTGGGTATGACATTGCAGCGGTTGGCGAAGCGCACGAGGCGGCGCGCGGCGTCGCCGCTACTGTCCGTGCCCGTGCTCGTGCTCGCGCTGGGCGAGTCTGTGAGCATAGTGCGGGTATCGTCGTCGTATTGAAGTCACTCGTCGTCTTGCAAGAGCTCGCAGACGTCGGGACGGAGGGTTGAGGCCGGGCACGAAGTGGGTGATGAGAGGGGAAGAGAAACTCGAAGTAGCCTCCAGCTTATGGGCAGCTGATCATCTCCAATGACATGCAGCAGCTGATCTAGAAGAGCCGAGCTCCCGGGATGTCAGCTTCAAGGTATTTGTGCCTGCATCCTCGAGGGGATCGTTCGCAGCAGTGCGCGCTGTCGATGGCTATCGTGTATTCTGGCGGACGAGATGAACAGAGGGCGGTAGCGCATCGAGCGCGCTAAGTCGACTACGACCCACGCGGACATCCAACATGCTGCCTGTGACGTAATACTAGCTAGCCATAATTCGCACAGTCTCGTGACCCCCTGTTGAAGTTGGTGTATGTGAATATAGCAGGTACGATGGCAACCCTGATAATGGTTAGTTAGCTTGCATATCCGTCCAAATCTCTTCCTGATACTTCTCCCTGGTCTTGTCAAACCCAGAAGGGGCGAATCGAATCGTGAGAATTCCAACAACCTCGGAACCGGCGCTATCAGCCACCCTTGTCCACAACCACCATCACGGTGGCTGGCCATTTCTTGCTTTCCTCCCAGCTATACAGTAAAATAGTTAGGTGGGGAACCCACGATAGCTCGCGCAGGGGCTTACCGCGCGCCTTTGGCGCGCTGGCGGCCTTGCGGCCCGATAGCCCGCACGACCCGCCGCCACCGCCTGAAAGGCAGCGAAGGACGTTTATTACCGTCCCAGGGTCACAAGATCCTTCGATACCTACATACAGTAGGTAGATACGAACATGGAAATGTGTTTTATTCGCGCCACTAGCAAAAATTGAACGCCCTGCTGCTCTTGGATGGCGACAAACAGTCGGGCCCCTCCACAGCATGTTTCGCATTGTCCTTCTGCACAGAAATCGGCCATCATGCAGATAGCGATATACTGTCCCACTCTGTCAAATTTCAGAGCGGCACATCAAAGTTTGTGCGCGCTGCGCGCGCCACAGCTCGCAGGGCCCTTTTCGAGTAATCCCCGGGAAAATATTTGTACTTAGTGACACGGCAAGTCTAGGGCACCCATCACGAAGTCACGATTGCTCACGCTTCCCCTGCCTCGTACCTCGGCGGGGCCCCTGCGCGAGCAATAACACAATAGGACGTATTAGTTTCGATAAATATCAGCAGTTTCTACATCTACTGCCCATTGAAAACAATGGGCACTTGATGCAAAACCCGCTGATATTTCATCCAACTAATACGTTCTAATGCTCTCGATACCCTCCGAGTCTATGTCGGCCTGCAAAACCCCCAGTACTGTCCCCATCATCAATCATCGCATCATAGCGCTGGACAAAGGTGAATATCGTGGACAGGTCAGTATTTTTCTTATGCTTTACAATGAACTGTGTACTAACTCTTCCCGCACAGATAGAGCACTTTGAGTATCACTGGGGTATGCAGAAGGGCGAGCTGGATTTGAGCTCGCCCCTCAACCACATCATCGCGATTTTTCCTCCTATCGGACATTGACAAGATATGGCCTTTCCTGGCGATATATTGAGGCCCATGGCAGTGCATGAAGCACAATTGGTTACCGTGAAATGTCCCCGACAGGAGCATGTTGCCTGAGCATACCTGGTTATACCTGACAATGGCATGTTGCGCATTTTCATCGCATTTTGGACCTGCCTTGCGCTCCTTATCACGAAATGCAACACCCTTGCCTGCACTGGTAAGCTACATTCCAGAAAGGCTTACTAAAGGACCGGCTCGTCGACCAGTTCGGTTCAGAAGGCGGTTCAATACTTCAAAAAGAGTAATACTAGTAGAGTTTTCATTTCATTTATTTCTCAGAAACTATGTACAGTGCACTGCATAACGTGCCACGCGACCGTCGCGTTCACTGCCCTTCAATATTTGCGTGACTAAAAGGCATCTGTAGGGTGCTTCAGTGAATCGTCTAGAAGCTGACGAAGACTGACCTCGGCGAAGCCTTGCTTTCGTGGGAGCTGGGAAAATTGCAGTGTCGTGTATCTCTAAGCAGCGAGTCAGAAACTCGGGACATCATGGGGGATGGGATGAAAGCTCGTACTCGCGTTGTTGGGAGGGGAAGAGGGGAAGAACGACAATTGATGCGTTGAGAGCACTAAGTGAAGTTCTGGTCAGATACTGGGTTAGCTGCTGACCATTGGGGCACGCACCTTTAAGCGGGAAAAGAGGCGAGCGCTACGATCATTGTTGAAGTCACGATGAAGCTCGCCGCTGATGCGCTCGAGCTTGTGGTGGTAATGATGAACTTACGCTCTGGGAGATCATTGGTACTAGACAGTGATGATGTCGCAGAATACGCACCTGGCACCTTACAAAAGCCCGACTGACGACGACGCGCCGATCATGAGATTGTGCCAAGCACGCGTGTCGTCTCCAGCGAGCGAGATGGCGCGCTCTGTCCTTGCGTGTCGGTATACTATCTCAAGGTGATGTATGCAGTAACAAGCAGGGGTCAGTCGGAGTTTTCTTGCGGAGACCTCGAGGGCGGCGGCGAGGTGGTGGAGGTGATGGAAAGAGCAGCAAATGCGGATGCCGTTCATGTGAGGCCTTATAAATCCAGAGAGTGTGATTCACGTGGGAAGGTGACGCGTCATCCGACAGGGGGAGCTGATATTTCGCTAAGTCGCATCGGGAGGGAGGTAGTAGACGGCGAGGGCATCGCAAGGCGACGGTAAGGAGTAGGCAAGGGGATGCCTGATCGCGCATTGATGCTGCCAAGCTGCCGAGATCTTGCCGCGGTCCGGCTGAATCGGCAAGTTCCTACCTTTCGCGGCATTGTCCGGCAAGAGGCGCAATCGCTGACATCGCGATGTCTTTTTGAAAGGATTTTCGCGATGATCCGACGTCTGTAGCTTTATACGGTTTTACCGTAGGGAATCTGACACTTCTCGCAGTCCGTGAAGACATGGCTGCGGCGATGAGAGATCTCGAGTGGGTCTTGATGCCGACGAAGGAAGTTCTGGACGCCATGTATGAGATGGCCGAGTACAATAAGGTTGCCGACTTTCGGTCGCGCAAGCATTTCCTGAAGGTATTTTATCTGCTTACAGTGCTTACGCTCGAGCGAAGCTGACACTAAAGCAATGAACTCCCAGAAGGAGAATACGTATACAACATCGTACCGCTGTGCTACCTCAAGCGTCGCCCCACGCTGTATGCCGCCATGGGCGATCGCGTCAAAGCCTATCGAACGCCTTACCGAACCCTCCCTTGTATCCGCTCTCGCGCGCACCCATTCTTCGTCGCCTTCTTCGCTGTTTGCCAACTGGACAGGTGCGCTGCCATCGTCATGCCCGAACACAAAGCCCGCGCGCTCATGAGGTCTGTAGGACGCATCACCTGGTGCTGGTGGAACGAGCCACCGCAAGAGTTCCTCGTCGGGGATGAGACTCTTTGGAAGGCGCACCGACATCCGCTGAGCGATGATGGCCATGACGCTTGCCTTGTGCTGCAAGGAACGCATGGTGGGAATACGAACAAAGGTCCGAGAACGCGTCGAACGACGCGCGCGCCCTGTCAGCAGGTCAGGTCGACTGCTGTGGCATCCAAGCCATACGCAAGGGGCGATCTTCGCTCACTTCGTGACTGCCGCTCAGCGCTCCCGCGACCTGGACGTGTCTCGGGCGAACAAGATGAAGATCAAGAAGACCGAACCGCCGACGCGCGACCATACGAGCGTGGTTGGCCGACCTTTTACTCAACGTTGACACTACCAGCGCGTTCTCTTTTCCCTCTGACGAACATATTCCTCGCGACGACGTGCTGGATCTGCACCAGCTTGAACCGCGTTGGGCAGCACAGGACGCGCTCGACCCTGACAACAGCAACGTCTGCTCTTCGGGGCTGATCTGCGGCGATGGCGTCGATTATTCGGGTTACTCGAGCAACAAGTGGGCCAAGCGACTCTATTATGCCTGCCTGATGGACAGGGACCCGATCTCCTTGCCATAGGCCCTGTACGTCTCCGGATAGCATGCTCATATTATCGCGCGTCACCCTTACGGCAATATCATGTTCTCCGTCGAGTGGAGGACTTGCGTCGGGATGAAACTTGAGTGCTGCCAAAAATCTCCGGTTTCTTCGGATTCCTTGTCGCGCAAGATTTAGCGTGCCGCGTCCGGTACAATGCTGCTACGCCGGCGTTCGATATAGGCAAACCTTCGAGTCCATCTTTTCGGCGCGAGCGACGCGTCGCTCGCTATAGCTTTGATGACTTGGGGTAATCATGAATGCTTTGTACACTTTCGAGGGCGCATGGATTGATTTGAATATGTTCACCTCGAAGGCCAATCGGCAGGGAGCCTCGCCAGATATTGCATAGGGAAATCACCGTACCTTCGTATCCTCAGTCTGACTCGGGCGACCAACGAACTTTATGGGGTCGTAACGTTCGTCAAATTCGTAACAATCGTAATAGTCATACCAAATAATAACGGAGGAAAGTGGGAGGGGATGAGGGAACTGAGAGAAAGTGGGTGGAGGAAGAGGAAGAGGAAGAGAAAAAGAGGAGAGCACGAAGGAGAGGGGCGGAGAATAAATAGTAGAAGGTACGGTGAATAAATAGGGAAAGAGCTTGAAAACTGTCGCGAGCGCCAGGCCAGCTAGCTGTTGCGGGAGTCGGATCAGCCAGCTGATGCGGAGAGCGTCGAATATTGCAAGTCTTGCGTTCGTGTGAGGGATCAAGCGACCTCCGGCGCGTCGATACCGTCCATGATCCGCCCAATCTTCATAACAAGCCTCACATCCTCTTTAGCATACGCAGGAACCACGTCCTTGTTTGCGAGATCCTTGTGCGTCAGGGTCTTGTAGGCCTTGAAGGAGAAGAAGTGAGGCCCGCCATGCAGCTTCGCCAAGGGGAGTTGCGGCCTGCCAGTGGGGGTCGTGAAGGGACGCCTAATGGTCCGTTCCTTGGTGGTGCCGTCCGGGAGGTGCTTGATGATTACGATTGGCGCATCGGCCCAGTTCAAGAGAGGAATCATGCGGCAATCCCTACCAAGGGAAAGGAAAGGGAAGATCTGTCTTTTTTGAGCGATTCATGCGAACGACGATGAATGAATTACACACCTCCTCATGATGAATAAACCCGGCCTTATTCTTCCTGGGGGCCTTTTCGCCAGTCCAGCCGATGACGACCTTCTTGTTCAGTGCGACATAGAGTTTCTCCAGATCGGGGCGCGTGGGTATGATGATGAGTAGCCGATTGTCGAAAGGGATATGTATCTCAGAAGACACTGAAAATGAGAGATTGAGCATGAAATAAAGATCTTCAAGAAATAAAACCGGTGCTCACGCAGAACGAGGTTGAGCCGCTGGTCAAGGTTGATAGATTCCGAAAGGACCCCCGACGCTTTTTCGAATTCCTTGAGCTTGGAGAATGTTCAGAAAAATAGAGTCAGAGAATAGTGACCACGCACCTCTTCTGCTGGGGTCGCCCGATCCACGATATGCGAAACTTGAACCGTCTTATTCTCCTTGGACTTTCCAGACCCCGCACATCTGCTGCCCGTCGGTGCGACCGCGGCAACATCCCTTGCGTGGGGTCTAGAATCTTCACTGGTGATGCGATATTGGGGGGTTATATGTCCAATGCGCGCCTCACGGACGGCCTTGTATGCATTGCGCTTCGGAGTCCTGGGCGCACTGTACTCTGAGTCTGTCGACGCCGAACTCGAAGTCGACGCAGAGTTGACCTGCGCTTCGCGAGCCGCCAGCCGGGTAGACTTGCGTATCCCCGTCCGTTGGTTCTCGACGCGCTGTTGGCGCTGTGCGGCAAGGTGGGCCGAAGTTCGCTTGCTTGTCGTTCGGCTAGCGGTGCCACTGCTTTTGCGCGGAGACGATTGACCAGCATCAGCCGTGCGCCTGGATGCCACAGATCTCATGGTAGCGTGCTGTCTATTCGTCAGTGCGTGCGCCTAGACGGGGACGTGGGTTGACGCACCGGGATCAGTGAAGGTGGAAGTGGAAGGGAGAGATGGGCAACAGCGTATTGGTACAATCCCATTAATCTATATCACGGGACTTTGGCCAAAAGCGCAGCCATAATCAAGACATTGTGACTCCGGCTATCAACACAAACATCGATGGCGGCCGAAAACAATGGAGGTCCGGCGTTATGTTGACGTTGTGTCACAGTAACGCTGGCCCGTGGGAATCTGCCACCTGACGCCATCAGCGCGCCTTCCTAACAACCACGACCACACCCTTCAGCACTAGCGGCTCGCGACTCGTAGCTGAGACCCCCGGCGTAGCTTTTATTGTTAGAAGAATGTCTACAATACCCTCCGAATCCCTCTCGTCGTGCAAGGCTTTCAACGCTTGCTCCATCATCAACCATCGCATCTTGAATCTGGACCAAGGTCGCTATCGTCGACAGGTCCGTACTCCTCAGTGCATTCTTGATAGTCACTGACTTTGTATTGCTCAGATCGAGCACTTCGAGTACTACTGGGGTATGCGGAAAGGCGAACTTGACCTGAGCTCGCCACTCAACCATATTCAGCGTACGTTTCTCCATTTCCCACGTGGTGCGACAAACTGACACAACTTCTAGTCCGGGAAGACATGGTCGAGGCGCTTGGGAATCTCGAATGGGTCATGATGCCCACGAAGGAGACTCTGGACGCTATATACGAGTTGGCCGAATACAACAAAACCGCAAATATTCACTCAAGAAGGCATTTCCTGAAGGTTGGCTATCCTTTTCTCCTCGAGCACTTGGAGCTCATATCACTACAGGATTTCCCCGAAGGAGAGTACGAATACGACGTTATCCCCCTGTACTACCTCAAACATCGCAACACCCTCTATGTCGACCGTGGCACCTCCAGCAAAGCCTATCGCACCCCATACAGAACTCTGCCGCGCATCCGGTCTCGCGCACATCCGTTCTTTGTCACCTTCTTCGCCGACGATCAGCTTGACATGTGTTGTGCCACCGTCATGCCCGAGAAGAAAGCACGCACATTGAAGTCCTCCATCGGGCGTATCATTGGGTGCTGGATGGCAGAGCCGCCGTCTGCCTTCCTCGAGGGAGATCAGGCCACATGGAAGGCGCACCGTCATCCTCTCAGCGATGACGGCCGCGATGCGAGCCCTCCACTGCGCAACTCGCGGCGAGGGAATGCTGCGCAGGGCGTTAAAACACGCAGCATGACACGTGCGCCCTGTCGCCAGAAGAAAACGACCGCAGCGGCGCCCACACCATACGCGAAATTCGATTCTCGACCAGCTCGCATCCGAGGCTCAGCGCTCCCTCGTGCAGGCTTGGAGTCCGGCGAAGAGGATGGGCAAAGTTCGGTCTTTGACCCGTCAATCATTCGCGAGTGGGTAGCCGGCATCCTTTCCACGAGCGGCAGCGCTGTCACCTACGACGATCCACGCAGTGACGAGAAGCTGGGTCAGTACCAGCGCGAGGCGGCCAGGGATCCACAGGATGCGCTCGACCCTGTCACCAACGTCACGTACTGCTCAGGGCTGATCATCGGCCGTGGCAATGACTGGTCGCGCTTCTCAAGCAACAACTGGGCCATGCGCGTCTGCGGGACCTATCTGCCGAGCAGCGACCCGCCTTGCTAGCCGTGCGCTTTACGTTGAACACTGTCGCACTCCCGCCTTCATCGCATGATCGCCTACTCGCGATCCAGCTGTGTACCATAACCATGTACTGCGGCCTCGACCCCTACACCTGCGTTTTCCGCCACAAGGCGCGCTGCACACGCAGTCCGCAGTCCGCTGGCGGAATCGCCCATGGCCCGCGACACGCTCGCCGTCGTCGATTCATATGCCGTAGCGCATTTTGACCGTCGATGCTGCCATAGCCTTGCCCCCGGGAGCGCGCAGGTGATGCTAATAGCATACTTTGCGTGCTCGTTCTGGGGACCTGCTCTATATGTAGCGCGCGACAAGGAAGGTCCGGCCCCTGCAATGTATCTGCAATCCGACCAAATGTAGATTATGTTCACGAAGGAAGATGCGCGGCTTGGCAAGCCCTGCCGCATATTTTGCCTTATACATATATCCGAGTCACTGATTGTACAAATAGAGACGATTGTAGTGTATCTACGTTGTGAATCGCGGTCTCAAGGGCGCAAATTGATGCACTGAACCGTGTAGCTTTCGAGTCACAGTAACGCTGGGCCAAGAGTCCTCCGAGAATGCCATGCAGGGCGATATGACACGCCCACCGTGTCGCCAGCCACAGTTGGCAGCTATAGCGCGCAAGCATCATGCAAGCCTCAACATTCGCCCAGATGACGAGCGCGGCTTCGAGACTGAATCGACTGGAATCGGCGACGAGACCGAGCGAGACAACCTGCGCACCGTCGACCGTCCGCTCCTGGCCGGCCAAAGTTCTCCGCACGAACGACATCACTTCCCTTCTGCCCGACGATATCTCGCATGGGGACGAGACTTTGACACAGTATCGGCGTAGCGCCACCAGGGATGCGAGGACCACGCTCAACCCACGTATCAACACATGACACCTTCAGGATTGCTCTGCGGCAGTGGCATGATTGTTATCGCAGAGCGAGTACTAACATGGCCGTGCACGTCTGCGATACCCGCCTGATGGGCAGCATTCCATCCCACTAGCCCCGCGTGCTTTCTGCCTTCGTTTGGCGTAAGCTACCTCATCGCGCCTCACCACCACAGCTGCAGTCTTCAGCAAGGCGTCCACTGCAAGAGAACACCACAGAGCGCGAGCGCTCGCGATCGTGCGCGCTGTTCGCGAGAGTTCCTCGGCGTCGTAGCGGCTTCCTCGCCCCTACATTTGTGCTCACCTACAGGTGATCTTCATGTGAAGCGCAAAGGGTAGGTCCGTCCCTCTTTAGTTGTCGTCGGCATGTCAGAGTGCATGTGCTTTTGTTAGGTACGCTTCAAGAGAATCAGATGACTGCCTTCGTGTCCTCGTTACTATATCGAATCTACAAGACATCGGGTCTTTGACAACTTGCTCGACAGGCAACGTCGCCAAGGTGGCATTACATCGTTCTATTAGACTTTGAAGCCGCCGGCAAGCGCCATCAGCTGGTTCGGGTCGACGCGGTCGCGCACCTCTCTCATCTTCTCCAAGTTCTCCCCATACATATCCTCCATCTGCACGTCCGCCAGCGCGTAGTTCGGATAGATATAGTATCCGGATAGATCCTGACCGTCGACGTCGGACGCGTAGGCGGATAGCGCGTCGCCGAGGCCCTTGATGACCTCCATGCCCTTGTCATCCAACGATGGAGAGCTCCAGCCGACGCCGATAGCGGTCGGAAGGATGGTCTTCTTGCGAGACGGCGGGTAGGCGGAGGAGTTTCCGGGGGCGCGTGAGAGGTAGTCCGGAACGAAGGGCTCAAGATAATAGGCGAACATCGGAAAGTCGTCTGGTGAGAGAGCGGCGGAGAGGTTCTACACAATAACCGTCAATTTGTCGATGTCAGGCAATTGTGACAATTGTACAATACCTTGATTCTTTCAGCAGCAAACGCAAGTACACCCGGAGTGTATTCCTCCATGGGCGTCGTGCTGTACAGTGCTCTGCGTTCGCGTGAGGATACGCAGTCACAATCTCAACATAGGAACACTCACCGCGTGCCACCATAGTCCGAGGCGTTACTAGCCGCCGTCAGGATGAGCGGCAGCATGCCGTCCCTCGTCGAGATATTCGACTCTAGCATGGGCATATCCAGAAACTCATCGAAGATACCGTCGGGCGGCGAGGGACCGAGGTACGCCATAAATATACTGGCGAGCAACTGTCAAAGTTACGAACGAGGTCGTGAGTTTCTGTAGGCGAGGTCGCTATTGGCAGAGAACGAGCTGACCTTGCCCTTGATGCTGGAGTATGTGCCGATGAGGGAAGCCTTGGGATCTGCGGTGTTCTCGGAGAAGTTGTACAGGGCGTCCGAGAATCGATCGAAGAGGTCTGGGGAGTAGAAGGCATGCCCGCCCTGAGGGATCTATTAAACCGTGATCCCTAGGTGAATGGTCGACACGACATACCCATAACTTGCCCTGAGGGTAGGTCTTGAGCGTAAACCTGGTCACGATACCCTAAACGAAGAACATGAGGAGGGGCACGGGATTTCTGACGAGAACGTCGCGCACATAGTTGTTGTACCCGCCCTGTAGGATATCAGTATCACTGGGACACCGCCGTGAATAAGGCACGAATCTCACCTTCAGCACAAAGAATAAGTCCGAATCTGACTTTTCTGAGATCAGAATAACTTCTCCATTGGGCTTCACAAGCTCAAAGGCTAGGACGTTGTCCAATGCTAGTCCGCGCTCATTGGTGTACCACGAGTATCCTGGCACTTCGCTCAGCCTTCGACCCCGCCATAGACGCAAAGAGGGCTCACCTCCGCCTAGTATGAACCCAGCGACGCCGATGCCTGGCACTCGTCCGCCCACGACGCCACGGCCAAGCGGGTCCAAAGCCGCGTAGACATCGTCCCAGATCAGACCGGCACCGACTACGGCAGTCTCCGTCTCCTCGTCGTACGTGACCTCGGAGAAGCGGGTCATGGCGATTTGGACGCCGGTAGTCGAGGAGAAGCCGACGTTCATGGAGTGTCCGCCGCCTTTGACCTGCGGACGATGGATTAGAAGGGGGTGGGTTAGCTATGATGGCTTGGGGCTGACCGCGAATGGTGTGCGAGTTTGATCGAGGACACGTAGCTGTGAATCGGGAAATAAGTTGGGCTCATGATAGTATATGTTGTCGACGTACGATGAGCGCAATGTCCTCTGAGGTAGCGGGCTCAACTGAGCAGGCGGATATCTCCGTAGCGGCTGGCGAGTAATGCTCGATGTCCGCGGCGTAGTGACCGCTGCTATCCCCTGTACCAAGATGGTCAATCAGGCTATTGAGGACAATTGATCAAAGCACAAACATGGGTAATATACATGGCTGGCGTCTGATATGGCGTCGGAGATGATCTGGCAGGCGTCGGTGGCTGCGCTCGTGAAGGGCGTTTGCGTTAAGAGAATCGGAGGCGTCGAGGCGAACGATGGCAGAGCCGTCGCGGCGACGCCGAGCGCGATAGAGAGCAAGCTCATGATGAGAAGAAATGCGCCCCTCGCCTGTCATGGGGGCGTCGCCTCCTTGGCGTATATATGCAAGCGGTACCGATTCGCGCAGAGTCCAAGCACACGCATCGGGAGCGAAGTAAGGCAAGGCGTAAAGCCAACGTCACGAAGCGAAGCATATCTAGTCGTGGCCTGCCTGGTGTGGAGCTAGTAGCATCAATTCCCATTTGAAAGGCCACGGGCAGGTAGGCGAGGAGACCAAGTGCAACCGTCGGGACCGAGTCGAGCCGCATATGAGTTCAAAGGGAGACCAAGGTCGACTGGTAAACGTGCTTAGTTCGTTCTGTGAACGTCTACTTCGCCGGAAATCACCCTACCTGTCAAAATCCCAAGCAGCGCTGTAATGTAATGGACCAAGTCCTCGTCCGAGGCGACAGCTTCATTGAGTAGAGGGACGACGTAGCCTCCGGGTATCTTTCTGGAGTCATCAGTAGTAGATCCTCAAGGTACAAATCAAGACTAGTTCGACGTACCTTATGTAGCGTCCAGGAGATTACAAGCCCAGAGCACGGTTGGCAGATCAGCTTGGCTAGAGCGGCTGAAGCGACAGAGAAACGTCAGTCCCTGGCGAGTCACCGGTACGAACACCCAATGCCCTCATCCAGTCGCTGCTGATCACGACTCGTTCAAGGACGAAGCTGGCGGCGTAATCGAAGCATCGCAAGCGAATGTGAGACGGCGTTGCGTGCGGCCTGTTGAGTTAAATATATACAAGAGTCGCATCTAGAGAGCAGAGACTAGTCGAGCGAAAGTCATGATTCAAGGCGGCGTAAGGCGCGACTGGAAGGAGATGACCGTTCTGTTCAAACCGCGGGACCAAAACTGTCGGATTATGCCGAAGGGGCGCGCGCGATTGCACGTGGCAACCGCGTGCCATTCAACCGTTCCTGGTTCAGCTGGTTGGGGGCACAGTGCTCAGAACAAGAGGTCTCTTCGTGGTCCCGACCTTGCAGATCAGGCCTCAAGAGCAGAATGCGCGACACGGCGGTCAATGGGGAGTTGCGAATCTTGAACATCAGCCCAACCGGGCAAAGGCCCGGCGCCGTCATCAGTCCGTGATCTGCTCTTGTTCCCCATCCACAATAGCCGAGCCTTCATGGCATCTGCCATGTTGTACTCCCCTTTCTTCTACCTCTCATCTCTGCGTTTATGACGCCGAAAGCGATGAACCCGAGAGCTTGCGCATCGGCAGACGTGACGCCCTCGCCGACAGGCGAGCTCACCATCTTTCGACGCCTGTACGGCATCCCGCTCGTCGCTGCAGCACTCGACAAGCTGCACGAGACGCTCTCAACGAATGTGCTCACAGCGAAGCCTTATGCTGTCGCACAAGGCATCTCAGTGGTTGCGTACAAGTGCTGGCAGCCCGTGCAGAGACGCCTTGCACCGCTGATCGCACGCGTCGATGACTTCGCCAATGCGACCTTCGACCTGGCCGAGACGCGTTTTCCGTACCTCTTCTACGCTACGCCCGAGGATATAATGGACGCGGCTTACACTACGCGCGCAACTTTCTTTGACGATGCACGGACGACGCTTGACGAGGGTATCAAGCTCCCCGCCCTTCATGTTGCGGAGGGGATCGATGAGGTGCGTGGGTATACTTACATCCTCTCTTCCTGTACTTATGACCATCTCCAGCGCCTTGCACCTCTCTTGGACTACTACGAGGACCACATTGAGCCCCTAGGCCACAAGTGTGCCCGATCGGCGCGCGCAAACAACACCGAGCTCCATGAAACGCAGTACCAATACCAGCGCGCTCTCGACCTTACGAAAGCCCTCCTCGAGCGCATCGCCTCCCTCCCATGCGATCAATGGCAGCAGACGTCCTTTCTCCTGTGCGTTCTATGCCTCTCGCTGCTACCCCCATACTGACCCTTACCTCAGTCAACGCTCCGTCATCCAAGTCCAAGAGCTATCTGACGCCATGCTCACGCAGCTACATACCCTTCAACAAACGATCTCCTACCTCGCGACGTCTATGCAGCGCTCGGTCGCCGCTGCTCAGAAGCAACTCACGATCACCCTCGTCGAGGCCGCCAACGCTCTATCTGCTACCCTAGCCGACCTTCAGAACGTTCTGACGAGCGAGGAACTGACTGCTGGCGAGCGCATCGACCGGATCGCGAGTATTACGACCTCGTGCATCAATCCTCTGCTGGAACGAGCGAGGGCGGGCGTCAATGCAGCTATGCAAGGGAAGACGAGCACGACTCCTACTGCGAATACAACGCCGGGTCGTATCGCGAGGACGAGTTCGGATCGTTCTGCCAAGCCGAGCCCAACTCGTTCTGCGAAGAGTGCTGCGAACACGGCCCCGGAGAGTATATCGAGGACGACTTCGGCTCATACTGCGAAGAGAGCGCATGGCCTCAAGAAACGGTCGTCGACTTGACTGACGCGTGTCCGCCCTTTCCCTCTGACCTTGTATATTACCTGAATGTAGCCTATGTTCTATAGTGGTGTACGATGCGGGTGGATACAGTGGTTTTCTGTCTTTCCTCCGGCCCCGTCGTGGATCGACTTCCATAGCTGAGGTACGTCGTCTCGATTCACGATGCCGACTTGTTCGGCTTCAGCAGCTCCGGCTCGACGATGATTCACTCTGCGATCTAAGACTGTGTATCACATCTCGTGTCCAGGTGAGTGCTCATGCTGTCAGGTAAGCGCCTATGTCTTCCGGTTCGCGCATGCGCTGACTGATGTCAGGTCTTCTCATGTTCGCGAAGGCCTTGGAGGCATTATCATCCTACCCTGAGGCCAGTGCGATGTCGTGCAAGGCGCTCCTTCTTAACTTGGCGCAGTTCCAATATAGAAACTGCCCTGGGAACCCTCGAACCTTGTTGCCCAGCTGACCATCCGAAGCAGCGCCTGCGAAAGGAAGCATACAGCAGGTCCCCTCCGACTATCATCGTCTGGAAAGCCCCTGCGCCATGGTCGAATCCTACGGGCATGGTCGCTTCGTATGCCACAAACCCCGCTGCCCGAAGCCGCGCTGGCCCAAGCAAGCACCTCATCTCAAGACTGTGACCGCGCGGCACCGCCATCATGGACGCTACCACCAAAGGGAGGTGAAGGTGGTCTGGGAAGGTGCGTCGCAAGTCAAGTGCTTCGTCGCCGTGTCCGCGCTGACCGAAGTCCTTCCGCCTCCGTCGATATGCCCACCCACGCAGGCGAGACGAGATCCATCGCCCGCGACCCCGTTACGCAGAAATTCCCCTGTCCGTGCGGGGCCCCGAAGCACGCGCGGCGGGAGGCGGATAAGATACGCATTTTGTGCAACAACTGCGATCCTCACCCCGGACCCAATGAAGAGAAAGCTTTAGAGGTCGGCACCGACGATGAGGACGCCAACCCTGGGCAGGTCGATCCTCCTCAAGTGCCGCGTAGTCTGCGTAAAAGAAAACGCCGAGCGCCCCGGTCGCCCTCACCGCCGTCCGATACTGCGCCTTGCTCAGACAGACGCGCTGGCAAGCGTCGCGCTACGGTGCCGCACCCCCACGACTCTTCGGACGACGAGGTCATTATCGTCGAAAACCCGAGCAGCCTCAACAGAGGCGGTCCGGGTACAAGGGGATTCGCAGGCGCGACGCACATCTCTGCGTATGGTGGTATAGAGCACGCGACTGGGAGTCGCCCTGCTCTGCGGAAGCCCTTCGAGTACTCTGAAGATCAAGGCGACCTGGTAGGCCCGTAACATCTGTGTGGATGTCCGTACTTTGCTAACGAGTTGGCATAGGAGAGGCAAGTCAAGAGCCTCGCAGCCCTCAATCTCGCGGCTCGTCTGGAGTACATCGAGGTATCGCGTGCTACTGTCGTCCATCGTCGCCCCTCGCTCACACGCTACTCAGTCCCTCGAAGAGCAAAGTCTGGTCTTGCTGCAGGCCGCAGAGCACAACAAGGAGCTGACGCGCCGAGTACGGCAGATGAACGACAACAGGTTATGAAGGTTGTATGAAGGCATACTCTGTCAGGTCTCGAGGATGCCTCGCGCGTGTGAATCACAATTTCCGTCTATGACACTCTCTCGGGCACGATGCGTCCGAATGCACGGAGGGATCTCCTGACAATCACCTCTGTATACAAACCCTTTGAATTGAAGAACCTTGTATCCTGGGACTTGGTGCCCTGCTGACCGGCGATGATCAGTAAAGTCACCGACCCGAACCGCTTTGCGACCGTCCGAAGTTCCGCACGACGCTGGCGTCGTTATCTCTTTTCCTCTCTCCACCATGTCGGCCGCAAGGTGCGTAGTACGCAGCTACAGTCCTCAGCTTGCTGACCACCGACAGCAGCAACCGACGTCTAGTCTGTCGCAAGCCCGGCTGTCCGAAGCCGTATTGGCCTCGGGACATCGCGCGGGACTCCCTCGATCTGGCAAACAAGCGGCATGGACGACGCTACCACCAACCTGACATGTACTGTCCGTACGGCGGTGCGCTTCTCTCAGGCTCCAGATCGATATCGTACTTACCCAGCTACGGCAGGACGCGGTGGTGAGCAGATTACCATCAAACGTGATCCTCTCACTGGGAAGTTTCCTTGTCCGTGTGGCGCGCCAAAGCATGCCCGCCGTGAGTCCAACAAAATGCGCCAACTGTGCATTGCTGCCAACCATCCTGGACCGGATGACAACACCGTCGCCATCGAGGCTGCCACGGACGACGAAGACGCGAACGTGCCGACACCGAGTAAGCCTCCAGCGCCGCCCAAGCGCCGTGGCCGCCCCCCTCGCAAGCGACCAGCCTCGCGGTCCCCTTCTCCGGTCGAGAGTGAGGATGAGAACGAGAGGCGAAGGGAGAAACGGCGCGCTCCGGGCCCGCAGAGCAGCGATGACGACGAGATTGTCATCGTGAAGGGACCTGTAGTCCGGACTGCTGCAGGTCTTACCGGTACCACCACTCGCCCGGAGACCAGGATCACCGCATACGGTGGTGACGAGCAAGCGTCGAGCAGTCAGCAAGCAACAGCGCAAAACACAGTGGCACACGACCAGATCGTACGCTTCCAATACGTTTGACTGGACTTTATGCTGACTTGTATCAATACCAGGAGCGTCAAGTGCGGCGCCTCAAGGATCTGAACGACAGGGCCCGCGAGCAGTATCTTGAGGTGGGCTGTCGTTGCGTGCTTGATGTCCTCGAATCTAATCACTGTCCTCCTTTAGTCGCTTGAGGAGCAGCGATACGTCTTCATACAAGCAGCCGACCAGACGCAAGAGATCACACGGCGCCTTCGCAATTTGCTCAAGAAACAGCTATGACTCTTCGAACTCTACGCTTGTGTATACATGAGGTGCTGGACACGACTATTTCTTGGTAGCGACTCTGCTGACTCTCGTCCTGGATGGCGATGTAAGCTAATGTCGCAAGCCTCTTGCATATGAGGGGTCGTCTGTATAGCTTTTCCTTGCTGTATTTTCTTGACTGTAACGATTGAAAACTGTGGTTGGCGTGCAGCCGTGTGACGCTCGTGAGCGTGAACCACAGCAAAAAAACCTCGCGAGCCGTAAGTCTCGCCCGCACGTCGTTGCTTCCCATCGCTTCTTCCGTGATTTAGGCTTTCCCCTCCATCCCTACCCCTCGGACTACCGTGTCCAGGCGGTCGAAAGGGACACGATAATCCATCGCCCTTCCTATCGATGCACTCGACGCACTGTCTCTCATCAACGTGATGGACATGTACACCCGGTCGCGGTGTCCCACCTTGATCTGCATCCGGGGAGGAATGTCGACAGCGGCCTCGTGTACATGAAGCAGACGATTGACTTGCGATTAGGATTGACCCGCGATTTCAGGATTGGATAGCGCACTCCCCGCAACTTGAATGCGATGACCGACCCGCGATGCCAACGCGAGGATTGACCCGCGATGGCGAAGATTGACTGGACGATATCCGGTCGAACATGAGTTTTCGACACAGTACCTTCCCGCTCGCGAGGAGCTTCAATTGTACCCGCCTGCGAGTTGTTACAATTGTACCCGCCCTCGAGGTCCGACGGCCTCAAGGATGTACGCGGTCTCGTGCTCAGGCTGCCGTCCGGGCCCCACTCAGAATGCAGAGCGGCGTTCGTGCGAGGTCGAGACGCAGTGGGCTCCACAGAACGCAGAAGATCCGTGTTGTGTGCTTACTGTCTCGACGGATGATCGCCTAGCGTATTGTGAGGAGAGGATGCCTTCGCAGTCAAAGAAACAATGACGCGCGCGAGAGATGGATCAGAAACGCTTGGGTATACTAGTACACGGTGCGGAGGTGTGTTGTACATTGGTGTTGTAAGGTAAGGCAATTGAAGCAGGTAAAGCACACGACAGACTAGGTGACGGAGCTGTAGCGTAGGCGTTAGTACGAGAGCAGTAGCGTAGACACGGACAGCAAGCAAGTCCTGGTCCCGGAATAACGATGACAGAATAAGGATAACAATGCGTGGAAGAATCGAACAACAAACAACAATCAGAACAGAGACGCGCCGGACTGGCGACGCGCGGGGACGAGGCCGGCCGCGTCCAACAAGAACAGAACTTCCTCCCCCCCCAACTCACTTCGCCACCTCGCTCTCCGCCAACCTGAGGTTCCAAACGCCCCCATCACCCCTCTCCAACCCAGCGAACCATATGCGCGTCGTCAACAGATCGACCCGCCTCAGCCCCTGCGCCTTCTCCTCCGCAGGCCGCGAGCTCACCCGGCAGCGCTCCGCGAACGCGTGTCGCACACCGCGCCGATCCGCGTATGCCTTGTACTCCCGCTCGCCCACCGGCGCGCGCATCGCCGCGTACAGCCCGTCCAGCACGTCGCGCACCGAGACGTACGCCGCATCGTACCGCTCGGAGCGCGTCGCGCCCTCGATGCGGAAGGCCCACGGGAGGCGCGAGGACGCGACGGTCAACGCAGCGACGGGCGGGTTGGTCGCGGGCTCGGCGAGGAGCTTAGAGGGAAGGTGGTGCCGGTGCGCGTCGGTGATGTGCCGGGGTCGGCGGCGCAGGTCGAAGCGCAGGGGTGGAAGCTGCTTGTCGCGCGCGAGGAGCGGGTGGATGTGCGCGTATGCGGGGCCGTAGCGCGAAGAGTCTGAGTACCGTCTCGGGCGCAGGGCGCGAGTCGGCGTTGGGGGATAAGAAGATGTTGATGATGGGATATGTGATGGCGCTTGCGCAGGCGAGGGTGGTGGGAGTGCCTGCGTGCGAGATGCTGATAGGGGCGTGCCTTGCGAACTCGACGAGGTGTGCGAGGAATGGGCGCCGTTGGGGGACGAGGAGCTGTGCGATCCATGAGGGGAATGCGTCCCGTGTGATGGGAGCAAGTGGGATCCGATGCGGGATGCGGGGGAATGAGTTCCGTGCGACGAGGGCACGTGTGCAGGTGCGCGAAACGCTCCATCGAAGGACGCGTGCGAGGCGTGTTTGGAAGGCACCTGCAAGTAATCCTGCGCTGGGGGCGGCGGCGGGGGAAGTGAGGTAGCGCGCTTGCGCTTGTAGTCCTTTGGGAAGAAGTACTCATTCTTGTGCTCGGCGAAGCGGACGTGCAGTCTGCCGGGCATGCGTGTGCGGTCGAGAGGGGAGGGGGTAAGGGGACTCGCGGGAGCCAGCGCCGGAGTCCTCGTAGTGGGTGTCGATCTCGACGTCGTGGTAAAATTCGAGATGTAGACTCTGATCGAGTATGAGTCTGCAGAACGCGGAGATTGCTCGTCAGGTATCGATCGCGAGCTTCGTGCACGGTGCGTCCACAGGTGGGGGAGTAGCAGGGTAATCGTTCGGGCGCCCCACGACGCACGAGCTTTTGTACCTGCCTGACCGACCAGCCGGCTAAAGCATATCACAAGGTGGCTGTGCCGACGAATACAGGCTCCGAGGAACGATCCAAAAAATCTTCACAGAACACACGTCGACGTCATAACCGTGTTGTCGCCCGCCCTATCGGGAAGGAGGATTGGTCCTGGCTGGTCCTGGCGTCGATGGCGTCGCACGTCCTTCCTCCTCGACTCGGACCTGCGCGTGGGCCCCTCGTCGCGAGCCTCCTCATCTGTACTGCTCTACAGCATGCGGGAGGTCTATCAAGAAATGTCAGTATCCGGTCACGGCGCGCACTCGCTCACGGGACGCATTGACAGACTGCGCGACGCGTCAGCCCGAGAACGGCGGACTTCCCGGCGTACTGAGTGCAAGGTTCTATAGCCTTTCCAGGCGCCGTAGCACGAGGCGATGGTGTCGGCTGTACACGAGGCGGCGATCTTAGCGCGTCCAATAGATCAGGAGGACGTGTCTTCATTGCGCAATGTGCAACTGCTCCTGAAATGCTCCATCCTGGTGTCACCGCCCTCCCGCTCTGCATATTCCATGCGTACGGCATGCATACCGGCCTGGAACTTGTGCAGGAGCACGTCTGAACGTTCGTGCTGCCCGCGAGGCCGAGCGAATGGGATGGGAGTACGAATCAGAAACGCATCATCGATAAGATTCCACTGAGAGGCAGTGAGCCGGGTGATAGATTGCTGAATTGTTGATTCTTTCAATAGCGTGCGGGGCGCATGAGGCATAGGCGAGAGAAGATGGAAGATTGCCGTGAACGGGCTCGGGAGAGGTAAGGAGCGCGTCTCCCCAGCAACTCCAGACGAACATGGAGGGCGGGAAGGAGCTAGACTCGGCAAGTCCTGCCGTTCTGCCAGGCTCGGAAACTGCCGCGCTTGGTGCAGGTCAACAAACGTCAACCAACCCATCCGAGGACGGACTGGACAGCCTCTTCCCACCATCACATCCCGCCGCCGACGTCTCCGTTGATGATTTTCCCCGCAGAAACGTGTCCCCTGTCCGATACACATGCTCGCGGCCTCGCTATGTCATTATGCTATGTACACGAATGTACCCGGACTCCACTTCTCTCGACCGAAGGAAAACTAGAATTCCGACCTCATCGCAATGCAATGCTGCACTGGCAACAGGCCCGCTTCCCCATGCAACGTTCTCAGGTCTCCCACTCCTTCGACGCGGCGAGCAACCATCTATCCTGGAAAGGTATCCGGGTCCCCGCCTCGTCTCGGGCCTCTACATCCTTGGGCCCAACTCGATAAGACTCATTATTCGTCACCTGTCTCGGTCCTCGGATACAAGGCAACCATCTGCTGTAGCGACTGACCGTGCGCCACTGACGACCAGACTGTGCCACCGTCTATCAGCAGACCTCACGAACTAGCATAAGCGCCCGTCCCCCATGCATTTCCTTCCCTTCATCAAGCGCTCGAGTTGCTGAAGCACTTGAAATAGAGCGATTCCCGCGCTCCGAAGCTTGCTATGTCATCATAGAGACGGGACACGTTAGCGCGCTCGGCTGTGTATGAAGGCCGCGCACGTCGATGCACGCGGCCGCGCGCTCCCGACGGAGCGTACAGCATCGCCCCGGAGGGCGCGACTACAAAAGCCGAGGCGCGTGAAGTCATGGATCCCTCCCATCCTGCAGTAACTCATCCGAGTACTACTACTTACAGTCCAAACCAACCGTCGAACTTTCGCATCCACCCACCACAATGCCCGGAAAGCACGTACGCATCGACGAGCGCCAGAACGAGTACTTCTCGCCGAAGCCAGAAGTTGTCGCTGTGCCCTCGCACCACCATTCCAGCTGTACGGGGTCATCGTCGTCGCGCCATTCAGGTTCCTCGCACCACTCAAGCTCGAAGCACCGTTCCCCTTCGCCTCGCCCGGTCGGTATTCACCGACTCCTCTCCGTGTCCTCCCCTGCGGTACTCCAGCTTGACCTGCGGCAGTCCGCGCGTATCTACTTGCCCAGCATCCCCTCGGTCTACCAGGCCCGCCCCGCCACCGAGCCGCCCCTCCCGCGCCTCACCATCGTCTGCGCGCACCTCCCCTGGCGCATCCACGTCGACGCCTCGAACGGGCGCTATGTGACCGTCTTCGACGTCCTCGCCGCCCTCAGCCACACGCTGCGCACGCCCGTGACGGAGCCCGAGTTCCACCAGCTGCTCGGGCACACCGACCGGCGGCGCGCGGCGGCGGCGTACACGGAGCGCTACCGGCGCGCGGGGACCTCTGAGGAGAAGCGCGGGGGGCTGCGCCGCGTCGACTTCCTCATGTCGCGGTACCACTTCGTGGGGCTCGAGCCCGTGCGCGGCCGTGGGGATGCATGGACGCTGTGCGTGCGGTGACATGGGGAGGCGCCCTCGTCTATCACCCAGGAGAGATGAACATCACCTTCATCATCAGGAGAGGCACGTAAGTGCCCACTATCTATCACAAGGAACTTCGCACCGGCCCTCGCCCCGCCTCCACGTCCGGCCTCCGCCCCGCTTCGTCGAGCCCGCCATCCCACATCCGAATCTGTCGAACGGCCGTGATGGCCATACATCTTCTCGCCGGTGTTGCGCGTCGACGCGCTTTCGTATTCGCTTTTCTGTGTGTTTTCGTCGCTTCCGGCGAATACTCTCGCGCCTCGATGTATGTGGACTCCCATTGCCTTCGCTACTCCAATAACTCACAGCTGTGCAGTCTCGAAGTTCCCAATGATGCCTCCCAGGCCCAGGTGGCTGCTGGATCGCCTTCAATACATTCATCATGTTCGGTGAAATCCCCAGTCACCACCTGTCAGAAGGGTTAGAGAGTACGCTCTCGAAGCCAATTCTTACCTACTCTGCCTTACGACTTTGACCACGGACCCTTCACGTCTTCTTCACGCCTTTTACGATTGACATAACAACGTACTTACGGACACGACCTACTATGCTATATGATGCTTATGTACACTCTATGATAATGACAACGAGATGGGACAAGTATGTCCTGCAATACCCCTGAGCGAGATTCCAGAGCAGCCTGAGCCTGCGTGATGCGGTCATTGCAAGTTCAACGTATCATGTGACCGTGGGCATGTTACCTGACTCGTGCTGACTCTCCACGTGCCATCTCTCGCTCGTTGCCGGTCGACCAGAACCTCCATGGTGCCGCTTTCATTCAAGCCTCGGCGCTGCCTCTTGAGACATACACCGACTCTTAGGCACTGAGAACTCCTTTTATGAAGTTAACTTTCAGTCCTCAGCACCCTATGGCTCGTGCTTTTGGCTACGAATCCTTCCTATTCGCAACGGACATGATAATCGGCGTCTGCGACCACCCTCGCCCAGATGCTTTTGAATGGACGAAAATGCGTGCAAACTCCAAGCTCCTTTTGGCGTCAGCTCTCTTCCGGGATGCACCTCGCAAATGCGACCGATCAATCACTTCTGGATATCTGCTCGTTAAAGCCGCTCGAACCTTTCGACCAATGATTGGCGAAGAATCGACCGTGACGCCCGCCGCGCGGGAAGCGCTCTGGGTCTTGGACGGCGGTTAAATCTGCCAGAAGCCTGTAGGACAATATTCTCGTGCCCGGGGGGGGATTGCTCCTCGTCCTATAATATCCAGGTACGCTGTTCGAGATGTCTCCCGAGTCTCGCTACCCTTCGACCCAGATCTAACATATACTCAGAGAACCTTTTCATACATCTGTCCTCGGCCCATCGATAGACTGCATCCTGTCGAGGTGGTCAGCATGCTGTCGCACAGAAACAAACCCGCCAGAGAATAATCAGTTCTTCCTATATCGGTCTGCATGGCCACACTTTGGGGCTCAGACGATGTCGGTTGCGTTGGATCGTCATTCGAGGAAGACAGGGCGGAGACTTACTTTCCAGCCGACCTCGCGGCGCTGGCGAAGGCGTGGCGAGGGCGTCGACCTGGGTAACCTTGGGACGGGCGTTTGGAAGGCAGAGCAGCTTGCTGATGTTTTTTGTCAGGCGTTTGGACCATCCCTTTTAATCCGGTTCGACTTCGCTGTGGGAAAGCTCTCGGTACCGCGTCCTCGGCTCCGACCTTGCTCGACTGAGTCAACTGACTCAAACCTCAACCAAAGGCCCTAGGAAGAGTGCCAGCACCCGCACGCCACGGTCCGCTGACAGCGCATCCTTGACCTGAGGCCAGAGATGAACGGGCGAAAGTATGGCCGTACAATGGCGCCGATTTTCCTATCTTCAAAAATTCTGCCACAACTTTTCTCGTGGGACTCAAATGCGCATTAACTTCACGTCGTTGAGAAAGCCACCCTGGTCGTGCTGCTGAAATCCGTCTCGTAGCTGGATTTCTGGGATCCTTATACCTACACACTATGTATAGTCCGCTTCACCCAGAGCGAAAGACCTAAATTCCTTAGGGACAGGCCGCGCGCTGCCTGACTCTCAGGCGTTATTTTGGTCCGTCTATGTACGAGATGCCGAGTGAATCGGCGGACGGGATTGTCCCTTCCTTGACTCATGCCACGTTAACGCGTCAGGTGCAGCGTGTTGGACTCCAATTTACTTCAATGGGAAATGCCGAACGCTCTGGCTCAGCCCACCCGGGACTTTTCCGCCTCCCGACATGGTATCCCAGTTTTTCAGGGTCAGAGCGACCTTCCAGCATGTCCTTCCCTTTCCCCCCAACAACTTTTCTTTTAAACTTTCACTTCCCGTGCACGACGGCACCTCAACGCGCACGACAACGAGGAGGCACTCCTACTCCCCAGCGCAACCGACGTAACCCGTTCACGAGGTCGTACATCCTCCCCTACCACTCAATGGCCTGAGAAATATCCTTCCATCCCCCGCCATCCCGTCGTCGCAGGACGTCGACGTCCAGGCTCCGGATAGTCGAAGGCCCTTTCTACCCCACCGTCTCCCAACGCCGTTATCGCCTCTCTTTGGCGGCCTTGAGGTACGTCCCCCGACTCCACGTTTATCCTCCTCATCGACAATGTCTATCTAGACTCAGGTCGTCTGCAATCATTCTGAGACCACGATTCGACCTCATCGCCCGCCGCCCCAGGCGCACTCTCCATCCCCATCGCCCTACTAGACAACACCATCATTTCCTACACCATCACTACACCTACGCAAACGCCATGCCCAAGGCTCCTGCCTCCGTTCTGCCCGGTATCGGCGACGCCGCTATCCACGCCGCCGTTCAGGATGTCGCTCTATAACTCCCAGCAATGAATGCTGATTCTTCTGACGACCTATGCCTGCTGTGCGTCCAAAATGTACACGCCCAACCGCCTCTCAGCCTTGAATGATATCCCCTGATATTGAAGGAAGCGCACCCTCTCCCCTCAACATTTCGCATGGTGCGCCCGACGTTGAATTACTGTCTCCTGGCTTCCTTGACTGAGCTATCCTCCAGAGAGCTGCCTTCGGATGCGAGGCTCGGTACTTGGGCGCCATGCGAAGACGACTTCCCGCCCACGCGTATCCCTGCATCCTCTATTATACTGTATCAAAATTCGACGGTCGCTCCATCGTTTGATCCCCTTCATGACACTATGTCATATGAACCTTTGCCAATATACCAGCACCTGCCAGCTCCGCCGAGCAGTTGCCCTTTACTGATTGTAGCCGGCCTTCATATCTCTTCGCACATCTCACCTTTCACCCACACAAGTGGCCACACTTTCCAGACGTTCGTACGCCACGGACGCTTGTAGATTATCAGCAGTACATACGGATGTTTACTGTAGTAAGTACCGTATACGACAACAATGAGTACTGTATTTGGGACCACTGGAGCACGAAGCGTAGGTCGGTGACAAGAAATAGATCAGTAAGTAGGTTCGCTCTACTCCCGATGGGATCCCTCTATCGGTTCGTCGGACACAACGCAGCAGCGAGCGCAGGCCACGACGACGTAGCGATAGAGGAACGTCGTTGGTAACACGAGAGTACGCACATTTAGAGATAGGCAGCGGAGAAGATGACGGCGGCCACGCGCCAGCAAGAGATCATATATTACACGGGAGAGGTGGCGCAGATTTTTACTTCAACAGCAGCAGCAACGTCCTCGTCAAGCAAAAGGGTCTACGAAAGGTGGCGGCAAACTCAAGCATCCGTCTGCATACCGACCTGACCGCCCTTGGCAGCGGTGGGCGTGAAGGTGTGCCAGCGGTCGTTGAAGCGGACATCTATCGACGATATGAGCAATTGTGCCCGCAGGCACAAACGATGATGACTTACCGAGGGGACGACCGCCATACATGTACTGCTGGAACTTGGCTGGGGGTCTGTCAGTATACAGTGCAAGGTCCTACGTCGAGAACGTACCAATTGCCGTCTCTGCTTCTGGGACAGCCGCGAACTGAACGACACCGCATCCCTTCGAGCGGGTACCATCGAAGAGGATCTCAGCCAGCTCGACGGTTCCTGTCGTCTCGAACAGCTCGACGAGGTCCTCGTTTGCCGTCGACCACGGAAGCTGCGACAACATTTAGCACAGGCTCGACCCATCACAGCAAAATAACACAACGTACGTTGCGAACCATGATCTGCTGACTGGGGTCGGCATCGGGGAACGGTGCGGCAGCGGCAGCACCACCATAGGCGCCACCACCACCATACCCGCCGCCGTACGCGCCGCGCTGATCAGGGCCAGAGTAGTCGGCGTAGAGGTCCTGGTTGGAAAAGTCGCGGCCTCCGCCACCACCGCCGTAACCGCCACCTGCTCCGCCGCGGAAACCTCCGCGGAAGCCACCACGGCCACGTCCGCGGAAGCCGCCGCGACCGGGACCAGAGAGGCCGGCATAACGATCCTGAGGGGCAAGATCAGCAACCATACTTGTACCAGTAAGGGACGACGTACTTCGCGGACTTCGAGAACGCGGCCATACCAGTCGAAGCCGTTGTACATTTCTATGAATCGTGAGTAGAGGCAGTAGGCATATGTGTTGCTGCGTACGAATGGCCTGCTGAGCATCTTTCGCTGTTTCGAAGACGACAGTACCGGACCCCTTAGGGCGACCGTCCATGCCAATGTTGATGTCCGCGCGGACGATGCTGCCAGCGGTGCGGAACAGGTCCTTCAGGTCTTGCCAGCCGGCTTGATAGGGAAGCTGAATGGAACATAAGCGGCAGTCCTGGTAGTCAATGTCGTTCTACTTACATTGCCGACGTATAACTGGTTGCCTGGGTTTCCGGCGGCATGATTGTGCGCAGGTGGACGAGGCGGCGGTCCGGCATTCATCCCTTGACCTGCCATAGCCATGCCCATCTTACCCGGGACGGGCGTAGCACCGAAGCGAGACTCGTTTTCGCGGTCCTAATGAGGTGCATGTTAGGTGAATATGCAACGGAGATAGCAAGGGTACGCACCTCGCGGATGAAGACAGGACGTCCAAGAAGGCTTTGCTCGGAGAGCTCCCGGACAGAGCGCTGGGCATCTTCGGGCGAGGCGAACTCTACGATGCTGGAGAGGATGGTAAGTACTCCGAAAAGGGGTAGGCAAAGACCACGTACCCGCAACCCTTGGACACTCCAGTTGGGGTGACCAGTACTTCGGCAAACAGAACCTCTCCAGCTAACAACCAAAACTCCCAATCAATATCCTTTCATCATCTCAACCGGGCCATAGAACGGATGAAGCTGTTGGAGAACCGACCGCCCCAAATCCCCCCAAACTCCTCGATCTCCGTCCGGCCTCCCCCACTCCAATGGTATTGGGAAACGATGTTGCGCGATACGAGCGACCACGCGCCGGCCTCCATCTCCTCCCCCAACACAGCCCTCCCTCCCCAAACCAAAACTGAACCTAAACCCACCTCCCCGCATGAATTCCATGAGATCGCGGTAGCGCACATCGTAGCTGAGGTTGCCGACGTAGACGCGGTTCTCGCGCTTGCTGATCTTCGCAAACTCGACCGCCTCTTCGTGCGGTGCGTTCATCGGGCCGCCGAGTGAGCGCGCGAAGGGGTCGTTCTTGCGTTCGCGGTCGCGGCTGCGGCTGCGGGAGCGCGTGTACGAGCGGCGGGGGCGGCGGCGTCCGGGGGATGCGGAGCGGCGCCGAGAGCGAGAGCGGGAACGCGAGTGCTTGCGCCGCTATTTATCTGCGGTCAGCCAGAGCACCCTCGCGGTGGTTCAAAAGCTGACGTACTCTGTCATCCGGTTCCCAGTGATCGCTGCCTCCGCCGCGACGGGAGCGCCCTGGGGGTGTGTCAGTACGCGGGAAACGCGCCACGAAGGGCACGTACCGGACTCACGTCTGTCGCGGTCGTAGCGATCGCCACGGTCCCTGTCCCGGTCGCGGTCGCGGTCCCTCTCGCGGTCCCTATCCCTCTCTCTGTCTCGGTCATAGTCCCTATCCCTGTCGCGCCCATAGTCCCGTCTGTCACGGTCGTTGTCGCGGTCGCGCTCCTTCTCCTTGTCGCCGTCCTTGTCCTTCTCCTCGCGGTCCTTTTCATAGTCACGGTCCTTGTCCCGCTCGTAGTCGGGGTCCTGCTCGCGCTTCTCGTCCACCTCCTCTTTCGGCTTCATGTCCACGTCCATCGTCGCGTGCGGTGATGAGGGGGAACAAGGGTCGTCGACGTCGAGGACAAAAAGTTCGGCAATTCCGCTCAGACGCCCGTGCTGCTTAGTAATCATGATGTTGCCATTTCTGGCGGGCGTAAATCTCGCCTGCACGCTTGCACCAGAGTACAATCCGAGTGCACGACGACATGGGATAAAACCTTGGATATACAGTAGTCCCAATCTTCGTCCTTGCTGGGCGCAATCTCCATGACCGGTGCAGTACTCATCGGAACTCGCTTGCGATAGTTTGTTATCTATTCCGTGAAGATTATTGACATAGATGTGCGTAGTGTACAGTGAGCGCTTGTATCAGACAAGCCTTCTCGCATGTCTGCGAGCCTATGTTTTGCGAGTGAATCATCAACCTATGCTGGCCGCTGCTCGATGATCTTCGCGTCTGCCCTCTTCACGATGACCACGGCGGTCATCAAGGACGAGAAGCCGAGGGCGATGGCACTTGCGGTCAATACCGCGTAGCGTGCACTTGAGGCGCCGGTGACCAATGAGACCACAACGAAGATATTCAGAGGTACTCGGATGAGCGACGAGAGCTGGTTGGAGTTGAGACTGGGTGGACACCTGGGGTCTGAGTGTACTTACTGTCGCTCGCACATCATCTTGTATGAGTGTTCCTCGCAGCATGCCTTGCACTGGGTAGTACATCCCGACGCACGCCTGACAAGCATCAGCACTCACTCAGCAAGTTACACAGATACCACTCACCTCGAACGCGCAGAACGCATAGAACCGCGACCTCGCATCAAAGTTGCAAACACTCGCCGCCAGCGCGAGCCCACTCAGCGCGCATACAATGGAACTCAGCTTCGCATGCAGCGTCAGCGACGGGTCGTTCGCCACCACCTTCGGGTCACGCTCCGCCGCGGCCTGCGTCGCGGGCGGTGGGGGCGGGAGGAAGTGGTCGACGATGGCGGAGTAGAACTGCGAGCCGAGCATCATGGAGACCATGAACGAGGAGAAGATGTAGCCGAGCGGGAGGGGGCCGGAGAGCGATGGGTCGCGCGCTTCCTGAAGGGAGGGCACCCAAAGGAAGACGAAGAGGTACATAGAGCCTTCGAAGCAGGTCTGCGTAAGGCCGAGGGTGAGGAGGACGGGGTCTGGATAGGGTGGTTAAGTTTGGCGGATGTTGAGAATGTCTCGCTCCAACTGACCTTGCCGTACCAGCTTCCATGCCTGCGCAAGCTTCTTCATCTCGCCGCTCGGCGCTGCCGACACCGCTCCGCCATAGTTCTCTCCCCAAGTCGCGCGGATCACGACCCACGCGATTGCGAGAAGTACACCGCTCGCCATGAAAGGCGCGCGGTACGCGCCGTGGCCATCATGTGCCGCCTCTGCGCTCTTCGTGCCGATTTGCACGAGTTGATCGCTGATGACGCCCGCCGCAGTCGCGACGAAGCCGTTCACGAGCGTGGCGCGGCCGAGAATGCCAGATAGATCTGCCTGGGTGACGCCGTACTGACCCGCCGCGCTGACAAGCCAGCTTTCGAAAGCCGAGAAGAGGATGGAAGTAGACAATCCGCCGAGCGCACGGCCGGCAAAGAGTACTGGAAGGGAGGGGAACTGAATGAGGGCGCATGATAGGGCGTAGGAGACGCAGAAGGCGAGGCAGACGCGCTTGCGACCGTAGGTGTCGGCCCACGCGCCGACCCAGGGCGCGGCCAGGCCTGCAGAGAGGAAGCCGGTGACAAAGAGGATGGCGACGATGCGTTCGGGGAAGCCGTATTCATCACTGTACAGCGAGTAAACATAGGGCCCCTGCAACCAGTCGGCGCCTGCACATGCGTTAGCTCTGATCGCAGCTGGTAGCCTTTGGCAACGCACCCATTACGATCGCGTATACCAGAAGGTATTGTTTCTCTAGCGCCTCTGCGCCCACAGGGTTCGTGAGCTTCCCCCCGCGCCCGTGCTGCTCAAGCGTGTCATGGTGCTCGTCCCGCGTCTTATCCTTTGCGATCTTCTTCGCCGCGGACACCCGTCTCTCCACCAGCAACCAGCACAGGCAGAGTCCCGACAGGGCAATGAGATTGAACTCGTAGAAGTTGAGCGGCATGGTGCGCGTGCGCGTGTGTTCGTCGCGCGATAGGTTATGTACTCGGTACTGTCGCCGGGCAGTCAATGGGTGGTGGAGGGCGAGGAAAGGGGACACGGCCAAAGAGCGAGCCAGCAAGCAGAGTCTAAGGAGAGTCAGTGACCGTATAAGGCTCGGACAGCGGGAGAGGGAGGAAAGAGAGGAGTGTGAGTGTGCTCATCGCCGTCTTTCTTGTTCCCCACGGCGCTGCGCATTGATTCTGTGGAGACGGAGGACCGGGCCGATCTTTTGGCGCCTTGGCAGCGGCGATTTGTGGCAACTTCGCTCCCACCCTTGTCCTCGACCGTCATCTACTGATCGTCTGTCCCCTCTCCTCTGACGATAAACATACGGCGAGAATAAAGAGTTCAAGCTCATCTTTGCCTGCCCACAAAGTAGAGTGGTCCCCGTCCAATTTTACGGCCGGCGGGCTTCGCGAAGACATGGATGCGATTCGTCTTGTTGCAGACTGGGCAGCTCTATTCTGGCTCGACGCATCTATACTCAGCGCTCTACGCCCCTCGTATACATGCATCTGCTGAAGAATCCCGAGATGGCCCCTTCAACTCCCGAGTCAGTTCCGAGCATTGATGAAGCACCAACGGCGAGTGTCCGCTGTATTTTGCATACTTTTATCCTATCATCTGTTCGTATCATCGTTCTTGCTGAGGTGAGTAGCATAGTCCACCCTGCTGCTCTACTATCATCTCATTGCTCGCCAGCTCACGAACGAGTACGAGCTGCTAAGCCCGTGATTTGCACCCTCATCAATTCTTTGCGCGCCACCATCCGCGTTCCCACATTAGCACCCGCCTGAACACTGCTACGCGCCTTCTCCTTCGAACCTCCTACTGCTATCTTCCCTTCTATCTCCCGCGCAGTGATAGCTTGACACAGCAGCGCATCACCGACAGGATTATCACGGGAATGTGCAATACTCAATAGATACGTCGTCTTTCTGATGGAGGCAGCGCCCTTCAGTAGGACCACCCTTCGTTATTGCGCCGCATCGGTAGAGGATCAATGTGGCTTGTCTACGGATCGATACCCATCATCAGCACGGACACGTCTCCTCATCAACAAGGGCGTAAGGCCGTCCACGATACAGGGCCATTGTCAGCGAGATGTATTCGCACAGTACGTCCGCATACATGGGTGTGCGATATGCGAATGTTGCTGAATAGATCTGATCAAGCTCGTCAGACTCTACCAGTGCGTTAGGAAGAACCCACACATCGTCGCATAAACATAGGACCCTTGCCTTGACGAGGTGCCGTACTGCTGTCGCCCCTACTTGGATAAGTTTGGGTCTAGCGCCCGCGAGTACCTGGATTGCTAAGGTGAGAGGCACCTTCCTGTCGTTGCCTTACGGTCAGAGATGCGCCCACGCCCATCACCCTTTGGCAAGTCTACAACGGGGTACGTTTCTTTTCCAACTCAATGAACCTATAACTGCTCTTACTCACTCTGACTGATCGTCAGGACTACCCTCTAGTGTCAAACGACCTACGGATATGTCACGCTCATAGAAACTAGCGCATATATCTACGGTTCCGCAGGCAACTCGTGAAGGTAAGTTCAGTCTGCTACCGGGCTGCTCATTCGGAAATGACACTGTTGAGTCCGTCCATCAGATGTCGCCCCGCTTACGCTATGCACTTTGACCATTCATCCCTTGCCCTGTACGCTGCGTGTTGCGCTGTCCGAGACCGCCTCGCCCTATTAGTATCAGTATACAATGGCGCCCTGCATCCGTCAGATTGACTACTGACGACATTGGATAGGTCCGCAGCGACACTGTATACGCCGACAGCGATATGGCCTCGCAAGAATCTCAACCATGGTGATCCGACTCCAGTGGACTTGTAATGAGGGGCGGATTCGGATTGACAGTCGTCTCCGGGGGACACGACTCCCATACGACTCCATCGTCGCTTGCAGTTCAAGGCTCACCTGACCAATATTGTTCGACGCGACGCATAACATAGGTCACTCGTCTTTCAGCTCGTTTGAGTACGTCCTGCCACCGCGCAGCTATGCAAGAAGCTTACAACCTCCCTGTTTCCCAGAAGAGCGACAACGTACCGCCTGCCTTCCAGCACAGTGCCCGCAACCCCGCTCAGGCAGGTACGACTCTCAGATCGTCGAGGATGCCGCAGACGTCTCTCGGCTACAGGAGAAACTTTTCCGCGGTATCGGCGTTGGTACTACGGGACCGGTGAGTATCCATCGCACCGATAGCTACCTGAACAGGAGCATATCCTATTCGAGCTGACCCACAGGAGTAGCTATCCGAGTCGCCCTATCTGCCGGATTACCTACTAGGATCGCAGCCGGAACAATGTACAGAGCCGGAACAATGTACAAGTACGCGACTCTATACAGCCCGCAAGACAGTCAGAACAAGCGCAGCCTCGCCAGAACTGCAAGCTCAGAGATCCGACTCCAGTGGACTTGGCTGAGTCCTATACATGGGTCAATGGAGCCCACATCGTTTGAAGGTGGGTGCCTGCGCTCGCGTAGCCCTGCTGACAGTTTACCTCTGCGGTAGACCTCCAGCTGACCGCCAGTTGTAAGCGCCGAGTCCACTACAGTCGGAGGCCGACAAGTAACAATGTACTGTATCGCTCTACATCACGTCTACTGCTGCGATGGGCTGGTGGGTCAAGGAAGTTCGTCTATCGTAACGAGGTCAGTGGTATGTTCTCCGACCACTGGAAGACTGGAAGACTGAACTTCTAGATCTTCAATAGCCGGAGGTCCGCCAGCTGGCGCTTTCTCGTTGTCTAGCTCGCTGGTCACCGAAGCGAGTTCTCTTCGTTCGTTGGAAGCGATCCCCTCGTCGTCTGGAAACGGGAATTTTCGTTGCTGACCGCCAAATCTAGAATTGTTTTCAACCAGGCCGGTCATCAAACGCATCTCATCCAGTAAATTGACGCCGGCAAGTATCCTACTTTCACTCTCATCCTCTATCCGAGAGCAATGAATTATCCCGCCAGATCGCCGGGCTTCATCCCTCGTCTACCCCAGTCCAGGATCGTCGCCTGCCTCTCCGCACGCGGTAGTTCATCATCAAGCATCTACTGTGCCTCCGGGCCCGGAGATGAGGGTGGCCATAAAGTGGGTGCTTGTGCGGCGCCACGCTCGGGAAGGACCGACGTCCCTGTTGAGGTGAGGTCCAGGGCGAGTCCAGCGTTGCGTGCCTTACGTCTCGCAGGCGCTGCTGTCGACTACGCGTACCTCTCGACCACCCAATCCACCCGGTCAACATGCATTGAAACCTCATCTGCCTCTCGCGGAAGTCGAGGCCCCTTTCACTTCGCATAGAAGACCCTCATCGCATGTACGAGACCTCTTCGCCGCTATATGCGATCCTGATCTTAGGTCGACGAGCATATTCGATGTCCATGGCGCCGAGGCACATTACGACGCCGTCGCCGCCGCCGACCATCGCCACCCCGACGACGTCTAGCCTAGACCGGCGACTAGCACGACGGTAGCCCTTGAAACCGTCAGGTAGGCATTGTTCACCCGTGCTCATCGCCTCCTTGCGTCCACTGAAGCGTTGAGACAGGACCATAACAGGCAAAGGGTACGTACTTTCCGTACCCTAGCCATTGTGCTCCTGCATTGGTTCGCGCCACAAATGAGGCCCTTGCCACCTCGCCCGCGGACACGCCACCCCGAGGACGGACGGCATCCGGGTGACGGAAATTGCCCGGAACGCCGTACCGAGCGGATTGTATTCCGGTTATCAAACTGGACGCCGGGACACTGGTAATTGACCGGGCGCACCTTCCGCGTGCGGCTTGCACAAGGCTTGGATGACGCCTCTGGTCGCGCCATCCGCGCGAAATGGGAGAAGAATTAGGAAAATGCGTGAGATGGGAGCAAGATGACGCCGAGATATGTTGACAAGCACTGCGATGGTGGAGGAGGGACGCCGAGAAATGGAGATCTGAGCTCGCTTGCCTCAAGATTGAGGCAGCAGTGCAATCTACGAGCCTGAAGGTCAGCATGGAGGCGCACTAGTGAGCGACCCTGCACGAGAAGTTGGACCCTACCTCATTTGCAGAAGAGCAGAAGAGGGACCCCAGCTCAAGAAGAAGGACTGGAGTGAAGGCTGGACGCCGGGCATGTGGGGGAGCAGCGTTAAAGAAGGCGGCGTGCAGCTCTCGGTAAGCGACTCGTCAGCCAATCGACAGCTTCTTGCCAGTCAGCACCACGGCGTGACCTGCGCGAATTAAAGTCGCTTCCCCGACATTGGGACGGCGCGGAGGAGGGGCGGACGGGCTGGCGCGCGCATTGTCTGTTGTTTAGTCGCCGGGGAAGTTGGCTCATGTCGGGAGGGGCCAGAGATAGGTGAATAGAGCAAGACTTGTGATACAGCACGTTATCGGGCCACTGCTAACTTCGCCATATCAGGCTTTCTCCCAGGATGCCGGCCTGCTGCGATGCCATCAGGGCGCACGCCACGCCGAACCCGCGCCGAACCATGGGAACACCGAAGGCGCCTTGCGATGAGCCTGATTGTTCTAATGTCACTGCTAGCGTGCGCACATGACAGAGCAGCCGCCCTTATATCAGGTCATCATCCCGCCTTCCCTCCCCCACCGCGCCGTGCGCCCCCTCCTCGACACCCAACACGATGCACGCCGCCCTCCTTGTGCCCGAGGTCCTCTCCCTCGTCTTCAACGATGAATCGCTGTCTCAGGCCACCGTCCTCAACATGGCCCTCACCTGCTCGTACTGGCACGAGATCGCCATGGAGGTCCTATGGCGCGAGCTGCCCTCCCTCGTCCCCCTCTTCATGCTCATGCCCGAGGACGTGTGGTGCGCGCCCCGCGGCGAGCGGACCCCGCTGGAGCCCATCCGATTCGTGCGTACTCACCTCGTTAAGCCCGCTAGAACTCGTGCTCATTCCACCGCAGGGCCTGCGCAGAACAGTCACGAGCCACGACTGGCATCTCGTCCATCGCTATGCCCGCCACGTCCGCTCGCTGCGCATCCAGCCGCAGACGTATCGCAAGTCCATCGCGAAGGCGCTGCGAACGTCCGAATCGGACGGACCCCTCTTCCCCGGCCTCCGCCACCTGTCCTTCGCGTCGCAATGGGACTGGGACAAGTGCGACCACCTTGCCATCCTCCGCATGCTCCTCAGCCCCAGCCTCGACCACCTTGCCATCGACATCCCCAATAGCTACCTCGAGCAACTGAGCTGCCTCGCCCCTATCTGCTCCGCCCTCACCACCTTCTCCTTCACCGACCAGGGCCACGCCGACGCGCGCCCCTCCCCCGCCGACCTCACCGCCTGCGTCCGCGCGTGGCCCGCGCTCACGAGCATCAGCCTCAACGGCAGCGCGGGCATGTCCCAGCTCATGCCCGCGCTCGCGCTCTGCGACTCGGCTGGTGGCCCCGACGCTGTCTTCGCGCCCTGCTCGCCCTCCGGCGCGTACCCGCGCGCGAGCTTCGCCGCGCTCCGCGACCTCACCATCGGCGGACAGAGCGCGGCTTACGTCGTCGGGCTCATGAAGAGCTGGGGCGTGCGCCCGATCGAGCGCCTCAGCGTGTTCGGCCTTGAGCTCTTCGCGGACGCGGCGCGCGCGCTGATTGCGGACATTCCAACGCACTGCGAGCCGACCGCGCTGAGCAAGCTGATGATCAGCGCAACCTCGCCGGGGTGGAGGATGCGTGCGGAGGACGTCGCGCCGCTGGCGAAGTGCACGGGCCTGACGAGCTTGGTGCTGAACGTGTCCGACGGGACGGACATTGCGGACGTGGAGTACGAGACGCTGGCAAGGAGCTGGCCGCTTCTGCAGCGTGTCGAGTTCCCGGGATCGTACGACCGCGCAGTCGCTCCGCGGTGTACGATGGCAGCTCTCGGCGCCTTTGCGGGCGCCTGTACGCACCTCGAGAGCATCGTCCTCTCCTTCGACGCCAACATGGACGTCGTACCCTCCCCTTCCCTCTCCAACTCCACCGTCACCCACCTCAACGTCGTCGACTCGCCCATCGACGAGTCTTGCGCGCCGCGCGTAGCCGAGCGCCTCGCGACTCTGTTCCCGAGCCTAACATGGATCGAGGACGACTACGATGACGGGCGGTACGAGGAGAGCCAGGCTGGGTGGGTCGTGGCGGATGCGGCCATGCGTGCGCGCGCACGAGCGCAGCGAGCAAAGGTGTGGGCCGCGGAGCGCTCCGCGGTGAAGGCCAAGCTGGCGGCGGCAGCAGCAGCTTCTGTACAGCGAACTCCTTCGTCAAGCTCGACTTCGCCATCGAGGACAACATCCTCAAGTACCGTGGGGACGTCTTACTTCGACGTACGTCGCTCTTCTCCTTGCTATCCTACTTCCTTGCTTACCTGTCATCAGGCTCTCCGCGAGCAGTGCATCATCGCATGAGGTGCCCGGCACGTCGTGAATATGTGAATATCAGCCCCCTTCGACGACGACGCTGTACATGCGGCTCGACCACTCCCCCCTCTGTGTGCATACAACTCGGCGCTATGTACATACAGCCCACCCTACCTCCCGGCCCTATTCGACCACCCGGCCACCCATGTTCTTCACCCCATGCTTTACCCCTGCTCTGTGCTCTCCCTGCTTTTACTTACGACCTTCGGCCCTCGATGCGAACCAGGTGCGTCGCGGGCTATAATGACCCCAACCGCTGGATTCCACAGCGAGGCTTGTCGTGCTTTACCGACACCTGTACAATAGCCCTGGACACGACGCGCGGAGACGTGTACATACTGGTGGAGATACATACATAGTAAGCAACGTGTATTTGTAGTGTAGATACCCTTGGTTGAGAAGAATACGATGACATTCATTTAGTGAAGGACGAGTGAAGCTCACCACGAAGGCTGCCCTCGCCGTCTCGCCTCGCCCCCACCGTCGCGCGGGGCGAGTTCTCTGAGTTCAGACTGACTTCACGCCACCCAACGACGCCTTTGCGTGCGCAGCAGCAAGTCGCGCGCAGCCTCGATGTCGTTACTCAACTCACAACACGCGGGAAAGACCACGGCGGCCATCCCACGTCGCCAGCAAGTCCCCCCACCTCGTCTCCGCCGCCGTCGGCTCAACAACTCACCAACTCGCGGGGGGCGAGTCTCTGGTACTCAAGCTGACATGGCAACACCCGACGACGCCTTCGCGAGCAAGGTGGCAAGTCCCGCGCGACCTCGTCGTTGTCATTCGAACTCACGGCATGCGGGAGCGGCGATGGCGGCAGGCCCCTCGCCTATTCTGACGTCGCGCGCAAGTCGCCCCGATCTCAGCTCACGCCTTACGACGCGGGAACAGTCGCCCGTCACTGACTCGCGCTCGCCCAGTCTCTCGCAGACCCCCGCACGGCGAATGGAGGACGCGCGACTTGGTGCGGACTCACCAAAATGCGCCCCCACCTCCCCCTCTCACGCCGACTGCCCTCGCCGCACCTCCGGACTCGTCTCACCGTGCACGCGCGCAACTGCTCTCGCAAGCGACTCCATTCCCGCGATGTCGAGAAGACGGCGAACGCGTAATTTTGGCGGTGAGAAGGCGCTTTCGCGCGCATCCCCCCGCCCGCACAACGCCTCCTGCTTGCACGGCTCAGCAAGAGAAGACGCGAGAAGATCAAATACTCACCTAGAGACATCGACGACGTCCCCGCCGCACCCCCCAAACCTCATGAGCACGCGCGGGATGCTCGAGCTCGTTAGCAAACCCGCCCCCTCCCCCCGCCTCACGAAAATCGCACTCACTTCGCAAAGCCCGCGACGCCTCCGCGCAATGTGCGCGAACGACGCCGCTCCCTGCGGGCGATGCCGTGGACCGACGCGGCGAGGCGATGATACTCACCTCATCGACGGAGGGGATGTCTTCCCCCTCCCCCCTCCCCCCTCCTCTTCGACGTGGACAGAGTCGCACCCACGTCGCAGAGCACGACGGCGCTCGTCGCGGGCAATGCGGCTCGCGTGAGCGGTGCTCCGAGACTGGTTCTGCACCTGCACAGTTGTCAGTAACGTCGCCAGAACGGCAGGGAGGGAGGGGGAGGAGGGAGGAGAAGGGGAGGAGAAGGTGGTAAAGACGAAGGCAAGGGGCCCGGAAGCAACGGGGAAAGGAGTGTAGGTGATGGGGGAGGGTAGTACGAGGGTGGACGAGTTGAGAGAAAGGGAGTATGGCGAGGGTGGGGTGATGGGGGAGGGCAGTTGGTGAGGAGGGAGGGAGAGGAGAAGGTGGCGAGGGCGAGGTCAGGAAGCTCGGAGACGATGAAGGATAGCCTGTAGGTGGTAGGAGATGGTGGTGTGAGGGTGTAAGCGTCGCGAAGGGGCTGGTACGACGAGGGAGGGTGTGATGGGGGAGGGCAGTTGACGAAGGGAAGGGGGAGGGGCTCGAGTAAATACCTGAGTACATGATGTGATAGATAGATGTGGTAGTACAAGCTGGCTGAAGTAATCGACGAGGGATAGGATGGTGAGGGTTCGCATATGAAAGGAGAGGGGGTACGAAGGGAAGGGGTGGCGAGATGAGAAGGACATGAGAAACGTGAGAAATCGGTTGCTTACCTCGCTTTCGTGTGTGCTGAACGAGCTGGCGATGACCGTCGCGAGCAGTAGGACCCGGCCAGACATAAAGAGAGATCAGCAAAGCAGTTGGCTGCAACGAAATTCAAAGGCTCACCTTGAGTTTCTTTCGGTTTTCGTTGAGGGTGGCGCTCGGCAGGGCTTTTCCGACGTCACAGGCAATATTTACGAGGGGGCGGAGCATGCTCAGTATCACACTATGTATCCTTCGAGTACTCAAGTACTCGTACAGCCCCCCAAATGCGATACAAGCGATGTATTCACACTACACCACCTTCAACCCATGAGCCCCACCCTCCCCTGAAAGGCCTTTCGGCGTGAGACCAGGGCTACCCCTGGTCGTGGACACGTCTCAGTAAGCCTACCAATCGATCAGTCTTATCTCTAGCAGCGGGATTATACGAAAACTCACCGATGTCGAGTTATGAGGAGAAAATGAAAGATCCTTGAAAAGCGCCGGACGCGTGGCAGTCAGAGGTGAGGAGAGGGGTCGCAGCGTCCATATATACCATAGGAGATATGATTCTAGCATATGAAGACCACGTACCCTTGTTTGAGAGTCATGCCGACGCTAAGGTGCGCCTGATCTCGATTCGAATCGAGCTCAATGAAATTCTGCGAAAACAAGGGCATCAGCGTTCGTCAAGACAGTTCTGTGCGAGAGCTTACCTCGCATGCAGTCCCGAGCATCGTGCTTAACATTCAGATTGCGGTGAAGCGTCGGTAAGCGCGAATTCTGCGAGGGTTGCACGAGTTGCTTAACCCAAGAACGAGCTAGTGGTCTCCCTACCTCGATCACAGCTTCGACAGCGACTACGGCTAGTCGAGCGTCTATGTGAGACTCCTGAGCGACGCCTACTTGCGTCAGACAACGCGGACAATCCAAGGAAAATGATGAGCACGAGTCGAGCTAGCCACACAGTATACGTACCGACGCGGCCGTATTACTCGAGTCCCAATGGGACAGGCGAAGATGGCGGTCGCACATCCGCACAGCGCGCTTAGAGGCCCAGCTAGAGCGCCTTCAAGGCATGGTCTACCATCAAGCGGTCAGTCAACAGTTGAAACTCGCGGCGGGGTAGCACGCCTCACCGTGTACCAGCATAATCTCCCCCTCCTCGGACGTGCTCGGAATCGTCAAGGCGCGGGTATGTAGGGGCGGAGTAACAAGCCTGCAAAGGCGATCAGCACGGCCAAGACAGAGGTCGTGGCTCGCCGAGGGAGACGGTCAGTCGCTCATGTTATTCCCTCGCGCGCTCTGTCACATCCGCATGCCGGCCGGTCGCGTCGGCAGCGGTCTCTCGTATCCCCACGGCAATGCGAGATTACCTCACCCTGAGGTGTCCCGTGCGAACACGCCGCGTCGCGGCCTTGAGCGATTCTTTCACATCGCGGGTGAGATTGTTGATGTTGCTACAGCGCGGCAGCACGGACTCTGTGAGCATACAGAGAGATGGGACGAGGGCGCATCACGTACCATCCCGTCGCATCCATCATCCTAGGGGACTCGCGCGTGCCTCCGGCGGTTTGGAAGGCTCGGAAAATGCGGAATTGAAGGTCAATTTCTCGTTCTGTACAGTCAGAAGCGAACTCACAACCCTCAATGACCCCGAGAACCTACTGCAGCGCGCGTAGAAATAGCCTGAATGGTAGCCTGTTTGACCAACTATCAGCCAGCGCTCTTCCAGCAAAGGATGAACTTTGACTCGCCGCATTCTCGTATGAATCGCTCTAGAGATCCCGCGCATGCCTCCGGCGGGTTGAGGGCCTCAAGGATAGCTGTGAGGAAGATCAGCCGACGCTTATGTAGTTCGGATCCAACCGAGGCGGGAAAATCGCAGGTACTCACCTCAATGACCCCGAGAACCTGATCAAATCCCTCGAAGGTTCAGGGTATCGTCGAGCGGCTGGGTGTAGGTAGCGATCGTCTAGCGAGTAGTCTATGGCACCTCCAGAACCTGATGGTGGACAGCAGCTGTCAGCGAGCGCTTCGACAGGACGAAGGACTCGAGCTCGCCAAAATTTGCCACTCGCGCATTCCTCCAGCAGTTCAAGAGACGTATACACTCACTGTGTAAGCGTCAGCGCGAGCTATATGCAGCCTCGCCATTGAGAGTAAGCCGACGGGGCATTACTCACCTCGATGGGCCCGAGAAACCCGGGGTGATTGTCGGACTCCCAAGTCGGCGATGTCAAGAAACAAGTATTCAGTCGTAATACGAGGGAACAGAGTTGATTCGACTCACAATCTGGTCACAGATGCGTCCAGTGCCGCCTATCCTCCCATCGGTCGCCCTGTCGTAAAGCGGTGACGTCGCAGACATAGCGGTGGGAAGCAAGGAGGGTCAGCGACACGTGTCGTGACGCACTGAAAGGACTCACGAGATGGGTGACGGCGCTCAGCTCGGGAGTCGCCAGGGCCTGGCCGCCGCGCAGCGACGCAGAGCGTCATGTGGTTGTGCCAGCGCACGGGCGACGACGGACCATCGCGTCTTTGGAATAGGACGTTGGTGATGATCAAAGTGAACTCGACATACGGTCGTACACTCACCCTGCTGCCCGTTGCGTCTGGCCGGCGCGTTGAAGAATCCGCCAGAGGACCTAGCGAGACCAGCCCGAGCTATATAGGAGAGATTGCGAGGGGATATCGTCGAGAAAATCAGTAGCGGGCTTGAGAGGGAGAAACAAGGAATGAACTCAGGATATTTCGAAGTTCCCGAGCGTAAATCCTCGATATCCTTGTTGTGACGGCGGTCAGAGGAATACTCGACAGGATAGAAGAGATAGGTATTACCTACTTTGAAGTACCAGGAGTTCAAAGCGCAGGCTAGGAAGATCCAAATCAGCAAAACGGGTCGTGACGCGATGCAAAAAGCGAACTCGCCTGCTCTAGTAGTGGCACGAGAAGGGACGCGTCAAGCTGAGAAAAGAGACAATGGATCACCTGTAATCTCATCGTTAGTAAAAGCGAAGCAGTAATGAGAGAGGACAGACGGAAATAATGACTCGAAGGTCAACTGCTGTAGACCAGCTGAACTCGAAGATGAGCGCTTCGTCAAGAGATTCAGAAGAGCGCAGAGTAAGAAGGTGTAAAGGCAGGAGTAGTGATAAGACAGGAGGAGAAATGGGAGGGAGTAGTGAAAGATGAGAGAAGGGAAGTAGAGGAGGGAGGGGAAGTGAGGAGAGCAGTCGACTCACCCCGCTCTTTATACGAATCCACCAGGCGCACGGACTCGCAGAGCATCACCGCGTCTCCCCCTTGATGCCCCACCACTTTGCTAAGCGATTCCGCGACTCTGCCACCCGGATATTCCTTGCCGCCCGCCCTCCTCCTCCTAAGCCCCAACGGCGCATCTTCCGCGCTTCTCTTCGAAATCAGGGAGCCAGCGCCCAGGCCCGCGCGTGATCTGATCGTGACAAATGATGGGACCCTGATTGATCGGTGTCGAGAAATCGTCTCCGCGCCAGTGAAAGTTTGGAGGCGAGGCAAGGCGGTAGGAGCGGTGTTTGCAAACCGAGTAGACGGATGTCAGGGAGGGGAAGGACAGCATAGAGGCAGTATCCTAAGTCTTAGGGGCTCGGGGTGGGGTGTCTCGAGTGCCCGGACACCGGGGTGAAGACGCTGCTGCTCGGTGAAGTCAGGAGCGCGCTGTCGAGCGTTTCGAGCCGCACTCACCTAAAAGCCAGCGGACTGGGACGTTGTGTATATGGTCTCCCGGCCGTTAGGATACACGTGTTGTGTGCTCGCTCGGTTTGAGGATTGTGAGTTGAGGCTCAGAAGCTCGAACGGACGGCCTGCCACAAAAGGCAGGCATTCAGCCACACGCGGGGACGAGCGCGAGAGTGCGACGACGACCTGCGTCTTGCGCACTCCCGACGCATTGTAAAGACCTTAATTACTCACGGAATCATTGCCGTTGACTCTCGGCCTGCTATATTGCAAGCGTGATGGCGTGAAGTGCTGGATTTGCGCTTGGGGCCGGAACCGCAAGGCCGCGCTCGAGTCCGCCTCGCGCGCATCAGGATTCGTGCAGTTCGACAGTCTCCGTGCTTCCGTGTTTTGGCAAGTTGGGGCCCGAGATTTGCAGTCGAGCGGCGGAAGACTGGAGCCGGGGCGATCCCTGGCAATATAACCTTCTTATTGTCCTCGGGCGCTCGGTGAGCGTAGGTACAGTGCTATGATGACGGGGGATGGCTCACCTTTGAGATGGGTCGCGCAGAAATGCGATACCGCTCAGCGGTCGGGCGTGAGCTGCTGGGGGAGCTCGCGTGTCCTCGAGCTGATCTGCTATTGTCTAAGCACAAGCACAGAAGCCGGCTCACCCTCATCACAGGCACATGAACCACTTGCCGAGTTCCTTCAAAAAGGTCGGTTGGGGTCGTGCTCAGGCAACAGAAGCCGGCGCTTCTCACTCTTCGTGACCTTGCTCCCGCCGGCTCAAGCGGTCCCCCGCCGCTTCAGTGACACCCTCGGTGCCTTCGTGCCTTTGTTAACGCGTTATCTCGTACGTACCTGGTTTGTTCTTCTTTCGGAATCCTTGCCGTTGACGAGGACTTGCGCTGCCCAGCGTAGCGCGGCGCTGCTCTGATCTCATCGCCGGGGGAACTACGTGAGTCGAGATTGGGTGTTATTGCTGACAGTGTATGCGGTACGGAGGGTCTTCGATAGTGTCGTATATGTGGTAGGTACGCGTATCTAGGGTGGTCGGTGACTTGTGCTGGTGGGGGTGGTGAGGGCGGGAGGCAAGGGATAGGTCCGCCTTGCTTCCGCCGCGGTTTGCCGGTCTCGAGCGCGGCGGCTCACCGGCGCGGCCTTCCCGTCCGGTTTCGAACCTCGCGACCGCCGTCCGCGTCTTGCTCCCGACCACCATGTACGACGTTCCGGCGTGTCGCATCACTGTCTACAGTCGTCGCCGAGTTGTTTCCCGCAGAGTGCAGATTTCTGGAAGCCTTTTGTGCTGCACTTCTCGTCTTGCTCATGGGTTTGCTTATGAGTTTGAGCTGTCCCGAGTTTCTTGCTGTTCACGCTGGCTGTCCGAGCCTATATCACGCGTTTTGTACTCCCACTATGTTCCTCTCGTCACTGTATCCTATGGTCTGAGCCTGTATTCTGTGCTTTTTCTAAAATTCTCATCTCATCTCACATCTCGAGCTTCGACCCGCTCCTCGAGTTTACCCGCCCACGGCAGGTAATTCTTGCGAGCTCCGCGCGGAGGTGAATGCCCAAAGAGGCAATCTGGTGAGGTCTCCGACATGAGGCATTGATGGCTTCGTGATCAGGGTCCAGCCCTTTCGCACGCCACAGCGGCGATCACAATTGCCTCGTGCACCTGATCACACCTCCTGGCTTCATCTTCTAACTCTACAGCTTTATCCTCTACCTCTTGCTTCTATCTATGCTTCCTCCCTATGTCTCTGCTCGCTCTCGATGCCTCCGCTTTGTCTCGATGTCTCCATTAGCTCTCGAACCTGTGGGTACTGTCAGCAACTACCAAAGCAAGCAAAGGCGAGATCGGCAGCCACAACACCTTGGTTGCACAAGGGCAACACCGAGCCACCTCCGAGAGCGACGGAAGCGAGCGAGCGAGCCACGGGAGCAAGCCGGAGAGCACAGAGAAGACACGGAGCGAGCGAGCAGCAGAGAGACCGAGAGCAAGAGCCCGAGAGCAGCGAGAGTCCCGAGAGCGGCAGGGACCCGGCACTCGGTGCTGGAAACCAGCCCGAGGGCGAGTCAGCTCGCCAAAAGGTACGCAGACTCACTATTAACCCCCGAGTTGAGCGCTGACCCGCGTTGCGAGCACGGTGGCGCAGCGGGTCCGAGAGCGAGGCGGCACAGCCCATCAAGCGCAGCCTAACGAGCAGGATCAGGACGTGCTCGAGGTGCGTGCATCGGGCCTGATGCATGAACAGCAAGCTTACCTGGATTCACAGCTTCTCCGACACTCCAGGGTACGTGCAAAATGCATCCATTCAAGATACCGAGCTTACATCTTGTACATACGAGTACTTCCTACCACGAAGAGGGCGAGGGCGCGCTCTCCTTGCGACACGGATAAGATCCATCCATCAAGAACTCACCTGCGCGCCACTGTACTCGTCGGAGGGGACTGCCGACACCCGACGCTGCGATGAGCGAGATCAGGGCGTGGGACAGCAACGACGAGCTTACCGGCGATGTCCGCGCCACTGAAAGCGCGCCGCCGTCTCAAGATCGCGTCGTCGGTGCGTCTACTCAGTGTCAGCACTTCCACATCTGCTTACCTATCCCCCAGCGAGTAGGACGACTCCAGGCGTTTGAAGCGCCTGTCACGCCGATCTGCACCCCGCAGCGACGGCCGAAGACGAAGCGCGCGACACGGACGGGCTACGCGGCGCACGACGGCCCCCGATGAGCAAGATCAGTACCGGGATCACGATGAGGAGCTTGCCGGTGCGATCCGCGCGGCTTGACGGCGATCTGCGCAACGCCCGGCACCTTGGGGCGAGCTACGTGACGCTCGGCGGTCTGGATGAGCAAGTTAGCGCGCGGAGATCGAGAGTGAAGGGCTTACCGGTTGCCGACGGCGCATCGCCCACGCTCTCCATCCTCGACAGCGTTCTCTTCCCTCGACGCTCTCCTGCCTCCAATGCGCTCTCCCCCATCTGATGCGACGAGATCCGCATCCCCGTCTCGGAATCAGCCACGCGCTCGGCGTCTGGCGACATGACGACTACGCAGCCTCATCCCGCGAGGACGGCGACACCAAGACCTCCCTCGACGAGATCCCCTACTCGGTGTGAGTCGGCTGTAGTCCGCATTGCAGCCAGCAAGGTTACCCCTTGTGTTCGATCTCCGCCAGCGTGCCGTCCATCCCACGCCGAGAATGTCGTCGCTGGCCCTCTCTCGCGCCTCGTCACGGTTTTCCGCGCCTCGAAAGGCTCACCAACGACTTTCGCATCGAGATCTGCGGAGATCACGTTGATTAGTGTGAGTTGATTCGCATGCTCGGTGACTGCCGGCAAGCTTACCTGCTGGTACCAGACCCATCGCGAGGTCGAGACGCCCTCTGCGACGTCAAAACTCAACCCCCCGGACGGGATCGCCATCGCGTGGGATCTCCGCGCGTCTGGAAAGGTGAGTGGACCGACGCCTTCATCGCAGGAAGCGAGCTTACCCTTTCGTCAGGCCGCGCGCGTCGAGAACCCCAAGTCGCCGGGCTGAGGTAAGTGGTCCGAGTACTGACACCTCGCCTCCTCCCCCGCCTCCCACCGCCGCACGGGAGGAAAGGGGGGAGGAGGAGGAGAGGGAGGGGGGAGGAGAGGGGGAGGGGGAGAGTGAGAGTGCTGTGAGAGCAAAAGTAGGGTAGTTATAGAGTGAAAATGCCAGAGCTTAAGCGCTCGCTGCGCTCGCGCCGCGCAAAGGGGAGGTGGATCTCCTGCCCGCGCGAAAAACGGGCGTTTCGGGGATTGCCGAACGGTCCCAAGGATGTGAGGGTAGGCGGCGGGGCCGGAAAACGAGGCGGCGGCGGCGGGGCGAGGCGGGAGGCGCGACGCGGCTGAGAGCAAGGCGGGGCGCGCGGTGTGATCTGATCGACGTGATGAGGTCGGTGGTCGGGCCGGGAGTGGTCTGCGTGCTAGCATCGATCGCGACTGGCGTGCTGCGACCACGACCACGACCATGGACGCCGCTCGACTGCCTCGAACCATGGGAACACCGAAGGCGCCTTGCGATGCGCCTGAGCCTGCTAGCGTGCGCACATGACAGAGCAGCCGGCCTTATATCAGGTCATCATCCCGCCTTCCCTCCCCTCTCCCTCGTCTTCAACAATGACTCGCTGTCTCAGTCCACCGTCCTCAACATGGCCCTCACCTGCTCGTACTGGCACGAGATCGCCATGGAGGTCCTATGGCGCGAGCTGCCCTCCCTCGTCCCCCTCTTCATGCTCATGCCCGAGGACGCGTGGTGCGCGCCCCGCGGCGAGCGGACCCCGCTCGAGCCCATCCGATTCGTGCGTACCCACCTCGCTAAGCCCGCTAGAACTCGTGCTCATTCCACCGCAGGGCCTGCGCAGAACAGTCACGAGCCACGACTGGCATCGAGTCCATCGCTATGCCCGCCACGTCCGCTCGCTGCGCATCCAGCCGCAGACATATCGCAAGTCCATCGCGAAGGCGCTGCGAACGTCCGAATCGGACGGACCCCTCTTCCCCGGCCTCCGCCACCTGTCCTTCGCGTCGCAATGGGACTGGGACAAGTGCGACCACCTCGCCATCCTCCGCATGCTCCTCAGCCCCAGCCTCGACCACCTCGCCATCGACATCCCCAATAGCTACCTCGAGCAACTAAGCTGCCTGGCCCCCATCTGCTCCGCCCTCACCACCTTCTCCTTCACCGACCAGGGCCACGCCGACGCGCGCCCCTCCCCCGCCGACCTCACCGCCTGCGTTCGCGCGTGGCCCGCGCTCACGAGCATCAGCCTCAACGGCAGCGCGGGCATGTCCCAGCTCATGCCTGCGCTCGCGCTCTGCGATTCCGCCGGCGGCCCCGACGCTGTCTTCGCGCCCTGCTCACCCTCCGGCGCGTACCCGCGCGCGAGCTTTGCCGCGCTCCGCGACCTCACCATCGGCGGGCAGAGCGCGGCTTACGTCGTCGGGCTCATGAAGAGCTGGGGCGTGCGCCCGATCGAGCGCCTCAGCGTGTTCGGCCTTGAGCTCCCCGCGGACGCGGCGCGCGCGCTGATTGCGGATATCCCGACGCACTGCGAGCCCGCCGCGCTGAGCAAGCTGATGATCAGCGCAACCTCGCCGGGGTGGAGTATGCGTGCGGAGGACGTCGCGCCGCTGGCGGAGTGCACGGGCTTGACGAGCTTGGTGTTGAACGTGTCCGACGGGGCGGACATTGCGGACGTGGAGTACGAGACGCTGGCAAGGAGCTGGCCGCTTCTGCAGCGTGTCGAGTTCCCGGGGTCGTACGACCGTGCAGTCGCTCCGCGGTGTACGATGGCAGCTCTCGGCGCCTTCGCGGGCGCCTGCACGCACCTCGAGAGCATCGTCCTCTCCTTCGACGCCAACATGGACGTCGTACCCTCCCCTTCCCTCTCCAACTCCACCGTCACCCACCTCAACGTCGTCGACTCGCCCATCGACGAGTCCTGCGCGCCGCGCGTAGCCGAGCGCCTCGCGACTCTGTTCCCGAGCCTAACATGGATCGAGGACGACTACGATGACGGGCGGTACGAGGAGAGCCAGGCTGGGTGGGTCGTGGCGGATGCGGCCATGCGTGCGCGCGCACGAGCGCAGCGGGCGAAGGTGTGGGCCGCGGAGCGCTCGGCGGTCAAGGCGAAGCTGGCGGCGGCAGCAGCAGCGTCTGCACAGCGAACTCCTCCGTCAAGTTCGACTTCGCTATCGAGAACAACATCCTCGAGTAGTGTAGGGACGTCTTACTTCGACGTACGTCGCTCTTCTCCTTGCTATCCTACTTCCTTGCTTACCTGTCATCAGGCCCTCCGCGAGCAGTGCATCATCGCATGAGGTGCCCGGCACGTCGTGAATATGTGAATATCAGCCCCTTTCGACGACGACGCTGTACATGCGGCTCGACCACTCCCCCCTCTGTGTGCATACAACTCGGCGCTATGTACATACAGCCCACCCTACCTCCCGGCCCTATTCGACCACCCGGCCACCCATGTTCTTCACCCCATGCTTTACCCCTGCTCTGTGCTCTCCCTGCTTTTACTTACGACCTTCGGCCCTCGATGCGAACCAGGTGCGTCGCGGGCTATAATGACCCCAACCGCTGGATTCCACAGCGAGGCTTGTCGTGCTTTACCGACACCTGTACAATAGCCCTGGACACGACGCGCGGAGACGTGTACATACTGGTGGAGATACATACATAGTAAGCAACGTGTATTTGTAGTGTAGATACCCTTGGTTGAGAAGAATACGATGACATTCATTTAGTGAAGGACGAGTGAAGCTCACCACGAAGGCTGCCCTCGCCGTCTCGCCTCGCCCCCACCGTCGCGCGGGGCGAGTTCTCTGAGTTCAGACTGACTTCACGCCACCCAACGACGCCTTTGCGTGCGCAGCAGCAAGTCGCGCGCAGCCTCGATGTCGTTACTCAACTCACAACACGCGGGAAAGACCACGGCGGCCATCCCACGTCGCCAGCAAGTCCCCCCACCTCGTCTCCGCCGCCGTCGGCTCAACAACTCACCAACTCGCGGGGGGCGAGTCTCTGGTACTCAAGCTGACATGGCAACACCCGACGACGCCTTCGCGAGCAAGGTGGCAAGTCCCGCGCGACCTCGTCGTTGTCATTCGAACTCACGGCATGCGGGAGCGGCGATGGCGGCAGGCCCCTCGCCTATTCTGACGTCGCGCGCAAGTCGCCCCGATCTCAGCTCACGCCTTACGACGCGGGAACAGTCGCCCGTCACTGACTCGCGCTCGCCCAGTCTCTCGCAGACCCCCGCACGGCGAATGGAGGACGCGCGACTTGGTGCGGACTCACCAAAATGCGCCCCCACCTCCCCCTCTCACGCCGACTGCCCTCGCCGCACCTCCGGACTCGTCTCACCGTGCACGCGCGCAACTGCTCTCGCAAGCGACTCCATTCCCGCGATGTCGAGAAGACGGCGAACGCGTAATTTTGGCGGTGAGAAGGCGCTTTCGCGCGCATCCCCCCGCCCGCACAACGCCTCCTGCTTGCACGGCTCAGCAAGAGAAGACGCGAGAAGATCAAATACTCACCTAGAGACATCGACGACGTCCCCGCCGCACCCCCCAAACCTCATGAGCACGCGCGGGATGCTCGAGCTCGTTAGCAAACCCGCCCCCTCCCCCCGCCTCACGAAAATCGCACTCACTTCGCAAAGCCCGCGACGCCTCCGCGCAATGTGCGCGAACGACGCCGCTCCCTGCGGGCGATGCCGTGGACCGACGCGGCGAGGCGATGATACTCACCTCATCGACGGAGGGGATGTCTTCCCCCTCCCCCCTCCCCCCTCCTCTTCGACGTGGACAGAGTCGCACCCACGTCGCAGAGCACGACGGCGCTCGTCGCGGGCAATGCGGCTCGCGTGAGCGGTGCTCCGAGACTGGTTCTGCACCTGCACAGTTGTCAGTAACGTCGCCAGAACGGCAGGGAGGGAGGGGGAGGAGGGAGGAGAAGGGGAGGAGAAGGTGGTAAAGACGAAGGCAAGGGGCCCGGAAGCAACGGGGAAAGGAGTGTAGGTGATGGGGGAGGGTAGTACGAGGGTGGACGAGTTGAGAGAAAGGGAGTATGGCGAGGGTGGGGTGATGGGGGAGGGCAGTTGGTGAGGAGGGAGGGAGAGGAGAAGGTGGCGAGGGCGAGGTCAGGAAGCTCGGAGACGATGAAGGATAGCCTGTAGGTGGTAGGAGATGGTGGTGTGAGGGTGTAAGCGTCGCGAAGGGGCTGGTACGACGAGGGAGGGTGTGATGGGGGAGGGCAGTTGACGAAGGGAAGGGGGAGGGGCTCGAGTAAATACCTGAGTACATGATGTGATAGATAGATGTGGTAGTACAAGCTGGCTGAAGTAATCGACGAGGGATAGGATGGTGAGGGTTCGCATATGAAAGGAGAGGGGGTACGAAGGGAAGGGGTGGCGAGATGAGAAGGACATGAGAAACGTGAGAAATCGGTTGCTTACCTCGCTTTCGTGTGTGCTGAACGAGCTGGCGATGACCGTCGCGAGCAGTAGGACCCGGCCAGACATAAAGAGAGATCAGCAAAGCAGTTGGCTGCAACGAAATTCAAAGGCTCACCTTGAGTTTCTTTCGGTTTTCGTTGAGGGTGGCGCTCGGCAGGGCTTTTCCGACGTCACAGGCAATATTTACGAGGGGGCGGAGCATGCTCAGTATCACACTATGTATCCTTCGAGTACTCAAGTACTCGTACAGCCCCCCAAATGCGATACAAGCGATGTATTCACACTACACCACCTTCAACCCATGAGCCCCACCCTCCCCTGAAAGGCCTTTCGGCGTGAGACCAGGGCTACCCCTGGTCGTGGACACGTCTCAGTAAGCCTACCAATCGATCAGTCTTATCTCTAGCAGCGGGATTATACGAAAACTCACCGATGTCGAGTTATGAGGAGAAAATGAAAGATCCTTGAAAAGCGCCGGACGCGTGGCAGTCAGAGGTGAGGAGAGGGGTCGCAGCGTCCATATATACCATAGGAGATATGATTCTAGCATATGAAGACCACGTACCCTTGTTTGAGAGTCATGCCGACGCTAAGGTGCGCCTGATCTCGATTCGAATCGAGCTCAATGAAATTCTGCGAAAACAAGGGCATCAGCGTTCGTCAAGACAGTTCTGTGCGAGAGCTTACCTCGCATGCAGTCCCGAGCATCGTGCTTAACATTCAGATTGCGGTGAAGCGTCGGTAAGCGCGAATTCTGCGAGGGTTGCACGAGTTGCTTAACCCAAGAACGAGCTAGTGGTCTCCCTACCTCGATCACAGCTTCGACAGCGACTACGGCTAGTCGAGCGTCTATGTGAGACTCCTGAGCGACGCCTACTTGCGTCAGACAACGCGGACAATCCAAGGAAAATGATGAGCACGAGTCGAGCTAGCCACACAGTATACGTACCGACGCGGCCGTATTACTCGAGTCCCAATGGGACAGGCGAAGATGGCGGTCGCACATCCGCACAGCGCGCTTAGAGGCCCAGCTAGAGCGCCTTCAAGGCATGGTCTACCATCAAGCGGTCAGTCAACAGTTGAAACTCGCGGCGGGGTAGCACGCCTCACCGTGTACCAGCATAA